ATCATCTCTATATACTACTATCTAACCTGGCTCTTTTCTTAATCCTTAATTTTCTAAGGTATTAACCTTGGGTTTACGAGTTTCCACTTATCACAGCCCAGGGCCGATTCGTAGGTGATAGCGACGTTTAACTCGTTACATGAGACATCTGTCAACAATTTAGCTCCTCGGTTATCCAACGTGAAGCCTAGTAGTTTCACCGCACAGTAAAAAGGCATCAATGTGTCAGATATTGGTACATTCGTGCAAGGAGCACGCATGTCTGGTGGGGGGCAAATGCACGGGATTGGGTGACGTGCGAATCCCGATTCTGGTGGAGAAATGACGTGCTTCGTGTGACGACTTACATTTGGTACTGTCATATCATGGAGCAATTGCGCAAGCGCTATTAGCCAAAACCCTCGTGAATTTCACCATCGAAATTTGAAATCGTGCAAGCGCCACACATATGTATATATATGTGATGTTCCTGTAGTGGGAGTTTCGAACTGTTCTTTTTTTACATTATCACTGCAGAGAACATCGAGCCACTAACATCCTGATCAACGCTGACTTGCATTCGAACATGGGATCGGCACCTGACAATCATCACGACGCACTTGTTGTTGGCACTGGATTTGGAGGTCTTTACACTCTTCATCTTTTGAAGCAACTGGGGCTTAATGTAAGAGCCATTGAATCAGCGCCTGATGTGGGCGGAACGTGGTACTGGAACAGCTACCCCGGTGCGAGAAGTGATATCCACAGCCATGTGTATCGATACTCTTGGGACAAGGAACTGCTCGAGAAACATCCTTGGCCTAACAACTACCTTCATCAACCGGAACTTCAGGCATATTTCCAGGAGGTGGCGCAAAAACACAAGCTGTATCCTTTGATTCATTTCAATACTGAACTTAGAGGGGCAGATTGGGATGATCAGACCGGCCTATGGATAGTCTCCACAAATACTGGACAGGAATACACCACCCGCTACCTTGTGACGGCTATCGGCATTCTTCACAATAAAAATGTTCCTGAGATACCGGGCCTAGATTCATTCAAAGGCCAGACGGTTCACAGCTCCAATTGGAACCCACATATACAATGGGAGGGAAAGCGAGTGGCCGTCATCGGCAGCGGCGCGTCGGGAATTCAGATCGTGAGCAGCTTGAGCGAGAAGGCTAAATCACTCACCCACTTCATCCGACACGCTCAGTATGTGATACCATCGCGCTTTCGAGCTGTTACGCCAGAAGAGAGGAAAGGAATCAACGAGCGCTACGACAAGATCTGGGAAGATGTGTTCCTGTCGAATACAGCCTTTGGATTCGTAGAGCCTGGCCGCCCAACGCTATCGCTGTCACCTGAAGATCGAGAGATTGTGTTTGAACGACTGTGGAGAGAAGGCAACGGTTTTCACTTCCTTTTCGGCGGCTTTTCGGACCTTGCCACGAACGAAGCCGCAAATAAGGAAGCCATCAAGTTCATACACCGCAAGATCAAGGAGACAGTTCAGGACCCACAGAAGGCAGAGGTGCTGACGTCTTCTGACTGGTTTGCTCGAAGGCCTTTGACCGACGATCATTACTACGAACGTTTCAATCAGGACAATGTCTTCGCAGTCGACCTCAAGAAGGCACCTATCACTGAAATTACCCCCGATGGTATCAATACAGCTGACGGAAAGACTCATGCTGTCGATTTGATTGTCTTTGCGACCGGGTTTGATGCCATTGATGGGAGCTACACCAGACTCAACATGCGCGGCCGTAACGGTGTCGAGCTGAAGAAGCACTGGCAGGCCGAAGGACCTAAGTCACACATTGGCGCTGCGACGTCGGAATTCCCAAATCTTCTATTCGTCAATGGACCGGGGTCTGTTTTCGCAAACAATCCGCCCGTGGCCGAAGTAGCGGCGGAATTTGCCCGGGATCTAATCGCAAGGGCTGAGGAGGTTCGTTACAGAGAAGGCGGAATTGGCATCATTGAGGCTTTGCAGGAGGCTGAGAACCGATGGCGTGAACAGACCGAACAAGTTGCAGAGCTGACGTTGTTTTCTAAGACGCCCAGTTGGTTCTTTGGAGAAAACATTCCAGGGAAGAAGGTTGCGCCGAGGCTGTATTTTGGAGGCATTGGAAGGTTTCGCGCGGCAATAGCCGAAGAGAAAGCAGCTGGTTTTAAGGGATTCCGGTTTCGTTAAGGAAATGATTTCGTGGAAGCAGGAAAACTGGTCCATAGTCTTACTTTAACAGGGCTCGCCTTCGGTATGCAGGCCTAACGATAACAAGAGAAATCCGCATTCATGAGATTCATGTCATCCACTTATTTGATATACTTTACTCTCTCCAGGAACTCGAACCCTTCATCACGCCGTCGATGCAGCGAATATCTCTTCATATAACGGCAACGGATCCTACCTGCTACCTTGCGGACGCTCGTGAAATACACCTGATTCCATCTCTGCGGCACCTTCCCGGTCTTTCCTCGAATTTTTGCCTCTACTCTGCTCGAGATTCCACTTTATCGCACCATTTGTCCCCGCACAACACATTACCGTTGAAAATACAGCGCTCCCCAACCATAGCAAGGAATTGATCAAGTCTAGCCACACTGCCGTCTTCGCACGACCCAAGGTCATGTCGTCGTATTGGCTCTGTAGCTCTTCTCCATTTGGATATATCTGGTAAAAGACACCAAATAGTGCGAGCCAGAGAACGCAGATAGTTGACTCTACAAGGAAAGTCAGGCGATAGGAACGTAATGTAAAAGCGTCGATGATCTGCGTAATGATAGTGATGGCAAATTCGAGCTGTGCAAATATAAATTCCGAGCTAGTATGCTCGTGCGAGAGTTCAATGGCGTAGGATATGCCGGAACCCAGGGCGAAGGCAAATTGGATGACACGGAAAAGGCTGACGAGAGGTTTGTCGAGGCGAGTGTGCACGGCGGAGCGGAAGGTAGATTTCGGGGCGGCCATGATGTGCAGAGGCCGAGGTCGAGATTGTGATTACGGACCTTGCTTTGGGATCACGGCCGTGGCAGCTGCCAACGTGGAAGTAGGTCTGGAAGGCAATGAAGGTCGAGAAAAGACTTAAGATGGTAACCATCAGCGACTGCCGGTCTACATATATACCCGCTTTGATGGTTCTAAAGACCGCCTCAACGTTTCATTGGTGGCTGGTGCACCGTTTAGATACCTATGGTACATATGTAGTCGGACCGGATACGAAGGGAGCGAAAGCGGCCGAATACGCGGGTGGACAGCCTGCTCCGTAATAACTACGCAAGCCAACACAGTTTCAGGGACAGCGCGGCCGCTCCCTAGCATTGAGATGAAACGGTCCCTAATACTCGTACGCGCCGCCGCTGCGTATACGCTCGTACTCGTTCTTTCTCATCACGTTGGATCCTGATGTCAGACGCCCTGCCGACACCCAGCGAGCCTGCCGACTCGCCGGAGGGAAGCGACGGTGTGGCACGCCGGCCGTCTCCAGAAGAAGGATCTGCACGGGGCGCTGAGAACAAGGCAATCAAGAGGCGAGCGCATCGCAAGTCACGATTCGGATGCAAGGTAAGTTTCTGGGTGCACGAGATATGCGATCTACTTGATAAACAAGAAGAGACTGTTCAATGTTCTTTTAATTCTTTTTTCATTTTTAGCTAAGCACCAGCAAAGCACTGTTTCCAATTTCAAGAGACACTCACTGACTTTGACTTCACAGAACTGCAAACTTCGACGGATCAAGGTGCCAGCGTTCTGCCCGAGCTATGCCATACTCTAACCTTGCCGCAGTGCGATGAGCGGAAACCGGAATGTTTAAATTGCAGAAACCGACAGGTGAGAACAGGTGCCGTTCCGTATTTTGCCAATCCAACTGAATCGACAGGTCCGCTGTGACTATCTGCCCTCCTCCCAGGCGGCGGTGACAACAGCAGCACCAAGCCCTGCAGAGGCAGTAGTAGCGCCCAGTCTGTTCGGGGCACTCAATGTCGAAGATTTAGAGCTCATGTACCACTGGACAACGTCTACCAGCGCTACACTTTCTTCCCAGACCAGTGGCGCCATCTTCTGGCGCACGCAGGTGACCGAGCTCGCGCTTTCACACCACCATATCCTTCATCTAATCCTGTCCATCACAGCAAGCCATCTCGCACGCTTTCGACCGCAACGTCGCGACGAATATGTTGCGCTGGCTGACCATCACTACGCCACTGCACTTCCCGTGGTGACAGCCGAACTATCACATCTGCACCAAGACAACTGTGATCCGGTTCTTCTCTCCGTACAGCTCATTTGCACCTTCACCTGGGCACGAGGGCCACAGCCCGGGGAGTATCTCGCCTTTGGAGAAAAGGGACGTTCAGATTGGCTTGTAATGTTCCGCGGCATCCGCACCACGTTGGAAACAGTGGGTTACGACAACTTCACGCGCTCTATGGCACCCAATATCCGTGCGCATGCTAAACCGCTTCCCAATGTCGCCGGCACGCTGGCTTACGAAGAGCCGCTTGCTGAGCTGAGCGATTACATTCAATATGCCAGCAAACCAGCCCAGCTTTCTCAAAATGTCTATGCGCATCAAGTGTTGCTCGAATGTTATTCCAACCGTTACGGCGGCGTGGATGGCGAGTATCACATCGTATTTGCGTGGCTATTCCGCATGCACGAGGAGTTCTTGGAGGCACTGCAAAGACATCAGACCGTACCGCTCGTCATATACGCGCACTTTGCGGTACTAATGAATGACATGGAGAGCTTCTGGTACATGAAAGGCTGGACAACGCACGTACTTGCGGGTATCTGGAACATACTAAGGGACGAAGATAGGGTGCACATCCGATGGCCGGTGTCAGTGGTTGGTTGGATACCTCCGTGAGACTGTCTTGCGAATACCAAGTCCCTTTGCCGCCATCGTCATACTCCAAAATGGAGCATTAAATGTTTCCGGACAAATCAGTACAAAGAATCGCCAACATCTATCTCAGCATAAAGTGATACAACAACATTGGGAAAGAAGCATACTTGAATGGACAGATGCCCCTTGTCGTCAAAACGAAGGTTGTCGTATGGTGCTTTCTGGCGTTGAGCAAGAGTGTAAGCACGTCATACAATAGTTGTACTGACAACGATCTCATTGCCTATTGTCCTTGAACATGAGTCAATGCGACCAGGATATCGTTCTTCTGTACATTATGGCACTCTGCACCCGTCGGTATTGGTAAATTCCTAAAACATTGCTTTGATGCAAATGGAGAGGTAATAGTACTTTCATTCGTCGTTGATCAAATCGTGTTGCGTGCATACCAGTGTCTGTACATTTCACGACCTTGCCCAAAAACTTATGATCCCTGACCTTCGGTCGAGCTCAGCTCCTGTAACATTTCCCTCGTGGCACTTAAACTCCCGGAGTCACCATAGATGGCTGCAATCAAACTGCCATCAATCTTTGGGAACTCCCGCTCGAGAATTGCCTGGTTCTGCTCATCCTCCGTTTGCGGGCGCGACATCTCATAGCTCTGCATCACCTCAACCTGATGTGAGCGATCCTGGCCTTGAGGCAAGGCTTGCTCAGAGGTGGTGCCTATACGGCGGGGCGGAAGACCTGGAGGTGGGGTATATTGCTCGTTGTGCTGGCCCAGCGGGGGTTGGGAAGGAGGATTGTATGATTGTTCCTGGACGAACGAGTCGTAGCTCTGGGGTTGGTCTTGAGTGTGGAAGGGGTTATGATCTTGTGCTTGCGTAGGTTGGCCATGGGATTGTGCAGTATTCTGTGCCTGGGACTCGGAACCCCAGGGGTTGGAGTAAGGGTTTTGATTGTCCGAACCATACTGAGGTGGCTGGCTGGTGTTGCGAGGGATTTGTCCAGACATTGTGTTTGCGACGAGGGAAATGGGTGTGAAAAGGGGGTATGAGGATATGTCCAATTTTGAATAATGGCTAAGGCGAAATGGCTTGCGCGTAGCGTGGCTGGTGAGAGTGGGTGTCGAGGTTACTGCGGAGGCGAGCGGGCGGAGGGAATGACGTATGCTTTGATACGGAACAGTCGAAGCGTGCTGGGTCTTTTAGAGAACGGCCTCCGCTGCCAACCCTGCGTATCACCATGTTCACGATGGAATGTATACTTAAAGTAGTGGTATGGATTTCGGATGTTTACATTTGCAATGCGATAGCCTCGACAACATATACAAAAGATTTCAAGATTTGACGACGTTCACGTGATTAGAAAGGTTCAAAGGTTCGAGAGCGAAGATCAATATCACCGACAAAGACAATCTAACACGCGCAGGAACTTGGCCGTCCGTGATCTAGACGAGAATCGGCCCACACTGGTGCTGGATCCGCAGAAATCATTTATACATCGGTACATAGACCAAGTGAAGCGGGTTAGGACAGTGAGCCAAAGGATGCGGGTCAAGAGGATAGACCGCCAGTTGAGATTAGCTCCAACAGGTGCAGCCATACGTGTTTCCAGTGATGGCATAACAAAGTATGCTGTGCCGTTCTGTCTAAGCATGTGCATGAGTATTCTTGGAAAGGTCGGTCGTCGATTCTGTGAATGCCTCGGTGGCGCGGGATAATACGGCTATGCGCACTGTCAAAAGCAATTTGGCATGCGCAAAAGAGAGCCCAGGTGCTCGTTATGTATCGGAGTCCAAGCAGCTAGGAGCCGAACCCGACGAAGCGGCCGAGAAGTCCAAGGCAGGAATGGGCTATCTACAATGTGTTGGGCTTTCAGATTCCGATCACGTCGAACACAGGCGCGTAAGCCGAGTCCTCAGACAGTCGCCTGGTCGCATACATGTGATGTGCGCTTTGTCATGTCTTGTCAAGAAGAGGGACAGGTACCGGCAGATGATGGCTGGCGGCACCACACACGCGCTCCCGGCTGAGGTGAGCCAACCCGGGAGAACCTGGGCGGACGGGTATCGAGTCTAGCGCCAGGGGAGAGTCCAGACGCGTGGACGTGTTGGTGCTGGTTGCTGGGTGCCAACAATGTGTGTATGATGCAGGCAGGATGACAGGCGCAGCCCTATGAAAGGCGGCAGGCGGCAGTCGGCAGTCTGCGCAGCGAATGCACGGCGGGCACAGCAAGCACAAGTTGGTTTTATCCGCCGGCGCGCTCAGCTGACGGGGCGCACGGGTGCCTGTGATTTGCTGTGTTCGGTGTGTTGCGCTGGCAGTCTTCGTGATGTTGGTTCGGGCCGTAGCGTGGTGACGGATCTCAGCTACAGGCTGCGGTCCATCTGCATTCACTCTCACCTCTCGTCTCCCTCGCTGCGCGCCGCTCGCCACAGCAAATGCCACGCGGTCTCTGCCTCGCCGGCGATTCTCTCTCCGCACCGTGCCCAGCCAACGACGGCGCGCCGCGTTGTGTGCGGGCCCTGCTGCTGCAGCAATTTGACACTTACCGCCATTCGGCTCGGCTGCTGTGCACAACTGCGCACCCACCACGACGCTTCACTTCGCCATCGCAGAGGCCAGCTTCGCCTCGCGACATGCCAATAGCAGCGCGCCGCCGCCAGCATGACAGACTCCCGCGACGACTCGTTCCGCTCGCTGACCGGCTCGTCTGAGACGGCCGAGCCTGCCTCTGCGCCTGCGTCGTCGAGCACCACGCCCACGTCGACCACACCCACGTCGACCACGCCCACGTCGACCACGCCCACGCCCACGCCCACGCCCACGCTCTCCACCGCGACACCTGCCGACAGCGGCTCTACCCCCATGCGGCACCCTTCCAAGAACGGTGCCCGCTCGCTCAACGTGTCGGGCGCGCAGTCGGCAGCCAACTCGCCCATGTCGTCGCGCAACTCGTCGCCTGCACGCCCTTCGCAGCGCAGCACCCAGCCCGCCGACACGCAGCCCAGGTCTGCGCGTGCTTCGCGCAAGAGCAGCAACGACGCGAGCCCCAATCGGGGTTCTAGCATGGCCGGCCCCAGCACCACCGTCCCCTCCGCCGCCGCCATCCAGCGCGCCCTCTCGTCGACCAGCATCCCACAGCTGCCGCCCGCTGCCTCGACCCAGGAGCATTCGCGCGTGCCCAGGCCGTCCAAGCCGACCTCGGGGCCCAATTCTGGCGACAACACGCCCCACTGGCCAGTGTCTCCCCGGCTGAAATCGCCGCCGCCCTCGGCAGAGACACGCTCCCGCTCTCGTAACAATTCGGTGCGCGCCCACCAGCAGCACAAGAAGACGGAGCCGGCCGCGACGCCGTCCATCATCGTCCAGAGCTCGTCGCCCGGCCCGGCCTCTCGCATTGTAGCCAGGGATGACGTCGTGGGTAGCGACCCAGAAGAAGCACCCCTAAGCATGAAGCCGTCTGGCAGAGGAACCAGCGGTGCTGCACCCAAACTCGAGACGGTTCAAGAGTCCAGCGTGCCGACGACGCCTGGCGAGGACGGCCACGATGCATACAGGTGAGGTGCCTTCCCCGCACGGCCAGCCCCGCCCGCGTCCGCGAGCGCATGTCATAGTGGAAGCTTCTTCTTAGCCGTGCCCGCCATGCTGACCCGCCGCAGCGTACTTTCCAGCTCAGCCGCGTCCACTACGGCCGACGACGACAATAACAATGACGTCACGCCGTCGAAGATTACCGAAGACCTTAGCGCGAGAACCAGACCTGTCGAAAACGGCAGCGACAACAGCGCCCGACACAAGGCCAGGATGCAGGAGCATCGCTCTGCCTCCACGCAGCAGCCGAGCGGCCCGACATCCAAGCCTTCGTTCTCGTCGCTCCATACAGTCAAGTCGCGCACCGAAGCCCCATTACGAAACATGACAGTCGAGACTGAAACAGTGCCCTCGGTCGCACAGACGACAATTGGAAATCAGGACCGTTCCGCCTCAGGGCGTGGCGATGGCAGTCTTCGTCTGAAGCCCAGCAACGAGACGATACGCCCCAGAAAAGAGCGTAAGGCTCCGAAGCGGAAAGCGCCTTCTATCAACTCAGGCACTGGTAGGTCGCCCATAGTTCCTCACCACGATCATCCGAGTAGACTGGAGCGCGCGCCTCATTCGGCAACCGTGTCTTCCTCCGGCAGTCCTGTCTCCTATTGCTTGAGCGACAGATCCTTGTTGACCATGTCGCCTCCGAGCTCTAAGATGACACGACGCCTGGCTGCTCAACCCCCTTCCTTTCTGTATTTCTATCCGAATACTAACTCCAGGCTTCGCAAAGCGTCCTCCAAGGCAGATGTATTCGAGCAGAAGGTGGCTAGTGAAGTCAATGAGGCCGATTCCTCAGACTCTGACGCCACTTTCATCTACGAGTCGAATCCCCCGGAACAACAACCGCACCGCAGCCGTCACCACCACTCGCGCACGCCTAGCATGACCTCCATCGCAAGCCTTGTTGATCCGCGACTTGCCATCCGAAACGAGCACAAGAACCCCGATAAGAAGCCCAGCATGAAATTTCCGAATCCGTACAACAACGCCAATGCAGATTACGACGGAGACCGTGGTGACGGTACAGTACGCCTCGGTTCCGGCAGGACGAATGGCAGCCGCCACCACCATCACATCGGGCGACATGGCCAAGGACGAGGGGCACTGCATCATCTCGTAATGGACAGCGATTCATCGCTCGTGGGTTCTTCGCGCGCCCGAGCTCCTTCATCACGACATCCATCGCAGCCAAATAGTCCCCGCTTCCAGACATTTAGCGTAGCCAATAGCAATGGCAATGGGAATGGGAATGGCGTGAAGAAGCATGGAGAATTGTCAAGCTACGATATCGATACCGAGCACGCAGCCGACGATGAGCGGACGCCACTGATTTCAACCCGAAGCCCACGGGCGCGCACTTCACGCCATGGACGACCAAACAGTGCTACGCTACGCCAGCTCGAACGTCGCAACCGCCGCGGAGAAGGCAATTGGTGCCGGCGTTTCGCTGGATGCCTGGTTGCGTCAATTATTATTCTCGTTGTCGTGTTCACTGCCGTCGGCGTGGTCTTCGCCTCTACTAAGCAATTGACCGATCTAAAGATTCGCGAGATCCAGAACGTTGTGGCTAGTCAAGAAGAGATCATCATGGATCTCGTGGTCGGTGCAGTCAATCCGAACATTGTAGGTATTACTGTTTCGGATATGGATGTTATCATGTTCGCCAAGAGCAAGCATGTTGGCTCGGACAAATGGTGGCGGGAGCATGGCAATGGCAGACCACAAAACGAGGACGGATGGCTCCCGGTCCAGCCATCAACGGCTGACGATCTGAAAGGCGCAAGCACCGATGGTGTTGACGAAGGTACAGATCCGATTGAAGAGCCAAGAACCATGTCGCTTGGCCGCATCTTCCACTTCGACTCGCCACTCACATTCGACGGTACATTCTTCAATCACCGCCAAGTAGAATCTGTTGGAGAAATCCGTCTATCGAACCCTGGTAACAAGACTGAGGCCGGAGGGACCGAACGATGGGAGGAAGTTTTACAGTATCCCTTCGAGCTTATTGTCCGCGGCACATTCAAGTACGAACTTCCTCTCAGCACTCATGTACACAAGGTCTCAGTCACCGCCTCGTACGATTACGATCCCGACGCTGAGAAAAAGAAATTGAAAACGATTGGATCAGAAGATACGAAGCAAAAGAGAAGGGACTCATCCTCTTTACCTGTACCATCAGCGCCAGTAGGACGTTTCGATCGCAGAATGCTTCCACTTCTGGATTGGGATGCCCAATAAGTCTGGCTACTTCCCCTCGATCCTCTTTCAGTACGACTCGACGCCCAAGATCAAAAAGAAAACAAGATACCCTTGCACACTTACACGGATTGACGACTATACCCATAGACTTGTACGGTACGCTGTCTCGCTTCGCAGGCTTGCCGGACTGCATATTTTCGGCTCGACCGCCGCTTACGATTTTTTTTTTTATATTTTGTTGTCTTTTTCGTTTTTCCTTCTAGCCTCACCTCAGAGGTCTGTAACATGGTATACATGGGCTCTTGTGCTGGTGACGGTTGCTTGTATTTGAACTTCCTAAAATGCTTTAGCGAAAGGCGTTTGATATGATAGTCAGCTATTAATGCCTGAGGATCTGGCCATCGTCCTCTATTCCAGTCTACCGAGGCACACGACCTCTTCATTTTCCATCAGAATCTTGTACCTGGCAAGTGTCCTCACGTTGGAGATGGGTTCTCGGCCTAGTCACATTCTTTCAAACTCTCTTTTCTATGTTTGCTTGCTTGTCTTGTACGTAGGATCCCATCGGTCGGGCGCGAATTAGTTGACATTGCAAGAGAGGCTGGAAAAGTCAAGGCACATGCATACTCTGAAGAGTGGATTTTAATTAAGAATAGCGTTTTTCTTTTCTATTGCAGCGAGAGAGCATGGAACGGCAGTGGCATAGCGACATCGATCGCATCAAGCGTGGGCGTTTTTACGGTTATTATGGGCGAGATGCGCACGCACGGTGTGTTGGTTGGGAAGTTGGTATAGCTCTGGAGATGACAAACATTTAAAATGGACGAGAGGTCCAGTGTCCCTGTACAGACACGCCACTCGTAGTCAGACAAAGTGTTCTCGTAAAAAGGCTATTTTGAGCGAGTGCGTTCAGACCGGATCTAGCTTCGATATCGTATTGCGTTGCATTGCAGTCTTTGCCCATGGTATATTCCCCGGAACGTGCTGTTTATGACTTCCTCCGTGTTAGCAATCATATGCCACCACTACACGCTTAACAGTCGAACGCACTGTATCTTGACTACCATTAAGGGCACACAACGAATATCACTATACCGTTTCGACTCTCATGCTTCTCTCTCGCTCTCTTCAACTCCGCCTTCGGGTGCAGTACTGTAACAGTGACACGATGGAAGACCGCACGACCAATTTCTACCACATATGGACCATTTGAGCCTCGTTTCAGTAATACTATAAAGTCTTGGCCTACTATGTGCTACGTTCTCGTTACTAATTAGATTCGAGAGTGTCTTATACTCGCTAAATACCACTACACGGCGACAACCCGAACGAAGTCAACCAAACAGAATACTGAGTAATACTCACAACTCAGAATTGATCGACTATCCCAATCGTATCCTATCATGCCGCCGATACCAGCGATCATCGACATTTTTCACATGTGGAAACAAAAGGTGCCGCGATGGAAGTTTTGCAACTGTCAGTCCCAGTAAGATTACTTTGACATCATTGGAGGCATCTGCAGATCCTACCGGCATAACACATACAGTCATTGTGAGTATCTGAGCATTGAAGGGGGAGCTGTATGTCTCTGATACCTCAGGACCAGAAGAAACTAAACAGGTAGCAGCAATTTGGCTGCTTCGGCTTTTGCCGACTGGGGTAATGGATACTGTACGTTCGATACATGCCGATGAGATCAGGTCTTGGCTGGAATTTCGCCCACATGAAATCCCTGCGCGGTAGACTTGCTCAATCATGGTTTCAAGTCTAGAAATGCTTCATGTCTATAAGGAGCATGCATCACAGTAGGGTTTCTAGAACTCGTGCAAATTTTTGGTCGATTATCAGCCATGTCATCTTGATATACTCCTGAGACTACGTTCCTCAACGCATTGTTTATGAGCAGCTCGAAGTGCTTCTATAAGAAGATTCAGTGTCAGAAGTATGAACTACGACATTCAATACCCAACGGCATTTGTTCTCATCACCCTGTAACACACCCGTGACAGTAGACAGGTAGAAGGGCACATATATGAAGGCACATGAATCTTTTTCTGCCCATGCAAGCTCTCGACCTTCATACTCAGATGTCTGAGATGGGCGATCCAATCCAACCAACTTATGCTGCTTCCTACGCGGGATCAACCCACGTCAGAACACACTGTTTTCACTTGCAAGCATACCCCCCATCTAACCCCATCCAACCTTCCTTATATTCCCCGTTAGAACGAAATAGTTACGCGAACTTTCATCGTCGATTAGGACCACAAAGTGTTCGTGTTATCCAAAGCTAACAGTTGCTTCATGTTAAATGATTCGATCGGACCATCTTTATGCATGTTCGTTATCGTCCTAAATAGAAGACACTGTGCATCTACAAGTAAACGCAGACCACGCTCTGCTTCTGCTTTGCAAACTCCGTGCGGAACCACGAACCCAGAGCCTGAAGAGCCTGCAGGGCTGCCTCCACTTGATCATAACGCAAATGCCAGAAGATCTTGTTCAAGTCGTTGCAATTCAGAAGCCGCTCGAGCTTGTAGCGGTTCAGGAGTTCATCTGTTCCCCGTGCGACGTAGTCGACCCTGCTGAAGTGGGTCAGGTCCTGAGCACGGAACGACATACGGATGGTCTTCAAGCCCTGGCAAGCACCTGCAAGGGCAAGATCGGAATTGACTGGAATGTTGGTGGGGAAGTAGCCGAAGAAGTCGAACTGGAGGTGGCGAACGTGGCGTAGGCCACCATGGGGCACCGTGGCTAGCCAGGCTCGAAGATACTGGTTGGCTGGGAACGATGCAACCATGACCTTTGAGCATCGGATGATACAGCGAACGTCTCGGGGAATGTCTGCTTGGTGAGGAAGCAGAGTGGGGGAATAAAAGTTTGGCCGCTCGATCCGAGCATCGTAGAAACGGCGCCTCTGAACAGGGTCTTTCAGATGCCGATTGATTGTAGCTCCAAAGTACCAATGGACACGCGCATCTGCCTTGTACTTGCCACCGCGCATCGCCATCTCCCAGATGGCCTCGCGGATTTCCTGAGGCAACTTCCCGTTCACGCCAATGTACTCTATGAAGCAAGAGACGTTCTGAGCTGGTCCAGCTGGCGTAGAAGACGATGGACCATACTGAATTTTGTGCGAGTGTGATCCAGTTCCCAGGGAAGGATACAACGCGACCTCACGGGAGCCTGACAGTAGTGGGAAGTTCTTGAAGGAGTAGTGAGGCTTCGGCGGTGGAGGCACGATGTTACTTGAGCTAGTGTGGTCCTTTCAGCGGATACCTTCGTGGTACCGGACAATCTCGATGAACATCCCGAATGGTGATATGGTCAAGTGTCGTCCAGTGAGTTGCTGGGGTGTGGATGTGGTCGACGGTTGATGCAGCCGGCAGACGAGGGCGGTGTCAACCTCTGTAGCTCACAGGATAGCGTTTTTATATAAGCATGGTCTCCGGGAGTTTATTCACTGTATACTATGCGCATGTTGTCATTGGTCAGTGCCCAGGAGTGAAATGCTTTCTCATACGGAAGGTCGGTCGCACACATACCCTCACTGACGGCCTGGTTAATGTAACCCGCATCCAGGTGCTTCCTGCCGTAGTCCGCACTATCCGGAAATACTTGTTATTCAATGCAGCAGACTTTAGTTAGTTGTTGATGGCCCATCGTTTCTAGCAGAGCAGAAAATTTGTATACTTTGGACATTGGGTGATATTTCACTATGGTCTTATATGTAGAAGAATTGAGCCCTTGAGATCGAACACACGACTGAAGCGTGGGATTATCTAAACTGCCACTCTTGCCTTTCACCATTTCCTACATGATGCACCCAATAACCCATACCACTGATTCAGGAGAATCGACTTTTGTGAGTAAATATGGGGGCTTGCTGCATTCATCTCGTTCCCAGCTTTGTATCCGCCTAGGAGCGTATAAACTTATACATACGCCTTGCTTGATCACAAAATGTCCTCTTGGAGACTAATGTGAATTTAAAGGATTTTAAAAAGATAGATTTTAGCACTCAATAAGGTCCTTGTGATTATTATCACGTTGGCATGGAATTGGCTCGGACCAGAGGATGTTCTACTGACGTTGGGCTTTGCATACCTCTTTAGATTCGTTAGAAATTCTAGGTGAATATAGTAGCTCAACAATTGGAGGATACACACGATCATTGTACATCATAGACAACAGAAAATTAACGGATTTGACAAGGACGGGCTTGTTGAGAACTACTCTGATGCATCACACGAAATAAAAGTCAGGAGGCCAAGCTCCTCAGCAGTCCAAGCTCACGAAAGGCATTTTGTATGTCTTACGTGTTTCTGTTCATGATTTAAAGTTGGTGGATCCTGAAGAGTATATTTGCTAGTGGAACACCGAAGAAAGTGCGCTAAAGTATGGTACCTGGAGGATTTGCGCTGGCTTTCGAAGCAAACACACAAACAAGAGCGGCCCGAAGTCAACAGAGCAGAGTTCCAGTCGCCCTTTCAAACACCGAAATCCATATAGACATTCATTCTCACCATGTCTGCAACGCTGTGACGGAAAGGACCCAACAAGAGAATACGACAGTCCCTAGGTCACTCATCTCGCTTGGTAATACAACCCGGCCATGGAATTGACCCACAACCTGTTTCAGGTGGGGCAGCTTCAGGGATCCTTTTGGTAATGCAGAAGAGCGAGGTGCAGGGCACAGATGGCTCCGATGATGTTCTATCCTACTATTAAACCGTGACACTAGAAGGAGAACGTGAACTTACGGAAAGGCCACGGCCGTGGAAATGATAGCGACGAGTGCGAAGAGTCTCATTTTCGAGGCGAGGGGCATAAGTTGCAGTTGGAGACAAAATTAGGAGTTCAAGCGCAATTTTGGATGATGTTATTGATATTTGTGCTAGTAGTTGCCCTTTATATGTCAGGAAGGTCTTGAAGCCCCTCACCGAGACCATCGGGCCGGTTCATTCTCAGTGAGATCAACGAAACAGCGGACTTCGGCAGCATGCTTCTTGGTGCTCGTGTAATATATATTGAGCGGCTGTTTCTGGCCAGTTGTGAAGCTACACGGCTGTATTGCTTGCATCAGGATGAGGATCTGCATGCAGACTTGTGCGTCGTTAGTGCAGTGTTCTTAGCCTCAAATGTTCTGCTATTTTATCGTCTATAGGAAAACTTATGGAGTCTCAAAAGCAACGCGTGAGCTGCAAAAATAGGCCACTTTTCTAAATACTGTGTGAATGTTTGTTGGTGGGTAGGCATGCGTGACTATCTATCCTAAAAAAATCTGCTTAGTGATCTATAGTAGCTCTACCGAGCATGTGTGCTCAATGCAGAGCTTTGGAATAGTCGCATGACCGAATACGCAGGATTCGCATCATTTGAATAGGGATGGGAGTGAGGCACATATCATGTGATCTGAATACGAGCGCCACCTGCAGGTCCTTGACACCTGTGCAGAAATTCGCCTCTGTGCTCCGGATCGAAACGCTCCACCGTATTCCATATTGCGGTTCTGATGCTATTCAGGAATATAATGCTGATCGCTACCCATATAGATTTCAATCAGGGTCGGTCGTCCATTCTACTATTCCGGGCCTGGCATGAGACGGCCATGGTGACTTGAATCCTCCTCTCGGGCGAGCATTGTATAGAACTTAGGTGTTCTAAGTTGCGTCAGTAGCCCAATCGGAGTCATCGTCTTTCTTCCCCAGTCATGGATGGCTGAACTCCGTGCACCTATTTCGTCATATACTGCAGGTTATAGTGGCCCACAGCATGTATCCTCTCCGCGACGAATTAGGATGATTTCCTAAAATGATCGGGATCCTTCTGAGTGCGATCCGGTATCGGCAGAGTTGAAATTTTGCGCTTTTGCATCTGCATTGCTCAAACCCTTAGACTTCGGAATACACTTCGGAGATCTGGCTAACCCGGCACGCATACCAATCCGTCCCGTATTGACGTACCCATAGGCATCTTCTCCACCTAACTCAATCATGTTCTCTCGGCCCAAAAACCAGCGAGCGGGCTACCAAGCGTTGGATCCTAGCCCAGAGACGTTCATACATCAATTATACTGCTCGAAAGAACCGGCAAATGGCTACAATCTGAGTTTAAGGGACCTTCTCCAGAAGGTTTGCTTGTCTGATAGGTCGTCCATCTCGGCATTCGAAATCCAGCGCTATGGAACCTTCACCCTAGTGGCTTCGTTGTCGTCAATATCAACTACCAATAGTATCGAAGACGGAATCACTATTGCACTAGATTTCTTTGACCAGGGCGACTCGCAGACTTCTTTCCTGTGCAATGCATGGCACGAGAAGTCGAGGGAGCGTCAAAGAGAATCAAGATCTTCGACACTGCTTGTCCTAGCGAAGTATGAGGACCGACTTGTTCATCGCCTTGGCCTCTTACCCACTCAATCCAACGCTATTTCGACAGCCCGGCGGAACTTGAACACAAAGATCCCGACAGGTGGCTCTACACGAACGAAGGCGATGTACTACGCGTGGGCTTTGGTTGTTGTAGCGACTGTTTTAGCCATTATTGTGCTGGTAGCGATCCATGTTATGGCTTCACATAGAGTAGATGACTTTCACTCGTGGCGGCAGTATGATACTAGTGGAAGCATCGGTCCCCAATATCAACTTGCAGTCAATGCGTCCAACGCTACCTCGTGGATCTCTTACGCTGGCGACCCCTCCCTCTGGACGCTCCGAATAGACGATCAAGCCATCATTCCGATCCGTCTTCTCGATAATGAAGAGCGACACTGTCAGGACTGGATACAGAAGCGATATCCAGAGATGAATCAGATCCGTCTGAACGGGTCCTACTTCAATAAAACGTGGCTCAGCAGTCCCGCGATAAACCGAGTACCTACGGACGAGCTATTCCATTTCTCTCACTGTATTCTTGCAGTCAAACGATACATAAAGGCAAAGGATACTGGGAAACATGTCTGCGGGAGAGACATCGATAAGAAGCATGTGCAGCATTGCTTGGATGCGTTAGACTGGTGGGCATTTCCCGAGGGGAGAAGTGGCGAGGACATTCCCAACTCGAATAGAACGTTCTGGTGGAGGACGAAGGTTTGTTTCGACTAGCCGTTGAGAAGCGTCTGGGCAGGTGGAGCAGCGATCAACACTGTACCTACACTTGGAACACATCCGTACATTGCAATGTGAAATTTTCTTGGGCTAGTAGACTGTGCGTTCGTTGAGGACCATGTCGAAGCTGTCGTTGTGTTTGGGCCTGGTCGGGTCCTCATGGTTCTTGTCCAACGACGAGCCTGGTGAGCTGTGTGCCTGGACTAGCGCTGCTCAAAGGAGTCACGCGTTCTGACCGCACAGTCTGACACTTGGGAGGTCGGTATGATGCTGTATAGGGTCCAGAGAAGAGAGGGCATCGTGATCGAACGAGCTGTCTGCACCAAGACCAGTCTAATAAAGGCTGTTATCAAAACACCCACCGACGCCATGCATGCCAAATCAATGACGCCGAATTACCGCTTGAGAGCAGCGAACCTTTTCGCCAGCTCATCGACATCTGGAATTTTCCCCAAACTATCCTCCTTCTTCGCTGCTGGTTTCTTTGCCTCCAACTTGGACGCACTCAGCTTTGCGGCCGCTGAGCCTGGTAGCTTCAATTTCGGCGCCAAATTGTCTGTACTTGGGCTCGGGGGCACGACTCGCAGCGGACTCTGCGGCCCAAACTTCTTGGGTGGGGTAGCCTTGACCAACTCCTCTTCCTCTTCCTCTTTCCTGCTTGCTTTTGGGTCGGCTTCGAGCGCGGGCTCTCGCTCCTTGGGGTTCTCCTCTGCGATACCGCCTGACGGCTCATCGTCGTCTTCTTCTTCATCATCCTGCGAAGGCTCTGGCTCCCCATAAGGTACGCCGTAGAACCGCGCGATCTCGGTCAGATATGCATCGACAAGCTCGGGCTTGGGTGTCTCCGCCCGTAGCTTCTTTTCCACGCGCTCTGCGACGCCTTCTCCTTCCATGCTGGGCAGCGCGACCTCCTTGCCAAACTTGTCCACCAGTAGCGCCCGGACAGCATGTAGCTCCTTGATTTCCGTGCGCGGTGCAGCGTATATGATGGACCTTACAGCCTCCTCCAGCGCAGGGTCTAGCGGTATGGTATTGGCGGGGGTTGAAGGAGAGGACGGAGGATCGAGAAGCTGCGAACGCGCGAGGAGCAGTTCGCAGTAGAGTTCGAGGATCTCATGGAGCTCGGTGGTGATGTCGGAGCGGATGATGTTCTCGACGCGTATGCGCGCCGATTGGAGCTTGCCAGCCTGCAACCGCATGGTCAGTTTGCGAGGGGAGGGCAAGCCGAGGAGGGCCAACATACCTCGAGAAGCTGCGCCATTTCGCGGCGTTGCTGTTTGGCCTTCGCTGAGTCTTTTTGCTGGACCATGCGCAGGCGGGATATGGAGAGCTTGAGCTGCACCTTGAGCTTGTTCTGCGGCAGTTAGCTTAAGGCAACGCAGCATCGGTTGAGGAACGTACGACGAGAGACTGCGTGGGTGCCATTCTGATTTCCTGCACGCTGTGCTCCGCAGTATAGCCGCAATGTGGTATATGGCTGCGTGGAGCGGAAGCCTGGCGCAAGTGGGATGTTGTCTCTGGGCGCGGCGACGACAGCGGGGTCGAACCGCCCGTGACGCATGACTCGTGGGGTCAGCCCGGGGGCCATGCAGACGAGTCACGAATTATTTGAACCATGTACAGATCTCGCGGTGAGTTGCAAACGCATCTCGTGCGTATAATTACTTCATAATGTGGTATCTCTTAGATTGTACCAGTACACATGCATGCCCTCCCAGGCATCTTTGCTCCCCCAGGCATCTTTGCGCGCCATACCTGGCCTCTTCTTCCGCCCGCTGTCGTCTCACAGCGCCTGCACGCTCTTGAAAAAAGGATTGGTCAGCAGTGCGTCCTCGCCCAGTACCAACTCCTTCATTCTTTGGACCTGCTGTGTTTTTGTCAGGCCTTTACTCTCAACCTCTTCTTTCCAAGTCAGCAGCACCTTCTTCAGCAGGCGGCCGCCCTCTTCAACCTCCTCTTTACTAGCCTGCACGTAACCATCCTCGTGCTTGCCAGAGAAATCCTCCAGCTCGTCTGCCTTCCGCTTCGCCATGTTGATGACTTTCTGTGGGAAGCGAACAAGCTCAGCGACGTGAATGCCGAAAGACTGATCACACACGCCTTCATCTACTTTGTACAGGAGCGTTACCTCACGCTTCTTCTGCACACCGCTACCCGAATCTTCTGTGCCCTCGGAGATATGGGCGACAACGTGAAGATTCTGGACCTGCGGATATGTCTTGACTAGCGCAGTGAGTTCATGGAAATGCGTAGCAAACAGAGCGAACGCGCCAATTTCCTTGACAATATACTCCGAGATAGCCCATGCAAGACCAAAACCATCGTACGTACTTGTTCCACGGCCGAGCTCGTCGATTATAATTAGCGACTCCTTCGTGGCCGACTTCAAGATGTTGGCGGTTTCTAGCATCTCCGCCATGAATGTCGAAACGCCCTTGATCTGGCTGTCACTCGCACCGACACGAGCGAGGATGCAGTCAAAGATGGTGAGCTCGGCTTCTGACGCCGGAACGAAGCAGCCAATCTGTGCCATGAGCGCGATAACACCGATTTGCCGGATGTATGTCGATTTTCCGCCCATGTTAGGACCTGTTATGATGCAGAATTCGCTCGACCCACGCACAAGACTGACATCGTTGGTGATGAAGGAAACGTCATCCTGCATCTCCAGGCAAGGGTGGCGAGCCTCTTTCAAGATCGTGTTTCCCGTACCACGCGGGTGCATCGTAGGCCGCGTGTAAGAGGTCGGAGCGTGGACAGAGACGTGTGCGAACGCGACAATAACATCCAAATGCGCCAGAACTGCTGCCAATTTTTCGACCACGGGGATGTACGAAGAGGCGACCGTTACAACCTCGTTTACCAGTCCGCTCTGAGTCCGGTTGTAGGTCTCTGATAATTGATCGAACTCTCGTCGCTTGGCTTGCAATGAGGACGTGGTGAAGTAAACGCCATTCTTCTGTGTTGAGCATTCTTGGTATTGTTTTTTGCCCCGTATACATCCAGCTTCAGTGCGCGTCAACCTGAAACACCAGCCATGTACGCGGTGGTTCTCCAGGAACAGTTTCTTCTCGGTGTCCTGATTTAGGTCGCGGCCTACGCTCGCGTGTTCGTCGTTCATCTCGCGTTTGAGCTTATCGAGACGTTTACGAATGGCGCCAAGCCCTTCATCGAATTCGGACTTGATAATGAACTCGTGATTGTCGAGAGCGTCTAAATCCACCGTCGTCTCTACCATTTCTTGCAGCTTGGCGAACGATGCATCATATTCCTGGAGCTTCTTCGTGTATTCTGCATCCAGCGGATCTCGATACTGATCGTCCATCACCGACTCGAAAGCTTGGATGAAACCCGGTAATCGTATGACAACCTGGTATGTGCGCACAACATCTTCTAAATTTGCAACCTTTCGTTGGAATTTCTTTGCAAGGCGGTAGAGGTCGGGTATCGATCGAAGGTGCTCCTCTTGCATCGTTTGACGTAGCTCAGTGTCATTAACAAACGCCTCAACAAGCTGCTGTCGTCGCTCGATGTCGGCAACGTTCATCAACGGCTGTTTGAGCCATTGTGCCAACAACCGACTACCAGTTGGCGTTTTGCAATGGTTCAGCAGTCCATACAAGCTCATCGTCTTCGCTCCGTCCCGGGGTCCTGGCATGAGATTGAGCGCTTTTAGTGCTGCCGAATCGAGTTTCATGTATTGCGACAGGTCGTGCTGGTATAGCTGGTACTGTCCGAAATTGGAGGAGTCGGCCATTACGCCTAAATATTTTATCAGGGCTGCCGCCGCGCCCATGGCAAGCTTCAAGTCAGTCAGAGGAAGGGTACCTGCCGCACGCTCATCTTTGAGTAACCGCGGGAGATCCTGATCGATATCTTTGGTACCAAAATCAGCCGCACTTCGCTCAGCTATCGCGCAGCCGCAATTGTCGGCGATTGTACGGAGCTTGCTGAGCTCTACGTCTTTCTTGGTGTTATCGACCTGAATGAGGCACTCCTTTACTCCGAGCTGGATCAAGAGCGACTCGAAATTCGAGTAGAGGTCGTTGTCCAGGAACTCCGTCACTCCCAGCTCTCGCACACTCGCATCAGCAAAACAGACACCCACATTTCGTGCTTCACCTGCTTTTGCCGATACTTTGACGGCGAGCATTATTGGCGCATTCTCCACTTGTCCACCGAGCTCTTCCTCGATGTCTTGCAGGTTGCCAGGTGAAGCCTGCTTCGCTACTTTCCATGCCATCCTTCCAGAGGACTGCCATATTTCAATTCGTTTACTCAGTCTGAAGAGCGAGTCGCGGAGGAAGTTCCGGAAGACAGTGACGGTCATGGTAACGGATTCGAGGCCCGGGTCGCGGCCCAGCTTGCGGATAACGGCCGTCGTGCGGTAGACCTGGTCCTATCAGCAGGGTGCTCGACAGCAGTCGATAGGCACTGACATGGTTGGCAACGAACTTGGCATCCTCGCCATGGGAGCTGTAGTAGTCTCCTCGGTCGAATATGCGTACGGTATCGTCCTTTGGTGGCAATGTGCGAAAGAATTTACAAAAGCTGCTCTCATCTTCTTCTTTTAGCTCGGGCCGAGACGCCATGTTGAAGAGGAGTTATGACGAAAGTAGAGTCCTCGATGAAAAATCAAAAGCGATGTACACTGGTAAGCTGGCTGGGGCGCACTTGCTATGTACGCGAGACGCGCAACGCGAGCACGTCCGTGACGCGCTTTCATCTTTAGCGCCGTTCATGCTATCGATAAGATAACACTAACATGGACATTGGAGATACAGTATCACGTCCAAACTCTAGATACTTAAGGTATCTCTATATAGGGTCTGAAATTAATCAGAAGGCGTATATTCGGTTCTCATGTTTCCAAACGAGTCGGTCCAGGCACCTCATTTCTCAGTGCCGATCTCATCATGTTGTGTCAGGTTTCTCTCACAACACGTCATGTGGCTACTTGGGGCAGCCAAATATAATGGCCAAATCTTTTACCTCAAGTATGGGATAAGTTAAGTAAGTTCGAAATGGAAGAGTCGGCAGAGAGATGCCACTTCCATTCACGAAGGTGCCCAGTGTTGATGCTACAATTATCCAGTCCTCTGGAGGAAGTTTGTGTGCGATGTAGCGGCGATGAGTACTGGAATATCTTTGAAGAAGAGCTACGACGAGTGCGTATTGCGTTTCGTGGAAATCTGGATGGCAAGAGCGACTTCGCACCTGGGCACACATCACCTTACTTGCGGCCCGGCCTAGTCCATAAGACGCCTTGCCCACCAGCATTTCCACGTTGCCATTCATTCATGCACCAAGTAAAACGGCTATCAAGTTCTACCACGGCCCGTTCGAACCCGCACCTACACCATGCCGCCACCCGCACCCACACCTATGTCGGCAAACACCACACATTTCTCACTCCACCACCCTTCTAAACTCGTCAACCTCCGCCCGAATACCTGGCTCGCTCTCGAAACGCTTATCGAGTTCATTGTTCTCTCCTATCTCACCTGGGCGTTATTCTACCTCATCTATCTTTGGATATGCGGTGCGGTTTGGTCAGTGAAAGGGCTGAGAGAACTCACGGGGAGGCGAAAAAGAGGTAAGGAGGGGAAGGAGCAACGGCGAATAGAGGAGATAACAGAGGAGGTAACAGAAACAAACGAAGGGCACTATGCGCCTACAGTTCAACAAACAGAGGATAACGGCGTCGAGGATAACAACATTCGGGAAACACCGAACGACGCCGGCACGCATGAACACACCACAGGGCGTCGACGACGCATGACGCTGTGAGCAACAAGACAAAATTTGGAAAGCAGTTCATTTCTCAACAGTGGTGGCTACTATGCGCACGATCCATCTTCCATCCAAGGCATTGCAGACATTCTACTGCTTGATGTATTCATCAAACCAAGCCACGGCCTGGAGGAATGCTTGTTCCTTCGCGAACTTCGCTGGCTTCTTTGACAGATCCGCACGTACCGCGAAGCCGTGCTCGACATCAGAGAAGAGGTTCATCTGGTAGGGTACATTCATCTTCTGGAGAATGTCTTCAGACTCACGACGCTTCTCAGCAGGGAAGATTTGGTCAGTCTCTATTATTGTCGTTAGCTGTGCTCTTGAATCTACTCCACCTATCGCCACAGTCCTTGCGAGATCTTTTGGAGGGTTGAAACAGTGACAAGTGACAACTTACCGGCGGCGGCGATGCTCAAGGGGCCCTTGATTCCTTCCAGTTCCTCCGTGCTCACGAAACTGGGGTGTGCTGTATAACCAACGTCAAGCTTCCCCTCCTTCAACCATCGGCACACGTACTTTCCGCCAAAGCCTAGGCGCACGGACACAAAATTAGCACAACTCGGGAAAGGTGGGGACAGGTACGTTGTGTCAGTGTCCATGATATCACATCGCACCTGGGCGTTACGTACAGTAGCCAACACCACCCAGCCTCTTGACGCCCAACTCGCCGCGCAGATGCCTAATGGTGGCTTCGACGATGGGGTCAACTTTAGGCGGGTGCGGCATCTCGGTTTGAACCCACTTCATGAGATCAAAATCAGCCGGGGGGTTGACAGGAACAACATTTCCGTTGAAGAGATCAGGGACCACGGTGAAATAGCCATTGGCGGCGAATTGGTCGGCAACACTAATTGCATATGTCAGATGAAGCCCAGGAATGCTGATGAATTAGGAAGTAGGTACAGCTGAACATTGATGAAATCTATTCCCAGGATGTCGGTGAAGATCACAATAGCGTTTTGAGTGCTCTTGTTTTCAGGGTAGGAAAAGTACGTTCGTACTGCACATATCAGCTTCGTAACCCTTCTTGTGTAATGATTTGAGCTTCCTACCGTCGCCGATCTTCTTGATTTCGCCCTGGGCCTCGCCCTCGTGCTTCACGCCGATAGCACAGCAGCGTCCGGGAGGATTGGAAGCCATGGGTTGTTAACAAGATTGATTGAAGATACTGTATAGAAAGTACGAGCGCAGCGTGTAGTAGGGAGAGTTAGAAAGGTATGTGGCTTTGCAATTGAAGTTCAACTTCGATGAAACGTCACCAGGCTTTATAGATTCGCCGGTCTCTCGCCGTATCTACCGGACAAAGCATCCAGATGCCCCTCGGTGGGGCAGCGGAAACACATCAGTGCCGAGGCTCCAGCGGATGACGCACGAAGCTAGGGTATCTTGGAGAGCGCTAGCCGCTCCTACCGCATCGGGCCGGATGGGTCCTCGTAATAGGTGGTGCTAGGGAAAGGTGCTACGAGGGAACGCTTGTGAGGGTCTTGAAAGTATTACAGGGCGGATTGGCCTAGTATCTGCTGGACTCGATCATATGAAGATACAGTGATTGCGAATATTACTCAATATCGAGTGATAGATCATTGTAAGAGACAGTAATAGGATTCGACATTGCGACAGTCCAGATATCGTGATGACCACACAGACCAAGGAGCTCGAGCGCCGATACAAAGCTGATGGCTAGGCTCGCAAGTGTCGCAACCTCGACGTATTACGCTGGCTGCCTGGTCAATTGATATTCTTCTCTACCTATCCTCGATCAGAAGTCCTTCGCTCGCGTCGACGATTCGTGGAGCCGGTTTGATCGCGCGGTCTCCGCTCCTCTTCGCGACTAAGACTTTGTCTCCTCTCAGTACGTCGGTGCGACGATGAATGCTCATAACTCCGCTCGCGACTTCGGCTGCGACCCATAGGTTGGTGCTTATGCAACGAGGACCGTTCTTTATTGCGAGCACCGCGATCTTTGCGATCATCGTCCTTATGCGCACGCTTCTTTTTTTTATCATGATTCTCTCGACATGATGACCTTTCCTGTGCCGCTCTCAGTTCCATCAGCTCCCGATCTCGCTCCGCCGCCCACTTCTTCTTGCCCTCCTTTGACATTTTGAGCTGCACTTGGGCCCTTTGCATGAAGGTGAACGGATCGTTCGAAGTGATTCGCGATTCCTCTCTCTTCTTCCGTAGAGGATCCTCGTTGCCCCACACATTCTTGTTTTCAAGATCCGGGAACGTAAGTGCCTTGCTAATGGGCTCGTCTTGCTCAGCAGTCCTGCAGCTCCTCGAAGCATACCATGGCTGCTGTCCCAACCCTCCTCGGCCAGCTGCGTTGGAAAAACGCATTGTGTGCTGATCCTCCAACGCCTTCTCCTTCTTTCGCTTCTCTTTTTCGACTTCCTCGTTCCTTTCGCGCTTCATCTGCTCCTTTATGTCGACAGGAAATAAATTGATGTTGCCGGCATGATCGATCAGTGGAGCGTCGCTAGTAGGCTTTCTCAGCCTCACTAGACGGGCATCGATGTCTCCAAGTTCGTCGCCGCCATCACCTTCTGCAGAGGCTGCAAGACGGATGTCTCTGTCGGTGTCGTCTTCGCCGGCGAGCCTCCGTCTCTTCTTATCGTGTCCATCTCTGCGCACGGGTCTGCTTGTCTCGTCCTTGTGCGGTGGATTCTCTTCCGGCAGCGGCGGCGGTGTTTCGCCTCGAAGGATGGCAGCTCGTCGCGCGGCATCGATTTCTTGGATGCGCTGTTCTTCGGCAGCTTTGCGGGCAGCGGCTGCAGCCTCATCGGCCTTCACGCGCGCAATGTTGTCGGCATTGTAAACGTTCCATGACTGGGACCTTCAGCGGATTGCTATGCTCTATGCGACGGCACGCGGACGTACCTTCTTACCGAGCAGATGGCTGGCTATTTGTCAGTGATGCAGCCCAATCACAGCGGGCACCGGCTTACAGAGGCATCGTGACGCAAGCGCGTTATAGAAGCAGAAGCAGCGCAGACCGTCAATGGCGACTAATATCTCATGGCGAATATCGAGAGCAAGTTGTGGCTGCTGGCAATCTTCCCCGCGCCTGTGCGGAGTACTGTCACTGAGGATCTAGCTATATACAGACTAGTACATTGCCCGCAAGCATCAAGCTCCGAACCACAATGCTGCCACACCTTCGGTAAAGCGTGCATCGTCGCGTACACCTTGATTGATAGTCGTGGCAGCTCTGCATTCTTTTGTTCAATCCTTATTAGGCTTTTGTGTAGTGACCTTCTGCTTCGAACGCACATCGCATTACCTCAGCTCGTCACAGGTGGAGACGCGCCGACAGGAAGACATTCGGAACTTTGACTTCAATTGTCATACCTCACCACGTGTGCTTCTGGCTTGTAGCGACCATGTACGACTTCCGCGCAAAGATTTGCTGAAACAGCGCGTCACACCGAAAACCTAAGACTGAGGAAGCCATCGACTCAGACCGGCCATCCGCGCAGAAGCAATACACGCCTGCCTGCAAGCTGAATCGACGCACCGCGAGCCTATCGACGCACCGCTACCGTGTGAAATTCCTTCTCCTACCTCGTGCTAGTCATAATCGTAGGAGCTATCGCCTCTGCAATGCCTACCTGGCTCGTCCACGGCTTCCGTTGGCCTCGCGTCGCCATTCGCATCCACATTATCCTCGAAAACCTGGAGGACTGCGCTGCCGAATGGCTCATGGCCCCTGCAACCGCCGCGCAGCTCACACAGAACTTTCGCAAGCAATTTCCCGAACAACTTGCGCATCTGCCCTCTTTGCGCTTCATCGAGCAATACGATCCCGACGATGAAATCACCAAAGATCAGCCGTACGCATACGTGTGCGACCAAGTGACAGAGATTAAGCTGGGCGTCGACATTGACGAGGTGCGAGGTGCGGGCGTGCAAAGCGACACATGGAGCGCCCTGGTGGAGCTGCGTGACAAAGTTGCGCCCGGAGAAAAGGTAGGCTGGTTTGTGGTGGTTAATGGCGACGTGGAGAGGTGGGCACCGCCGCTTAGCGACGAAGAGGATGACGAGGATACCGAGACAGAATTGAGTGTGAACGAAAACGGAGTACAGGATAGCCAGGTCAGTCCTGTCAGTCAACCGAGCAGTGTAGCCAAATCCGACGAAGATGACATGGGCAAGAAGAGAGGACTGAAAAAATGGTTTGGGAAAATACGAAGAGCTAGGAGGTGAGGTCTTTATCGCAGCGCAAACATGACCAATCTGACCTGCTGCAGCATAAAGGATCTAAAAATCGCAGATCTACCCATTCAAACTGCCCCCCCGTCTCCATCAGTGCCACCAGTTCCTCCCATACCCCAGGCCGTAGCGGAGTCAAAGACAGCCACAAACGGGAAGGCCCCGGTTTTTGCAGGGACAGCATAATCTTCTGTCCTGGATGCACATGTACCTGACGTTCTGGCATACCACTCTTTCTCACCTTAGTCGGCGTATGGGCTTTGGACATCTCGATGTATGATAGACATGATGCGGATGAGCATGTACGGACTTATACCAATATTAACATGCGGAGTTTTTTGTCTGAAACGCGTCACCGAGGACTCTTCGAGATCCTCAGGCAAATCCCAATATGCTGTTATATCTCCAACGATACATCAATTAGTGCCCAAGTGCAGAAGGTTGCGCTAGTGTCCCGTTTTGGACTAGCACTTACACCTATGCTGACACGTGACTATGTCGATCGCAACTGCCGCCCAGTGACTTTCTGCGCCGACTTGCTTCTACTCCCAACAACACCAGTGTCCCCCATGACTTCGACGCCGTAAACCCGAACGCAGAAACTACACGCATCGAGCCCGCCAAACACGACGATTGCCCACTATGAGCGGCCGACGGGATTTCCTGTCGATGCCCGCGCCCGAGAACTATGTTGCAGGTCTCGGGCGTGGCGCAACGGGCTTCACAACGCGCAGTGATCTAGGTCCCGCGCGTGAGGGACCTTCTGAGGAACAAATGAAGGAAATGCTTGCGAAACGCGCTGCGTCGTTAGGCCAGGCAGCCCCATCAGCCTACGGCGTGGTCGAGAAGAAGCCCGAGGAAGACGAAGACGAGGAGCGCTTTCAGGATCCCGATAACGAAGTCGGCTTGTTTTCTAGTGGCATGAACTACGATAAGGATGACGATGAAGCAGACCGCATATACCAAGATGTAGACGAGAAGATGGACAAGCGGCGGCGTGTACGAAGGTTAGTACCCCCATTTTCATGTTACCCCTGCCCTCTCCCCATGCCCTTCAAGTATGACTCGTTCAAATGTTCATCGTTTTTCTTGGGACGAACAGATACCGACCGTTTTCCGACGTCTAGGGAAGCCCGCGAAAAGAAAGAACGCGAAGAGTACGAGAGGAACAACCCGAAAATCCAATTACAATTTGCCGACCTTAAACGAGCGCTCGGCAACGTGTCAGAGGAGGAGTGGGCGGCGTTGCCTGAGGTCGGAGACATGACTGGCAAAGCGAAGCGTGCGCGAGAAGCGCGCATGGCGAATGCACGATCGTACGCAGTGCCCGACAGCGTTATCCAGGCTGCGCATTCCGGAGGCGAGTTGCAGACATCTATATCGACAGATGATGGTGGAGGTACAATCACCAACTTTGCGTCCATTGGTGCTGCACAAAAGTCGGCCCTGCAAGTACGACTCGACTCGGCAGCAAATTCAGGTTCAAACGGAGCAGGTACACAAACGGCGACTACTTCTGGAACAGCGACATCGGTCGACCCGCGTGGTTACATCACAGCGTTGGATAAGAAGCAAGCCATGGGAGAGGATGTGCCGGTGGAAGACATCAATCGCGCTCGTGTTCTCTTAGAGTCTGCCGTCAAGACGAACGTGCATAACGGACCTGGTTATGTCGCTCTCGCTCGTCTAGAAGAAGTCGCCGGCAAGATCCACACGGCGAAGAAGATCATACAGAAGGGATGTGACATGTGCCCGAAGTCTATTGTTGTTTGGGAAGAAGCCATTCGCCTGAACAAGGAGAACATACATAATGCAAAGATTATAGCTGCCTCGGGAATCAAGCAGAACCCCAGAGCCATCAAGCTCTGGATAGCTGCAATCGACCTGGAACAAACACCGGCTGCACGGAAAAAGGTCACTCGGCAAGCTTTGGATCACAACCCGCAATCCGTGGAGTTGTGGAAGATCCTCATCAACGATACTGAAGACATCGAGAGCGTCAAGCTTCTCTTCGCCAAGGCCACGGATACTGTCAAACTGTCAGAAGAGCTATGGGTTTCTTACGCTCGTGTTAGCGGACCAGAAGAGGCTCAACAGATTTTGAACGCAGCTCGTAAAGCTATCCCGACGAGTTGGGCTATCTGGGTACATGCTTGTCGTCTACAAGAAGAGCTTGGGAAGGTTAATCTGTGCGACAAAATCATGGAACGTGCAGTCAAAGCACTTATCAAGGAAAACGCTATGCCGAGTAGGGAAGACTGGATAACACAGGCCGAGATCTGCGAAGAAGAGGGCGATATTGTCACGGCTGGTGCTATCATCAAAGCTACCATTGGGTGGAAGCTGGATGAAGATGATGACAGAAGGGACGTCTGGCTAGAGGATGCAAAGAACTCACAAGCTCGAGGTCGATACGAGGTTGCAAGGGCAATTCTTGCCAACGCTGTGTCCAAATTTCCAACCAGCACTACCGTATGGCATGCATCTGCCGATTTGGAAAAACATCATGGCTCTACAGAAGCTCTGCTACAGATTCTTGAGCGTGCGGTAAACGCATGTCCGACCTCGGAGTCTTTGTGGTTGTTGTACGCACGAGAGATGTATGCGTCGGGCGATGGCGAGGGTGCCAGGAAAGTGCTCGGACGGAGTTTCGAACAACTTCCAGGAAACGAAAACCTTTATACCCGTGCGGTTGATTTTGAAGTCGACGACGAAAATTACGAACAGGCTCGCATCTTCCTGCAAATTGCGCGACAAACGGCTGCCACGGACCGCATCTTTATGAAAGCTGCAGTCCTAGAGCGCCAGCTTGGTGCTTACGAAGACGCGCTGGATATTTGCAACCAAGGCCTACAAACATGGCCCGGGTCCTGGAAGCTTCACGCAATCAAAGGCCAGATTTACGAGTCACTCTCCAAGCTTAAGGAAGCTCAAGAAGCGTACTCAATTGGCACCCGGGCTGCCCCAAAGTCACCAATCCTTTACGTTCTCCTCTCTCGCATACAAGAAAAGCAAGGCGCCGTGGTAAAAGCACGTTCCACACTGGATCGCGGTCGCCAACAGAATCCCAAGAACGACACTCTCCTTGTCGAGGCTGTCCGCCTCGAGCGCCGGCAGAATAATGTACCCGCAGCCCAGAAAATCATGGCCGCCGCCCTGCAGGAGTGCCCAACATCCGGCCTCCTGTGGGCTGAGAAGATCATGCACCTGGAGTCCCGCACGCAGCGCAAGCCGCGCGCCCTCGAGGCCATCAAAAAGGTGGAGAAGGACCCCCAACTCTTCATCGTCGTGGCCCGCATTTTTTGGGCCGAGCGCCGCCTAGACAAGGCCGCGACGTGGTTCACGAAAGCGTTGGTGCTGGACCCGGACTTTGGTGATGGTTGGGTGTGGTACTGGAAGTTCCTAGAGCAGCACGGGACCGAGGAGAAGAAGGCAGAGGTGATTGAGCGCTGCATCGCGAGCGAGCCTCGGCATGGTGAGATATGGCAGAGTGTGAGGAAGGACCCGAGGAACTTTCGGAAAGGGGTGGGTGAGGTGCTCAAAATTGCTGCGGCGAAGGCAGAGTAGGTCTCATGAGGTTGACATCAGGCTCAAAGGACAAGTGCCTGCTTTTGTGGTTTCGGTTGAAGGATCCGCCATGTACATCACAGTAGGCGTTTGCAGAAGGTACGTCTGGCAGCAATTCAATGAGGGGTTGAGATAGCAGTCCGATACAGAGCCAACAAGGCAAGACTCGCAGCTGGGTTGTCTGCAGCGTGCCAGGTTCGACACCTGGGACCACTCGACATTGTGTTCCCTATTCATTCTCATTGTGGATGCTCTTGGTACCCGATATACATGCACGAACAGCAAAGAGCCTTCTCGTCACGCGTCTCATATCTAGCTAGCTCATCTACACAGACAGCTAAGCTGATCCCACGATTCCTCACCTTGACTACGCTACCCATCCTCCCGTCGTGGCTGAAAGTAGTTGATGCGCAGGAACCTGTATCCGCACTTTTCGTATTGTCACCAGAACCGTCAAGTTCGCGGCCGGAGCCGCAAAACTTAGTTGCGAGAATCTTTTTGTATTCATATCCTATCGTATCGTAGTACCTCGTTCAATTGCCGCAAGGGAACGGTGGCATAGTGTGAGCACCATATGCAGGCCGCATCATCGAAAGCATCGTATGGGTTGTTACACAAACAATCGGGGATGGCCGGGCCAAAGGTGGGAAAAGAGAGGAACGCCCGATATGCAAGGGTTCGCCGAAGTCGCTGGACTTTTTTTTTTTTGGTTTGAAAGGCAAAGAAGACATGAAGGGGAGCCGAGATTGCGGGTACGAATTGCCGTCGAGCGCGAATGGTTTGGGACAGTTAACGTGGCCGTCTTATGTTTCGCCGAGTTTTCCAACACCATGCCGACAAGTCGAGTGAATTGCGTGAGACGCTGGGGTGTCGCAACAATAGATTGTGGCTCACAAACGGTCATGGAGAGTTCGAACTCGAGGGCAATTGTTGGTGATGGGCTGGGGCGCAACAACTGCCAGCTTGGAATTGCGGATGTTCCAGAGGCGGGCATTCTGGCTAGGGGTAAATCATGCCGTAATTACGAGAACTTTGCAGCTCTGTGTCCGCCTATAGGGTTCAGGTTCGGGCTTGCCTTGCCACCGCTACCCCAGGACAGTCCGCTCAGTCGTTTGTTGCTCGTGCTGGAAGTCGTCGAAGCTCCATCTCTGCCTTTGGCGTCAAGCCCTTCTTCCTCTTCCATGCTGAACAGGCCCTGCTCTTCCTCTATCCTCTCGCGATTGATACTGCTGCTGCTAACGGTCCTGTCCATGCCAAGTCTTCCACTTGGGCTTCCGATGCTGGGGGCGGAGGTGAGCCGGTTCATGCCTGGGTGTATAGGGACGCTGGGTGGGCCACCTTCTTCCGAAGCACGCGACGAGAGACGTGTACGCTGTAATTGCTGGCTAATCATGCTCATGGAGGCTTGCCGTGGGGGTGAAGATACGAATGAGTTCACGTCATTGTGCGGTCGAGCCATGGCCCGGAGTGAAGGACTGGCGCCAGGGTGCAAGGTGGAATTCCGGAGTGGCGAGCCGACATGTCCAAATTGCGAGCCCAGTGAACCAGATTCGAAACCAGACTCTTGAGTGGGTCGCTTACCCCATATCGACTGGAACCGAGAGGGTGAAGATCCCGCTTTTGCGTCTGATGCGGTAGGAGAGGCGCCTAGTCTAGAAAAAGAGGTTCGGTGAGAGAGGGAGTTGCCCTCATTGTCGCCGTGGTCGCGTGAGAAACGGCGCATCTTCTCCTGCGGAGTGAGCAGGTCGTTTAGCGAGCTTGGAATCAGATCCTCTTCGAATTTTCCGAGGTTCTCCAGATCGTCCCATTCATCGTTCATGGCAAGCGGGGGTCTCGCACCGACACTCGAGGACATGATGCCCCTCGAGCGATGCGCACCCATTTCGGAATGCATGATGCGACGTCCCGTGGGCTGTTCGATGGACTCGGGCGGGGAGGAACCTAGTGCTGCAGCCATGCTTCGGGAGTTTTCGCCAAACGCCGAATCGTGCAGGTTCCGCAGTGCTGGGGACTCGCCGAGGAAGGAAGATGGAGGAGAGCCGGTGAGGAACTTTGCGGGAACCGAGGAAGCAACGGGTCCGTAGCGTGCCATGTGAGAGACGCCCTGGCTGTCAAACGAAGCTGGCAGCTGCACGTCCATGACGCTGAGGCCCTTCTGCACGGGTGAGATGGGCATGCGGCCGCTGTCGTTCGGGGGTGATCCATAGTTGGATCCAGGGTGGGAGGAGAAGGTGGTGTCGATGGTGGGTATCATGTCGTACTGGTCCTTCTGGTTGGCGAGGTATTCGTCCTGGGAGGGGTACTGGAACTGGGCACCTGCAGGCGCGAGGTGGGCCATGGACAATAGGGAGCTGTTGGGGGCGGGGTCGGGATGGTGCGGGATGTTCATACGGCCAAAGGGCCCTCCGCCGCCGTGGCCATGGGCGTGGGCGTGGCCGCTGATGTTGTTGCGATTGACGACATGGCCGTTGGGGAGGATGTGGGCGAGCATGCACTTGTGGCCAAACTTGCAGTTGCCCTGGGCATGTCAGCGTCGGCCATGGCTGCGGAGGCCAAGCGGGCTACCTTTGTGAAGTACTTGCAGGGCGCGCGCTCCGTCAGCGGCTCGTCCGAGTGCAGGAAGGGACAGGCTTTGCCGGCCTGGCAAGCTCCCTGGCGGTAGAATTTGCACGGCACATGCGAGGTACCTGGGGGCGGGGTCAGCGAGGCGGCTCGACACGGCGGCGGCGCGCATGGAGCATACTCTTGCTGCTGGGGGGACTGCGCGGGCCGCCGAAGCCCATGTCGCGCAGGTTTGCTCCGTGGGCGGCGTGTCCGTTGCTGCCCATGCGACCATGCGGCCCGCCAGGCACGGGCACGGGCGCGTTGCCATCCGCGGCTGGCATGGCGGCGTTGGAGGCGGCGTGTCTGGCGTCGGCGGAGGCGCGGTGGGAGATGGGTCGAGGGTTCGGGGGCAGGCTCGCGGGCGGCGGGTTGAGCTGGTGGGCGAAGGCGTCTGGCTGGAGTGGTGGGGGTGAGTGGTGGGGTGCGTCTGCGAGCCGCGGTTCCTGCGACTGCGACTGCCGGGGCGCAAACGCAGTCATGGTAGCGCGGGGAGCGGGCGAGCGAGGCGGCGCGGCGGGCGGCGGGCAGCGGGCGGGTGCGAGGGCAGAGCGAGCTGGTGCGGGCGACCTCGACAGCCTCGCGCGCGACAACGGGAGGCGTGAGGGCGCAGAAGGCCGGGCGTGGGGATGGCGAAGAGCGCACGGCAGCCTAGGCCCGAACCGGCCTAGCCGGGCCCGCGGGCTCGACGAGCGCGTGCGAGCGTCGTTGCGCCGCCGCACGGCACCGGGCACGAGCGAGCAGGCAGCTGGCGCTGTCGGGGCGCAGGGCAGCGTGGGCAGTCGAGCGGGCGCATGCAGAGAGCACCGTGTGCGCTTCCCGTGCAGGCGGCCTGCCAGCTTAAGAGGGCCGCGGGCCGTCACGCGAGCCGCCGAGGCAGGCAGAGACGCGCGCGCGGCCAAGCGCGACACCGCAGAGCACGCCGACGCCCATCCACGCACCACGGGCACGCTCCCACGCCGCCAGAGCTGCGGCAACGAAGCCTGCGCTCGCCGTCCGGGCCGCGCCTTCGCGGCCTGTCTCAGGCCCAGCACCCGTGCGAGCGCCTGCAGACGCCCTCCAGCCAACCACGCCCCGGCCTTCGCCGCAGTCGGTCGTCTGCGCCTTGCGAGCCCTCGTCATCTGCACCAATCTCGTCACATTGTCTGGCCATCTGCTATCTACACAACGATCCGCCACCTGGCCCATGTGCGCCGCAGTGCTGCTACCCATTGTCCTCCGACATGCTCCCCGACAAACGTACATGCATGCGAAGCGATCCCCTTCGTGCCTCATGTGCCTGGCCCAAACCCTGCCCGCGTCGCATCAGCCCCAAACAGTACCTCCGTTCTGCAGCTTGTGCTAACTGTGCCCGATGCGAAGGATGCCCGCAGAGCACGAGTTGTTGTACCAGTCCATCGTCAGGTCGTCCATCATGAACATCTGTGCTATCCCCAGGTTGTACGTGAACGCATTGAACTGGATCCCAGACAGCCCTTGGAATTGCTCCTTGAACACAACTCGCGAGAGCTGGCAGTCGATGTAGCCCCAGCACGGCGGGATCGTCACATTCTGTTCTGCCACCAGCACCTCGCCCTGCAGTCCCTCGTCGAACCGGTACCCTGAGATCCGGAGCGTGCAAGGCGTGATGCCGTTCAGCGCACACCCAAAGTATCCAGACCGAGCGTTGAACCAGTACGCGTCCACCGAAGCTCGAGGACCTGCACCCAATTCGCCTGGGAGCATCGTTCCTGCAAACGGAGAGTTGGGTAGCAAGCTGCTACCAAGCGGCAGAAACACGGCCACGTTGGGCTGCGAACGTGCTGCGTATGGCTCCCACTTGTCGGGAAGGTAAGCGAATCCATTGGCGTAGAAGAGATGGTGGTATGGGTTTCTCATGCCGCTGACTAGGAGCCTGTCGCCGTCTTCACCAGATACAGTCGAATCATCAAAACTAAGCGTAAAGCTGCCTGCCTCTCCACATGACGTCGGCCCGGCTTCATCTTCCTCGGTCGCCCTGGCTGCTATCTTGCCTTGTGTCTGCGTGGCCGTGGCCGTGGCCGTAGCCACATCGTCAATAATGATGCTGCTTGTGACAATCACCGTCTGCAGTGTCGTCAACCTGCGGCTGCTGGATCTCGGCTGCTCAAACGACGCCACTTCTGAGATCTAACCACCACGTTAGCAAATGCTGTGACCCATGATCTTCTGTCACTTACGGTGACACTAGCAGACAAGCTCGCTAAAGGGGGCAATCCAGAGACCATAGTCTGCTGACCCTCGGGGTTGAGCAATGTCAAAGATGGCAACTGTGAAGGAGGGGTCTGCCTCAATGTGCGAGTCGTCAGTGGCAGCTCAGTCCAGTCGGATCCTGTCATCGATGGGTACGTTCCAGTCCAATACGAGTGACTCGTCACGATATCAGGCTTTGGAAAAACGAGGCTGAACTCTGCGTCCGCATACGCCAATACTTTGGTCACCATGACCGAGGCCGTCGGTTCAACCGCCTCCGTCTTGTTCACGCCTGGCGTAGGAAACGGACGCCTTGTCCAAGTGTCCGAGGTAGGATTGAGGGTCACAAAAGTGCTTTCGAAGCTCGACCATGCCAGGGCGCTGGTCAGAGATCCTTGTGCAGAAGGCGTCCTTGACGTTTCCCAAGATGATGTAGACCCAGAGTTACTGCTGAGAACCAGGCTCTGCTCCGCTGCTTCAGCAGAAGCGATGTAAGGTATTCTAGGGTCACTCACCGAAACGCTGGTGGACAGGCTTTGTACAGATGAGAAAGATGCAGACGTCCTACTGGCCGTTGTAGACGTGCGTAGTGATGCGCTTAGAACGGGGGTCGAGGCATATGAGCTCTGTGGCGAGGTTAAGGGGCATCCTAAAACTACAAGGGCTGACCTACAACACCAGAAGGAATCGAAGATGAAGGGCTTGCGGCTTGCGACGACAAAGACAGCGAGGAAGAGCGACTCGGATTCGTTGCGCCACCGGAACTTGAAGAAAAAACAACAGAGGAGCTGCTGATACCGAATGAGGACGTCCTAGAGGAACTTTGGCTCGACATAAGCGAGCTGGTTGTGCTAGAAGTTGAATTGGCCGACGATGTCGTGTTGACGAATCCCAGTGGTGGTGGCGGAATCATAGCCGACTTGGTAGCACTTATCGTTGTGGCAGATGTTGAGCCCAAGGGCATTGTAGACGTCCTAATTAAAGTGACAGTCGTGGATATCGAGCTTGGCCTTGAATCTGTGCTTGAGGACCTTGTCGCAGACGATATGCCACCGTTAGAGACTGTTAGAGTCACAGTGGAGCCCGAAATAATACTCTGCAGGACCGTAGACGGCGTCAAGTGTGTCACAGGTGAAGAAGGGGATGGGCTGCCGCTAGATGTTAGCGAGGTTACTGGTGATGCAACTTGGGATGTGGTGCCTCCGGAAGGCACAGTAGGGCGAGTCGGTGCCAGAATCGAACTTGGCATGGGCAAGGTATCGAAAGAGGACGCTGGTGCCGGACTTGGAACGGAAGGGCTCCTAAAGCTGCTGGAGGGAACCTCCACACCAGAGGTAGCGGATGGCCTAGGCAAAGACACAGTGAACTGAGCAGACTCCGCAGAAGAACCAGCAGGGGCAGAGGTCGATACTCCAAGGGACCTAGATACAGTTGAGGATGTACTCAGTGGACTACCGGAGGACACAGGCACGTTGCTAGAAGAACCAGATGACGGTACATTCGAAGGACCGACTGAAGTAACCGCTGGAAGAGTAGTTAACGTGCTCCAGGACGATACAGGTGGAAAGATCGACGCCGAAACAGAAGCCGTATTCGTAGCACCAGGCTGCACATTCGGAGGCACCAAGGAAGATGCACCGGGTGGCACCGCTGATGAAATGTCAACCGGATTACCTGGAAGATCTGAGCTTTGCAGCGTGCTCGCGATGGGACTTGTAGAAGGAATTCCCGATGGTCGACCTTGGCTCTGCGTATTTTGCGAAGCTCCTCTAGACGTAGATGGCCTACCATATTTGTGATAAGCACCTCAGGGTACATCAAGAACAAGGTCACTCACACATTGGGTCCATTTGACAAAGTAGTGACGACCGTAGAAGTCTCAGCAGAGCTCTTCAACGTGCTTGTTACGACGACAGGGGGTGGACCTAGCGGTGGAGCTTGCGCTCCTTGGCTACTCGCAGGTGGTAGGAACGAAGTTATAGCCCCGGGCGGCACTGTGGTACTTGTAACAAGAGGCGATGAGCGGGGCGGAATTTCAATGGGTACAGCGACGGAGCTGAGTGCTGAGGAGGGCAGCGGTACGTAAATAGGCAATGCTGTGAACGCGTGTTAGTGCTGTTGGTGATTCGAAATGACAGTCAAAGTCGCTCACATGTGATCGGGGAAGTCGTTGCGCTCGACGCGCCTGGACGAGCAGGTGGCAGTGGCACCGCTGATGGTAAGGCTGCACTACTATTAGCACTTTGGAAAGGTATGTTCAGCAGAGCGGACGGACGCGTCGCGGTGGAACCGCCAGGTTGTGGCGGCAGTCCTGGCGTAGGTACCTGTGATGGCGGAGGACTCGTCGTGATTCCTGGCGATATTGGGTTTTGCCCAGAAGCCGGAAGGGTAGGACTGCGGGAGCGGGTTGGCGGTTGAATGCTGTCAAGCCAACGCGTTGTCCCGTTGATGACCGAGTAATAGTATGTGCCGTGATTTGGGTCCGTGGGTGTCTGCCCGACTAGCGATACCGTCACGATCGGACCAGGTATCGTAACGTAGACAATGCTGCAGTCGATGTCTTGGGCAGCAGCTCCTTTCACGATGTGTAATACACCTTCTATCGCGGCCCAACACCCGCAAAGAAATCCCACGAGTAGGACAAGAGTATACACTTGATCGACCCAATGTTCACTCATGAGCAAGCGCAGGAAGACAGTGGTGAAATCGCGTATCCATCTGAATGCTCGGCACAGCCACCACCTGCTGGGTTGTGGCAACCAATTGTGGCGTTGTCGGTGTTGGTGTTGATAGTCTGCCGGGGGATGTTTGGAGAATAGCTCCTCTTGGCTCTCAAGGACTGAGAGCCACGAGGACATACCAGACGACGCAGGCTGTTCCGACGCTCCTGGACAGATACTCATGGTTGACGTTGTTGCCGTGACGATGATGGTGGAGGGCGTTGTTAGAGACGCAAGATATGGGTCCACGACGATTCGTGCACTCTTCGGCAGTGATTTTGTTCTTCTTGTTTCTGTTTCTTCTGCGAGCAGTGTTTTTGCTTCTTCCCATATCAGAAGGGAGGGCAAGAAAATGTTGCAGCTAGAATGCAGCCTCGAAAATGCTTTGGGAAGTGTGTTGTGCAAAACTGGGAGGCGGGTGCAGGACCAAGATGTGAGGTTGACAGAGCAAAAGTTTGCGAAGGTGCGCGCATTGTTTGTTTGGCCGCTGCGAGCAGCTTCTTGCCGTTGCGCTGCATTGCGCTGGTGGTGCTGGTCAGAGGGAAGGCGAGGTTGCGGCAGTGGAAGCAAGCGCAGTGTGTGACGTTGGAGTGAGGGATGCCCGTAAACGTGTCCTACCCTTCGCTGGCCCACGCAATTGGCAGAACAATATACGCAGTACTAGCTGCCAATCACATTTTTTCACTGGGCTGTCTCAAGGCCATCCCAGGACGACACAAGGCAGTCTGCGCTGGGGAAGGGTGTCCAGCTTATCTCCTGAGGTCGAGACCGGGACTGCCCTTTGAGCCGGCAGTCCAACTGCACCTTCCGCAATGGTTACGGAGAGATCCATCCTTGACGAAGCTACGATCGCGATTGAAAATGCGATTGTATATGTAGACGGAGATGGGAATCGAAATCAAGCGAAGAGGTACAGGGTATGTTCCAAATGAACGCCAGTGGTATGAGGGATGCCTCGGTAGACTTACGATAACAAATAGTCCGACCACACTGCTGGGATGCTCGAAATTGTGCCTAATATATCTATTTCCGGACGCATCACGCTCTCACCTCCCACATCCGAATGCGCCCAGTCTCCATGCCGACAGCTAGTAGCGCAAAGCTACCCTCCTTGATCTCCTCCTCGGAGGGGCTGCCCCACGCGATTGACGTGATCCTGCCCAAAGCAGTCTTTTGTGTGGGCCAGTTCCTGAAGACTGTTGCTGAAGGTAGATGTACCAGCCTGAGAGCTGCAGTTTTCCAGCGACTGGCCATGGCAAGTATCTGCCCGTCTGGCGAGAATTGGAGATGTGATACAGGGGTCGTGAGGTTGTCGAGAGCTCGCAACGGCTTTGGGGTCTTGGGTATGCCACCATTGACAACATCGGTGTTGCCGGTGGTCGCAGGGTCGTCCTCGCTCCATGCTCTCCGATCGTAGATGTTGACAATGCCGCTGGAACTTCCAATCGCTACCCATCTGTCACCACCAATCCACCCATCTCTTCCGCTCTTACCACCCACTGCGATGGTTGTGTTCCCCACGGCACCCTCGTCGATCCATCTTCCAATTACGCCATCCTGAACACTCCACTCCGTTACCTCACCACTCTTGCCCGCAATGACGAGACCGTTGCCGTTGCCCCACCAGGCAAAGTCGGCGATGCCACCTTTGGACTCGACGCGGGCCTGTGCCACCCACTGTAGTGTCCTTGCATCGAGGACATTGACGACACCACCACCTTTCTTTGAGGAACCGCGCAGCGCCAAGTACCTGCCGTTGGGCGATAACGCAAAGTGCTCCATTGTGCGCTGCTCATGCTGGTGGCCGTACACGCGGGAGACCTTCTCTACCGTGCCTGTCGTAAGGTCCCACACGTGAAAGTAACGCCTTCGTGCGCTCAAAAAGATGCGAGAATCAGACGGCGAGGGATGGAACGCGGTTGTATGGAGTGGCGTACGTTTGATGTGGAGAGCCGTGAGAAGCGGGTTAGGGTTGTGGGGGTCCGACGGGTGTACGTGGTGCAGAGAGAGCGTCGAGCTGGGCCCAGATGACAGGAGCAGCGGATACGTAGGATGGAAGGACAACGAGGTTATAGCAGACTGTTGCGAGCACGTTAGCTGGGTCAAAATCCAGGAAAATGGTACTAACTGGGCCCGCTCCGGTCACATCCTTCAGTCTCGCGATCTCAACAGTGCCCGCTTGCAGCTTCCTTCTCTTTGCGGAGCTCTTCGACGTCCGAGACAGGATGTCCGCATCTTTCAGCAGTCGCGCTAATGGCAACGTGGAGAGATCGTCATCGTCCATGTCCATATCGCTCGCTGATTCAATATCGCTCTCGTCGTCTTCGATGTGCCGCCGCTTCCGTTTGGCCTTTCCGGTCGCATGTACCGCCCAGTCAGGTACGGGATAGAGCCGCTCGTACTGTCGGCGAAGTCTGCGCACGTATTCCTTCCCGTTCACCATGTCATCGTCTTCTGTATCCCGCAACTTCCGCAGCTGGGGCACCGATGCCAAGCTCACCACCAGACGCTCATCGTCGCTGTCTTCCCAGGCAGGCTTGTCGTCGTCGTCGTCGTCCTCTGTGTCGCCGGCCTTTGCGAGAGCAAGCGGCCCTGCTGGCTGTGCGGTGGGACCAGCATCGAAGAAGAACAGATCTTGGTCGGCAACATTGCCGTAGTCATTGCCATCGTCTTCGTCAGCCTCGGAACCAGCGTCCAGAGCAGCTCCCGCAGGCGCCAATGAAAAGGTGTCCAGGCCTTCCCTGAAGCCTGCGGAGTCGCCGAAGATGATGCGCTCGAGTTCCTCCTCTTCGGCATCTTTTGGAAGCAAGGGCTTCTCTTTCTTCTTGGTGGCTGTCTCTACACTTTCGCCGCTGCTGCTCTGCTCCTCGCCCTCCTCGTCCTCTTCTTCAGAGGTTCCGTCTTCTCCATCGAATCCTTCCCAGTCAGGCGCCGCCGGACCGTTCGCGGGCTGCAGTGTGGCTACTTCGGTATCGCTCGGTTCGGGATCAAACAAGGGCTTCGAGCGCGCGGATTCTTTCGTTTGCGAAGACAAATGGCGTTTCGGGCCATTTGCCTTCTGTGCAGCTTTGTTCGAGGGTGCCATTGGGAGGGTGCGCGGCGTGAGCGGAACTGTTGCTCGCAGACGCGAAAATTGTGGTTTGCGAAAAAGTTGCAAGGATCATTGGGGTAAGCTTGTTAGCGTCGTTATGGAACGCTGCCCGCACACCCCCGAACGAGCAACAGCGCCCTTCGCCCTTCGGTACAGTGCACTGGCTACGTTGCTTTCGCGTCTACTCGACATGCGTCTGATGCATGGAGCAAAACGACTCTTCCTATCGTGTCTGTGCCCTCACGAGGCTTCAATGAATGTCTCCTCTCGAGAGCTGCCGCTGGGGAACAATCGACCGCACAACGCATCATGCTCTGAATGACGGTGCCTGGCAGAACCGCGATTGTGCCGATAGATCACGTTGTCGCGTCAAAGAGACCGATTCATAGCGCTGCCCTCCAGTCCACTCAGGTCCCCGTCCCCACCACAATATTCCGAGTTCCGACCGTCATTCCGAAGCAAGCTCACGGCTGCATTCCTCCCCACTCTGCCGTCAACCATCAACGTAGTTCGACGAAACATCCACATGCTCTTGCCGTGCCAAGTGACCTGATCCAAAACGCATCCTGAGTCCAGTTAGCAGTCCGTAGGGCGCCACGATGAGTCATGCTGCCGAACGTATAAGGAAGGTAACCTCCACCGTATCTGAACGCTTTGTCACACGTCAAGTGATTTGTGCTTCTACTTGATCCGATTCCTCTGAAATCACACCCTTGTTCTTGTGAAACACATTTACTCTCTGATACGCCCATATACACAACTGCTGCCTTTCGAAACCGCAGCAATGCCAGGACCCAAACTCGCCGCCTCCCTCCTCACTCCAAACGAGGCAGAGCAATACATGCGTATTCGACACGCCGCCTTTGCGCACGACGTCAACAAAATCTTTTATTTCCATCAGCACGAACCCTCCCAGGCCACCCTCGAGAGCGTCACGCAGAGCATCCGCGACGGCATCGCCAAAGGTATTCTCTACCTCAAGTGCGTTGATACCAGCAACGGCGAGATCATAGCTGGCGCCCGCTGGCGCTACATCCGACCTCATGACCCCAACGCCACGTCTCGTACCTGGGATGAAGTCAATGCCGAGCTGGCTATCCCGGAAATGTATACCGAGAGTCATCCGGATGTCTGGCGCGCGTTCTATGAGCTGTTCAACCAGAGTAAGAGGAAGCATATGGGAACGAGGCCGTACTGGGTGCTTGACACGCTGGTGACGCATCCGGACCATCACAGGAGGGGTGCTGGAGGCTTGCTACTCCGATGGGGATGTGACAAGGCAGACGAGGCGGGCATGGAAACGTATCTGGAGGCTAGTGAAATGGGGGAGCCATTGTACAAGAAGTACGGATTCGAGCCAGTGGAGAGCATAGCGCTCGATTTGAGGAACTGGGGTGGTCCGGAGGAGATTCGGTGGACGGCAAGTTGGTTCCTCTCTCGACTGTTTTGAGGCATGCTGACTCTTGTGCACAGCTGATGATAAGACCTGCCAAAGCTTGAGTGGGTGCATAGCAAACTCTAGGTCTTGAAACAAAAATTCAATGGACATGTAGAAAATAGAACCTGGAGGACGTCAGACGCCACAGACCCCCGATATTTCGAGCCCGAACCGCGATAGCAGTATCTGCCCACTAGAAATATCGAAAAGTATGATCTACCTAACGCTTAGTGTAGCCATCTCGGGATACACCCGTGAAGGATATAACCAACTATCGTGACGCCAAGAAACCGCCACATTGAGACGCCGGGCGCACGGTGCAATCTCGGTTCTCAAAGACACTGCTCAAGTGTAGTCTTTCGCGGTCTTATGGGCTCGCAAATTAGGACATTCCACGGTGGCCAAGGCCTTAGCTGTTGAATTATGGTTTGGAAGTGAAAGATGAGCTCCAGCAGGCCCGCGTTGACCTTTCGACGCCTATGTATAGGCACATGGCCTCGTTTGCTGCAATTACGAGGCACTGATGGTTGCGTTCGACTTGGGCGTCGACAGTTCGACATTTCGGGGCTATTACGAGGCTCATAAAACCAAAAAGTAGCGGGACCACATTATGCTGCGCAGTCACGCGCGTTTGTCCTTGAACAATCCTCTCCAGGTATCCCTGCTTCTCCACTCCTCTCGTCATCACTCACGATCCCACACCCTCGGTTAGCACCACCACTTCTATCCCACAGGGTATACCTCCACGACTGGAAGGTCTCCGCCAACCCACACAGATCATAGGTTTCACAAGTTATCATGCCGATTACGCAAATATTCCACTCCCTACAACGCTTGTCCGATGAGCTCAAAAGTCGGATCGTCGCCCACGCGTACGAGGACTGCCTTGCCAACTCGCCACAAACCAGGAACGTCCTTGAAAAGATAGAGGTGCAGAGAGATGCAAGCAGTAATAAGCGCGAGGCGAAGCTGGCCGTCTTCTCCTACAGAGAGGGCAATCGCCCGTGCGACTCAGTCTGGTCCATCTATCTGGCCAACCAGTCCGTCCGCGCAGAGCTCGACCGCCTGTTTTTCGAAAGTGTAGAATGGATTCTTTCCATTCTCCGTAGCACGCGTTGCTCGCCTCGCTCCGCAGGGCTTCGTATCATGCAGTTCCTCTTCCTGCACCGAGATTCGCCGGCACACATCCCGGATCCTCCCAACCCGACTGCTCGCGCAACGGTCCCGACGGTCACGCCGTTTCCGCCTAGAAGAATCTGATTGTTTTTCTGGACAGCCGCCCATGCATGCTGCTAAGCTTGGATTGTTGTAAAGAGAATGTGGAGCGCGCGGGCCCTAGGATTCAAGACGCTGGCTGACGCTGTGTTTAGGGGCTGTCTTGAGTGTAATCCCAGCTATACACGGCCCAGCGCCAATAGTAGCTGGAAGAAATTTGCTATGCCGAAGACGCCGGCTAGCTGGGTGAGGTGGGTTTTCACACCAGTGGCTTGGTGGTACATGTCTAGCGATGTGGCTTTATGGGGCCCGACCCCGACCCCCCGGCATTTGGATGTATGCAAGATGGAGGACGTGTTCAAGACGCAGGGCGACAGCGCCATTGAGAATTGGGATCCGACCGAAGGGGTCAATGGCTATAGGCGCTGGGTCGTCTGTATGTGCCGGGACGTCTGCATGTGTGCATCGACTCAGTTAGATTCGCTGTGTGCCATCACTGCCTGCACGCAGAGGATCGATATTCCAGCGCAGAAACGTGTACGGCCTAGATACATCAAAGTGAAGCGAGGGGTATTCTTCCCAGTGTACAAGCAGGGACAGCGTTGACGAAGTTCAACTTGGCCCTTGGTTCTTCAACAACATGTGCAGGTGGACTTGGGTACGGACCATCATCCCAAATGAAGATTATGAGTTCTCCCTTCTTAAAGATTGCCCTTGGCTAGCGTGCTAAGATCACAAAGCTTCACTAACTGCCAAGACGAACATCTGAGCGCTGGTTCCACTGAGCGATTAAACAGGCCCATGGGGATACGCCCGAGGACTAATCAAGAGGCATGAATCGCAGCGAGGTATCGTGAGATCATTTGACGTGAAGTGTTCTTTTGACCTGATGTCTTAGAAGAAGAGAGTATAGAAAGAACAGCAATCCCTAACCACGCTCTTTTTGTCCGTCCAGTCCCACAGCCAAAAAAAAAAAAACTCTAACCCCACCATCTCGCCGTCGGAATCCTTCATTCCGACTCAGCTATACACAGTTCTCCATGTCGCGTCCGCTATTGACCGCCCATACGCTCGCTGGTCGCCATCAAGCTGCCAATGAAGGTCGTAATCAGTCTACTCTGGACGGCGACAATGTCCTCAGGCACAAGCCAAATGGTAGCGCCCATCTTTCTCGCGATACTGATGGCCAGCTTTGCGTTCTGGTAGCATTCGTCGTCGTTCCTGCCGGGCATGACAAGTTCGTAGTCCACATAGCTGCTCTTCATACCGGAGAGCACATCGAGCAGGAAAATGGCGTTGGTGAGGCCGCTGTCCTTGAACGAGCGGATCTGGGTGCCCTTTCCGCTGCCCTTCTTGGCCATGTCATTGGCCCAGCGAATCATGTCGGGGTCTGAGATTTCGCGCTTGCCGAGACGTTGTGCTAGACCCTTCAGTGTGCTGACAATGTCTCTTCGCATGAGTTGCCACACTAGGCCGAGGGTAAGGGTTCGCTGGCCATCGGTGATATCGGCGCCCTGGATACCAGGGAGGGAGAAGGAGTTCGCCTTTCCGAGCTCGACTGCGTAGTTGGTGTTTTCGAGGGCTTTGAACCTCATGAGCTCCTGGCCTTCCCGGGGTTTGTTGACGTGACGCCAGTTGACGCTGTTAGGAATAACCTTGTCATATGCCTGGAGAAGGACGGTTCCATCCTTCAGGTCTTCGAAGAATGATTGTACCACAGGCTGCACATCCAAGGAGTTAAGCCACAATGTGAAGACGCGAGCCTCGCGCTCACCCTCAGCGTCAAAGTCATCGATGTCCGCCTTCTCTTCTTCGGTAATGGGATCAAGGCCAGGGTGGGTATTGAACAGATTCGCCACAAAAGCAAGGTTGAGCTTAGGATTTCCGGCAACAAGAGAAGTAGGAGTCAAAAACTTGCGGCAGCCGAGAGCGTCAGCATTTTGAAGTACTTGCTCTGCTCTTTGGTGGAGATCGTGGGTCTGCAGTGGGCTACGCGAGCAAATGTCGGGCTTGAGCTGGTTCAGAAGGACAGTGTAGTTCTCGCCATCCTTCACGTCGGTGGAGAAGTTGGTGACCCTAACGCGTTAGCTTAGTTATCGGCGTGACATATGGTTTGCTCACTTCCTGTTCCACTTGGCGTTCTTCAAGTGGTAGTTGAACCATCTGAGCAGAATCTGCTCCGGGGGCAGGCGCAGGAACTGTTCGAGCGTCTCGTCATCCTCCAGCAGCCGGTACAGCTCGGGGTGTAGCTTGATGTCGATCTTGCCGAGCAGACCTCGCCTGATGATCTGCCAGATCAGTCCCAAGATCAGGTGCTCTCGCACTTCGATGATGTCTCCGCTACCAATGTTGACCACGGAGCATCCAATGCCCTTGGCCGATTCAATGACGATGTTGTTGTTCTCAGTCATGTGGAAAGCATTCAGGGTCTTGATCTTCTTGCCTGGGCGGTTCAGCACGCGCTCATCGATGGTGTCGGGCACGCTGTCGTTGATCAGCTTGCTCAGCACCAGGCCGTCCTTGCACTCGTCGAACATCTCGAAGGTGTCGGTCGGGAAGGGCAGGCGGTGGCCAATGTCTGGGTCGCCGGCGAGCACGGCATTGATGTGGCGGGTGAACTCGGTGCGCTCGTCCTCGTTGATGGTGTGGGTGACGTTGGCGGAGGAGCCCTGGACGTGGATCCTGCCGCCGCCGCCGGTGCTGGTCTTGTGGGCGTGGCCGGGCGTGGAGGGCACGCTCCCACCGGCTGGGCGGGAGGGGCCTGTGTTCATGCGCTGCTGGGCGGGCGAGGACTGGCGCAGCTTCGAGATGAGCTGCCGGACGTTAGCGACGGCGCGCAAGCGGGGCGCCTGTGCCTGGGGGCGTACGCACATCGACATAGTCGTCCAACTCGACGCGCCGCGAGCTGTCGAGCTCGACCTCCTTCAGGGCCTGGCGCACGACATCGTAGGGCTGGTGCTCCGTCTGCTGCGTCGCCTTGATGACGGTGGCCTCGTCGAGGTAGCCCTTGTCGTCGACGTCGAGCTTGCGGAAGGCATCCTGCAGTCCGAAGATCTCGCCCTGGTCGAACTGCGGGTATTTCCTGCGCCATTGCGGTCAGCATCGTCGTCGACTTGCACCGAGCAGCGGGGGACAGGCGGCGCGCACCTCTGCAGCTTGATGACATTCATGGCGGCGGTGTGGGGTGGGGGGCGTGGGAAAGCGGCGAGGGGCGGGCAGATATATGCGCGGCGATGTTCCTGCCTTGCTCAGCCTCGGCGTGTTTGCGCGTTCGTCTCTCCTGTTGTGCTCTTGTTTTGCTGGCTGACCGACCCCACCACTCGCCCGCCAGCGTCATCGCCGCCCCTCGGCGCTTGGCGCAGACCCTTCCGACATGGTCCACACGTACAAGCATCGAGTTCACGCTGCACGCACACGAAGACGCTGGACCTGCATGTCCCCACTCGCTGCTGCTGCTGCTGCTGCTGCTGCTGCAACTGCACGCCTGCTATCCATTGACGAGCCTCGATCCGAGCCTGTCCACTTTGCTGCTCGTGCCATGCTCGTGCATCGTCGGGCGCTCCCTCAAACGGCAGCCTGGAAGAGTACGTGGCCTGCGAACACCGTCTTCCCCAGTCCATGGGTTCAACGCACCACCCCTCTCCACGGCACCGCCGTGGCCCAATGTCACCCTGTCACCACCGCTTGCCTGCACGTGCATTCCCCTCGCTCCACGCATACACGCAGCAATACCACCACACGTTGTGCACCACGGTCAGAAAGAACAGCTTTTGATTCCTCATTATCAGTCATAATAGTCCGTCGCCGGCTGTCCTAAATAGACACAATCCCTCGAAAACAATAACCCTTGTTCCAGCGCTGCTCGTTGCGCTGACCGAAAAAGAATAAGAAACATAAGCCAAGTAGAACATCCGCCCAACGAGCATGCACCCTCCAAAGCATCGTCATCGCATTGTCTGTTTCCCGTCATGTCGTGTATAGCTTCGCCTCGTCAAACACTGCCGCCTCCAAAGACACGGACCCGACGAGGGACAGACATGACTTGGTCGGTTATGAAACATCACTTTTCGCCATTGTTTTCGCTTGCAAATGTCGTCAGATGCCCAACTATGTGTCATCCGTCGGGTCGTTGTCGTCGGCCCGCGCTGCCACTGCACACCAACTATGTCGACTATATCTCTTGTTAAATATACTGCCGCCTGGCGAGGCTGCCTGAGGCGGCGTCATATGCTGGCCGTGGCAGAGCGACCATTCGTCTTCGAGCTCCACTCCACGTCGTCACCAAGAAGGAAATGGTTTGGTAGAAAGTACAGAATCGTCACCCGCAACATTAAGCAATAGCGCCCTCAGATATTGCATATGCGTATATGCCGAGCATGCAGGGAGTCGTATATCGTAAGTAGAAAAGTCCAAGATTGGGTGGTTCGAAACGCCTAGTATCTAGGCGAAGGTCGTTAGGTCGTTAAAGTTCCAACACGGAGAGGCCGACGAGGAACATAGGAGAAGAATATTTTAACACAAAGAAAACCCCGTTGGGGAGGGAGTGTGCTCGTTGCTGTGGCGTGATTACACCGTACCTCGACATCTGAACGCGTCCATGTCGAGGTCGCTGCAATGGCAGCGAAAGTGCTTCTCGGGAGAACAGATGCTTGCACTCGTGAATCGCGTCTATCGCGGTCTGAAAAGCGGCAAAACTCCACCCAAACACGAACCGAGGACAATAGGCTTATCTGCGGGTGCGCTGCGTCTGCATTGTACGAGACCTCTGAAGTCCGGCATTGGGATCTGGACCGTACGGCGGAGCGACAGCCCCGCCGTCCATGGTCTTTCGCCGCTTCAGGCCGTCAATGTCTTCGCTTTGAACGCTTCCAGGGCGGCCATACGGATCCTCATCGTCATCACGACCGCGCTTGCCAGGTGCCACACCGTTCGTGGCATACCCTTGGCTAGGGTACTGAGACCCGGGCGGAGGGTAAGAGTCTTGCTGTGCGTTTCCGTTTGTTGTACGCGTATCACTCATGACGCTGTACAGATTGCTAGAGGGGCCATTTTGACGCTGAGGCGTCGGGTAGCCCGAATTCCATTGCGTTTGGCCGGTGGTGGTCGTGCGGGGCGTTGCGCGCCCCGAGCCATTTTGGTGAGGCGAACCCGTCATTTCAGGGGATAGATGAGGGTGCTCGCCTGTGATGGGACCAGAGCCTGGAGCAGGATTATACGCGTACGGGGCTCGGTTGCCGTTGTAAGGCGCGCTTGAATGCGTGTACTCATGCTCACCACCCTCATCGCCACCTGCATTGTGGTTGACAGAGTCATCATTCTGAGCCAATATCGCGTCGGTGGGCTTAACATCGCCCTGATCAGGACCACGAGCAGGCGGTGCCATTTCAGTCTTTGGGTAGCCCATCATGGGCTGAGACTGAGTGTGATATTGAGGGGGTTGAGATGGGGGCGCCGAATACATTGGGCGCGAAGCATCATAGCTCTGAGCTGTCTGGTAAGACATACCTTGCTGCACAGGCCCAGGTGGGGTGCTTGCAGGTGTAGTAGGCACAGAGCGGTTGTTGCTCAAACCTGTGTCGATAGATAAGGGTTGATTTCCTTGCACACCTTGCACATTGGCGTTACTCCATTCATAGGAGCTTCCCGAGTTACCCATACCCATAATGCTCGAAGCACTCGTAGGAGGCGTGGGGAACGTGTGGGCTCGGTCTAGACCGGGACGGCCCGAGGCTGGGTGCGGTTGGATCGAGTGCGGGGGTTGAGACATGGCCGCCCCAACCGGGTTGCTCATCGAGTGGTGGTGGTGTAGAGCTGGAGGTTGCGATGTCGTCGGCCCGCCAGTCAGATACCGATTGGTCTGCATGGAGTCAGGTCTCCGATTTCGATCAACAGCAGCCATGGCAGCGCCGCCTACACTTGCCCTCGTCTGATTCGAGGGATGATAGAGCAATGCTCCGATATCGTGCACGAAGAGCGGGTAAAGCTGCTCCGTGATCTTCTCCTTGTTTGCAAACTCTAGAGCTCGTTCAAAAGGGATCCTGTTGTTGATTAATAAGGGCCAAAGAAGAATGTCAGTTCACTCACCAGACGCCCTTGAGGTGCATAGGACCGATCTTGACAACGTGTCTTGTCTTTTCGCTTTTCAGGATACCATCCCGACGCCCACGAGTCATCCCTGCAACGTTCAGTAGCTTTGTTCCATTGATCATGTGATTATCTGAGGTTGTCAGTTTTAGTCATCTATACGGTTATTGCTATACAAACACACCTTCACGTCTCGCGACACACACACCCTTGGCCTCGACTTGGAAGCATAGACTTCCTTCGTCTTCCCAAAGGGTGGCAGTCACTCTGGGTTTCATCCCTGGAGGTGCAATCTGCCCAGTGTGGTCAAATGTGTGAGGGTTTCCGTAGCTCTGCGACCCTGGCAAGGACGCTGCAGGAGCCGTGGACGACATGGCGGGAAGCTGAATTGATTGTTGCGGAACCATGGGATTGTTCATCGAAGACGAAACAGGCAGCTGGGAAGGTACTCCGCTGGGGTAGCCGTAAGAAGTGTAGCCTTGAGGTGCCGATCCATACCCGGGTCCGGGGAGAGGCATCGATGGCTGAGGAGGGTATGCATAATGGGAAAGACCTCCAGGCGCAGCGGTCCCCGGTGCGTGAGCAGTAGCAGCAGACATTTGCGGTTGATGCACGTCAGGATACGATTGCATCTGGTTCATGCTGTTGTAGCCCTCGGAAGGGTAGCCGTAGCTTTGTTGAGTACCGTACGGAGAGCCTTGATGCGACTGCACATTCAAAGGCTGACCGTTGCGGTTGAGAGGTTGCGGGACCTGCTCCGGTGAGGGAGTCTTGAAGCCTGCGGTATGACCGTTGACGGAAGCAGAGTACGATGTGTTGGAACTGGCGCTTCCGTTGTCAATTGACGATGCACTGAAGGAACCACCCCGAGGCGATGAGGATGTGGAAGACCCGCTCGCGTGCGGTTGAATCTGCGGAAGGCTCGGTAGACGGTCGGTAGACGCTGCAGGTTTCGCCGAGTAGTGGGAATTGTACCAGGCGTCGACAGGGCCTCGGGCGTGGACCGACGATATTGAGGGCAGTGGCTGAGCCAGCTTTACGGTATTGACAGACACGGTGCTGTGCAGCAGTGGGATCGAGAAATTCCTTGCGGAGATTCCTCGAGTCAATCTCTAGATAGCCGAGATGGTTGATGCTGCGGCAACAGACAGCAGCGCTCTACAGCAGTAGGTTGCAGGATCTGCGCACGTAGCCGGAGAGATAGCTGGTCGCAGTTATAGCTTCACGCTGTGCGGTCGACGGGCGAGATCCTACACCGCAAGTCAATTGTTTGCTCTGGAAAGTAGTCTCGTCGGTCAGGTGCAGCGCGGACCAACGAAAGGCGATCAAACACGTGGGCAAACAATGCTAACGGCGACGCGCGCACGAGCTCGTGTAGAGCGCGAAGACGGCTGTTCGCGTTTCGCACTGCAAAGGACGGTGGTACGGGACGCTTGGTGAAACACACTGACCGGGAAATATGTCCAGGGGGCAGAGCAGATGCTCGATGCACGCGTAGCCGCCGGGGGGGGGAACTGAACGCTGCAAACAATGCTGAACGGGACAAAAAGCACTTCGTTAGGTCGTCGCGGTCGTGAAGCCGGAGGATCTCGCGGAAACGATGGAGACGCTTTTGGAAGGATTCAATGCAAGCAAAGAAACAATGCCGGTGCAAGTAGAAGCAGGGGGAAATGCGAGCGAGACGAGAGGACAGCCACCGTTGGCATGTGCAGTCGAGGTGCGCGACGTGGGCGTGCGGCTGCTGCTTCGTAACCGGTCGTAACGTCGTTGAAGCGCGCCTCGTTAGCTGCTGGTGCTAGCTGCGGGCCAAGCACTAGAGTATCGATACTGGAGGTGGTGCGGCGCCGAGGGAACAACAACAACAACACTGCTTTGGGGCGGGGTCAGTGCAATGCGCGGCGGCCAATGCTGGGACAGCGAGAACGAAGAACAATGGAGTGCATGCGCTGATGGACGTAGAGGACCGGCAGCAGGCTCTTCGCGGCTGCAGTGGGGAGGGCGGATGTGTAGAGGCGGAGGTGGTTGGGATGTGACTTGAGGCTAGCGCCGAGCGTCAACCAGACAAGGCGCGAATGGCGGGCCTTTGCTGGGGCGAGGCCCGGCTGTCACTGCTGGACGGAACCCAGCACCAAGGGAACAGAGGGTCAGGGAAAAGGGGACTGACCCAATTGCTCGACGACGAGCGAGGACGTTCACGGCGGCGAGGCGGGAGCCTGCGGTGACGATGCGAGCTGCTGGTGCGGAGGAGGTCGCTGTCGACGGCGATGCTGCAGTGCAGGATTCTCTGCAGGCTCGAAAAGCAGGCAGGCCGCAGGCTAAGAGGGCTGACGGAGCCAGGCGAGGAGCGCACAGCCCGCGGTGCAATCTGACCAGGATGGCTTCTCTTCGTGGACAGCGTGCCAGGGCTCGCGCTCGCGAAGAAGCCTGTGCGCACGAACGCCGCTGGGGGTGGGTGGGCTGGGCTGCGTGGTGTGCTGTGTGGGCGGGACGGCGCGAGCTCACGGCGGGCGATTACCAGTGTCAAGCTGCAGCAAGAAGCAGTCTGCACTCGTCGAGGGCGGGAGGCAACGTTAACCGTGCTGCAGATGCAGAGGACGAGGCAGGTGGCTCCGTGGGCCTAAAGACGGCGGTGGAGATCTCTGGGGACGCTGGCGGCAGGCCTCGACAGCAGCGACAGGCGCTCCGGACCAGAGACAATCTAAAATCAATTCGGGTCTGGTGGGGAGCGTGAGCAGAGGATCAGACGGGTGGGCCGGCCAGCGCTCCATGCCTGGGCCGAGCAGTGAGTCCCGTGGAGAGCGGCGCCTCGAAGGCACGGACGACGCCGCTGCGCACGCTGACTGGGCTGAGGCCGACTTGGGATACAGCATGGCCAGGGGGCCGCGGCAGGGACAGGCCTCCACGAGCGCCGACGAGCCATGCACGCAAGCGAGCCCTCCACCAAGCCACCTGACGGCGAGACATGCGCTGCCGTACCGGGTCTGCACCATGCCCTCGTCCGGTTGACACGCCTAGGGAGTTGTTGCCCGCACGCGCTGCCTCTGCCACTGCGACCGTCCACGGAGCGCGAGCACGAGCACGAGCGTCCCATGGAGCACTCGCGCCCCAGCGTCGCCAGTGGCCGGCCGCCCGTCTGCCTCGCATCTAGGTAGTCTAGCGGGCGTCTACAGCACGCAGAGACAAGCTCGCTCGCTGGCGCCGGCGGGGGTCCCGATAGCGAGCAGACGGCTGAATTGGCGCGGCCACTCAGCGCGCGCGGAGAAATTCCTGGCCTGCGCGAACTGATATCGCCATCCGCCGCTGCGACAGACGTCGAGCAGGGAGGGGCTGCCTCGGGCGCCCGCCGCCAGGCCAGATGCCGCCGGTGCTAAGAGATGCTGGGCCGTCTGGCGTGCTGGCGCCTGCACGTCCCGCGGTGGACGTGGAGCCACCGCAGGCGGCTGCTGTGTAGGGTCCCTCTTTGTCGTTGAGAAGCCGGCGCATCGTATTACATAAGCCGCGGCACGGCAGAGGCCACACTGCATCGCAGCACGGCCGTCGTTGCTGTCGCCGCCCCGGCAGGTGATCGGACAGCACCCCTGTCCGAAACGTTTCCACAGCGGGCCCAGAATTACCGGTGCGGATGGCCAGCGCTGCGTCGTTTTGTGGAGCGCTAGACGCGATGATGTGCGCCGCTGCTGCGAGTCAGGCCGGGCGCCCGCGTGCAGTGCAGAGACAGAAACGCACTCGAGTGCGAGACGGACAGCGAGCAGCGCGGATGGCCACGTTCGCGCTCTGAAACGTGCGGCCAACTGCCGTCGAGCGAGCGCCTCGCCCGTCTTTCCGCTTTGATAACGGGCCTCGATGCTTCGGGCAGGCCAACAGCGCGGCCGCGACGAGGTGGTTGGAGCGTGGAGCAGCGAGGGCCATTGCCATCTCAGGCTAAATGACCGCGATCCCACGACGGCTGCCAAGCGCGCGCAGGGATGGCGTCCCAAAACGAGCGGGATGGACGGACGGCAGGCCGTGCGGGCGCATCCTGGCCAGTTTGCAGACGCGCGGAGGTGGTTGGGTGGCTGCCTTCGCAGACCGACGCCCTGGGGGACAGCCAGCAACGCCAGCACAGCGCTGGAGACGTTGTCGGTGGCAGCACGCTGCACGCCGGGCCTGGGCGTGGCAACGCAGCGGGCGCGCTTCCAGCGGAGACGACGGTCGACGTGCTCTACGCGAGCGTCCTCGACGAGGGCGCTGGTGCAACGTGGAGACTCGACAGAGTACGGTGATCCGTCAGCCAGCATCGCGAATCAGCGCCTCTCGAGTGGGCGTCGAGGGGCCGCAACTGGCGAGAGGCTGCCTCGGGCCACTCAGCGTTGCCCGCCGCGCCCTCTGACGAGCAGCTTCCCTGGCCAAACGTGCCGGCTGTACCACGGGCCTGGCGTCGGACGTGGGACGCCGTGGTGCGCGATAGGACACGCTGTTGCGGTGTGAATGATGTGCTGGCGCTGCCTAGCTGCTTCGGGCCCGCCTGCAAAGTCACGCTTCGCGGCCTCCAATCCTTCGCAGCGCACACGACGACGTCCAATATTCGCACTCGTGTTGCGCTGCCCATGGGACAGGCCGACAATGCCCCAGCTGGCCGCCGATATCGTGTCGAGGGCACACAGGCGCGTCCTTTGGGCCAACTGAAACATTGCCACCCCTCGAGCCGTATCCCACATGGAGCGAGCTCCTACTCCTGCGCCGCCCTTTCCAGCGTCTGCGTCACCTGATCCAGGATGCGCAGCATGGGGCGTCCGCAGTCCTCATGCCCATGCGAGAGCCATGCGAACTGTGTCCGTAGCGGCCGCCGGCCAGCCACACGTCGCCTCGCCGCGCTCCATGGCACGTCCCCAGCCTCATGCTGCTCCCCGTGGCCGCGATTCGCACCACCATGCCAGATAGCCGCGCTGCCTGCTCCCCTCCCCATCACCGCATGCCATGGCGCCTGGTGAGACGTGGCAGCAGGCCTCACGCCTGTGCCACCACTGCCGACATCATATGCTTGCGGGCGGCGACATCACGCCTCAACATCGCTCCTCGGGATACAAGCTTCCACTACAGCGAGCATGGCGACACCAAATCTTCAGATGCCACCCTGGTGCAGTCAAGCGACCCGCCAGCGGTCCTTCGTGCAATGTAGCCGTGTACGCTGGAGCGACCGTCGTCATACCGCGCTCGCGTGGGCCAGGCCACCCAGCAGATCGACTGCAAAGTCCAAAATAAACGTGCATTGCGCATCCGGCGCGATGTGCAAGCGGATCGTGGCAGCGCGCGCACCCGTCCGTCTCTACATGATACTTGCTGACCACCCTCGTGGCGAGATTAGGAAACTCCATATTAATGACTAGCGAAAGCAATGGCCGAGCCCTAATCAGAGCGACATACGAGCACAATTCTTCCCTCTCATACGCGAGCGGGCCTCTTGAGGATACCGAGCCGACAATAGGCCTCCGGTATCAGCTCAGATTTCCAAGATGTCGTTGCTTGTAAGGGTCCTAGGTGGGGACGTGTTTCTGTCCGTCCAACAGAACGGTGTGTGCAATCTAGAATCGGAATCCGTAGGACGAGAAAGGAAGGATTGGAACGCTCAACTCCGCAACAAAGACCCCTCTACCCCTTCGATGACTATCGAAAAGATCCTCATCATTATTGCACATCTCAACTGTACATCTATGTTCCAGAAACTTCAACGTCGAGCCTCCCCACTGCGACCATCTGCAATCTGCCTGTGTATGTTCCTGCAGCTGTGAGGCCATCCCGCAATACGGGCTGACGCTCAGACGTAGCAAGGATCGTTATTGGCCATATGCACGGCGGGTGAGTGCAGCTGGAACATGCGTGTGATGGAGCATTATCCCTGTTGTGGGAGCTCTCCGCACTAAGACTGTACCCCTCCTCTGAGCTGCCTCCCATCCATCCATCCTTGTATGACCTAGAATGCACACGACTTCTGTCCTCTCGCAACACATTGCGGCGCAGCAGCGTCAACATCAGTACGGCGTCGGACCTTTTACTTCTCAATCACGCTGTTTGATTTTGATACTCGATGGGGATGCGGCACGGGGAACGGATCGACAAGATACCGACTTCTACCAATCAAAGGCAGCCACGTCGAGTGCAGGCGGGGCCATTATCGGGGCCGTGACAAGCCACCGCTGGTGTTGGCAATACGGGCCACTCCTTGCAGCGCGTAGGACAAGGATTCGAGATCATCCCGCCATTGGCCGTTAGTTTGAACTGCTCACTGGACCGCCCTCTCCCAATGATGGTGCTCTCGTCTCATCATCTCTTGTGCCACCAACGCGCTCACTCAGTTATCTAGCGTCCTGTACGGGTCCAAGCGTGTCTCCATGAGACTTAGAGAGGTTGAAAGAGACCTTCCATGTGATGGAGCATCCTTGCTGGAAGGCTTGCTCCCATTTTGCCGATGACCCCTCAACACCATCGCTAACATATGCCTACACCGCTATTCTATACCAACGATTGACAGTTCGCTTTGTTGGCGTGACAGGGATCAATCAATATGTACTGTGTATAGCATTCCCAGCAAAGAAGGGCTTGAAACAGAAGCGCGCACACATTCGTGCCACATACACGCACCCCCTTTCAACTTGCAAATTCTGGCACCATAGCCGTGAAAGGCTCGGGACACACCACCCCTCGATCACATATTGCAGTAAATATGTCTATCGTGATGTGCGGTGCGAGCTTCTGTGCCCTGCCTACGACCTCCTTATTCAATGTCACGACTGCCTTTTGCCAGCTTGCAGAGCAGAAGCCTTAAGCGGCTCTGCGCCCCGCATGAGCACGACATACATGCATCACATGAACATGTGGCCGTTACTTAAGGGTCCACTGCAGTCCATCAACATAGCGTGAAGCATGCGTACGTCGACAGCTTGCAACAACAATGTCATAGCATGCTTTTTCCAAGCCATGCCACCAATATACCACCTTGTCTGCAATGCCCTATACTGGCGGTTGCTCCGTGAACACGCGTTCTAAGGATTGCTCCGGCGGAGTATTGAACGTTGGTCAGGATGCACCATGTCTGCATTTTGCCTGTAAACCTTCTTTTGCCTGGGAGCATCAGAGCACAAAGCCCAGATCGCTGGTACATCGATCCGACATGCAACCACGGGAAGCCTCCAGCCGCCACACCCAAGCTTTGCTCGCGTATTCCACCAAATTGAACATCTCGTTGACTTCTGCCATGAAGGCTGATATTCAACTATGCCCAGACAGGAGGGTGCGACATTTCCTAAGCGCTATTGCACTATATAGGTAATCAGCTACTTTTTCCAAGGATGCTCCTTCCTGCTCCCCGGCGCGATCAAGCTCAACAATTGCAGCAATCGGCGCTCCGAGTGAACCGAGTTCGATATTGGGTTCTTGGTTTCCTAAACAGTCGCGGCCTATGCTATCGTCTTACTCAATTCCGCCGCGCCGTTCGTCCATCGAAAGCCTCGATGCTCGGACCATCAATATCTGTCTTCACAGGGTGGCCTGCTGGTCGGACTGCGTTCCGATCTCGATGTCACAGTGAAATGTCCCCACGTCCGTTTCGCTTTCCACGGTTGGGCTCAACCGCACAAAGCCCCACCTTGGCTACTATAGCACTGTTACGCGCCGGCAGGCACCGTTTGGCCGAGGCTTAGCGAAGATTCCAGCTCGCGCGTGCACTACTCGACTAGATCCGCTACTCAAATCCACCTTCCACCTCGTCGTGAAAACGGAAAGTCTCTTGACAATCCTCGTACAGCCCTTCATACTTCAACCTCATATGTTGGCGAAATGGGATTAAGGGTCCACAGTGTGGGGTGTATGCTCCGCTTACAGCTTGCTCAACCATGGTTCCCGAACCGTCAAATAGTCCTCATCGGAGAGAACTTGTTTCACGTCATCAGCGCTAGAAGCAGCTCTTGCTCCCCGAGCCATGATTGCTCGGGTCTATCGTGCTTAATCAGGGGATCGCCGTCTCTTCTCCAAGGTTTTTGGCGCCCTCAACGGTGTTGCATCGATACTGTCCGGTCCAGTTTGTGGCGGTCTTCTGTCCAGTACATGCACTCCGGCTCGCGTCGCTATGGTCAGCCCTACGTAGCTCGAGATCGATGACGTGGGAATCTGTGGATTAAGGCACCGCCGTTAGCCGGTGATCCACTTTGCATGCGTCAGTATCAACGCACAATGTACCCGGTACAGTAGCGAGGCGTCGCGGGTACTGCACGATTCAGTTGTCAGGGTCACTGGCGTTGGCCACTCCAAGATCCTGCATGTGCACCATGACTCGCTTTCTTCCATGAAACATGTTTAGAAAAAGCAAAGGACCTGCGAGAGCCTTGATCGAGTCTGAAACGAGCTGAAAGAAGAGATGTGCAGATTCTCTTCCGTCTGCATGGCGTCTGATGTGCCGCTTGCATGCTGCAGTCTCTGGCTGGCGGCACCAAGCGCCCCAGCTTTGTCGAGCATCCACAGCGTGGGGCACCTAGTTATGTCACGTGCCGACTCGCTATGCATGCTTCTGGTGTTACCTAATACGCGTATTGAAACGCTGTACGTACGGTTTATAGTACTGGAGCTGAACTTGATCGACTAATTACCTGGCAGGGCAATACATAATCCTCATACGAGTTCTGTGACCGCCGGAACTGGCAGATCTGGGAGTACGCCTGGGTTTGATGCATCCTCATGCAATGGTCATAATTTGCAAACCTACCACGCGGCCGCTGTGAGTATGCAGTCGCTCCGACATCTGCCCATGTGAGCATTGTGTGACTGTGTGATGCTAACCCTGCCTTTGTGTAACTCGTCCCCACCACAAAGAAAACCTTAGGGCGACAGTGTATATATGGCACACGCAAGTTTCACACGGCATTCGGAGCGAATATAGATCTATCACGTCCTGGCGTTAAACCCACAGCTCTGCTCACTCTCCCGTGCTTTCGGTTGAGCTTCAGTCACGAACAGGTCCTATCGCCGTCCAAGTGAGTAGTCTTCGACAGCCCCAGCTGCGCGTCGAAGCCGCCAGCATCTTCTCAAAATGGCATCCTTCACGAGCCTACTCACTGTCACGTTTTTACTAGGGATCATTCCCATCCTCCGCCGGATCAGGCGCATCTACATCAACTACCAGCTTGCCAAACCAACAGGCTTGCATATTATCATCGTGCCGCTCGACCCATACGGCATAGTCTGGCAGGCTGGCTCCCGCCTTTTCACGCCCATACTACAGCATTTCGATTGGTGCAGGATTCTTGATCTATCTTGGACCTGGGAAGACGGCTCCATACGACACGAGAAATATGGTGACAATTTCATTGTGGTCAGTCCTGCTATGAACGTCTTATATACGAGCGACAAATTTGCAATCGAGGAAGTGCTGGCGAAGAGAAAAATATTCGTCAAGCCGAAGCTATATGGTGAGTCTGAATGTTCAGGTACGTCATATCCAGCAATGTTGACGGCCGAACAGAGACGTTGGACATGTTCGGAAAAAATGTGGACACAGTGAGTAAGACCGACTTCCTGCGCATTCTCACTATGATCGTCTCGGGTCTTGTCGAATGATAGCACAATTGCGGTCTTGGTGGCCCTCTGCCAGATCGCGTGGAAAGGCCGACTTTTTGTCTTTCTTTGCACCTGGGGTCACATTCTCCGTAATCAGGAGTGTCCAAGCATGGCATTTTCCGAGCCTTCGTCTAGTAACGTATTCATCTTACTCAACTGTCTCTTAGGTTAACGGGGAAGAGTGGTCGAGACATCGCAAGATTACTGCTCCCTGCTTCAACGAACGGGTTTCCGGTTTTGTTTGGAACGAGTCAATCCGGCAATCTCAAGCTATGCTCGCTCAGTGGCTTTCACAACCCGGAGGCAGGATCTCAAAGATGGTTGATGATACCCGCATCGTCGCATTGCACGTCCTCACCGCAGCTGGTTTCGGCGTCCAACACGATTTTGTCAGCGGTGCTCGCGTTACGGCTCCAGGGCACAAGCTTTCGCACCGCGACACTCTCATGATATTGCTGAACAACATCATCACCACTATGATCGTCACTCCGCATGAGAGTTTCTTCGACAAGACCGCAATGCTTTTGGGTCCGCGCTTGAAGGGCATCTTGCTCGCACTGAAGGAATTTCGGCAATATACCAACGAGGCGATGGCTTCGGAGCGAAAGCTTCTATCCGAAGAACGCGGATCTCTGAAGCATAATCTCATGAGTACACTGATCCGCACGTCCGATCAAGCCAAGACCGACGGTGTGCAATCTGCGGCGAAATTGAGCGACGATGAGATCAGAGGCAACATTTTCATCTTTAATGTCGCCGGCCACGACACAGTAGCAAATACGCTCGCGTATGCCTTTGCGTTACTAGCCATCCACCCTGAGGTCCAAACATGGGTGGTCGAGGAGATCGATCAGGTCACTCGGGATGCGAACACTCCGGAGTACGAAAGAGCTTATCCGCATCTGAAAAGAGTCATGGCTGTGATGGTAGGTCTCCCCAAGTTGTTCTAGCACGTACCGTGATCAGTCCCACAGATAGAGTGGTCACTCGACGGCAAGCTTCTGGCAGATCTACTTGACCGCTCTCAGCTTAACCCTCTCGCACGCTTGGCTAATTCGAACAGTACGAGACACTGCGAATGTTTGGACCCGTGCCCCAGATTCCACGTGGCATTACTACGCCCAACATACCTCTGACAATCAGTTGTCCAGACTCCACGGCATCCTCCTCTTCAACAACAGTTCTTCTCATCCCGCCAAATACCCAAGTAAACCTGAACATCCACGCAATGCATACCTCGCCCTCAGCATACCCCAGTCCCAAGGTATGGAACCCCAAGCGATGGATCACCTCAACTGCACCAGCAACTCAACCCGCCTCATCCCTCTCTTCAATATTGCAGAACGAGAAGCTTGTCCACATGGAGCGAGGCTTTGCACCATGGGCCAGTGGGCCGCGCGTCTGCCCCGGTATGAAGTTCGCACAGGTGGAGTTCTCGGCCGCGTTGGCGACAGTGTTGAGGAGGGCGTGGATTGCGCCGAGCATCAAGGGCGGCGGAGACGCTGAGGAGACGGCAGCGAGAAAGGAGGTGGAGGCTTTGTTAAGGGATTCGCATCATATCGGGGCGACGATATCGATGAAGAGGCCTGAGGACCTATGGCTCAAGGTTACGCGGCGCTAGGAACAAGGAGCTGGCGGGGTTCAAAAGCATCCATAGCCGTGTGCAGGTATCATAGCGGCTGGAGATCTGTACGAAGTCTTATCATGGCCTGGGGTAGAGTGTGTCGATTTACGAAGTTGGCTTAGTGGTTTGGTATCCAGCGAACGTGCAAATTTCTATCAAAACCCCCAAACCAAACAGCAAGATGGCCTCCTTTATACCCAACTTTTACTCTTATGCAGGGCGAGCAGATTTAGATTTGCCCTCGCGTCACGCATGCCCATGCTCATGCAGGTGTAAATAATCTCCACTTGTCCAAGCAGGGTCGCCCCCTGACGACGCTTCCGCTGCCCCGTGCTGGCTCCCCCGCTGCAGGTCATGCTCATGCAATGATCTGTTGTTGGGGTTGTCTTCGGTGCTATTTGATGGAACGAGCGTCGCGCGTCCGAGCGAACGATGGGTGGGGACGGCGAGTAGATCGGTCGGGTCGGTGTTTCAGATGTGCAGGGTCGAGGTACCAAAGTTTGGACCCTGGGATGACGAGAGGATGCGGCCGATTGTTCGAGTCAATGGCTTCTTGCTTCGTATGGAACATTTAACTTTACTAAATGCTCAGAGCCAGTCGTGGCCATGAGCCACTCTGATGGCACCGGGGGAGGGAGGATCGTCAAAGCGCATGAAACAACGTAACATTGGTATCAATCAGAAATGATTAGAATCATCCCCACCACTTACATCGCATCGAATACAACGTCTCCCGTGTTCCAGCACAACAGCAAACGCAATAAAATCTATTAAAAACCATTAGAGACACGCCAATCTCTGAGCACACCTTCCCTCTCCATCAGACCCCTGAACATTCCTTACGTGCCGGCATTCCTCACCCACAGATTGATCCTATTCGCTGCACCGCATAACTCACCCCTAGCTCCAACACAGCTGAGATTGCAGTCGCTCTCGAGCGCCCTCGGGTTCGCCGTTGTTCGCAAGTGCGTTGCCCAACCAGCATTCATTGCTATATTCGAGACCTGCATACGTATACTGCATCGCCTCAGCCAACAACAAGCAGCCCTCTACTGACATGTTGGCGGCCGCTCCACCATTCGAGAGAAGACGCGGCATCGTGCTGTCGACCTGGCAATTAGCGTACGTGTAGTTGTCGATGGGCGAGGCGGGCACTGCGGGATCATTGGAGACCTTGGACGGGTCGGAGGAGTGGTAGACTGAGATGTGGCCGAATGCTCCACAGGATGCCGTATGATCTCCAGAGCAGAGGAAGCTGCATTCGGAAAGAGGTGTTTGTGTGCTATTCTTGAGGAATGGCCCGCACTATTCATTCGTCAGCTTTGCCGTGGGAAGGGAGTCAAGAGAGGATTATGCATACCCAGCATTCGGACGAGTTTTCGAGGCCAAAGTACGCGAATTGCGAGCAGTAGTTTGAACACAGAGCTGCGGTCATGTTCGGACTCTTCAGTGCGGAAAGAGCTCGCAATGCGCGACCCTGCCCTCGCCAGGCATTATCTTGCCAGCAGCCTACAAAGCTGTACGTGTTCACTGGAGAGATGGATGGTGATGTCGTTACTGAGATAGGTGAGGTCGATGTACTGGTCGGCGTAGTGATTGGAGTTGCTGGCAACACCGTATTGCCGCTTGATGATAATACTGTCGAGGAAGACGGGGTCGAGGGACTAGTCGACGTGAATGGCGGTTGTTGGTAGTACTGGAACACTTCTTGACGAGAAGATTACTGACGAATTGCTAGTTGATGTGGTAGGAGTTGTCGGGAACCTCAGTGTGCTGCTGGAAGAAAGCGAGGTCGTGGACGGCGGGGAAAGGCCACCAGACGATGGGACAGAGTCCGTCGAGGTAAGAGTACCTGTGGAAGATACCACTAATCCACTGCTTGGCAGAAGAACTATTGAAAATGTGCTTGACATCGAGCTTGTCGTCGCGACAGCCACAAATGTAGACATCAGCGACGTGGTCGTGGATGAGGACGTGGTCATAGGAGATGTCGCAGCGATGGAGGACGTCCCCGATGGCATCTTTACCACAGAGCCGTTGCCGTACAACTGCATGAAGTTGCCGCCTCCACAATTCTGGAACGTGCTCCCCGTGCAGCTGGTCGCGCATTTGGCTTGTGGCACAGGGACAGCGTCATCAAGAACGTTGTCCATCCAGCACTCGCGCCCGTACTCCAACCCGAAGTATGAATAACCATTAGCAGCGGCTCGAGCGGAACACAGCTCAGTGGTCATGATGTCACTATAATAAACATTTCTCAACGCTCGATCGTTGGGCTTCTCAGCATAGCAGCCCATCGAAGCAAAGCCTTTGACGGGCGATGGGTTGCCAAAGTAAGATGGAGTAAGCTGGTAAATGCTGAGACCCCAGTTACCGCCACAGATCTGTGAGTGATTGGCGGCGCAAGGAAGATCACACCTACCATCTGTGGCTAGATCTGTAGTAATAAGTATACCGTCTCCACAGTAGCATTCATTCGTGTATTCAGTACCAAAGAAAGTGTAGCCAGCGCAGAATGCTGCGCAGAAGTCCAGTGACACCGAGCTGTTAGCAACGGATCGGGCGCGCAAGCATCGCTGAGGCACGTCTATGAAGCAGCCGACATAAGTGTAGGCTGACAACGGCGATCCTGGGATTGGTGATGTCGTAGGCAGAATAGAAGGCGATGATAAGCCAGAGCTCGTTGTGACTGAGGTGGATGGAAAGCTGGAGCTTGTTGTAGCAGAAGTGGAAGAGAGACTAGAGCTCTTTTTGGTTGAGCTCGCAGAGCCGGTGGCTATAGAAACGGTAGAGCTGAGGATAGTTGTGGGCACCACTACTACCTGGGGACTTGAGCCAGTAGTAGAGCTCAATGTGGAGCCGGGTGAAATGACTGAACCAGACGTGCTATTAGAGCTGATAATGGTAATCGTGACAGAAATCGCAGAAGCTGTAGTCCTAGACGTGGTAGGATTGATGATAGTTGTAGATACCACGACCACCTGACTTGTTGAGCTTGAGGTGAAGCTCGAGATGGAGCTTGGTGTAGTGCTCGGTGTAATGACTACACTGGATGTGCTGGTCGCATTGATAACACTACCTGTACTCACAGACGAACTGCTTGGGGTCACGAGAACAGTGGAGGTGGAACTCATCGTGCTCGTAGTCACCAATGTTGGCAAGACACTGGATGCGGTACTCGAGACGACCGAGCTCATCCTACTCGTTGGCAAAGCTGGCAGACTCGCGTTAAACTGATAGACCTGCATCCTATTTAAACCACCGCAGTACTCACTATTGCTACCCTTGCACGGGTAATTACACTGACTAGGGTCAACAAGCGTGGATTTGGGGTTCAATGCGTTCCCGCAGGTACACTCCTGTGAGTACTCCAGCCCAAAGTAGGTATATGCACTTCCGCACCATGTAGCACACCATTCGACAGTCATGATATTGGAAGTAGTTGCATTCAGAGACACAGTCTTGCCGGAAGGTTCGGCATAGCAGCCGATGAAGCCGTATTGACCAACGGATGGCGTAAGCTATAGCGGACTCGAAGTGGTGTTCCCATTGAACTTTGTGGAATCGGAGAACAAGGACAGCCAAGTAGTGTTTTTGAGGACACCGTTGCCTCCACATGTCTGATCAACGTCACCGGAGCAGCCATAGTTACAGTTGGCATCATCGCCTTTCGAAATCGGGATATCTATGCCGCACCAACATTCCGAAGAGAATTCTGTGCCAGCAAATATATAGCCTAGCGAGCTGCAGGTGCTGATACATTTCGTGTTGGTGTTGTTGACAGTGTCTGTATAAGCTTGTATAGCTAGTTGTCGGCCGGGATTGCCTTCCTTGAAGCAGCCAGTGTAACCATACTGCGCCGTGCCATTCGGAAGGAGGGTTCCAACTTGATCGGTAGCAGCTTGGCAGGAGAACTGTATGAAAAGCTTCCCTTGGTCTGGATCATTGGTGTTCAGCGTCCAGACAGTTGAGCCATTGTAGCTTGGAAGATTGACCTGTGATTTTGGCACAGCACAGAACATTTGGGCCGTTTGGCTATCGCCCGCAGAGATGATGCTACCTTCCGCCAGGTCGATGTTATTCGTTTTCCCGATGATATCCGGGATGCCGTACGGAGGCTTTGAGACAGCGACCGACAGAGGGACTGCACGAGGACCACCGCCATTTGTAAGCCGGAAGAGCAGATTTTTGGTCTGACCTTCATACACTGTACCAAAATCGAAGGGCGTCGAATTGGTAAATGGCACCCATCCTGACCCGTCGGGAGTTTGGAACTCCACAATGGCTTTAGGCTGCGTCCCCGCGAAACCTGAAGCGGTGAAACTAGCAGAGCCTCCGTTTGTAAAACCCGTTAGGAATACAGTGTCGTTCCCTGGGGTGTGCGGGGCATACGTGACGGTGAGTACTGCAGATGTACCAGGCGCCATCGTGACAGGTAGCACGCTGAAGGTAAAGTCACCTACCTGCAACTGACCAGATGAGGTAGTATTAGGCTGGATCCAGGGCCCATTCGGTGATACCAAAGAGAAGCTGAAATTCGCGAAACTCAATGAAGAGTCTCCAAGATTCCACAGCAAAGTGGGCTGCTGTGACGGGAGTTGATTCGCAATGACGTTGAACGAGATCGAGCGGGGAGAAATGGCCAGTAAGGGAGCAGCGGAGCGTCCTGTAGCTCGCAACGTGACAAGAGAGGTTGAGGAATATCCCGGGAACGCGTTCTGTACGTTAATAGTGACATCTTTCAATAACGTGCCCACGTTAGCTGGGCTGGACGCTACGCTAAAAGAGAAATTCTGGCTAGTTGACAGGTTGAGCGGCAGTGCCGGAACATTTTCTACATGAAAGTTGATCGAGTCCAGCAAGCTGATACTCTGCACTGTTGTTCTATTGAGAGCAGTGCAGGTAATAGTCGCGGGCTGCGTGACAGTGTTGATGGGAATGGCGCCGAAGTTGTAAGGAGATGAACAGTTCAAGACGCTCTTTACCGGTGATCCAAATCCATAGAGATAACCCTGGTTGGTAGAGATGTAGACTCGACCATCTCCGAAGACAGGATGGGAGAATTTGGTTACGCCAGGAATGCTGAAATTCCTCAAGCTCGTCAACGGGCCCCCATTTGCAGGAGGTATGGGATCATATATTCGCAGCCCGTATCCTTGTACATCCGAAATCCAGAGTAGGCCTGTTCCATCTTGGTCATTCATTGTGGTAACCGTTGCGGCGCCAGTCCCCAGGATGTAAGCATTGAGGTCTGGAGTGTCCGAGACGAGTGAGAAAGTTGCGTTACCGAGTTCATCGCACGAGAACTTGAATACGTGTGTCTTGAATTGCGTGACCGGAACGTATACGTAACCACCACCAAGAGGTATCATTCCAGCTCCTGCGTAAACTGAATTCTCATTCTGATAGACCTGGATCACGTTATCACCGTTGTTAGGTCCTTGCTGATATCCACCGAGGTCGTCCAGATTCAAGAAGTAAGTTTTGCCACTCTTTCCTGTCACGACGCCAATACGGCGGTGATTTGGACAGTTGAAAGTAGTCGACGGTAACAAGACAAGAGGGGTTGTCCCTAGGTCTCGATCTGCCCCGTCGAGTGCAACTTTCTCATAAGGCATGAAGAAATCAATGATGGTAAGAGTCCCATCGTCGTTGATCTTGGCGTTGACCGCTGCTTCTTCCAAAGAGGAAGGTGGACTACGACCGGGGACAGCGTTCCCACTTGCTTTGAGCTGAGATGCGTAACCGTTGCCCGTGGCAAAGTACATGCTTCCTCTGCCGTCGTATGACAGACCGCCACCGGACATCCATATACCGCCTCCTTTGACAATATTTGGCTCTGGGCCACCTTCCGTAGCAAACGCTTCTACTATCTTTCCGGTTTTCTTGTTGAAGCCTATAATCGCTCCAGTGTAGTTATACTGAATACAATGGGATGCATATCCTGTGTAGAGGTAGTCGCCGACGATGATAGCCCCGGTTCGGGAATGTTGGTTTCCACCGAGGAACATCCGGTTTGGGTTGTTCCGGAAGACAGTGCCATCGAGCGGTATCGGCCATCCCGTAACCTCCGATAGCTCTTCTGTATGAACAGCGTGTTGCCAGTACCTGCCGTTCAGACGCCCCGGCGGATTTGAGACGGAGAAATTACCGTTTTGAAATCGCTCCGCGTATGTCTTTGACGTGACGTACCAAATATTAGTAGATGGGTCGATTGTCCCTGTGGATGTGATGCCAATGAGGGGTTTAATATCAACACAGCCTTTCAGTATGTTAGAGCTCGATATCGGAGTTGGAGGTAAGTCAACCTACTTTCTAGTTCAACCTGCAGGAACGGTACATGAAGGTTCCGACTTGCAACTATGACCCCCGTTTTTGCATCCAATTTGTACAGATTGTTCTGCGTCGTTGCGACATAGATGTATTGAATCCCATCGTTCCCTGTGTAGACTAGTGGCGCCGCGAAGATCTGTTCATTTGCAAGACCCTGAAAGTTTCCCGGTAGGGTTGTTCTGAAAATCTGATCGAACCCTGAGCTTGCAACTTCACTTGGGTTCATGTTGTGGTTGCTGTATTCAATGTGAGCTTGCGGCCATAACCGCGCTGCGATAACTTACTTCTGATAGCTTGTACGACTATTGTCACCTCCCCATGTTATCGTATCTGTGGCCCCCAATGCATATGTCGGCGGAATAGAAATCCTTAAATAATTGATAAGAAGCGACCAACCAATGGTCGAGGGCATCGTAAGTAGACCCATGATAGGTAACTTGCACGCTGCGATGAGAATCTATAGCAGCGCAGCAGAAGGAAGCAGACGAGACGTGAAAGGTCGTTGCTCGAGAGATGTGGAGACAAGAAAACCCAGAGTTTCGTACGATTTGGATCACTCTGTGTTGCAAACCCCGTTTCGTCTCGGAAGAGGCAAGAAGATGTCGATGGGGAGGGGCGCACTAAGCAGGCAAAATCCTTCTAGGTAAGTCAGCGATCTCAAGAACCCACCAACAACATAATGGCTTTTTGATCAGCCAGCCAGCTTGATAGAACCTGATTACGATCTGGAGACGCCAGCATGCATGTCGCTGCGGAGGATATGCGGGGCAGTTGCTGACTGACGGGTCAACCGTGTTGATACGTAACCCGGCGAATATGGTTGCCCCTGACATATCACCCAACACTCAACCATTCTTTATCAGCGGCACACGAAATGGGGCATATATGGAAGGTTACTCATGCTAATTCTACACCCGAGAGGCATGTCAGGCAAGAAGACGAGTGAGTGGGCACCAATGACGCTCCGATGCGCGGTAGGCTATGGTGCAGGAGTCTCCCCAGGCGGCAAGTGAAGCCATATCAAAAGGCGGGTGGCCAGAATCCTACGTCGAGAAGTATTCTTCACACTGACTTTTTCTTCCCCAAAATCACGCAAAGGCTTTACTGTGGCTTTGCATTCCTGCTCAGTAAGGACTGACATGCAAGATCTGCTATTTCCAACAAGTGGTGTTTAGATATCCTCACTGAACAATGCCGGGTGCCATCGATGCGAGATGGGTTTTAAATGGAAAGCCATTCCCGCGGGAAATTGTCCATGGAACCAAACCTGGTCATAACTGTTGAAGAAAACGACGTATGCAGCTTAAGTGGGTCTTCGTGCAGCATGCTTTATGTACGGTGCTAGACGCAGGAACATTAGCGAAGTGCCTTCGGCAGTGCGTGCCTCGCACATGAAGATTCCTGCTCGAAACGATTCGACAAGAGGTCATGTTGCAGAAGCAAAGGCAACCAGGACGCACCGGCAGGTGGTGGGATTACAGTTTAAGTTTCGACACTAGTGCTTGCAGGCAACAGACAGTCTCACTAGTGCCACTTGGCTATGTCAGTGCGACGTGCAGCGAGCTGGGAATGAGGCTCAGACACTGGGACGCTTGTCTGTCAAGCGGCACCTGAGAGTTGTCAGCCCCTCATGGTTCCTTGGTCCAGAATAGCGCTTGAGTCGAGTGTGCCACTAGAGAGATTGGTATTTCGACGATAATGAGTAATCATACTGGCCGAAGAAAAAATGGGAGTCCTGCGGGCCCTACTGTGAACACTCGCGCTGACCTATCATACATTTAGTTTACAAGCGTAAAGACGTATACGTTAACACAGAACGAGGTGCGCACAGACTCTCATTCATTGTGTCAGCCACCGTGAATAATGAATATTAAGGACATTCATAAGCATGGACGAATGGAGACTAAAACTCCACAAGAAATAACCGCTTTCAAGCGTCCCCCTTCTCGAACACCTGGGCGCCTGAACGCTGAACCGCTCACAAGAACCAATAATCAACCATGAGATAACCCAGGACCAAGCATGGTCCGACCAAAAGGATATCACCCAGAAAGTAATCCCAAAAGTCCAAGTCTTCAGCTTCTGGTCGGCCGTCGTGAGCCAAATCCTAAATCAGCTCGCCCTCTCCCTCCTCCCCAAACTCCCCCCCCTCTTCATCCCAGTCGACCTCGGCGGCAGCCTCATCAGCCTTTCTCTGCACCTCAGCAAGTCCCGACATCTCTTCAACCCAGCCCTTCTCGTTCAGCGCCTTTTGCACGAAGTTCCAGGGGTCTTTCTGGTACAGTTCGAGCACTTTGTCGCTACATGCTGAGCAGCTATCGTACGGTTTGCCAGTGACCTGCCTGTTGTGGAAATCGTAAAGGGTACCGCGTATTGTATGAGGGACAACACCAAGTGGATGAACGAAAGGCGCTGGTAATGAGGGATGCGAAGATGAGAGTGGCTGTACCGAGGGATTGTTGGAGGGGTCAACCGGTGCGCGAGCTTTGGATGGGTGTTGCAATACGCTGACCAGGAGTTCAACCAGCAAGCTTGATGCCAAAGGTGCGACGCCGGGACGTGTCACCGTGCATTGCTGATCCAATGTAGCATTGCTTAGAGACTAGCATCGTCAGTTGAACATATCGAACTGTGGTGACCTGTACTTACGTCTGCTGGTGCTACAACATCGTTGCAGAAGTAACAGCCAAGCTCTTCCTCGCCTTCAGCGTCCTCAGTGGTCTTGAGCCCATGTCGCATTACCACAAAAGTGTCAAAACCCAAGGCCGCATTCAAGACGATCTTGCCTTTGGCTTTACCCATCACAGTAGGCAGCCATCTACTCTCCCGTGTATCCATTAGAAGGAAAACGGCGTCGTGTTCGTCCATGAGTTGCTCCAGCTGGTCAAAATTTGACTTCGTTTGAGTTTCGTCCGTGATAGGGTGGCCTGCCATTGGCACTTCCATCACGTAGCCTTTCGCGTCAACGCCAGGATAGATCTCTTCCAGTGCTTCCGCTGCTCGTTCGGCTTTCTTCGCGCCACCCTGGAGGCAGTCTTTGAAATCGAACAGCGGCTGCCGCACTGGATTTGAAAAGCTTACAGTAGCATTGTCGATGAATGTGATTTTTCGCACTCCCCAACCCATTAATATCCGCGAAACATATGAACCTAGCGTACCAGCGCCAAGCAGAAGACATTTGCAATTCTTGATGACGTCCAGATCGATTGTGGGAGCTATTCGCCACTTGATCAGCTTGAGATTTAGATCTACTGCTTGATCGGCAAGTCTCCGCTCGTCCATGTACTCCGAGAGGTCAACGATGCGCGACGTGAGCTTATTGTACTCGTTCCTTTCCCAGCCAGTCACTTTGGGTAGCTTTGGCACGCGTGTGGTAGCTTCCTCTGTCGATACGTCTGGTTCAATAGCCGGTGATTCAAGCTGCAATATGAGAGAGCGGGCCTCGTCTCGTCGAATGTGAGTATCCCGATAGCACAACACTTGGGCCTGGTTGAGTTTCCACCGATAACGTATCAGGACTAGCAGGTTCCGCAGTATCCAGCTGGGGTTCTCCTCGTAGGTTGAGGGGTCGGCAAAGCAAACAAATCGGTCTTCTTTGTCTACCCCTTCGAAGAAATCCTTCTCGTAGGATGACAAGCTTCCAATCACCCACCGATAACCTAAATCGTCGATAGGAGTTGGTGGCGGACCTTCAGGATCGTCGTCGGGTGGACTTGAGCGGACCTTCTTTGCGAGAAAGAAGCCGCGCTGGCGTGCATCGGAGCGGTATTTCCAAGTTTGAACAGCATCGACCAGCTGAACCGTCTCTCGCGAGCTTAGCCTTTGTAGGTCTCCAACCTGCTTCCATGGAGGGTCTGATTGTATAGCTGGGAAGCCAAAGTGGTACGTGAACTTGTACTTTTTCAGGTTCGCGAAGGTGATCAGAGTGAACGCGGCAAGGAGCGAAGGACACTCGTATACAGAGCCATCATGGATTGCTTCCCATATCTACGGCAGGTCAGCCGACACTCGACATGTAGGCTCCCGGCGCATGCAGCTTACCGTTTTGGCGCAGCGCTCCAAGACCTGGGTTCTATCAAGGTTCTTGTAGTCTTCGATAGTATTGCAATTCTTAATGATGCCCTCGGCGCGACAGTAGTTGGGTGGTGTATCGTCCGAAGTCAGCGCGTTTGGATGTATCTGGATGCGGTTGGAGCGGCCTGGCGCGTCGTTTGCCCGCACCTCGTACAGGCCGAGCACTTTGCGTGCCGAGTCGTCAAGCTTGTCATGGTTGATCTTGATGTGCGCGAGAGCAGCATAGAATTGCACGTCGACATCGCTCTGCCAGGGCGCGAATTTGAGGGCAGCCATCATGGGCGAGTCGCGGGCAGTTGGAGGGGCAAAGGGTGTATGCAGTCCGACCGGGCGCTTGATGGATATGTAGGCGGCGGCGAGCGACTGTATTACCGAGCGTCGCCAGGAGTCACAAGAACGACGAGCTCGAGTGCACGTGCGGCGATCAGGCAGCTCGAGTGAATGTCTCAAAGCTGTCGTCAGGCAGCGCCGACCGGTGCGTGAGCTCCAGCACCGGCGCGCCTTCCCCCAATGCCCCGCACTATCCTCATTAGGCGGCGGGGCAGTCACTCGCACCACCACCACTTCACGCGTGCCTGCTGAGTCGAGCTAGCGACCCAGGAATCACTTTCGCCTTTCACGTCGTCACATCGAAACACCCGTACAGTCTTGCTGGAATGCAACCCGCGAGCAGCCGTGGGACTTTGTTTCCCCAGACAGTGCTTGCTTCACATTCTGCTCTTGTCCCGTACCAACTAACTCCGAACGGTGGGAACACGCTGACCAGATTTCACGCCAGCTATGACGTTTTGATCCGAGGCTGCCCGGCGCGCCAAACAAGTTACAGCATGGCTTTTCAAACTTCCTCATCACAAGCGAGCCGGCATTCTTCTGGATTGAGGACACACTGTTAGGGCACACAAGGGCGACCGTAGCGATCCTGCCTCGAAGACAAAGAAGAAGCTGAAAGTCAGCCCGATCAAGGCATCAGCGAAAAGAGACAAACTCATCCCAGTAGTGAGAGCCTTCTTTCTTCTCATCAAGAGTCAGGATCTCGACCGACTATCAACAAGCCAAGATCGAAGCCTTGCCGGCAATGGTCGAGAGGCATGCTGCGATGCAACAACCCAGGATGATTCTCTGCTCCATGTAGCATGGGACATTTTCCACCTTACTTCCGTCTCAGGACTCTATCCTGCTGCAGTCGACTACTTCTCACCGACGTCAAGCTAGTAAGCCCGAACGGAGATTGCGGGAGCTCTGCACTAATCTCACGTCGCGCCACACACCTGGATACTCAGCTGCACGCGGTACCTTCATCAATAGCTGGACCTGGTCAAAGGATTATAGGGCCAGTAGGTGTGGGTCTCACCTGGTACCGAGGGAGCCTTGATCTTGGTCTTGTCACTGATGATGAACGGGCCGCAGATGTGCCAACCTCCGCGGCTGCATGCCAGGGTGGCGTAATCGGGACCTCGACCCAAACGTCTGGCTTCAGCCGTCACAGGCTGTGCGTCTGTACATCAGCGCATCGGTCTGGTGATCATAGCAGCTCGCCTAAGGAGTCGCTCACGTCTAAGCTCGTGCTACACAGCCTTCGTCGCCCGCAGCATCAGCTTCATAGTGCCGTTGCATGACTTAACGAGGTACCCGGCTCAAAGTACCAGATATCGTTTCTGAGCCATGCCCATTTGTGCGCTCTGCAGTTTCATGGCCACCAACAACGGCGGCTCGTATTACCACAGCCAGCCTCGGCCCAGCCGGTTATTTACAGCATCGCAAACTCGACACGGCATCCAGTACTGACTTGCATGCCATACTGCACGTACACTGCTGATCGGTGGTGGCGGGCGTACCTGTCCGGGGTATGCAGACGCCTCACTGCCGGCACTTCTCAAAGCACTTCCAAGATCTCAGGCACACTTGACAATTGGTCGGCCTTCGTATTTCGGGGTCCGCGATCGGTCGTGAGAACGCGGGCCTCGATAACCACAACGCCGCGACTTCACATCATTATTATTTGTGGCCTAGTGGTTCGTGTATATGGTTGGCGATCTTCGGGAACGACAAAGGATGCATTGACAGCCTTGGCATGCACACTTAGGTGGCATTCATGTATTGGAATAATCAGTACTAAGCTATAAGGATGTATATACGGAACTCAGCTTAGCGTAGCTTAACGGAACTAGATTTAGCGACGATAGGAAACGAGTTCGTATTTACATGTGTCGTGAGGAGGTAACAGATAGGGTAATGGAAGAAGGGGGCACGCAAAACTATCAACATCCGAAGCGAAGTAGAGCGAGTGACACGTCATCAATCCCGTCTATCCTGACAGCCACAATCCCCTCCAAGACATAAACAAGAAAGCTATGCCTGAACTCCGCGGGAACACGCTGGAGTTAGGGACAGACTAGGGAAGCCTTCACCGTAGCAACCGCGAATCAAGTATCGGGCCGATGAAGGAACGGCTGTAGATAGCCGTCTACCAGATCTGTGCCGGAGAGCTGGGCCATTCGAGCGGGGGCCAGCGCTTCCTCAAGCCAGAGTCGTCTTGTGGGTAGATGGGTTTGTTACGGATGTAGTTTTCTGTAAAGTTTATCAGTTTGTTACTATCATAGAGAATGGCAGACGGCTTACCGTAGTTGTTGCAGGTGTTGAACCATTCACTGTTTTGAGCGGGCAAATTGATCTCACTCTGGCGCTCAACAAATTGGACACTGAGACCCATCGCAACATGGAAGGCAATGTGACAGTGCATCAACCAAGCTCCGGGATTGTCAGTTGGGTAAGCGATGACGAGCCAGCCGTTGGCTGGCAGGTGGTAAACGTCACGACGGGTCGGGTTGGTGAAGGTCAGGGAGCTCAGGTGGGTATCAATGTTGAACTGGCCAGAGCCTGTTCCAAGGACATACGCATCGTGTCCATGGAGATGGATGGGGTGGGCCAGAACTCCAGCTGGATTATTAGCCGCTTGTTGGATGATCCAGTACGTCCTGGGGCACATGGTCAGTGAAACAGTCAAAAGTCGAGGGGTTTGGGCGAATGTGGGGGATTGCTTACCAGGCAGCACTGTCCGAGATATTGATCAGGTTGTAGTTCTTCGGGTAGTTGCTTTGGCCCTTAGCCATGTATTCGAGTGTGGGCTCGGCAGGATCAATGATCATGCTCGTTCCGTTGACGGTCCAGAGCACGATGGACTGGTTGTTGGTAGCGACAGTGCGGTTATCGAAGGAAACGGGCAGTTGCTGGGCTTGATTGGCGAAGGTATCCTTGGGAACGTTTTTCGCGATCTTTGGCACTGTCTTAGGATCTTCGCATGTAGTGGGAGCACCGCTGAGTGCCGCTGAGTTAGGGTCCGCGACAGCCACGCCGTCGTAAGTGAAAATAGATCGACCAACCCCGGCGTTGAAGCTTATACATGGTGCGTGAGCTTCCGCACGGAACCAATAATTACCGGCTGTTTGGTTGGCGGTGAAAATGACGTCGTACCGTTGCCCAATGCCAACGAGAACCCAGTTTGTGTTGTAAGGTACGATAGGCACGAAGTCATTCGCAATAACGGTGAAAGGATGACCGTCAAGGGAAACGCGAATAGCAGCGTCGATGGACGGGTTGACAAGACGAAGGCGATATTTCTTGCCAGTCTGGATCTTCACTTTGTTGTACTTCCCAGTAGTCACTGAGCCTTCGGTCTTCTTGTTGGTGCCGTTGACGAGAATGTTGGTTCCAGCGGGTCCCCTTCCAGTCATCAAAGCTATGGAAGAAGCATGATAAGCTGTGATGTTGTACCAATCTTGTACAGTGTACGTGCCGAGATCAACATCATAATTGGCCGTGGCCGGGCCATTGATACTTTCGGTATGTTAGTAAAGATTCCGTGGGGCTAGTTGATATAATTACATGATTGTTCCCAGAGTACCGTCGCCATACTGAGCACTGAAGTGAGAGTGGTACCAACTCGTGCCGTATTCCGTGGCACGGAAACGATAAGTTTTGGTATCCCCAGGTGCTAGAGCGCACTCCGTGACTCCATTCACCTATTTAATACCTATTAGTTTCGTTCTCCTGGTCGATGATCTGGAACTAAGAACTTACGCCATCTTCCGTGTTCGAGTGCAACTGACGGAGGCCATGCCAGTGGAAAGAGGTACCGTTGTGTTGCATCTTGTTGCGTATGGTGATCTCGAAGGTGTCCCCCCAATTCCCAATGATGGTCGGGCCGGGCATCGAGTTATCGATAAGCAGGCACACACGCTCTCGACTGCCGTCAGGGTTACAGGTGGTGTTGGTGACAGCGAGGTCGTACTTGACCACACGTCCTGTATTAGGCCACGAATTGTACATGTCGGTGTTAGAATCGAAGCCAGGAAGCCAGCAGTTTCGACTGGTAGGACCGTTGGTACAACTTTGCTTCTTAGTGAGAGCATGAGGAGCATCCATGCGCTCAGCTTGGATCGGGGAGGCGTTTGCGGAGAGGGAAAGCCCCAAAAGGGCAGCCCCAATAGTTACAAACTTCATGGTAGGCCAGTAAAGATGCTGATAGTAAGAACGGTAGCGGGTGGTGTCCGAGAAGGCTAAATAGGCTTCAGATGAGACTGGAAGGCCGCTCTAGTTTGTAAGGAGGTAGTCGAGAGTTCTTTTATATTCGTTGTGAACGATAGTCACTAACCTCATAAGCTCACTTCGGCAGTTGCAAAATGCTACTCTGGTTCCTGGTCCGTATAGAGTCGTCCCGCCGTGATCCTGGCAAGTGAAGGGTCTTAGCTGGTGGTGCCCCTGCGTACACGAGCAGCAGGCCCTAGAGACGACTCGTTCATAGGCTGTGGGGGTCTCGAGGCCGTCGTGGGGACCACAAGGTAGCATTCACCGGAGAGGGCTTGCAGTAGTCGCCCATGCTCACGCTATTGAATGTAATTCCTGCTGCGGTGAGCATTGCCCATGAATCCTAGGACATCATGAAGAAGGGCGGGATTTGACTTTGACTGGTTGGCATGCTTCTTCAGCGCAGATGTGAGTCAACAGTCGTGACACTGCTCCTTCAGTGGACTGAGATAGTGAGCTTGTTGCGCTTTAGAGCAACATTTAGACGCTCATTCGATGCTGAGTCTGTGTTATCTCAAGGCAGATAATTTCCTAAAATAAGAACATGAGAAAATGACACAGATGACAGGTCGAAGACAAGCGTACCTTGCAGCATCGAGACATTGCCCAAGCTTCTGACGGAGGGTGGGCGGGACCGATTACGAACAAGCTCCACAGCCGAGCCACAGAAGGAGGCATAGTAGTCATAGCTTTCTGCCATTCAGACCGATAAAATCTAGCGAAAGGCACCCACAATAAGCCTCTGGGCGGTACGAATAGGATTGTATTAGCTGAATACCACGTCTTCGGTATCGCGAGTCCCGAGTATCACCGAAGAGGGAATTTATATCGAGCGATGTGCTGCACGCTATTCAACTGCATATTCGAACTAGTAACGTGTCGCTTTGTTAGCACTCGGCGTTTAGGATGGTGATGCGCGGGACGTTCATCTACAGTCCAGCTGATAGTTCGGAACTTTTAGCACGAGCGGTCTCAAGGCAATTGCTGACATCACGTCGAGTTTAGAATGAGAGGCACTTGAAACGATCCAGTCAACTCGTAACACGCTCAATCGATAGGTTTCGAACGGTGAAAGCCTTCACGTTGAATTATTACTTCATCAGCGATTTGGGTTGGCCCTTGATGCTCACTGCAAAATGATCTGTACCAATTTCAGGTGGTAGGCCTCAGTATGCATTTTTGCCCTGCATCAGAATGCGCTCTGTACCCTTAGCCATGTAAAATTACGAGAGCAACGCGGCGCAGCTTACCACCTTGTCGAAGTAGAGCTGATTGTTCGCTTGTGTATTTCAATTCTTGGAGGATTTCTGCGGGCATAGAAACATCAGCAAGCTTGCCCTAGGGCTGAAGATTTATCTCTGGTGGGTAATACGGTGGGGCCACTCTCAGCGCGAGATGTTGCGAAAACGAGTTGCCACGTGCATGCACTCCCACTTATGGGGGGACCTTTCGCATATTGGCCTGTTGCCGGTGCATGGGAATCGCCGTTCGCCTATAATAAAGTTTGCTATAGGCAACTGCAACACTCCTTTGACCCACCTAAGACGAGGCAAACCAGGATGGCGGTGAATACGATCCAGGCTACATCCTACGGGTTTGTCTGTGCGTATACGAGGACGTGGGCGTACCAAAACCCAGGTTTCAGTTAGAACCTTGAGGAGTTGATGCAAGTTACAGCCAGTTTTCTGCGGTGTTATGCGCCATCAAACAGTATAAATGATACAGACCTAATCAGCACTTCCATCGATCTTGATGCCCGTTCGCATCCGCTATCATGGGAGCTGGGATCTCGGCTCACTGACAGGGGTGGATCTCGAAGCGTCTTAGGGCCTTACGAGAGAGGGGAAAAAAGGAATGAGGAATCGAGTCGAGTGCGTTCGAGAAAGTGACATCTGGTACCGCAAAGAAGCCACATGGAATGCATCCCTGCCAGCCCACGAGGTTTGGGCCGGGGAAGGGTAGCTCCGCCCCGAATGCGTTGGGCCGATACAAGCCACAAAGCTTACAGGACCTCAGTACACCGGAGGCTGCAGTTGTTACGCGTTCTTGGTGAGAAGCGCCTGATCTACGAGACAATACTCCTGTGGTTCTCGTCATCGTGATTCTAAAAGGCCTGTAAAATTCAAGGGTTGTGTATAACAAAGCTGGGGGTGGGAGACGAAGGGGACCCACTCACAGCGAGAGCCAGTCTTGTGATGCTTCGTGTGGCGTAAAGGCAACGCGGCCGAACGATTTTTGCCCGAACACGTGCATTACCTTACAGCGGGAAGGACGAATACTCGTTTATTCGTTTCCGAAGCTGCGGTTCAGCGCTACTGACCGAATCCAAGCTGCAGGAAAGAGCTTTACCCATGCAAGCGAGAACCCGCGGAACCGTCCCAGCTGGCCTCACAGCTGTGATGATCTTGCCCCCTCGGAGTTACCTTGCTGTCTAATTTCGATAGTTCAATGCGGATATCGCGGGACGAGCCTTGTGTCAACCGACCCATTCCGCGCAGGGATACATGCCAGGCAAGCAGTCGAAGGATCAGGTTCGGTGATATGGGTACATTGGCGACATCGGGACGCATCCATCGCGGTGCCGGGATTTTGAGGCTTGCTAAAGACCCTTTTCGCTACTGCAGAAAATGACTCGTCCGGTACACATACGAAACAAGCGCTTGAAAGATCAGGACGGTCCGGCTCGGGCCCGCAAGTTGATCATACGGCCAGCGCCTATCGAGTAACCTTAGTGGACCTTTACATAACAGTGGCCATCATGCTTGGAATGATCACGCGCAGGCTCTGAGTTACGTACCTTATGCAGGGGCCATATCACATTTCCAAGGATGTAGCAGTCCACTTAGTGTACCAGGTACAGAGCACAGCGGGAGATGTAGATGCACGTCAACGGCGAAGTGATACCATGTCGAGGGCGAATGCTCGTCAGGATCAGTATTCCTTAGGTCCCGTGGGACGCCATCGGAGCCGCAGTTGGTCTGTGTCATCGTGGCATGTCTCTGTTCTAATGTTATTAGGAGTAGTCCGAACGAGGCTTATGTTGGCATGCGATAGTCTACCCCGATGCGATGGTAAGCGGCGCCACATATTTGCTCTGTCCACTCATATGTCTGACTCGATCTTCTAAGAGCTTCACAGGCCCGAAATGCCGAAAAGATAGAAGCTTTGCTCTACAGCAAGTCAGAGCTTGGATTTCGTGCTACCTCTTGGCGAATATTACTCTGTGACCCACGCAGGGCCGAGTGAATTCTGCCTCGAGTGTCGCAGCTGAAAAAGCACTACCAAATCGTTATAGGAACCGTGACCTGCGAAGCTTAAAAGTTATCGCAAATTCGGTCTCTCATTGGTGTTGAGCCAAGGCTTATTCCTCAGCTGTTGCAAAGAGGATCGATGATGATGACGATGAGTTAAGACCATTCCATAACCGGTCAGCGGAGAGCGCTTCGCTGTAGCTGCAGCCAATGATAACCCTAATGGGTCGGGGTGGGCGATAGAGAGACGGATGCAGGTAGATTTTGTCGGGAGCACATATGCAGATCAGGTCAAAGGCAAGGAGAGCGGCTCAATTGGACCGCGCATGATGGATCGAGTTCGAGGGGAACAGGTCATTCCACAGGTAGATATATACCTGCGTAGCAATAAAAGCCCTCAAACTCGCTCTAGCGTTGAGTACATTAGCTGCCCATTTGTACCAGCCACACAATAAGCTTACGAGTATACGATAAATCTCATGTTCTAACAGTGGAATTCAAAGCTCAAACACAAGGAGCGGTTCCTCAGGGTTGCGCCAAAAGGCACCCGGAAGCCGGCGGCCAACGATTAGCAAGCCAGTCTTACGACAGCCAACGACTATGCTGCTGCTACAGCATGACACTAAAGATCTAGGAGTTGTAGGAGATGGGGCTGGTCATTGGGATGGTTGATGACAGACAGGCGCAGGTGGCGCGGTCATGGTTGCATCGAAGCAAGCTACATTTCGGAAATGGCTAATTAACCTTTTGAGGAATGGCGAATATATAGGGCACAACTTCTCCCCAGTGATCCATCGCAACGCCAGTCGCGAACATCAACGCCCGACAGCAAATTTAGTCACAACAGTAGCAGTCTGCTGTTAGTGAATGCAGTGTCCAGGCCTACTTGCAGACCCTCCTGATGTAGCAGTCGCGGTGAGCTTTAGCTACCAGGCAGCCACTACAGACCTCCCCGATCGACAGTTCCGACACCTCAATCTCAAATTTACTCCGTGTCCTCCGAATCTTTGCAATGGCCTGCTTTGAGCTAGCAGAGACGCTGACGATGAAATTCCCGCACATGTAGAGCTTGTCATTCCAAGGGACTACGCGTGTTAATCATTTATAGTGACACCAAACCTTGATCAACACCTGCTTCTATCCAAGTGAAGAGGAGCTCCTTCGCCGAAGGACTTGTGTTTTTGGAGCTTGGGCATATCCTAGGGATCTTTCACATTATCGTCTGATATTACACTCGAGCATAACGACATCGTGGAAGCCTTATATTAGCAGTCAGATAGAGTAGATTCCACCATTCTTCAAGAGAAAAAGGACAGATATGAAATCTCGCAGGAAAGATTCAAAGTATATGGGTCGGGTAAGCGGCAGCTCGCCTGTTTCACTTTGTGACCAATAGCGATCGCTAAGTCCAGGCTTGGCCTCCAGGGATTGTCCGCCTTCAGGCACCAGCTTTATGGTATACGAGACAAGTGGGAGGCACTGAGATCGTATTGACTTGAAGACCTCGTCACAAAAAAAAAACAAATCTAGTACTCATTCAACAATCGAGCTGCATACTATGGCAAAGGTTCGCCGAATCCGCATTCCGTACGATTCGCATCCATTGTACAGTTTGCGGCGCAGCATCCTCATCGCAGGCACTGTTGGTGTACTCCTCAACACCGCCATTTTACTCGCACTTTCCAGTAGTTATGGAGGCATGTATCGATTGCCAAACTTCGTCTTATCCACAGCTCTTCTTTGCGGATCCATTGCCTTCGTCTCATACGATTTGGTCACCTATGGAACACGAACGGCAGTAATTTTAGCATCCCAAGCAAAAGACGACGATACATTGTTGCCCCAAGTTGCTCATGCACAGCCAACATGGCCCTCGAAGGTATTGTTGGTCGGGGATTTCATCTTCGCTGTTGCCCTACAGTGGCTGTTCTGGGGGTTGTTCTTCGTCGTTGCAAGCAGTGGCTATTATGACCGATACGGTGGGTCAGAAACGTTGGAAGCATGTAAGTGGCTCGTCAAGTTCACAAAATTTCTTATGCGTTGGGGCGCGGTGAATTGACTCTGCATAGATGCCAACCTAACAAACTTCGCGGCTAGTGTGCTTCACGGAGTCGCATTCTGGAAAGAATTATTAGCGAGGAAGAAGTCACAATGGCAACGCGACCTCGACACAAGACCCTGCGGGCACTGCGGTCATGTCACTAGCATACAGGATGAAGCTTCCCACAGCGAAGCAGTCATTACAGCCCTCAACGAGCAGGCAGGGCCTTCGAGTGAACCAGGACCCTCAACTCATCCCACCCATACCAACTTCGGTAGGATAAGAAAACTGGTCCTTCCAAAGTGGGCCCGACCAGCGAGTGTTCGTCGCCACGACAGCACTGATGATAGGGACGTTGAGAAAGAAGCTGCTGGTGATGGTGCGGGTGAGCCTTTACTTGTAACCCCTGATGAAAGCACAGAATTTGCTGGGCAACCGTCAGGGACATACGGATCCATGTCGCAGAGTGTCGAGAGCCTAAGTAGCGTACCGGAAACAATTGTGAAAAAGAAGGACAAGGGCAAGAAGAGAATGGTGGATGTGGATGAATGCTAGCATGCATCATTCCCTGGAGATTGTCGTATTAGTGCAAGCCGCAGATCCGTAAACTGGAGTACGTATGTGCCAGATGCTTACATATGAGAGAATGCATTGGCACACGCATAAGAACAAATTTACGAAATGTTGTCAAAGGCAATCCCAAGTCTTAAATGCAGCTATTATCATTCGTAGACTCTTTGCGAGCTTTGCAAGCCACAGTAAAATGTAATGCAGACACTGTAGTCTCTCCATCCCGTTCGCGTTGATGTCCCTAGGGCAAGTATGATGGAAACTTTTTCGAACAATGCAATCTAATTTAGAGAAACGCTGGCCTATGCATTATATCCCAATACCCTTGATCTTTGAACTTCATCGTCACGACAGTTATCTACCGATACGACAGTGTCCTTGTCAACAGATCTCCAGGCTTTCCAAACACAGGCTCCAAGCGTACACCTCCAAAAGTCCACCCGTCAATAGCAACACCTTCTTCGAACTTCCGACTCACGATGAATCCCAGCGCCCCATCAAGGCCCACACTGACCTCAACGTCACCTTCGATCTCCATCCACATCTTTCCGACGTTTTCATTGTATATTCTTTTGCCTACACGTACTCTGACTGCATCAGGATGAAGAAGCACTGGTACCACATCGGGTGTGATGTTCGCATCAACATAACGCTGCGCGAACGTTGTTGCGTCAAATGGCTTGCCAACGGAGAAGACTAGATCGTGAGGCGGCGTGTGCACCGATTTTTGGAACGAGACGATGAATTGAACGCGGTAGCGCCCCTGGGGAATGCCAGTCTTGATGGTGCGCAAGCATATGTTCTCGGCGTTGATGCACTGGTACACTGCTGCTTCTTCTCGCCGGCCGTCGTGATCGAGATCTTCCGCCACGGGAAATATGCGCCTTAACTTGCCATCGCTGACGGCCATCCCGCCCTCGCCGGAGGGCGATGTATCGCGGAAGTGGCTTAGTTGCGATTGGTGCTCCATAGTACTTACAACCCCCAGAGGAAGACCGGTCTTGAAGTCGACTTGGACTAGTTGGAAGGACTGATCGATGAGTCCACGACCGTCCATGCCAACTCGAAAGTGGGTAGCGCCAATCTCAAATTTCGGAGGTAAAGCTGAGAGCTTAGCCATCAGCTCGCCCAACTGTCGCGCAGTTCGTAGCTGCTTTGCATCGCGCATGTATTGTTCTGTGAGTGCTGCCATCTCGTCTTCCTTCATCCACTGTTCTAGGCTTACATTGGCGAGGCCGCGATCGACGTCAAAGCGATAGTACCTCGTCGATGTGTTGTAGTACATCCTCTTCATCTCGTTGTCAACTCTCTGGGTACTAGTCGCCATTCCTGCCAGGGCAGAGACTAGCGCAATATCCGTCCCTAACCCGAATGGCAACCATGAGCCAACGTTGCCAACGCTAGGGATCGACTGGAGACCAGTTCCAACTGAAACAATGACACCAATCGGTCGTCCCTCCCACAATGCTTTGGCTGCGTAATCCACCTCTGCGCAAGGGTTGTTGAAACCCACACCACCGTCCAGATAAGTGACTTTGGGTGTGCCGAACTGCATCTCTTCAAAGAATGTCGGCGCTGCCGAGGTTGCTCGTAAAGCTTCCCAGATCTTTGTTGTTCGATCATTGGGATCATATGTCGATAGAATTCTGGGCAACCCCAACGCTTGCTTCAGTGATGTAAGGACGAAACCTCTGCAGCCCTTCGCATTCTTTCTCTTATGGACGCTGAGTCTGGGCTTAAGTTTCCAGGTGTCGCTTCTGCAAGGTGTTGAATTAGTGAATGGGTTGTTTCTGTCGGTTGCTGAGAGTAAAGGTCGCTGCTCGTCTGCAATGTTGCTAGGCGGCGGCGACAGTACACCATTAGTCTGTGGTAGTACACCTGGCGCATTCTTCAACGTTCCGACAGGACTTTCTGTGACAATGTCCGGCACGGTATCAGACCAAATGCTATCGCGAGGGAGTTCGCTCTCTGGCAACTCTTCAAACAGCGAATCGTCCCACATCAACTCATCCTGATCGTAGCCTAGGTCAACGAGAGCTTGCTTAATGGCATTTTCTAAGACCACTCCAGAAAATCGACTTGCCCCAGTCGGTATCTTCGCTCCAAACATTTTGATCGATCTGTCATTCTTGAATATTTGCTCGGCGAGCTTCGTATAGATATTGATGCATTGCTTGCAATCGAGTTGGAGTCGCGAAAGGAGGATAGCGATGATGCCGCCGGTGCTCGTGCCACCAATTAGGTCGAAATAATCGCATGGCTTAAGTGCTGATGTATCGTTGTTCAGTCGTCGTCCCAATCTCTTCTCTTCTTGTGCGATGCTTTCCATCAAGTCATCCAACACCATCAAGCTTGACAACCCTCGCACGCCGCCACCATCGAGTGACAGCAAGCGCAGAGGCGCGTGAGGGTTTATTTCCGCCCTCGAAAGTTCCATGGTGGTACGCGTGGCGGCGATGCGAAGTAGTGGAGGAAAGATGTGTATGGCTCTCGACACTTCCGTCGGCGGTTACCCGCCTCAGTTCTTAAGTCAAGGTAGACTCCTGAGAGTTGGACGCTCTGAATAACACAAAGACCGATGGGTATGGTGGCTGGAGCTTTGGCAGAGGTTTGTTTTAGGGGAGTTATAGTGTGGCGACATGGAATAGACGATGGCTGTGGCTACAGTCACCACGACGCGCATACGCGAGGCCGCCTTCGTTGACTGCGACAATATAGGAGGCCTACAATGTAGTGAGTCAACCTAGGTGCGAGGCAGAAGTCAAGAGCTTCAGCCTTGTTTGCTAGTTAACCACACTTCCGGAACGAGACTATTTGACGTACGGTTGCCTGCCAGCCTCGAGTACTAATTTTGGACGGTTTCAACGACGTTGACGTCGTCGCTATTCGGATTATGAGGTGGGCGCCTCTGTCAGCTGCCTTAGTGATTCGCGTCGAAGGTCATGAGCGCGTGGCTGCTCAGCGCCTCACTTCGCATTTACATAACGAGGTGTGCATGGAACTACGGGTAGGCGACGGGGTCCAAAACGCCCAAGCCAACCAGAAGAAGGCATTCTCCACATGGCAAAGGAGGCACAGTGCATTATCGTCGAATTAGAAACACAGCTATCACAGCTAGCGCCCTCCATGTAGACACATGCGAGCCGACTAACCGAGAAGATGGGTGTATCGTGTTCAGAGAGACAGTAGAAAAAGGTAAGATCGTGTCACATTGAGATGGTGCTGCGCCTCGATTGAGATCGAAATGGATGGTCAGCAATTTTAGCCTAGCCAACGTCAGCTTGAGGCTCAAGTCGTCCACGTGTTGCTACAACGGGAGGGATCATACATCCACAGGCAGTATGGAAATGTATTGGTGTGACCTTGTTACAGAATCCAACGGCCCATGGAACCGGTCGGCAGCTCTGAGTATTTGAGCGCAGGCAGGCTTTGAGCATTCTGCCTCGAATTCGATCGTGCTTGTGTAGGATCCCCAACGTGGTCATGAGATTAGATACTACTTTGAAATACGATACAACATGTGCTCAATACCCGTGTTGTGGCTGACGCGGCGACAGGACACTCGCGGATTGGTGCTAACACTCAGCACACGTGGGAACTGGACATCGTCAAGGCCGCAGAGTAGCACTGGCTCTGCCCCAGTGTTATTGCTGCTACTCGGAAGCAGCCCGACCTTCACCACCAGGTCTATACAAGCGATACACCAAGGTATCTCGTAGCCCTAATATAGGGTTGTCAAAGTCCTTCTCCCTCAGCTCGTGCAGCTTGAACCCGACCTTTTCTAGAACATGTTGGCTAGCCACAAGTTCTGGATCCGTTTGTGCTTCGGCGTACTCAAAGCGACCTTGTGGGCCTCCCGCGAAGTGCTCAAAAAAGAGCGGAATGAAGCCTCGCAATGCTTCTGTCGCATAGCCTTTGCCCCAGTACTTGTGATTGAGCATGTATCCGACCTCGGGTGCTCGCACCGCCCCTATCATACCGATGACGCGTGGCGATGTCGTCGACGCACCGGGCGCAGAGGGGAGGAGCTCGACGACGAAGTTCCAGCAGTTATCGCGGTCAAAGCAGCCCTGGATCCAGGCTCTGGACTTTTCGACATCGTCGGACGGTAGAAGAGGCCTAATCCAGGTCAGCGCAGGGAATTGCGCAGTAGCGCATGGAGCGAAACTCACGTATGCTTCATCGTCTCGGGGTGGCTACGCATTAGCACTATATCCTCCGCATCCTCCATCGTGAGGGGGCGAATCAGTAACCTCTCCGTGCGAGCCGTGATCGTCGCGTCGACTACAACCATCTCCAGGGACTTGAGACCGTTCAAGAGCCATGGTGCGGTGTGCGTCGCTTGTTATTAGTATTCGTGAGGAGCTGCAGCCACGCGACATAGCCTTCCAGTCAGTCATCGAACGCTAGCCGCTTCAGACACCGTCTTTTGATGACACGTCCCGCAACAACAAATCGACGCCCGCGACCGCAAGCCTGAACGGGATGACTCCCTGAAGAAAAATCCAAAAGAGATAGGTGCGAATTGGAAAGCTCCGCTGCGACGCCGCGTCCGGATCACTGAGCGATGTCACAATCAGTTGTTTCCGCATCCGCGCAGGGAGCGACGTTTCTCATTCTGCTCCAAGTCGGTTCACGAGCACTCACCTTTGCTGTCAATCAGCTCCTGTTGCGCTTCTTGTCGCCCGAACAGCTCGGTGCCTCTGCGCAGCTCGAGCTCTTTTCTATTTCGGTGCTATACTTTGCACGCGAAAGCCTGCGCGTTGCCGTTCAGCGCCAAACCCATGGCACTCAGGCGGTAGTGAACCTTTCCTACCTTGCCGTCTTCTTCGGCATTCCACTTATCTACGGCCTCGCGCTCTTGTGGCTATCTTCGGAGATACCGAATGTGCCGCATTTCGTGGATGCATTGAGCGTATATTGCTTAGCTACCTTCATCGAGCTTCTTACCGAGCCTGCTTTTTCAGCTGTGCAGCAGAAGCTGCTGTACAAGATTCGAGCCTCAGCTGAGAGTACGGCTACAATCTTGCGATGCTTTGGGACGTGCGGATCTGCCATTCTGGCAAGCAAATATGGGGTGAATGTTGGCGTGTTACCATTTGCAGTCGGACAGCTAGGTTACGCTCTTGTCTTGTTGGCTGTCTATACCTACAGGATGTGGCCGGTAGCGCAGAAGGAAAGCTTCTCACTTCTGCCGAAGCAGATACGGCCTACAAGAGATATGCCAGTCGTTCTCAACCATTTCCCGATTCCGCTATTGCGCATAACAGGATCGCTCTCCCTACAGTCGGCACTTAAATACATCCTCACCCAAGGCGACTCGCTCCTCATCACAAGGCTGGTTTCCCTCACGGACCAGGGTGCGTTTGCTCTTGCGTCCAACTACGGCGGCCTCATCGCACGTATGCTCTTCCAGCCCATCGAGGAAAGCAGTCGAAACCTCTTCGCCAAACTATGTGCCGACACCGAGCCCACTCCAGTCACACGTTCAGCAGAGCAGACTCAGAACCTCACCAAAGCCTCCAGAATCCTAAAGATGGTTCTGCGTATCTACACGCTCATCTCGCTCGTAGCCGCTATCCTCGGTCCCAAAGTAGCACCGTTGCTCCTCTCCATCGTGGCAGGAAGCAAATGGGCCAATACCTCGGCTTCGGATGTCCTGGCAACGTACTGTCGTTACATCCCATTTCTCGCCATCAACGGTGTCACAGAGGCATTCGTAGCCGCAGTAGCCACCAACCGACAGCTTTACTCACAGTCTTTATTCATGGGCCTGTTTTTCGCTTGTTTCGCCGGCAGCGCCTGGTATTTCATCTCGCATCTCGCATGGGGCGCCAGTGGTGTCATCGCTGCTAACAGTGTGAACATGGGCCTACGCATAATCTACAACATGTGGTTCATCCAGCGGTTCTTCAAGGAAAGGGATGTGAGCTTCAGCGTGTTTGACTGTCTGCCGTCGAACCCAGTCTTGCTGTCTGCGCAGTTCTATCCATGGGCGATGCAGTTCAGGCCCAGACCAGATTGGCTCTTGCGATACGGTGTGTTTGGGGAGCTGGCGAGTCTAGGAGTCGTGGGCGCATCTTGGGCATTTGTGATGCTCTTCTTCGAGGAGAAATTCCTGCTGGAATGCTGGCACACACTGCGTCCGTCACCTGAGAAAAAGGACTCGTAAACTAGGTAGCGATTCAGGTACTCCCAAGATCACAGTCCTTGCTTCACGACCTGGTATCTGGTGCAGTCGTCACCCTCCACACCTGCCCCGCCAATGCTCGGAACGGCTTCCGACCGCACCAACAAACTCTTTCCGACCACACATCTCCACACGTCATCCCCTCATCTCCAGGCCTCGCCTCTCAATATTCGCGCATCACACGATCCGGCATTTACCTAATATTCGCGCGCACCCCTGCATTTCCTAAGGGTAACGGAAACTACGTGGTGTTCCGAAAAGAGATTTCCTGGGGGTAATAGCTTGCGGGGCGGACCGCGAACGGTGTGAGCACTAGGATTTATCGCGCCATTGGGCTCGGCGGGCTTGGTAGAGCGAAGGAAGCGCGAGTCAAGATTACGAAGGATCTGTTGGGAATGGCGGGATTGGAGAGATGCGAGTACTACCATGGGTTGGTGGACATGGGAAGGTATGCTTGAGTTTACTTTGTGAAGGGTGTAGGGGGAGGGGGACACTGTAGACGATGAGCAGTGGAAGGAGCTTCATATCAGAATGCACTGTACATTAGGCGGTTGTATGCCGTAGATAGCATATGTGTGTGGTCTGACTGACTGTCGTAGCAACGGCATCCGCTTCTCCATCACCGACCTCCAACCTCCAACAGCTCGCATTTTACCCACGCTGTACCTCTCGCGAGCAGCCATATCTCTCTACGATGCACAATTCACGCCTTCATCAAACGATCCCATACCAATCCCACATGAGACCATCGAGAGGGTGATCAAAGCACTGCTACGTTTCAAATCCACCTGCCACGACTTCGGTGTACCAGAACACCAGATCCGAATCGTAGCCACAGAAGCTACTCGCAAGGCCATCAACTCCCAAGAATTTCAGAATGTGATCCACGAGAAGACTGGATGGAAAGTACAGCTGCTGGAGAAGGAGGTGGAGGGGAGAGTTGGAGCCTACGGCGTCGCAAGCAGCTACGCCAATGTTTCTGGCTTGGTGATGGATTTGGGAGGTGGCAGCACCCAGCTTACATGGATCATGACTGCGGATGGAGAAGTGAGGATGTACGAGAGGGGAAGCGTGAGTCTGCCGTACGGCGCGGCGGCGTTGGCCAAGAGACTGGAGGCTGCAGGAGCGAAGGGAAGCAAAGCATACAAGACCTTCGAGCAGGAGGTAATGGGCGACCTGAGCGATGCTGTCCGGCAGATTGATATCCCTAAAGAATTGTTTAAACAGGGAGAAGGCCTTCACTTGTACTTGTCAGGTGGCGGATTCCGTGGCTGGGGCTTCGTGCTCATGTCACAACACAGCATCAGGCCGTATCCTATTCCGATCATCAACGGCTTCAAGGTCAAGGAATACTCGTTCCAGGATACGCAGGCTGTCCGCGCTGCCGTCTTTGACGAGGACACGCCCGATATTTTCAGAGTATCGCAGAGGCGGGCAAGCCAGGTTCCAGCCGTCGCTTTCCTGGTTGATTGCCTCTCAAAAGCATTACCCACTATCCAGGATGTCCACTTCTGCCAAGGTGGTGTGAGAGAAGGGATGCACTTTGCAGAGATGGAACCGATGCAGAGGAAAGAGGATCCCATCGTCACCGCGACCAAAGCTTATGCAAGAGAATCAGCCCCTGAGATTGTTGGTTTACTGTTGAGTGCTCTCCCGACACCATCCCCGTTGCCGTTCAACACGGCCCTTATACAAGCCTTCGCGCAAGCCCTCTATGCCCACGCGGCATTTCCGAAGGACGTTTGCGCTGGTGCGGCTCTGAGGAGCACATCGACCGGCTTCTTTGCATCAACACACGGCATGAGTCACGAGCAGCGTGCAGTACTGGCAATTCTGCTGTGCGAACGTTACGGCGGGTTCCGGTCACTAAGTCCCACGGAGCAAGACTTCTACCACCGCCTGTTGCAGTTGCTTCCGGGCGACCTGAGCTGGTGGTGCGTGCATCTAGGGCGTGTTGCTGCGGTGGTTGCAGTTGTATATCCAGCTGGTGTAATCAGAGAGCAACGTCTGGATATTCAGACGACTTGGGCCGCGACCAAGAAGGGCAACGACAAAGTATGCATTTCGTTCAGCTTTCCGACACTGGCCCGTGTCGACGAGATGGATGAAGCACTCAACGATGCACTTGAGCAGGTGGACAAGGCGGGGAAGAAGAAGAACTGGGTCGCTGGGCATGGTTATAAAGTGGAGGTAAGTATCGGAAAGTAATTGAAACATGGTCGAGCCAGCAGCCAAGAATCATAGAGACGGACTTTGAAACTTGCGAAGTGTGCAAATCGTACGCGCAGGATATGTCTTTCGTAGCATGCTGTGAGGGCATTGTGGCCGGCATGTTCACTCAGAGGCGTGGCAGCGTTTCATGCATAGCGTCAACTCAGGATGGGTTGTAACTCGCAAGGCTCTAGATTCTGACAATGACTCAAGAGGTAGCATCCTATACCGGAGCTCGGTTTGTGCAACACGGAGTGGCGAGCATCGTGATCTATTCCGGGCAGTCGGAGGCCGTGGATCTCAGGGGCAAGGCATCGTGACCTTGGAGGTGGCGGTGTGGAGTCATGGCCGCTCAGCAACGTGACCAAGCACGCCGGTCGACGACAAACCCGACCGGAGGCTGCAGCCGTGCACCGTTCCACGTGCCATGAGCACCCACCGCTGAAAGGACACGTCTGGTCAGCCGCACTGCAAGCGTTGCGCGGTGCCAAGGATCGTGAAGTCTGCGCAGCTAGGTTCGGGTCGGGGTGCAGCGGTTGGGTTGGCGGCGGGGCGAATGGGGGGCGGTGCAGCGCGAAGGGTGGTGTATGCCACTGGGTCCATTAGCAATTATGGCGCACGCTTTGGTCATGATTGTAAAACTCTGCGGTCGAGTGCGTGCTTTTGTGAAGTTCGGCAGCCCCAAGGTGGCAGCCCATTACGTGAACGGGCCAATGGCAGCGGGCCGCGCTACGGCTAGTCCACAGCGTTTTCTGGGGAAGCTGCAGGCTTCTCTGCTCGGCTTCGGGCGGGTCAATCACTCATCGTCAGGTACCAGAGGCCTTGCATCAGCCCGCCGTGTATAAAATGGCCGCACCCCGACAGCAGCACGCTCCCGCCAGCTCATTGCGTTGGCGGCTGTCTGACCCGTCCTTGACGTCTTATCAGCCCACCGTCCCTTATCTTCGGCCGTTTCATGCGCCCGGGTTGCAGCGTTGCACAGCTCGCATCATCCATACACGGCCCAAGGCGGCACATCACTACCGGAAACACGCTCTGCTGCCATCCACAGTCAAGCATCGAGCGGTGAAACCTCAGACTCCAATTGGCGACCAGGAGCTTATCCATCGGAAAGCTTGAGTTGCTGCTGTGTTGTCGTGGATTGTGGATTCTTACCCAGGTGAGCTAGCTGCGTCATAGTGCCCCCAAAATAAATAGCCCATCGCGACTGCCTCTGGCGGCGTGTACGGCGCCGAGGACCCTTGAGGAGCATTCTGCGGCCCAATTCTTGCGGAGCTCTGCCTCCACTGCTATCCTACGATTGCGACGCCCCAATTTCACCAATATTGCTAGCAGTGCTAACGCCCGCTCTTTGTTACAGACCCCGCCAGGCCCCTCACAGCCCGCCTCAGCGCTAGGCGGACCACCGTACACTTGATCCCACTCGTTGCAACCTCTTTGCCAGCCCAGAGCCTCGCACCATCCCCAATCGCTAGCAGGTCTTCTGTGCTTATACCGGGTTGATCACACAGACCGCCCGCCCTCACAAACCACAACATGTCGACTCCCGTTAATGGCGCCGTCGGCGGCGCTCCCCAGAACAAGCTGCTAGACCAGGTCCTTCAGCCTCCGGCAAGAAATCCCTCGCCACTGCCCACACACATGAGCCTTCCGGGCTCAGGACACTCAACACCGCGAGTCATTCCCCGGGAAGGCCCTGGTGGCTCCGGCTATGTCGCCCAAAAGTTTGACGGCAAGGAGAAGCAAATGGAGGAGGTCATGGACGGCATAGAGGAGAAGGGCTTCCTCCCTACCGAGTTTGTCGAGACGGAGACGCAGTGGTTCTACAACGAACTGGGCATCGACGACATGTATTTTGCAACGGAATCGGTCGACACGTAAGTTGAGACGAAAGCAGCCAGTACCCTAGCTCTGGTACTAACATTGCCCAGCATTGTCAACCACGTTCTCTCCCTATACGCCGCCAAGGTTGCCGCATACGCCCGTCAAGACAAGCGCCTCGAGATCCGCTTGGACAAAGAAGCCGAAGATCACGCGGTCTACATCGACACGAGCAGACCTGGAGTCTCAGTGGTCGATGGCCCGCAATACGAGAAGCGTATCGGCGAGAAGTATCTCCACCGCTCAAAGGGCGCTGCGGGCTATCGTGTGGAGAGCTTCCGTTCAGCTAGCCCTCTGCCCGGCAGCCAGGACCAGCAACTCCGCTGCTACTTCGTGTACCAGTGCGATTTCGTTGATCCCTCCCCAAGCGCTACCGAGACCAACATTGAGAAAATCGGAGACAAGAGGTTCCTCCAGAAGGCAACAGCCAACACAAAGAAGATCTACCAGGAAGCTTTGGAAGTAGCTGTTGAGCGCACTGGCCCCGTCATTGAGTACTTCGATATCGAAGGATCTCGTGACAAGCGTTTGGTGATTGCCTACAAGCAGGGGACTGCTATGGGCTTCTTCAGTGCTTTGAGTGATTTGTACCACTACTATGGCCTCACAACTTCAAGGAAGTACGTCGAGCAATTCTCCAACGGGTACACCTGCATGTCTCTGTATCTTCAGGAGATGCCCGGAGCAGCTGGCCGCAAATACCCCCCGATTGAAGCCTCGGTCCACCAAATCATCAAGGAGGTCTCTCTGCTATACTGCATCCCCCAAAACAGGTTCCAGGCACACTTTGCCACCGGACGCCTCAGTCTGCAAGAGACCATCTACGCGCACTGCGTTTGGGTGTTCATCTCGCATTTTCTCAACCGCCTTGGAAGCGAGTACACCGCTTTGGCTTCGATGCTGGATGGAGAGAACAGTGCCCACGCCGAATTGCTTTCAAAGCTGAAGAAACGCTTGCGGACGGAGACGTTCACTGCCGATTATATCCTTGAGATCATCAACGAATATCCGGAACTGGTCCACAGCTTGTACCTTTCTTTCGCGAACACTCACTACGTTCAGACTAGGGGTGAGCAAGACGACTTCCTGCCGACGCTGAGTTTCCTGCGCCTCAAGGTGGACAAGGTACTCACCGACAGCGAATTGACAGACGCAATCAACAAGGTAGTCGTCAATGAGCATCACCATATGGTCATGAATTCGTTCCGTATATTCAACAACTCCGTTCTCAAGACGAACTTTTACACTCCCACCAAGGTTGCGCTGAGTTTCCGCATGGATCCAAAGTTCCTTCCACCTTCGGAGTACCCTCAACCTCTATATGGCATGTTCCTTGTCATAAGCTCCGAATTCCGCGGATTCCATCTTCGTTTCCGCGATATTGCCCGTGGCGGTATCCGCATTGTCAAGTCTCGCAGCCAAGAAGCATATGCTATCAACGCCCGATCCATGTTCGACGAGAACTACAACCTCGCCAACACGCAGCAGCGCAAGAACAAGGATATCCCTGAGGGAGGCTCAAAGGGTGTCATCCTGCTTGACTACCACCACCAGGACAAGGCACGTGTTGCATTTGAGAAATACATCGACAGCATTCTCGACCTTCTGCTCCGGCCAAGCAGCCCAGGTATCAAGGACCCAATCGTCGACTTGCACGGCAAGGAGGAGATTCTCTTCATGGGTCCTGACGAGAACACTGCTGATCTCGTTGACTGGGCGACTGAACACGCTCGTTTCCGTAATGCGCCATGGTGGAAGTCTTTCTTCACCGGCAAGAGCCCCAAGCTGGGTGGCATCCCGCACGACCGCTATGGCATGACCACTTTGTCAGTCCGCGAATACGTGTTGGGCATCTATCGCAAGTTGAACCTTGACCCAAGCAAGGTCAGGAAACTGCAGACTGGTGGACCTGACGGTGACCTTGGCTCCAATGAAATTCTTCTCAGCAATGAGAAGTATATCTCCATCGTCGATGGCGCGGGCGTTCTAGTAGACCCTCAAGGTATCAATCACGAAGAACTCCTCCGACTAGCCAAGGCCCGTGTCATGATCAACAACTTTGACGTCTCGAAGCTCTCTCCGGAAGGCTACCGTGTCCTTGTTGACGAGAATGACGTCAGGCTACCAAATGGCGACCTAGTCGCCAATGGCACCACGTTCCGCAACACCTTTCATTTGCGACATGGAGGAGGCCTGCAGTACGACACTTTCGTCCCTTGCGGAGGCCGTCCCGAGTCAATCGATCTCACCACAGCGAACAAGCTTATCGTTGACGGAAAGTCAATCATCCCCTATATCGTGGAGGGTGCCAACCTGTTCATCACTCAGGATGCCAAACTCAAGCTGGAGAAGGCTGGCTGCATCCTCTACAAGGATGCCTCAGCGAACAAGGGTGGCGTGACTTCGTCCTCCCTCGAAGTTCTTGCGTCCCTCACCTTCGACGATGAAGGCTTTGCTAAGCACATGTGTGTTGGTGACGATGGAACCCCACCTCAGTTCTATAATGACTACGTCAAGTCAGTCCAGGCTATCATCCAGAACAATGCCAGACTTGAATTTGAGGCTATCTGGAGAGAACATCAGAAGACTGGTACCCCTCGCAGCATTCTGAGCGACACATTAAGCATTGCGATCACCAAGCTCGACGAGGAATTGCAGAAGACTGACTTGTGGGACAATATTGAGTTCAGGAAGTCTGTCCTCAACGAGGCTCTGCCGAAACTATTGTTGGAGCAGATTGGCCTGGAGAAGATAATGGAGCGGGTAAGTACATTTGGCTTGCACATAGCCCACCTTGGGGTAATACACTGTACTAATGAACATGCAGGTACCCGACAACTACATCCGCGCCATCTTCGGTAGCTACTTGGCGAGCCGTTTTGTGTACACCTACGGTATTAATGCGAGCCAATTCGCCTTCTTCGACTTCATGAACAAGCGGATGTCTAAGCTCAGCATTGAGGCATAAGGGCCCATGTCGCGAGCGTTATTTCATTGATATACCTTGTAATGCATCACATGAATGGTCATATGGCGTTTGGTTGGGAAAAGTCTGGTTGGCACACTTGTCCGCTATTGTTATTATTCTGGGCGACGTCTGTGGTAAAGGCGTCGGAGTTTATCCAGCACCCAATGTGAATCCCGCATGGGGGAGGGTGGGGTACTCGGCGCGTATGCACCGTAGCCGCCCATAGAGGCGTGGCTGGATGCAACCCAGACAAATCAATTCACATGCAATCTTTATATATGGCCTTTTCGTTTCTGTCTGCGATGATCAACTCTGATAATGTGCCTGAAGCGTGCAACCGGCTACTCTCCAAGCACAGTAGCCGAAATCAACAATTGGGCTTTTGTTAGCGTGAAAAGTGGGATACACTGTCAGATAATAGTCGTATATTCGGAACATGTAGTGAGCTCCTCAAGGGTAAATTGTGCTCCAGAAGTCTGTTTTTCCTGTCAGTCACTGTGAAGCGTGTCGCGCGAGTTGGGTCACGTCTAGAACCCGGAGCTCGATCAGAGGTAACCCACCCATCGTATGCGCAAGCAGCAGCTAGACTAAGCAGATAATATACGCCGCGACTAGCCAATGCAGCCAATGACCGGACTTTTGATCTGGACGTGAAACCGAGCAGGAAGGAAGGACGTGCGTCGCACATAGTAGACAAAGTCCCCGCGTCTCCCGTCCCTCACAACAACGCTGCTGTCACGTCTCCACCACACGTCGCTTTACAGTTCTCATAGTAAGTCATTTCAGAGTCGCGTATATCTTCATCGTCGTGTCTCTTTATTCTTTCCTTCCTATCAAGTTGCGTTGCGCGTTATCTTGGCCATACTTTGGCGCGTGGCGCGAGACACGTCGAGCTGCAACAGAGCCAGCACCAATCTTGAGCGCCTCGCACACGACGCGTGTCTCCGCTTGCGATATCTCTCGGGACAGCATCGGATGCATTTCCTTTACGCACATCATCCTTTTCCAGAGCACAATCTCCTTATTTACGTCCTGCGCATTCCGTCACGAGAATAGCGTGGCATAGCGCTAACAGCCCACGGTTCAGCCCAACTCAACGCGCACTCTCTCACCCAACAACTTATTCCCCGTTCACTCTCGACACTCCTCTCCGTCCGTACCAAAGGAGTCAGCAAGCATAAGCACGCAAGATGGCCGCCCGAACCGCCACCGCAACGCCCACGACGCGCAAGACGCGCACCGCGACCAACTCGCTGCCCAAGAAGATCGAGGCCGCCGTCGAGACAGTCGCGCCCAAGAAGCGTGCCACCAAGGCCAACACGAGCAAGCCACGCGATAAGAAGGTTGCGGCTGGTCGTGTAGAGAAGAAGGCCGCGCCTGCGACGAAGAAGGCCCCCGCTGCGAAGAAGGCGGCTCCTGCCACCAAGAAGACGACGCCTGCGAAGACGCCTGCGGCCAAGAAGGCGGCGGCGACGAAGAAGAGCCCGGCTGCTAAGGCGGAGAAGGAGGTTGAGAGCGAGGTGAAGAAGGTCGAGACCAAGGTCAAGAAGGCGGCTAAAGTGAGTTCTCTCCTCCTCGAAGGAGGCATCTTTCTCTAGGCAATGTGACTGACATGTAACGCGCAGGCTACTGGAGCAAAGGTACGACGCATCATCCATGCAAGACCGGTTGTCTCCCGCGCAACATGCTAACATAGCTTAGGAGAAGAAGACGACTACCAAGGCAAGCAAGCCCAAGAAGGCGTAGAGGCGCTGCGGAGGCAGCGATCGATCGATATGGGTACCTCGGCGTTTCGGCGTACGCGTCTCGTCTGATCTCTGGGTTTCTCTCTCCCCGAAAGCTTCATTGTTGTTGTTCCCATGAGTTCTGTTCTGGTATCACGAATGTGTTCTGTTCTGGTCTTATTAGGACGAGGTTATGGATCTGGATCTGGATTGGCCTGGTCTGAGCATGGTGTGTTGGAGTATGTGGGAATTGAGTTTACGGTGTGTTTATACGATACCCAAGGGTTTTCGGATAGAGCGCTAGACCCGCAGTGATGACGATGTTCCTACTACGAACCTGCGAGTGCTCGTCTTACTGTGATCATGATTGTTAAATGGTTTTCCTCTAGACAGATCCGTGAGGCGGAAAGTTTACAATGGCGCTCGAGATCTTTCCGATGGCAGATCTTGCCAGAAAGGCTCCGGTTGAAAACCCCCTCGGAAACTTTGTTAAACGAGGCACAAAGAAGTATCTCGACCAAACGGATCAATGAATTAGATAATTTGGGGTATCACGATGTTTCCGTAATGCTAGCTCTTGCCCCCATGGCCACGAATCCCGTGTTCACTACCACCACCGAGACCCGTCCTTGGTGTCGGGTCCACGTCGGGTCAGATCCCAGCCAACTCCGTGTACCGACCACTTAGCAACGCCGGCTCTCTAACTCTTTCCGAATAACTAGCAAATCTTCGGTTCGTCTGGGTCCTCATATCTTATGCCAATGTAGCTGCAGTGCGCCGTTTGGCGAATCAAGAGTGGCCTAGTCCATCTAGATGTTTAGCGGAGTTGGTATCCAACTACTAGGCTAAATCGGAAGATCCACAGTTCAGCCAGTTTCTGCGGCTTTGCAATGGATACGTGGAGGAAAATGCAATAGGTTCCTGTATGCGAACTTTGTGTTCGTTTCACTCAGCCATTGAAGTATCGAGGAACTCGTCCTTGGGTTCTTTAGGCTCCTGGGCTTCGTGGAATTGGATCGCGTCGTCGATATAGCTTAGGACAGCACCGAGACTGTCTTCGTCTTGCGCGTCTAGTTTCAGGAATGAGACCATGCTGAAATCATCGATCAGCTGGGCTACGGCCTTGTTCAGCCTGTCAAACGAGGCCCCGCTCATGACGCTCTTGGTCGAGCCTGGGTCCTGGTAGCCCTTGGCCTCTTCCGCGTCCCCGTCCTTCACTTTACGTGTGGGGTCTTCCTCTAGGAGGGCTGGGTCAGGGTCGAGGAAGCGGCTCAGCTCCCGCTTCGCCACCTGCCCTTTGACCAGATCCATCTTGCTCAGGATATTTACGTGGGGCATCTCGAGCATCAGCATGGCACTCATGGCAGAAAGCGTGCCGGAGAAGAATTTGGGGCGATCGACGATGAAGGTCGCCTCGAGCAGGTAGGCCGCACACATGTTGATGTTCAGCGAGCCGCGCATTAGCGTCTTGACGAGGTCCGGCAGGATGGGCACATGTGTGTACAGCTCGATCTGGCCGGGCATGTCAAAGACGATCAGGTACTCGTCGGTGACTTCCTCGAGCGGGTCCGTCAGGAAGTCGAGGTTCTCCATGAGGAACTCGAAGCAGTAGATGAGCCCGCCGTTGGGCCCCAGGCTCATCTCCTCCATGACGTCCTCGAGACTGATCAGGTCCTTGATGTCGAGGTCCGGGTCGAAGGCGAACTCCTCGGCGGCGGGGTCGAGGTTGACGTAGAAGCACGGGCGCTTGTTGTTCTGCAGGTGCTGGATGAGGGATGCGCAGAAGGTGGACTTGCCGGCGCCAGCCGGGCCCTGTGCGCGCCGTCAGCCAGCGTGCGCGCGAGTGTCGCGGCCGGGAAAGGCATTCTTACCATGACCAGCGTGCCATACTTGCTCATGTCGGCGGGTGCTGCGCGAGTTGGCGGGCTCGGAAATTTTGGGCGCTGCCCTCGACGCGCCGTGGCAGAAAACAGCGGCCGACGGGCCCCGGCGCCCGCGACGTCGGCGGGGCACCAATGCGACTGCCCCTCGGTGGGGCGGTGAATGGCGTGCTAGCGCCTCTCATTTTCTGTCCCCCGTTGCGATAGGCTCTGGCGGCGGCGGCATTTTGCGCGACGCTGCTGGGGCACGTTTTTCTCGGCAATTGGCCCAACGTCGCAGACGAAGGCCCTGACACGGTTTCCGACGTCTTAAAAACCCGAGCCCTTTCTGACCCAGCCCCTCCACCCACGCAGCCTTTTTACCCCCTCTCCCGCCGCAACACCACACGGTCGCAAGTCCTACACTACGCCTTCGACAAGCACATCCTCTCCCTCCACCGCCATGACGCAGACCAACGGCCAGACGGTCCCCGGACCCAAGCTCAACGTGCGTCTCCGTGCTGTCTCCCATTGATGTCCAGCGCGTTGCTTACTGTCGTCCAGGGCAACACCTTCCTCTTCACCTCCGAGTCGGTTGGCGAGGGCCACCCCGACAAGATTGCGTGAGTGCTGCCCTCCTCCGCCGTGCCTTTCCCCTCCCTCCCTCCTCTCCTCGTTTTCACCACCCTTGCGTCGCATACAGTCGGCTATCCACAGCCGGACCACACCCCGCACCTGCAGACGGCTCTGTCACGCAATTTGTTCGCGACTGGGCACCACTGACGCCCCACAGCGACCAGGTCTCCGATGCCATCCTCGATGCCTGCCTGCGCGAGGACCCGCTCTCCAAGGTCGCTTGCGAGACTGCCACCAAGACTGGTATGGTCATGGTCTTCGGCGAAATCACCACCAAGGCCCGCCTCGACTACCAGAAGACCATCCGTGATGCCATCAAGGACATTGGCTACGATGACTCCAACAAGGGCTTCGACTACAAGACGTGCAACGTGCTCGTCGCCATTGAGCAGCAGTCGCCCGACATTGCCCAGGGTCTCCACTACGACGAGGCTCTTGAGAACCTCGGTGCCGGTGACCAGGGTATCATGTTCGGATATGCCACCGACGAGACCCCCGAGCTCCTGCCCTTGACCCTCCTGCTCTCCCACAAGCTCAACAGCGCCATGAAGGAGGCCCGTAACAGCGGCGAGCTCCCCTGGCTCCGACCCGACACCAAGACCCAGGTCACCGTCGAGTACGCTCACGACAACGGTGCCGTCATCCCCCTCCGTGTCGACACCGTCGTCGTCTCGGCCCAGCACTCTGAGGACATCACCACCGAGGAGCTCCGCAAGGAGATCAAGGAGAAGATCATCAAGAAGGTCATCCCCGCCAAGTACCTTGACGACAAAACCGTCTACCACATTCAGCCCTCGGGTCTGTTCATCATCGGTGGACCCCAGGGTGATGCCGGTCTCACTGGCCGTAAGATCATCGTCGACACCTACGGTGGCTGGGGAGCCCACGGTGGTGGTGCTTTCTCCGGAAAGGACTACTCCAAGGTCGACCGTTCCGCTGCCTACCTTGGCCGCTGGATCGCCAAGTCCCTCGTCAACGCTGGCCTTGCCCGCCGTGCCCTTGTCCAGCTCTCGTACGCCATTGGTGTCGCCGAGCCCCTCTCCCTCTACGTCGACACCTACGGCACCTCCGACAAGTCTTCTGAGGAGCTTGTTGAGATCATCAAGGCCAACTTCAACATGCGCCCCGGTGTCATTGTCAAGGAGCTGAACCTCACCAACCCTATCTACAACCAGACCGCCAAGAACGGTCACTTCACCAACCAGGTATGATTCCTCCTCCCTCTTCACCCAGTATGATCATCTAACGTCGCATAGGAATTCACCTGGGAGAAGCCCAAGACTCTCAAGTTCTAGATGTAATAATACTGTAATTGCATGCGTGCGTTGAATCAACTTCAGCCACGATGGTCACTTCTTACGACGACATGACATGCATATCTTCGGCGGTTAAAATTCCGTCTTTCAACAAGTTCGGCGTCGGGAAGGGATACCCCTTATACCTCAAAATTTTCATATTTTCAGGCTTTCCCGAGTCATCATAGACGCAACGCTTTTCAATGGGCGTCGCAACGCTCTTCCACAACCCGGGGCCAGCAAGAAGGGCACAACTTTTGGGATAGGATGGATGGATTGGAGATAAAAGCGGATAGAACTGCTCTCCTCTGCTGAGGTGCATCCTTGCTATGCAAGGCAATTGATCGTTACCTCGCAAGTCTCTAAATTATGCCTTGCAACTGATGTACACCGTGATCAACCTTGTAGGTAGCAGAAACGTTGGGCCGGCTGTCCCACATGATCGGAACATAGCAGACCCTGCGGAGACTAACGAGAAAGTTACAAGGCCAGCACAGTCCGACAGACGCATCGTCGGAGGTTTGTCTCGGGGGATTCCAATTACGGATCAACTTAGAGGTCGCCTGGCAATGCTATTGGTGGGCGCAGGGGCCGCGTCGCACGAGTGACATTTATCGTCTGCGCCTCAGGCTGATCACAACCCCCGGCTAAGAGTGCGCAGCTCCGACTTACAGTCAACAGCCGCAAGATTGACATCACAACAAATGCGGACACCCATGAGTATTAATCCGAGAACAATGCATCACGTTCCAAAGATGAATACATGCATTGAGTTTAGTTGTGCCCCACGTTGTCGTCATTATCGTTCGTCGGTCAACATCGTCATTACTAGCTAACGCCACCAGGGTCTTCCATTCAGGCCGTCAGCAAGTCATGGGGATTGTGATGGCGGAGTACCGGCCCTTTAACATCCCTACTGGGTTTCCGCACGATAGAAAGTCAAGTCCCACGTTGTCACAATCCTCTCGTTTGCAGCTCGTCTCTCCGCAATTTGAATCCTACAGCGATACAAAGGACGCCTTGCTCCGGTCTCAGCGCCTCAGCGGCATAAATATAGGATATTTCCACTTTGTACCTCTGCCAACATGGCGATATCTTCATCACATCCAGCGGATGCTCCACCGCCTTACGAAGAGGCAGTGGGCAGCTCCTCAGCACCAAAACCTCTTCGCCGTGTCTCTACCGACGGCCCTACTTCACGAACGGCGCGAAACGGCATACCACCAGAGCACCGCCGCTCAATGGAAGACGAGAACCGCGAACTTCCTCCCGGGTGGGTTCGACAGTTCGACCTCGGAGAACAGCACCAGTTCTTCGTTGACACAAACGCCAACCCTCCTCGAAGCATCTGGACGCATCCCTACGACGACCCCGACTTCCTTGCTACACTGAGCCCAGAAGAGCGCAAGAAGCACAGTCGCATGCACCGCTCCGTCACACTCGAGGACATCACAGCCGAAAGCAGCGACGAAGAAGACCACCATCACACCGCGAAACTTCCCCCTCGCCCCAATGCCGCTGGCGGCGCTGCGTCTTCTTCACAGCCCGCCTCCAGCATACACAGATTCACGCGCAAAATGAAGGACAAACTTACCGATAGCACGCACGAGCAACGCCAGCGCCAGCGCATCCAGCGCGAAGAGGCAGAGCGCAAAGCGTACCAGGCGCACATGCAAGCCCGGCAGGCGATGGCACGCGCCATGCAGACCGGCCAGCCGCAGTTCCTGTGCAAGGACCAGCACGGGCGCGACGTGTACATTGAGCCGCCTGGCTTTGGTGGGCGCGCTTACGGAGGCTACGGACAGCAAGGCTACGGGTACAATCCCTACTCTCAAGGGCCTTATGCAAATCCAAATGTCAGGTTTGTCCGGCCGAGTGGCCCGTATGGGAGGCCTTATGGGTTTGGGTACGGTGGGGGTATTGGGGCGCCTGTTGCAGCGGGGCTGTTGGGCGGTGCGTTGCTGGGCGGCGTGCTGTTTTGAGCGTTGACGGGGAGATGGATGTATTGAAGCCTCAGCGAGCAGGATGGGGGCTGTGTTGCGGCGGCTGATGTGTAAAGATACCTTGTCGTTTCGAGGACTGAGCATGGTTCATGGTTCTCGTATATTCTTATTCTTCCTCGTTAACATTTCGTGCAATGAGTGTCCTGCGTCCTGGGACTAGGAACCTTGTTTACAAGTGTTAGTGTGATGATGTAACTGAGTACTGAGAAATTGAAATGGGACTGTGCAAGCTTGTGAGAATTGACGCCAGCCGCCGCACGAGACCAGAATTCGCGCCGCACAGCCAAAACTGCCAACACTGCCTCACCACGCCCCTGATCCTACCTACCCAAATTTCCTAGAAATTGGTCCACTTGCGAGAAGCGAGACGTCGTCAGAATTAGTTAAACAAAAGCAATATTCATGCAGAGATACGTTGTGCTTCAAGACTGTAGAGGAGTCGGTGAGATCAATGTCCACTGCTTACGTCCTACAGCCCTCCAGGACCCCAAAACATGCCAACTATCACCGCCAGACTCGACATACAGAGGCAAAAAGATAATGGTCACTACGAGGGTCGAACTCGCGACCTTGGCGTTAACAAGGAAGTATTAGCACCACGCTCTAACCAACTGAGCTAAGCGACCGTTGGTGTTTGATTGATGTAAATTCGAACATCTTACAAGTATATAACGTCACAATCAAATCAGCATAAGTAGACGGACGAGCATTGAGGCAATTCGAAAAGTTTCCTGATGCAAATTGAGTTGGTGGGGCGTTCAAGGGCTCAGTCCGGCAAGCGAAAGATGGCGGACGCACTAAGGCAGGACCTTGGTACGTAAACCGAGGTTACAACCGACACACCCCCGTGGGTGAACTCCTGAGTCCGCCTTTGCTTCATTTCTTATTGATGATCGAGCTAGTGTAGGTACGAAAAACCGATAGTCTTCGGAGTGCTGGAAGGAGAGAACTTGTAACCAGCAAATCGATTTCGTCCACGAAGGCTCCTCTATCGTCCAAATGTGGGATTGGTGCGGAGGACAACGCTGCCATTGTAGTGCGACTGGAGATCAACCAATGTCTACTACATATGCTGTCAAGATGAAGCTCAATTTGTGTGTCAGAAGCCTGCATGGGCGGTTTGAACCCGATCAAGGATTATGAACTCCCCTTACATAGGTCCTGCATCGCCACAGGATTTCTAGATCTGGAGCGATCCTATTCTCAAGGACCTACATCAAAAATGATGGGAGATAGATTGTGATCACGCCCAATCAACTTGATCTAACCGTGCGGCCAGGTAATCTGATTTGTTCCTTACGAGGTGGGGAGGTGCGATCATGCAGATGCGCCGTTCGTCAATTAGTCTACATTGACATGCAGGGGTCGGCTGGCTCAAGTAACACGAGAGACCACGCGCATCAGTTGACATTTGGAGGGCTTTCATACACGAGAGCCTAAATTTTTTTTTAGAAAAAGAATAACAACCAATAAAAGAGAATAAGTCTTGGAGAAGGCAGGTGATCATATCGCAACTACTTCAGCTGCACGCCAGGTTTAAGCAGCTGTGGTGGGATGATGTCAGAGCTGGCTGCTTCCTTGACAGCTTCGAAGCCCAGACAATGCCATCACCATGCCTCCCGAGTGGGTATGGAACCATCCCGTAACTAGAATAAGGTCCTGAAAGCATTGCCAACTCTTGTTGAAGCCTGCGATAGCTGCGAGATGATGTGATATGGTTAATAGACAGGCCGGTGTAACAGTGGAGGTGTGAGTTAGTGGTACCACCGAACAGAGCCGACGCCTGGCGTGGGCAGGCTCTACCACAGCCTGTCACCACACCGCTCCATCGAGCCACCTACGGCAAGCTACATGTGCGAACTGTCCCTGAACAAAGACAACATTACCAATTGCGTTGCGCACAGCGCTCTCTTGTAAGAACGTTGGGGGGATCCGAGCGTCGAGTTGGCGCTAGAGCCAGCCTCCCCGTAATGCTCACACCGTCTCCCAACCGTACTAGGCCGAATTGCAACCAAGTATCAGGCCACAGGCATGCAGTGGTTTACCAAGAAAGCTGAGGATCCTGCCTGCCGTGCAGCGGGACCCCACCGATGTCATGGACGCGAGTGGGCTTTCCATGTTCGTGGTGGCGGGATGTCGCTGTATCAGCACCCGCCTCTCTATTTTAAAACTCGGGCGACCTCAGGCGCCTCTGCTCATGACGGTCCTTAGCAGACTTCGGTTCCATTTAGCAATGCGATAGTAGCGCAAGATGCGCGCATAGCCACAAGTCTAATCACGGTTGCGCAAAAGATTGCAAGATGGAGGTTACAGAGAGGCTTACGAACAGCGCAACACCACCGCTGCCGGTCCGCAACCCGAACCGTCGATACTCCCAACGAAAAACCGCATTTGTCGTTCCAAACAGCTCAGCCAAGCTCGTACCGAAACCACTCTTCAGCAAACGAAGTGGAATTCCGCCTTTGCAGATACACATCGAAGTACAGGAAATTCTGGACTGGTCTTCACGCTCTTCTTCACAATCGTCGGGTCCTCCGTCACCGACAAGCTCGTTTCGGTCTTTTGCATCATACGCATCGTCAGTGACCACAGTTTCCGGACCCGGCTCGGTTCGCGAAAGACCAATATCACAGGAATACGCGTTCCCACCACTCGATATTTGCAATTGGGGCAACGAGTGGGAACCCTCACATGCACCAACAAACCCTCGCTTGCGAAGAACAAAGACGCCTAAGAAGGAGACGCTGAGAGACTTGCGAGCGAAAGGAAGCGACATGTGTTTGCAGAGGGTATACGAGCAGCAGCTTGAGCTTTACCTGAACGGTGCCTTGTTCCCGCGGACGAAGTGGAAGGATGATTTAGGATGTGTCGAAGAAGAGTAACGACGCTCAATGCGTAACGCGCAATGTTGTACGAATGGTGAGTGGAAGGTCGTCCCTCAACTACGAACCACAATACTGATGAGTGCAGTGCATATGAATTTGAGGAAAGTTTGTGAGAGGGGCCTTCTATGATACCAGGACAATTTTAGGGGATTTGAGTGACCATATTTCAGGATGAGAGACGCTGGCGTGGACAATTTCATTTTTTACCAATAGGCTAGAAGGTCTGGCAATGTATGTACTTATGTAGTGTCTTAATGTGCTAATGTTTTGTATACTACTGCTAGCATTCCTTTCGCAGGAGTGGCACTACCAGGACGGTTCCACATGTTTAAGAGCTCACTTATTCTTTGAACACCGCTTCTTGCGGTCAAGCTAGTCTTATAAGAACAACGTTTGCATCGTCCGAGATGAAGAATAGTGGAGATTTCAGAAGATCTTGAAACGAACATGGGCGCTGATAAGAAAGCGAAGATGAAGGGAATGTTGCGTTGTAAAGCATCTGGCCATACCACCAAAAAAGGTGTTGTTTGCATTATCTGGTTCGACCTCGAGCTCCTCCCTCGTTTCTAACCTTCGCTCGCACATCTTCACATTATCCACCCCTCGCTCGGTAACACAACTCCAAAATCTCCAACTGCACGTCCTCACTCGGACTCCTCATGAGCACATGCTTCTTCTCCGCATAGTCCAGAAACACCTCTCCCGCTTAGAACACATCGATCTTTGAGGATCGTTCCCACTGCGACTCCACCGTGCCTTTGATGATGAAGTTGACGCCTTCGACGGGATGGGTGTGAGGAGGTGAGTAGATACTGCAAGGAACAAAGTGGTTTTCGAAGCCGCGGAGTTGGGGGATTGGATGTGCGGCGACGATAGTGCGGGTTACGCCGTGGATGATTGTGGGTGGTGGGAGGGACACAACTGAGAGGACGGCGAACTCAAAAACTGGGTGGCGAGATCCTTTGAATTATATGTAGACTTTGTAGAGCACATGGAATTTACAGTCAAATTTGAATGGTGTTCGCGGTCGTTTGTGTAGTAGTCCAAGAGAAGATGTATTGCGTTGTAGTCGCTGCTTTGTATCGACATTGGACCAAGCTTCCGCTGTGTATATGCTCCTTCTTGTGTCGATGGTTCTTGCGTAAGCAGCCCCAGCTCGGACAGTCAGATATATAGCAGGCTATTCTCCTTGGGCTCCTACACTGATCAACGATGTTGTCAATTTTCACCATCTCGACGTCTCCCGGCTGGTATGCAAGATGCATATCCAAACGCCAGGGCTCTACTGGCCGATCCATGCTCCTGCAATTAAGTAAGCCTATACTGAGGTGTGATTGTGGTGATGTCCGTGGGTGTAGTGCGGATACTTGTTGTAGCGCAGTGGCTGGGTACGTTTTCGAATGCTGACCACTTACTCATACACGGATTGATCAGCTCTTTGGAGTGTACTTGCGGACCTGTTTCTTCGCGCATCTGAACCGTCCCCTGTAAATCGAGTATCTTCTGTACAGATTTTCTACCACCAACCAGAGCGATGCATTGTCACTGTCCTTTCTGCCTCTGCCTCATACGGGGCCACCCGGTGAATGGCCGTATCACGACATCAGCAAGAGTGTGCGCTGGTAGAGTTCCAGAGGCTCGATGGCATCTTCGAACAATCAGGGATACTGCAGTATTTTTCCTATTTGGCATTCTGCAATCAACCGAAACCAAATACCATCCTCGTTCCCCAACAGCCACAACAACATCGTTACAAGAGCTCGAATTGATGATAAATAGTGCAGCAATTGAAAGAATTTATAAGCCTTATTAAGGCAACCAGGTGTTCCAAGCCCAAGCACTAAGCGCGACCTCAAACCCATTTCAATCGTCTTCCCTCCTATGCTGCAAGAACAAACCCATATCTCACCCATACCCTACCCACTATTCCTACCCAATGGGGCCCGCACCCCCGGCCCCCCAACGGCTCGCCACCACACCAAACGTCTGCAACTGCCACATGCGCGCCCGCGCCACCCTGTGAAACCCCAGTCCCATCATCCAGCCTTATCTAAGACGACGGGTAGATCCGGACCGTACTTTCCCCTATCCGCCTCCCTTCCGCTTCCCGCGGCAAGGTCGCGCGCCGAGACATGTCAACCAGTATTCTCGAAGGCAGTTCGCATGTGATCGGCAACGGAATGTGGGTTGATTGGGGGGAGATATCGATAAAGAGATGGCTAGGTATACCGTGCATACACATTGCATACAATTTATGTATTGACTGCGCGGAACCATGGGTTGCGCGTGCTACGGTTTGATATTAGACATGAGGTTGATGGCGCAGTGCTTTGTTTGGATAGATGAGTCGTTGATGATACCTCATGATATGCTGCCTGCTCTCGGGTGAGTTCGGGGCTGTGCTATCAAGAAGCCGGATCATGGTGTAGTGTTGTCAGCTACCACAGAACTTAAATGTGAACGCGAACCACTCGCAGCACGATGAACACAGTCGGACGAATGACAATGCAGTAAAACTTGATTCAATGTTGCACCATCTACGCTACGTCGAACAAGAAGCGAATTCGCTCGTACCAATTACGAAAAGGGTGTCAGGGTGGATACAGGATGGTGCCGGAGAGGTGGTAGGGGGGGTATCGCAACTGAAAATCCATCCGGACTTTTTATCGGCATACAAACCGGCCAGTCTATTTCCAACAAAAGCGGAGCAGGCGCCAGTAGAGACCGTAAATGCAGTAAACTTGGCGAAAAGCGTGTGCCAAAATGCAACTACACCTCAAAGGTGGTAAATTATAGGTGCGCGTTGTTCAAGCCGTTGGTAGCGTGCTCGACGCCGTTACCGTTGGCAAAAGGGTGGTGGCCATTGCCGGCAGGCTGGGTGACGGGGTAAACTGTCTTTTCGGTCTCGCTGAAGGGGTCATACATCCTTTCCTTGATGTAAAGGTCGAGCTGATCGTCAGACATCTGGCGAAGCTCAACAGCGCGGTCAACACCGTTTTGCTGAGCAGCACGGATGACGCCACGGGTAACAACAACGGAGACTTCGCGGATGCGGCGGATGTCGGGGTACAACCAACCATCAGCGGTCTCCTGCTTGTTGAGCGAGGTGGACAGGGACTCTGCGGAGGCGTAGATCATGTCTTGGGTAATGGACACGGACTTGGAGAGAATAGCCCCGAGACCGATACCGGGGAACACATACATGTTGTTACCCTGACCAGGCGTAAGCAGCTTGCCGTTGTACTCCAGGGACGGGAAGGGAGATCCCGATGCAAACAAGCATCGGCCCTCAGTGTTGTGTACAGCCTCGTCGAAGGTGCACTCAGATTTGCTGGAAGGGTTGGAGAGGGGGAAGATGATTGGCCTATCATTGAGCTTAGCCATCTTCTGGAGGATGTCCTTGTTGAACGCTCCACCAATGGTGGAAAGACCCATCAGGATAGTGGGCTGCACGAAGTCGATAAGACGCGAGAGAGACTGGTACTGGCGGCCGTTGTTGTCATCGCGGGCAAAGTACACTTTGTGCTCGGCAAGCTTGTCGCCACGGTCGAGAGTGACCAGACCATTTGAGTCGACAAACCAGAACTTCTTGCGGGCCTCTTCCTCGCTGACGCCTTCCTTGATGAAGAACTCAACAATCTGCTTAGCAACACCAACACCGGCACTGCCCGCGCCGAGGAAGATGGCGCGGTGATCCTTTGCGGGTACACCGGATGCACGAACGGCGTTGATGAAGCCACCAACAATGACGGCGCCTGTTCCCTGCACGTCGTCGTTGAACATGCAGTATTTGTCTTGGTATCGCTCGAGAGCGGGGAAGGGGTTCTTGAAGTCCTCGAATTGGATGACGATGCTGCACACGATCAGTTTCCACATCTAGCCATGTTACACAGAACATGCTCACCCTGGCCACTTGTCGGTCAACGCAATCATGAGCTCATCTAGGAACTCCTTCTCCTCGGCGGCGGAGACCTTGGGCGTTCTTGAACCCATGTACAGCGGGTCGTTACGGAGAGTCTCATTTCCTGTGCCCAGATCCAACGTCAAGGGCAAGGTGCCGGAGGGCCTGATACCGGCGCAGGCAGTATACAACGCAAGCTTGCCAACGGGAATACCCATGCCGTTGACACCAAGATCTCCGAGACCCAGGATTCGCGAGCCGTCTGTCAGGACGGTGATCTCAACCTCGTGCGGCCAATTATCGAGAATCTCGCGGAGGTGGCCCCGGTCGTTCCAGGAGAGGTACATGCCCTCGGGTTGTGTCCAGATCTCGTGCCATCGGACGCAGGCCTCGCCGACGGTCGGGGTGTAGATGAGAGGGGTCAATTCCTGTTGGCTGGTTAGTACAGGCACGTTCTCGGAGAGCCAGGAGCTGCAGCAGCAAGTCGGCCTACCTTGATGTTTTCTGACAGCAGACGGTAGAACAGGTGTACGTTGGTGGCGCGGAGGTGGACCAAGTACTGGAACTTCTCAATTGGCGTCGTCTTCATGGCGAGCAGTCGGAGGCCTGTTGGTGTCAGTCGGCCAGTCCAATCGCAGCCTCCCCGGGATGCATGCTCTGCTTACATCGTTGCGCCTGCACCTCGTGGCTCTCGACTGCGGGCGGCGTCAGGCCGTATGTTTTAAGGTACCGGCGGACCTCTGGCGGGTTGGCCATGTCATAGTCACCGCCGCTGTGGAGTGTGTGAGCAATTGGGCAGGTGCGAAGGCCGCAAGAGAGACTCACGTGGTGCTGAGCTGCCTCGTGGCACTGGGCCTCTGTAGTTGAGCAGGCATGTTTGTGTTTGCAACGGTTGCTAGAAAGCGGTGGGGAGGAGAGGGAGAGGGAGAGGGAGAGGGTGGAATTCTGGAAAGACGAGAGGCCCGGGAGAGGGTAACGGCTTTAAAAGGATTTAATCTCAGCATTGACAGGCGCAGCGGGACGAGACAAGGGGAACAAGAGGGTGTCCTGTGGCCGCGACGATGGGCTGGCGAAGGCGACAGAACCTATCGGAAGACGGCAAATGGACGGGCAAGGAGTCGGGGGGCGCGAGAACCTGGGCCACAAGAGGAGAGCCGGGCGCGCTGCTCTGTACTGCGCGCGCCCTCTCACCAGCAGCGTTCCAAAAAAAATCCCCCGTTGGCATGACTGACGCCGGGGAAGCAGCCCTAGCGGGAATCGGGACGTACCAACCCAGCAAGGGTGCACCTGAGGCGCAGGCATCGGAACAGGTCGGAACCTAGACGCCTCCAAAGACACACGGTGTGGGGGAACGGCGTGAAGAGCGCTCCAAAGCCCATTGCGGCTGCGGCTGCGGCTCCACGGCGCGCGATAGTGCGGTTGCATCCCGAGCCCAAAGACTCGTCTCGACGCACACGCGACCCTTTGCGACTCACGAGCGGGCGATCCGTCAGGCACCAGCGCAGAGTTAACAGCGTTCGTCAGGCCTAGCGGCGGCGGTACTGTGCAACGGCATTGCGTGTCGCGAGAATGGCGATGCATGCTGTCAATGGCACGTCGCCCGCGGTGCCGCGGGATGCTTGGTATCCCTACCATCCCGCGGCAGTGCCAGGCACGCAGCCGTCTCGGATTCGAGCGTCACCCAGCGACGCGGTTTCAGCGCAATCGCCCAAAGCCCAAGCCCAAAAGGAACGAGGGCCCCACGGCGCCTCCAGACGCGCCAGCTTGGTAATCCGCCAGCGGCCTCGGTGCGTGGATTCGCAGCGTACGCACACCGACACTTCTTGTGCTCCCGTCTGTCCTCCCAATCCTTTCCGAAATATCGTATGTTGCGCCCAGCGCTGAGTGGCCCCTGGACAGCTCCGGCCATCAGCCGCTGCGCCATTTTGCCGTCCACTGGCTGCTCGAGACGCAGTGCCGATCCACACAACAGTGCAACTGCCTGTGCTGGAGCGCAGCCGTTCTTGATTGTTGAGAAATGCTGCAGCTACCACGTACATCCGACCGAGCCAAGCAGATTGAGCGTCTGTCGAGTTCCGGAGGGGCGGATGCGGGGAAAGCTTGACTCGGACCCGCAGATACATACAAAGTTTTCTGCATTGGGATACGACACGCCAGTCTTTCCTCCTGCGGCATAATCTGAACGGTGCCGCCTGCGTGTACATCATAGCGCAAGGAGTCGAAGCACGCGACAGCCGCAGTACGGGCCTGACGGTTTTAGGCGTGGTGCTGTCAAGCCTTTCTGTGCAACTCGGCATGTTGCCAAGCAGGTGCGGTGGGTTTGATACATCTTCCTGGTGTTGTGGCTTTGCCTGGGGTTTCGCGTGGGATGGCTTGGCTGTGGCTGCCAATGACGTCGCGGTTGCTGCGCGTCACTATGAGCGCCTCCATAGCTCATAGCTCTCCCAGGCAAGCCTACAGTTACGGCCACAACAATATCGCGCCAGGTCATGTTGTGCATCTGACATTGTAATCGCTCCCCGAAGAACCGCAGCCTGCCATGTCGTCCTGCTTCGGATTCCGCAAGTCGCGCGCCGACGACCAGCGCCCGCTGCTGCCTCAGTACCGCGATGACACCGTCATGCAGCGCGAGGTGCACCAGAAGCTGCATTCTTACCAAATGATCCGAGCCCTAGGCAAGGGATACATGCCCTCCAACGAACAGGTCATCGTCAACCTGCGGAGCCTCTTGGCCGCCGACGTGCTCAACCCGGACAACCCGGAGCTCAGTGATTCCGGACGACTGCTCGTCAAATTCAGCAAGCGATGGCTGCACGAGTTCATCGAATTGCTCCTCAACAAGAATGGAAGCGACCAGATACAAGACTTCCTCTGGTACTTGTCCAAATCGAGGGTCTCTGTAGATGTCGAGGATCTTACCCATCGGGCCGTCAGATCTAGAGCCAAGGCAGACATCTCCGCAGGTGGGTCGTTCCTGTCGATCATATTGCTACTCCTCCGCTGACACATCGTAGCCTACAGTAGCCTACAGACAGTTGGGTCGCTCCTGCTGACCAATACTGATTTCCGCATCTTCCTCGCGGACCTCAATACGCTTGGTCGTGAGGTGTTCAGAGATACTGCTTTCAGTTTGTCAAACGTGGCCAAGAAGGCAGGCAAGAAGATAGAGCCATCCCAGGCTGACCAAAAGGCGCTCAAGGAGCCAGGTGCTGATTCAGGCGAGGCACCCACGACCGAAGAGCTCAATGGCGACCTGGTTGAAGTTGCCCAAGTTGTGGGCGAGGGCACGGCCAAGGTTGGTAAGAAGGCACAAGACAGTCTGATAGGCAAGCTCCAGGGCGACGAGGGAGACTCACTTCTCTACCGGCTGAAGAAGACTGTGATGGACCTGCGCAAGAAGCGCGACTACTCCGATTCGGTGTCCACCTTAGCACTCCTACTCCAGAGATATGCTTTGGCCTATTCTCGTATGGCTGAAGATGCTGTACATGCCACTCAAAAGGACATCAGCACGAATACTGCTACAGACAGGGCTGTGAAGAACTTCTGGACCTTCATAAGCTCTTTCGGAGAAAAGCAGGAATGGAAGAAACTCGAAGACAGCTTCCACAAAGTCTTGGAGCATTCTCAAAAAGATCCGGAGTTCGAGGATCTGCTCACTGACGTTGGAAACTCGCTGCAGAAACTACTTACCGATCCTGACTTTTTTGAGCATGCCGAAGAAAAGTTCCAAGAGCTTAGGAAGAAGTCCAAGGACGTCGGGACAGAATCCTCTCTGCGCAAGGATATCGATTCGTTCTTCGAGCAGGCACAGATTACGTTCAACTCAGTGACGCAAGACCAGGATATTGCGAAGCTCATTAAGACGACGACGCAGCTCTTCTATATCCTCTCACCACAGTATCAGTACACCAACGGCGAGCTGATCCAGGACGCCATCAATGTCTTCGTTCCTCTCTTCATCCAAGCCATCCAGTATATCCCCATCCCGCGTCTCGAAATCTCTACCCCGGAAGTCGATCTCCTCCTTGAAAATCTCATCCTCGAACCCGGCAAAACCATCAACAACACTTCTTTCCTCCCCTTCCGCTTCCGCGTAGAAACCCGTAACGACTTTGAGATTTGGAAAGCCAAATTCCGCACCGCATCCAAAGTAGACTCCAACCTCACCATTAAAATCGATGGCTTATCTCTTCGCGCCGAAGAGATTGGCTTCCTCATGCGCGCGCACAAGGGTCTCCTCCGCCTTGCAGATGAGGGTATCGCCTCCTTCGAGCTTGACGAGCGCGGCATCGACATCCACCTTGACGTGGAGATTGCCAAGGACCGCCAGGAGCAGATGCTCACGCTCAACGCCGTCCGTGTGCACATCCACAAGCTCAGCTACACCCTGCGCAAGTCGAAGTTCAGCCTCTTCGGCTGGCTTCTCAAGCCGCTGCTACGCCCCATCATCCGCAAGGTCATGGAGAAGCAGCTCGCTACCGCCATCTCAGATGCCATACACGCCGCCAACCGCGAGCTCCTCTTCGCCCGGGAGCGCCTAAGGGCGACGCGCATCTCCGATCCGGATGACCTGCGCACGTTCTTCAAGGCCGTGCTGACGAGGTTGACGCCTGAGGATGACCCCGATCTATACACCAGGGTGGGCGTTGCTGCGCCCGGAAAGGGAGTCTTTGCTGGCCAGTATGCGCCTGGAAGCGTGGTCAAGCTGTGGGAGGAGGAAGGCAGGCAGGCGAGCGAGAGGATCGAGGAGTGGGATGAGGGAGGCTGGAGGAACGATGTGTTTGACTTGCATGCTATGATGCTGTGAGTGGACAATTCTTGACATTACGACTTCTGCTGTTGTATTCTTCATCATGGGAATTTGGCGTTGAGCTGGATTCTTACACGAGTTAGGCACGTCGAGCTAGGTGGTTCCTTGGTCTTTACGCATGGTATCGTCGGAATGGGCTTCGAAACTGGCTTTTCATTTACGATGTCACTTCTATGTACACTCTTGTTTCCTTTCTATCTCGTCTGAGGCGATTGTTACGATGTTATCATAGCTATAATTCCAGTCCTTTGACATGTTTCATGACTACTTGCGAGATGCAACTAACGTACGCCTCTAGTCAACGAGGCGCAATAATACATATGAACAGGCTCAATTTATCCACGCAACAGGGCTCGGGATGTGCAGAACGATGTGATGAATTCAAAAACAATGCAGCAATCAAATCGCTCAAAGCCCATCCATCTCACACGGATGCTCAAACGCCCAGCAATGCATGAAAATGCCTCCATTCGCTCCCCCAACGCCAGAAAATGCTCCATCAACGCTCCAAACGCGCCGCCCCAGACGAAGTGAAAATGCTCAAAACTCTACAGTCAACCCCAGCCGCATGGTTTCCACCGACTTCCCCCCAACGCCCTTCAACATAGCCAGCATCTGTAGGTCATGAATCTCCTCATCGTCCATGTCGACTAAGCAGTTCACGATGGCATCTGCCTTTTTCGCGCCCACGCCTTTCAGTGCCTTGATCTGCGCGACATCCTTGGTGTTGATGATCTTAAGTAGACGAGAGGTGCGAGGAGTCTGCTCCTCAGGATGTGCGGAAGCCGAGGCGACATCTTGATCACGGAAGATTGGCAGTTTCTTTGTCGCTGGCTTTGTCTTGCGTACCGGCTTCTTGAACTTGAAGCTGGAGTCTGAGGCGTATGATTCGTCGTGGTCAGAGGCATTAGCGGGTGCGAATTCGTCATCGTCAGTCTCGTCTCCGAGAACGGGTTTCCTCTGCTTTGTGGACAAGGGTGCCATCCGGTTTGACGTATGGAGAAGTGCTGCCTGTGTTAATCCTGACCCGACTTCACGTCGGCTGCGAATGCTTTCTTCTAATTTGGCGATCTTCGTCTCCAGCCTGCTGTTACCTGGGAAATAAGGTAAGGCTAGCTGGAACATGCGAAGGGCGCTGACTTCCTCTCCGCGTGCCAAGTGCTGCTTGCCCATGAGCAAAAATTGCAGTCCAGGTCCCGACTTGTCATCATCCCGAGCCTCGACGCGTTGCTCTAGATCATCTAATCGCCTTTGTAGCTCTGCAGAGAGCGCAGGAGCAGCGACTGCCGCATCTTGCAGGGCCCTTTCCGCAAGCTTCTCGTCTATCCGCTGAGATATCATAGCCTCTATAGACTCTTTGGTCATGGCGTTCTCCAAGGGGCGTGCTCGCGACGTGCTATCGGTCGATCGATATATCTTGGTCGGCCGAGACGCAGGTGCACTGGATTCGGCAGCTCGTTTGTGAGTGTCTAATCTTCTTACGCCTTGGTTCTGGGCAGCCAAGTTAGATCCACGCATCCCAGGTTTACGGGAGTCAGAAAATACAGAAAAAGCCTTATTAGGCTTTTGTCCCTGCTTCTTTTTATCCGCCTCCTGTATGTTCGCATTGTGCGCAGCAGCTAGTGGTCTGAGAGGTTGTCGAGTGATGGTCGCACCGCCTATACTGCTCGTTGCAGCGAGAGGCTTTGCCATTGCACGGTAGATAGGATCGTTCTCAACCTCGGAAACTTCGATCTTCTTGGTGCGACTCGCAAAGTTTAGAGATGCTAGGGTGTCTAGATGGTATGCTCGTGTAGGCGCCAGGTTGAGGATCATAACTGTCAGACCGCTGTTCTGTCCTAATGACAGAATGCGCGTCATCTTCGATTCGCGGTACGGTATCCGAGCCTGCTTCTTGTTGATAGCGTCGACACATTGTGCCAGAACGAATAGAGACTTGTTGATGGCTGAACTCTCCACCAGTCGCTCTTTGTTATTTTCCGTCCGTCTGTTGTCTTCTGAACCCGCAAGGTCTATGCACGAAGCGCGGCTGACCCGTATGGTATCTTCGGTGGTCTGGGTGATCTTGACGCAAAGAATGGCGTGCGATCGCGACGAGTGCGCGTTGAGCTGGAATTGGTCAATAGGCTCCCCTGTATCCTGTGCGAGTATATGCCCACCTTGGTTGCAGAAGTCGATCTGTTGACGTTGGCTTGGTCATATAACTGCTCGAATTCCTTCAACGTCGCGCAAGGCTTCTCAGTCAAACCGACAACAACAGTCTTGCCCTTTGCACTATCCCTGATGGGTAGTCCAGAAGGCGTTCGCTTCTCTGGAGGTTCGAATAGGTCGTACACACGGTCGCAGTAGATCTCGAAGTATTCTAGTGCAACCTCGACGTGCGTCGCTCCTCCAGTATCCTTCTCGACCTTCTTGCATCTCCGATATATCGCGCTTAGCAGCCTGGGAATAACACCTCGATCTGCTAAAGTCTTTCCACCTCGCATCGTGTGCGTCTTGCCGGTACCAGTGCACCCGTGCGCGAATATCGAGAGATCGCTTCACATTGTGTCAATCATACGCGTCTCAGGTGTAACGACGTTGCGCTTACAAGCCATTGAAGAGGTGTTTGACGGTTGGAGATACTGGTGTGACGATCAGCCCTTGTTCCACGCATGAGGTGTCTTGGTAGACCTACTCTCCGCGTCAAACAATTCCTGCTGTGTCGCCTCCTGCTCGTAAACCGAGGAGAACTGAAAGCTGAACGATTCGCTGTCGGTCTTCGGGTTGGGTATGCGAACAACGGTAGGCCGGTCCTTGGTGTCCTCGTCTGTGGTCGATTCGGCGGTGACGATACTGTCTTTGTCAAGCTCATGCTTGAGCAACGGCCGGATGCGCGCGACGACTCGTACACTCATCGCGAATATGAAGGACGATATGAGAAGAAATGGCTGTGGGAAAGGTCTACGTCTACAGAGGAAAGAATGGCGCAACCACACTGACGTCGAGCTCAGGGTTCGTGGATTAACCTGGCGCGAGTCCGTGTGTTGATGTGCTATGGACCGGGCGCGTTACCTGGACAACGTCTCGCTAAGAGTACACCACGTGATGCTCGCACTTCAATAGCATCCATCCCATCTGTGGCTGTAGATTCTAAGAAATCGATGCCGAAGTCTGAATACTTCCTGCACTCATCTGCACTGACATATCTATAGAAGACGTGCTTCTTCGCAATGGTCCCATGAGCTGTTACGACGCCCAGCTAAGCTAGATATGCGTCAAAGGCATCATCATTCTTTCCGTGCGGGGAACGCGAGGACATCGATATTTGCCCAATGCGAGAAGTATAGAATGCCACATGAAACCTCAACCTACAGCAAGCGGAGGTTTTCTTTCCCGGCGGGCTTGTCACTATTCGATATCGCGCGGGAGACAGCAAGAAGGCCTTCGCACGAGCTTCCGCTGAACGACCTCCGCGCGGTACGTTGGAAAGAAAGCAGATTCGATACATTCGGTGGCCGGTTTGAAGACCTATTTCGGGCGTAGGCGTGTATGCATATAGTCGAGATGAACACGTCTGGGCGTGCCGCCCGCGATGCGGCTCCACATGGGGCTCCATGGATCCGATTGGCCCACAAGGCTTCTGTACCTGAAACGCATGCGCTTTGAATGGAACAACGACCACCACTCGACCACTCAGATACGCCCAAATCCAGTACAACGTAGAAAACGAAGACTTTAGCGTCGACGCTGGAGCCAGTACCGCCGTGCTCTTGATGCTCGGGTCAAACAGCTAGTGGAGCTTCAAAACCAGACGACAGGCCAACTGTGAAATGTCGGTCTCTCGTAAACTCTTGTCAAAAATGCGTATGACACAGTCGCGGTTCTCGTTCGGTCTTTCTGTCTAGCATTTCGTGTGTTCGTCGATCGTTCCTCTTCCTTAATCGTGTGCTTCCCTTATATTTTGGCTCCCAGTCTTTTCTGCCCAAGCGCGCGGCTTTCCAAGCAGTCTCGATTCTCCTGTCTTCATTTATCTGATCTGGCTCGCCTTTGAGAAGATGATCTCGTCTCTTTTAGTATGGCTGCTGGCAGCATATTCTGGTCTCGTGGCAGCTGGACCGTTGCCGCATCTGCGGAATTCATTTTCGTGAGTGTATCGCTCCAAACCTAAGAAAAGGGGTCTGATTTACAAAGTGCTCTACATTACCTTAATGCCTCATCGACCTTGATGACTGCACCTGGAGATGGCTTTACGAGTACTTTTGATCATGCCATAGTAGCAACTAGTAGTATCGCGACACAGAATGTGGAAGCCAACACGGCAGTGATGGTTGAGCCGATCGACCATACAGTCTTTACTCGCACCAAGGCAGCTATCACCTTTGTCAATCCCAAAGGAGATCCACTAGTCACGCAGCCCGAAGAAACACTCCTTTCCACGTCGTATATCACGAAGCCATCGTCAACAGAAACACCGATCCCCAAGGCGTCGCCGAGAGCTTCGAGTCCGGCCGCCCTGGAAACATCAACAAGTACAGAAAATCTCGGTTTCTCAGTTGGCCCTAGTGGGAAAACCACCACCAAGCCTTCGGACCGCTTATCCAGCAATGCCACTGCCAGTGGGACGGCAACTCAAGCGCCGATGTTCACTTATGAGCCAGGAGACGCTACCACAGCTGGAGAAACTTCTCGGCCAACAATCACAATCACAGTCTCCAGCTTTACCACCCTCACTGCAGGCTTGAACAGTACCGAGTCGCAGATAGGACAGACATCTGTTCCAGCAGTCTCGAACGCAGCCCCAACAACGGCATTGCTACAGAGCACGATCGCTCTTTCGTCCAGTTATAACAATCAGTCAGCGACACCGACGGGAGGAGAGTCATCCTCATCGGCCAAGCGTACCATCCTTGTAACTAGCACGGAATATACCACACTGTTTCCTTCGTCTCACACGTCGTCGCAAGTCGCAACCCAGTCGTCATCTGCCGCAGCATCCGAGCCAGCGATCCCAAGCCTCACCCATTCACCTGCACCATCATCTACAGATACGGAGCCACAGAGCTCTTCAATACCGCCTGAATTACCCACAAGCTCGCTGTCCCCGCCGCCTATCATAGTGATCACTCCATCGGCGACAGAACCCTCTGGACCGGCGGCATCAAACACTCAAGCAGCCGCACAACCCAGCAGCGGAGGTGGCGGCTTCGCCTACCCTACCCGGCAACCAGCCGCAAGCTCAGATGTACCTTCAGCATCGTCTTCCGCGCCTCCGTCATCCAGCGAGGAAGCACCCTCAGCACCCTCAGCCGTTCCAAGTTCACCTTCAGAACCCGCGCCGGCGCCCACATCGCTTCCATCTTCACCTTCGTCTGCGGCGCCCTTGCCAGCACCATCATCGACCTCTAGTGGCCCCCTGGTCGTTGTACCAATCGACACGAGTCAGATATTCACCGTAACAGAGACGGTCACGACCACGACGACAGAGAAAGAGACGGTGACAGTGACTGCGACTGTGACGGCTTGAGTGGAAGGAATTGAGTCGAGAAGAAAATGTAGTCGCTACTGAATTTGCTTTGGCACCCATAGTTTCAGGGGAGAGTGGATGTAATGCGTAATGACGAAATAGTAGTTAGGACATTTATAGTTGGACTATGTACTGCACGATACAAACAGTGCACATTATTCAAATTGACTTGTTTTGCATCTTTCTCATCTCCTGAGTCAGATGATTGAGAGGTATTTTGGACAGCATAACGAGCGCTTGGAACATCTCGTGAGGGCTCGTAATCATGGTTTCATGTCTTGTCAGTCTGGCAGCATTGATGTACATCAGAACAGATGCATCCCTCATAGCACGTACGCATTTGGATGTTTCGAGATTGATTGTTCGTGTACCATTGTCATCGTCAGGCTTCCCTGCGCCCTTCCACAGGAATGCTACTTCAGCCTTGATCCATGATTCGAGGTATAGAAAGCAAAGCAAGACACGCCATGATCCAGTATCCCACTAAACCCATGCTAATCATCACGCCACATCCTTCGTCCCATCATCCATCTATGCGGAGAAAGCATCAGGGAAGCGGCGGACGTTGTCGGCGAGCTTGCCCTTGTTGCCAAGGAACTGGACGTAGGCACCATCAATCTTGATGCGGCCCTCCTGGCGCTTGGTGACGTAGTCCTCGCGGCGGAGGCTGGTGAAGCCCCAGTTCTTGGAGACGATGATCTTCTGGCGACCGGGGAACTGCGAGGCATTAGCAAATGCCAACTGGTACTTTATACTCGAACATACCTTGTACTGGGATCGCCTGAGAGCCTCAAGAGCGATGGCGCGGTTGGCATCCCTAGTGCGGACGGACAGGATGATCTGGCCGATGTTCACACGGGCGACAGTGCCGTTGGGCTTTCCGAAGGCACCACGCATACCCGTCTGCAATCTATCGGCACCAGCGCACGACAACATCTTGTTGATACGGACGACGTGGTAGGGGTGGGCGCGGACACGGAGATGGAAACCTTCCTTTCCGGCAGACTTGACGAGGTACTTGTTGGCGCAAATACGGGCGGCCTCGAGCGCCTCAGAGGACAGCTGCTCGTACTCGTTGGAGACAAGGTGGATGCATAGCGGGAATTCGTCGGCGTTGGCCTTCTTGCGGCCAAGATCGAAGATACGGATCTTGGGGTCGGGGACACCACGGTTGAAGCGCGACTTGGGGTACTGCACAGAAACGTCAGACCTGCACTCTGTTGCCTCCAGATTTCCAACATACCGGCTTGTTCTTGCAGTACCTGTAGCAACGGGCGGGACGGCGAGCCATTTTGACTGTTGATCTGTCGAAACAATAAGCGGAAGGTCTTCTGGAGCAGATACCCCAAGAGCGTTATTTCTGCAAAATCGCGGGAGCGCGAGTTTCGAGCTTGCGCAAAGAGAAGGGAGCGGTTCTTACCCTGCTGTTAGTTGTGTTGTGGTGGAAGTGGAGGCTCGAGAGAAGGTCTTTGAGTGTGAGCGCCGGGTTGATTGGAAATCAGTGTGGGCAACGCTAGTCTACTTTGGGCTGTGGCGGAAAGTGCACATCGAATGCAATCCTTCTTCCCTGCCTTAGTAATCAAGTTCGACACCTGAACATTCGCAATGGAAACAGCCTACTTCGTTCTGTCCCTTGATTCACTCTGATGATCTTGCAATCACAAACATCTTATTTCGGTAGCATCTTGTCGTGGTTGAATCAGTCGCGACTCAACTGCCAGAGCAACACACTATGCAGAAACGGCACATCTTCGCAATCTTTTTCGTGCGAAAATATGTGCACGTCAACGCCACAAAGTCTTTTCCATCACAAAGCATACGATAACATGATGTGAAGGTGACTCATTGTCTCATTGCTTTAGCCACTTTTGCATGACTCATATCGTGAGGTATCATAGTCTATCTGCCGAAGCCGCCCTTTTTTCTTGTCCTTTTCCACATGCACTTAAGCAGTGTCGGCGCTCAGAATATCAGAGTCACCTAGGACATGTTAGAGGTTGATTCATCAGGAAGATATTGAGATACATACCAGCATCGATGATGGACATAGTGGAGCAGCGGAAGAGCTTACCGCAAGCAGTACCAAGCTCAATCTGTTGTGGAATCACGTCAGTCGAAAGCCCTCCGAAGTCACAATAGACCTCTTCTCAGGGCCAGCCCTCAAGTACCGATCGGTATCTTGTCGTTAGGCCATGAGGTTCGGATAGGAATACGTACGTTGTTGCCAGAGAAGTGGTGAACGGAGGTCTTGGAAAGCTGTTGCCAAAGTTAGTGATACGATCGGTGTGTATTGGTTTCGAGCACATCAGCGCTTGGGTTACAGTGTACAGAGATTGTGAAGCATGAGCATTGGACGAATCTCGGTCAAAGAGAGCCTGTCGCTTTCGCACTGATGCCCTACTCCACAAGTCTCTGCCCTCATGTATCCTTCCACCACATGTCTCGACAGCGGGAAACGAACCATAGCGTAATACTCAAGCTCCGACTTGCGCAGAGGAGGAGTGTTGCCAGCAATGATGACAAGCTTGGCCTTGCCGTTGCGAAGGCTCTTCAGGGTAGACTTGTATCCGAGAGTGACCTTGCCAGACTTCATCACAAGCGCCAGGCGCGAGTTGATGGTGTCACTTTGTGAGGATCAGTATGGAATCTAGTACGGCGTTTCCCTCGGTTTTACTTACGCGTTTCTCTTAGCCTTCTTGGGTGCCATCGTGAGCTCAGGAAGTTGTTCTTTGGTGTTCCTGTGGTGTTGATGCCTCCGGCGATAGTTTTGGTGTCCAAGTTGTTCAAGCGCGGCCGCAAAAGTTAGCTTGTGGGCGCGCTCGCTAAGATTGCGCTAGACCAAATGCGCCAAGCGGCCGGTGCACTCCGGAAATTCGCGACGATTCGCCAATGATAAATGGTGACGGTCGGAAGCAGCACGATTAGGTCGCGAAGATGGTGATCAGAAGTATTTATTGCATTGGTATCCTGCGATGAAAATGCAAAAATTTCAAAAGGCCTCCGTGCGGCTAGCGTATGGTATATATAACACGTTTTCATCCTCATGCTTGATCTTGTTTAAGCATCAATCATCCCATCGTTATCCTTCATGTGTAATTTATGCAGCTGCCCGTTGAGCCTGCCGGCCCGCTCTAGCTGGCTTACGAACGGCACCAGGTCGGTTGAGAGTGTACTTCGCGAAGGCTCTGGCAAGGGACTTCTTCGCGCTGACCTTCTGGGAACCTACGAACGAATCGACGGTGACAGCGATGGCGCGGTCGATGTCTTCGGCCGAGCAATACTCCGACAGGCGCATCTTACAGAAGGATTCTGAGATACGAATAATGGCTTCCAGATGACGAACCTGCGCTTGTTAGTGGCCAGTTACATGTCTGCTATGGTGGTTACTTACAGTGATTGGGTAAGCACCAGTAGCCATCGACTCCTTTCGTAGATCAGCGAAAAGGCGAGCCACCTTGTCCTGATCGATCTGGTATAGTTTGGGTCGGCACTTCTCCCTCGCGTAGAGGATATATTTCCTGAGCAGCTCCTGTGGTATGTCCCCTTTCGGTGCTTGGTCCGCTTGAGCATCCACCTCCATACTCTCATGAGACTCCACGTTGCCGTTTCCGTCTTCTGTAGCATAGGCCGCATTTTGGTGCTGAGTGGAACGGGCGTGGGAATTGACGACGAATTTGGCGAGGCGTTCATCTTCGCTGGGATCGACCGTATCACGTACGACACAAAGAATGTCGAAACGAGACAGAATAGGTTCTGTGAGCTCAACGTTCTGTGAGAATGGGATAGTAGAGTTGTATCGTCCACCGATGGGATTGGCAGCAGCGACGATAGCACAACGTGCCTGGAGTGTGGTGACAATCCCAGCTTTGGAAATTGAGATGGTCTGTTGCTCCATGGCCTCGTGGATCGACGTACGATCCTGGTCGTTCATTTTGTCAAATTCATCGATTAGACACGTGCCCTTATCTGCAAGCACAAGAGCTCCACCTTCCAAAGTCCATTCACTGGTCATGGGATCTCGGCGAACGGACGCTGTGAGACCGACAGCAGAGGCACCTTGACCAGTAGCGAAGACAGCTCGGTGGGCAGTCTTTTCCACGTACTTGAGCACTTGGGATTTGGCTGTTCCTGGGTCTCCCAATAAGAGGACATTGATGTCACCACGCATAGCGTGATGTCCAGCGGCCTCTTTACTGACACCACCGAACAACGACAGAGCTACTGCAGTTTTGATGTCCGTATGTCCGTAGATGCTAGGCGCAATGGAGTTCACGATTTTCTCCACAATGTTCGGGTCCTTCGATAGCTGTCGAATCTGCTGCTCGTCTGTTTCGCTCAATCGGAAACCCGCCAACTGGTCATGAGACTTGACAACATTATTAGCCTCAATGATAGTGGCGAACACTGGGAAACCGTTCTTGTTGTTCAGCGATGCGTCGTAATTGTTTCGGTAAATTCCGGTGACTTCGATTTCCTCTCCCGGCTTTGCTGAGTCGATGAGATCCCAAAGCAGTATCACCTCTCGGTGACGGGGCAAGCGACCAGCCGGAACAGTGCCAGGCGACTCTTGGAGAGTGAGCTTCTGGTAGTTGCGATAGACGGTTCGCTCCGAATTTACACTGAATGGGCCCCGAGATTGACAGTTGGAGCAGAACGAGATCTTAACTTCAACGTTTGAATCCTGGTGGAAGGGCCCAAGGGTGGTTCCACACTTGGCGCAGTCGAATTTCACATATTTGAGCTGGGGGAAGACACCGCTTCTTCTCGTGACAACTCCGCTAACACGGACTAAGTTGTTTAGATGCGTTTGGCGGAGTTGGCGAAGGGTTAAGGCCATGGGAATCTCTGTCATTCGAACGTGGATCTCGGAGTGGATACGCTCGTAATCGGGGTAATGTAGAATCACCACTTCCATAGCAACCTGGTCGAAAATCTTCAGCAGCTCCGTGGGAGCATTGGCAACCCAGTAAGCAAGGGTAGCTTTGCTCTGCGTGAGGTGATCGAAAGACACTTCCAGAGATTCGGCGTTGATCTCACCAAGGGTCTTGACACGATCGCCGTATACAGAAATGCCTTGGTCGTCCACGTACTCGGTCAGGAATGCCTTGAACTCACGAGCGATAGACCTTGCGACGACAGGTTGAGCTACCCAGTCAGTCAAAGTGTTCGCCTTGATGTCCTGAAGCGCTTCGAGAGACATTTCCTCGGCCATGATGTCGCCATCTAGATCCATATCATCCTGTTCCTCGTCGTAGCGGTGGCGTTGCCGGCGACCTCCCCTAATGAGCTCACCGATGCCGCCTTCCTCGTCGTCCGGCAAAAAGGCGTCCGGTATGCGGCGCCGTGCTTCGGCATCACGTCGATTAAGTCGGCGGTCAATTTCCCGTCTGGCGCCCATGCCGAGATCTTCATAGTCTCCCTCATCGTCAATATCGGACCCCTCGTAATTTTGATTGTTTTGATTGGCAAAGAGCTCGCCATCAAACCTGTCGTCGAACAGATCAATGCCAGCTCCTTCCTCGGCTTCTTCATCTAAGTCATCTACATCGCGATAGATGTTGTCCTCATCCAACATATCGTCATCCTGCGGAATCAGGGGCGGAGAAGAAGCCATGTCCATTGCTGTTCCCGGGATCAGCTCGGCCCTAGATGGTGAAAGGGGCAGACCTACGAGTCGATGGCGGGTGCGCCGGCGAGGACTCATCGTCTCTAGCACGCTTGTTGCTCCGGGAAGGGCCTGCACCACGGTTTGCAGACGACATGCTTGGTCGCAGCGGAGAGCTGACGCATATTAGAGAAAACCATGCTCAAGGGGTGCTCGTGCTATCGATGATATGTGATTGCGACTCTCGCGGTACATACCTCATATTTACGCTATGCAGGTATACAAAGATGTGCTGAGCCGGGGAAACGAAGAGGGGTGGAGGAAATGCGGGAGGAGCGCGTCCAACACGCGTTAAGTGGGCTTGGCGCGTCACCCATCAAGTTCTCGAACGGGTAAAGTGTCACAGCGGAGCATTCGACATAACACATCTGAGTCTTCACTCTCACCACTCCAGCTCATAGCGACTTCGGACTCACTGATAGAGCCCCTGCAAATATACGCGACTCAGAATCAGCACAAGATCCGCCACAATGGCCGAGTCGCAATCGTCCAACATCTCCCAAACAAAGCCGCGCACGAATTCGGTCTCGCAAGCGTCGGAAGACTCGCAGACAGCAGCAGAGTATGTCTTATTATGCTTAAGCTGGCACGGTCGCATGAACTAACTTAGTTTTTTTCAGCTTCATCAAGGAACAGCTCAATCTTGAAGCTGAGGCTCGCGAGGCTCTCCCATACGTGAGTCGCATCAACACTCGATGACCGAACTCGACTAATGTTGGACAGCAATTTGATACTTGTACCCGTGATCTGGGAGCTTTGCGGCAAGGGCTCTATTCGTGCCTTGACTGCAACCCGCCACCGGCGGATTCGTCAGACCCGTATCAGCCGGCTGCTGTCTGTTACGCTTGCTCCATCTCGTGCCACGGCGAGCACGCGCTCGTCGAGCTCTTTAACAAGCGCAACTTCGTCTGCGACTGCGGCACTACGCGCCTACCCGAGACGACGCCATGTACCCTGCGCATCAATTCCGAGACTGGGCAGAAGGGCGGCGTGACTGGAGAAGAGCCGGCTGCGGGCAATAAGTACAACCAGAACTTCCGCAACAGGTTCTGCGGGTGCAGCGAAGAGTATGACCCACACCAGGAGAAGGGAACAATGTTCCAGTGTCTGGGACTTGGCACAGTAGAGGATGGTGGCTGCGGCGAGGACTGGTGGCATCCCGAATGCGTTCTTGGCCTCTCTAGGGAAGAGTACCTGAAGAGCATCGAGAAGCCGCAGGCAGAGCGAAAAGAAGGCGATGCGAAGACCAACGGGATCACAAAAGACGTCAGCGTGACACGACTTGAAGAAGATGCCGGAAGAGATCCGGATGCACGAAGACCCTCTGTCATAACGGCTATTGCTGCAGGTCTGCCTACTGAAAACGGTGTCGATGGAAATGACATCGTTGCAACCGCCGAAGAAGAAGAGGCAGATGATGATACACCGTTGCCTCTGGGATTCCCTGCAGAGAACGACTTTGAATACTTCATCTGTCATAAATGTGTCGAGGCGTTCCCGTGGATCAAGAAATACGCCGGCTCTCCTAGCTTCCTCTTACCAGTGTACTTTGATGGCGCCCTCAACCAAGCTAAAGCTCAGGACACACCCGCTTATGCGAACGGAACGACCAACCGCGACTCTAAGAAACGCAAAGCAGACGACCATGAGAATATTGCACCAGCAGGATCTATGGCTCCCCCTAAGAGGCAGAAGTCCGAGGACCCCGCAACTACACTCTCGTCCATTCCGGAAGACACACCAAGCACTACTCTCACATTGTCACCCAAGAAGGCTGACCCCGCCGCCACCGCACCAGAGTGCAAGCTCTCGTCTCTCCCCCCTCTTCCCGCACAAGCCCTCAAGACACCCTTCTCTCTATTCCTAAAAGCTGACTTCCACGATCATCTCTGCCACTGCGCAACCTGCTTTCCCCTCCTGAAGCCGCACCCCCAACTCCTCGAGGAGGAAGACGTCTACGAACCCCCCATCTCAGAAGATGGCAACGACGCGGCCGGATCGGTCGGCACAGGTTCGCTACTCGAGCGTGGCGAGGCGGCGTTCAGCAACATAGACCGCGCGAGGGCAATACAGGGTGCAATGGCATTCGCCCACTTGAAAGACGGCCTCAAGGCATTCTTGAAACCATACGCAGATGAGGGGAAGCCGGTGGGCGCTGAAGATATCAATGTGTTCTTCCAGAAGCTGAGGGGTGATGATGCGGCGATCAAGGAAGCGGCCGATGCAGCAAAGAGAAATCATGATGACGACGGTGATGGGGCGGGTGATGGTGGCAGGAGGGAGCAGAGTGGATACTAAGGCGAGCGCAAGAGCGTGTCTTGGGTATATGAGCTGCTCGGGTGTGAACATTGCTTAGTGTGACTGCCAATCAGATGCCTTAATAGGCTTCGGGGTAGATTGAATTATGCAAGCCTTGACTAGACGCCGAGGATGAAAGCTACATGTGAACATGGATCAGCGATGAGTTGAATATATGCAGTCCACCATACACCGAATGAATAAAGTAATGAACGCCCTCTGTACTTTCGTAACAGCATATGCGAATGAGATCTGAGATTTCGCTATAAGTTCGAAGGTTCGCTGACTGGATATGGGTTTATTTCCCTTGCATATCTTTATGTAATGCATCGCAAGACTGGCTGATGCTTAGCCCATATACGCCAGAGGCACAAAGCCCTCAAGTAATTCCAATGCTACTGGGTAGTCCTCATAAAACATGCCTGAACGCCAGTCTTTGAAATGCAAAAGTTTATCAAACGACAGCCCCTCCAGTGCGACCCTCGGCTTGCGCTCGTGAGAACTGATGCAGCAGCTGGAGCACACCTCCACGGGGTGCCCCTGGTGTCTCATCTTCGGTCTCGTCATCCTGCTGAGGTTGCCACGATTCAGATACCATGCTTTCTTCTGGTACGGCAAGTGGTCGGAAGGATGATCGATGACGACCTTGCGGTCCTTGCCGCGGTGACCTCCCCAATACGGAACCCGAGGGTTGGTGAATGGGATCCAGTAGTACGGAGCCCATAGGATCCCCTCGGTCGGGCGCAGGTCCATGTCGTCCTGCACGGCGATTGAAGGGTTGGCGTCCCGCGGGGCCTCTACTGGATCCACGAGGATCCACCGGCGATGTGGACTGCGAGGCGGGGTTATAGTGGGTTGGGAATTGTGGCGGAGGGTGAAAGCGGGCCGTGTGGCCACGTCCAGTCGTAGTCGCATAGGTCTCCATGAAACCATGATAAGAAGCCATCATCTTATTGTCGTTGGCCATAAAGTAGTCTTCTCGGAGCTCGTTGTCCTGCTGTCGACCTGTTCTATTCGCAGGGAGGTTGTTCTCGCCCTTCTTGAAAGGAAACATCGAGTACGAACAGACCACCCCCAAACCATCAACGACGATGGAGAACTCGCGGAAAAAGTCGACAATTCGGTCGCTGCACTTGGGGAGCCGAAACATGAGTATGAAAGGAGTAATCAAAATGCTGAGCATCTCTTCCATGTAGAGAAGGATTTTCGGTTGGTATAATCGCGCAAACTCCTCTCGCACTTCGTCGGTGTGCAGCCTATCATGCCACGAAGCTGGCTCGTATCGAGTGTGGTATATTACGGTATTGATGTAGTAGGCGGGATCCGCAACCTGGTCTTCTTGAGGACTGCTTCCACGTGCTGCTAGGTAAACGCCAGTGAGCAGAGTCATGTAGAACAAGGCAGTCCTTCCAGGGGTGATTTCAAAATTGAGAAACAATTCGGAGTCGAAGAGAGTTATGAGTATGAGCACGGAGCAAAAACCACCTGTGACAAATGCGACAAAGGAATACAGCATTTCCATCTTGACTTTGGGAAACTGCTGTAGGTACAAATTAGCGGCCGGGTATGCCATATTTCTGCGACGATTGAATAGATGGGGGAGCTCGTTGAATTCGCGGAACTTCCACTGCGCGAATGGTGTAAAGTCGCGGTCGCCAAGCATGGATGGATTCTTGTGATATTCCTAGAAACGTAAGATGATTGATTGTCAGACTCAAGCAAAGACTTACAGTGAAGCGCGCGAACAAGTATGACGCAAGAAAGTAGGTTACGGCGAAAGGAGCGCAAAGCACACTGAGAAATCCTGTGTAAATCAAGCGCGTCCTCAGCGTTGCGACGAGGTTTCGTCGGTTCCTTTCTCTCAGGAAGTCTTGGTTGAAGGAGCCGTTAGGGCCACTGAACACAAAATCCATGATGGCAAGATTGACATGAAACCTCGTTGTCTCCGAGAAGATGAACCTATTGCCTAAGAATGGAATAGGTATGCTGACGTCCAATATCTCCTTGTTGAACAGAGCAATGAGATAGTTATCGCGCCGCATGAGACGGCTAGCAATATCAACCGCATCGAGCCGTTGTCGGCTTCTTGAATCTAGCAGCTTCCGAACTTCAGGCGTTAGATTCGATGCAGTCGTAAGATTTGCGTCGCGCAGCGCCATAATCCGGCCCACAACATGTTGCCATTGTACGGTTTGGATATCTCGGTCGGGGATCTCCAACAGATGGTGGTAAAAGTCATGCATTGCCTGCAATCTTGGGAACCTGCCGACAAGTTTCACTATTGACCATAGCCAATAGACGATGAACGAGCAGAGGGCTAGCCACCAAATCCCGTGTATGTTGTGCATGCACTTTGGCTGCATGACTTCACTCAGTTTGTGACTGCCAGACAGCTTACTATAATCGATGCACCACCCGAGGAAGGTCAAAAAACCAATGACAAAGGCAGTCTGCAAGAGCATTAAGAGTTTGCGCAAGAGGATAGCATATATGCCGCTTCCAGTGTAATAATCGTACACCTCGGCCAGGAAGTTATCCAGATCATCGGTTTGATTCACCCAAAGCCACATGGCTCTCTCTTTCGGATCCGATGTATATTGTCCGGGCCTAGCTGATGTTCTCCAGGTACGAGGCGCAGTACCTCCCCGCCCATCATCGTGCAGACGCTGCTGCCGTCGCGTTGTTTCCCATTGTGCTCGCGTGTGGCGCGTAGATGGACCCGGCACGGGTGGAGGAAGGCCCTCAGTCGGCTCGGCCCTGGTGGTCTTCGGTGAAGCCACGCCACCTTCGAGGAGAAGTGACTGTGGAACATCGTCGTCGTCGTCGGGAGGCAGAGGGCGTGACGAGACAGGCTGTCGCCATGCTGCAGCTCTGCTGGCGGTATTGATGCCCGGCGGGGCTCGTTCGTCGTGTTGCGCAATAGACGCGGCGCTTTCCGTCATTCGCTCTTGTGCAGCTTCATCCAGCAGATGTTCCAAGTCCAGGTCCTCAAAGCGCGCATCGAGATTCTCGTTGTCGATGTCCATGGTGCTGCGGGTGCCCGCCGAGGACGAGCGATGGCGACTGTGAAGGTTTAGAGGTTCGGAGTCGTAGGGTTCGTCGGAGGCAGTAGGGAGGATCCTCGAGAACAGGTTGGAGGCCATCAGGCTGGGTGGTCCTTATCTAAGGCAGCGGCGGGGGCACCGTCCCGTGGCTCTGGCGTCTGCGCCGGGCAGTAACAGGGCTGAGAGTACCGAGTCGTGCTTGCTACAGGAGACAAGCAGGTGTAACAATTCACTTCACCCATCGCCACCGAGTCTGAGACAACGTTAGGGTGACCATGTTGGCGTGACGGCGGCGGGAGCGTGAATGCAGCTGTCACGCGTCATACGCCCGGCCTTTGAGCTAAGCTAGGTTACCTTTCGGCAATCGGAGGAAGGTGCAACCGACCTTCACGCCTCTCCCGCTTGTGTCCAAACCTCCCACTGGTCCAGCATGGCGACCAACTACTTTGCGGAGCGTGCTACCCCAGCTTCGCAAGACCTGCTTTCGCCGGCTTCTCCCGCCCCAGGGCCGGCTTCCCGTGGCTCCAATGCTCTCTCGGCCAGGATCACCAGCGTGCTGTCGGCATCTTACGCTGACCTTGAAATCCGGGATGCCCTGGAAACGCTCGATGCTCGTGGAGTGCAAAATACGGCAGAAACCAGACGACAACTTCGGCTGGATGTGCAAAGGGAGGTCATCCAGTGCAATGGAGAGGTCGTCAAAGACTTTGGTCAAGTTGCCGAGGTTTGTGTTCAATTTGTTTATTCAGAACATGCATTGGCTGACGTCCATAGCAACTAAAACGCATAGGTACTGCTATCAGTAGCTTGAACAAGTGCTGCGATGAAATGCGTGGCCATATTGCGGCGGCAAATCGCGAGACTGGGCCTGTTCTAGAGGAAGCCACAAGCCTCATGCAACAGAAAAAGCAAGCCGAGACAAAGCACCAAATCTTGAACGCTTTCAGCTCACATTTTCTCATTCCCGAAGATGAGATCACCGTCCTAACGTCCACTGCTGAGCCGGTGACCGAGGAGTTCTTCCAGACTTTAACAAGGGTCAAGAAGATTCACCATGATTGTCAGGTGCTCCTGGGAACCGAGGATCAAAGGTTGGGTCTTGAGGTACTTGAGCGAAGCTCTAAGCAAATAAATGCAGCCTACCAGAAGCTGTACCGCTGGATCCAACGCGAATTCAAGACGCTTGATCTTGAGAATCCACAGATCAATGCGTCGGTCAGGCGATCTCTGCGTGTACTTGCAGAGCGGCCAACATTGTTCCAAAACTGCCTCGACTCTTTCGCGGAAGCCCGCGAGAACATTTTGTCCGACTCCTTCCACGCGGCACTGACTGGTCATACATCGGAATCCCAAAATCTTGCAACCAAGCCAATTGAGTTTCAAGCTCATGACCCTCTGCGGTATGTTGGTGACATGCTTGCATGGGCGCACTCTACCACAGTTTCTGAGAGAGAAGCCTTGGAGGTCTTGTTTATCTCCGATGGCGACGAGATCAAGCGATCTATCCAAGCGGGACTTGAGAGTGAGCCTTGGCTACGCGAAGAGGGCGAACAGGAGGTCTTTGACGGAAGGAAGGCTCTGAATCAGCTGGTAAGCCGGGATCTGACTGGAGTTGCTCGACTACTACGTCAACGTACAGAACAAGTCGTACAGAGCCACGACGATGCTACATTGGCTTATAAAATTGCGAACTTGATCGGATTCTATAAGAGTACTTTCGTCAAGCTTCTTGGAGCTGATTCCGAGGTTTTGGAAGTCTTTGATACGCTTGAAAGTTCAGCAATGCGGCAATTCCGTGCCAATATGCGAGACCATGTTGCCGCAGTGCAAGGCGATCTGGCGGTCGCGCCTGCTGATCTCTCACCTCCGGATTTCCTGGAAGAAGCTCTGCAGATGCTCCGCACTCTTGCAAAGAGCTATGATACGTCTATCGCGACGGTCGATAGCAACGGTGATGGCTTCCATTCCGTCCTTGCCGAGATCCTCGACCCATTCATGAGCGGCTGCGAAAACCTAGGAAAGGGCCTGCCGGCACCCGACAACAACATCTTCGCCCTCAACTGTTTGATGGCAGTCAAGACAGTACTGACCCCTTACTCATTCGCTAAAGACAGATTGAGCGAGCTCGAAGACACGATCGGCGAGCATATTGTGCGATTGGTGGAATACCAGCATCAGTATCTCACATACACTTCGGGCCTAAGCACGCTGCTCGAAGCTCTATCTGACGTCTCTGATACCGCAGAGAGCCTGAAGACTATACCCGAGCTAGATGCTTTTAAGCCAGAGGCTTTGGTGGGTGCAAGTCAGCAGCTTGATGAGTTCCTCCCATCGGCTCTGATTGATGCAGCAGAGAACCTAAAGCGGTTGCAAAACAGAACGATTGTGCAAAACATAACGGAGGAGGCAGCGGAACGATTCTGCGAAGATTTTGAAATTGTAGAAAGCAAGGTGATGGCTGCAGATGACTTGCTGTACAAAGAAGAGGAAGATGAGGCCGCCCCGGCTCTACGCGACCTCTTCCCTCGAACCAGCGGGGAGATCAGAGTGCTCCTCAGCTAGACTAGAAATGCTATAGAGCTATTCCAACCAATGCACCACATCCGACTCTTGCAACCCTTTGCATGCCCTCTGGAATCTCTAGATATCGTGAGCAAGTCATACATCCGTTTCATGTGTGATCATGTACACTGTGCCGTTTAATGAGCCTCTCTCAAGCTGGCTTCTTCTTCTCCCACTCTTCAGGCGTATGGCACTTGGGCGTCCAAGCATGTATCGCTGCAATTTCCTCCTTGAGAACTCCGTTGACCAAGCGATGTCTAGCCAGCGTTGTCTTTTTGGCGAATTGAGGGGATACTATGATCGCCTCGAACATCTGCCCGCATCCACCTACATGACTCATCAGCCAACCGTTCTCGAGCTAAGCAAGCATATATCATGCACTTGAAGCTTCGTATTACCGTGCTTGCATTACCATGAAATTGAATACTTACCGCTCATATCCTCGATCTCGACGTGCGTCGCACCCAACCCCTCTTGCAGCTTCTGCTTGATAACATCTGGCGTGATGCCACTATTGGCTGCAGTCTGCGCTGCCTCCGAGTCCGTCCTTGCACTCATTCCGCTGGTAGGATCGACTGTCAGGTGGTTAAATTGCTTGTAGAGTTTGTGGCGAGGGTCCATTCGACATTACAACGCAATGATGGTTTGCAGGGTTTGGATCTGATAAGCATTTATCAGATGGCGGGACGCTGTGGGCCGGAGGTTTTAAGCGTTTTGGGGGAAAGAGCGAGTGACGTGCGTGGGTCTGTGCGGCGCATGCAGCATTGGAGCGCGTTCTTGGCGCGAATGCGGACGTACTTTGGTGCATAAGGTGGGGTAGTTGCAACATTCATGTTCTCTGTAACTGTAAGGAGGGCGATCAATATGAGTTCGACGACCGGCTCTGCGCCGTTTTCGAGGGCTGTGGTGCGGGCCATGAAGAAGCTGTAAGTGACATTCCCTCCACCTATCCTTCCAAGACCAAGAGCATGGGTTGCAGTTGCAGCCACAGCTGCGCAAGCCGAGCAACTTTCAAGAGAGCTTGCGAATGGGTTGGATGGCTCTTCAAGATCTTAATGAGCCTGCAGCTAACATTCACGAGCTACCCGGAAGCCCTCGCAGACAATTCCTGGGATAACACCGGACTTCTCCTCGAGGCGCCCTTCGTCCCCACGCGCCGCCAATCGAACAATGTCCTCCTTACGATCGATCTCACCAAAGCGGTCGCTGATGAGGCGATTGAGCTCAATTCGTCTATTATTATCGCATACCACCCCATCATATTCCGCGGACTAAAATCCATTACTTTGGCAAACTCGCAACAACAGACGCTGCTTCGACTAGCAAGCCATGGAATCAGTGTATACAGTCCGCATACGGCGGTGGATGCAGCTCCAGGAGGACTCGGGGATTGGTTAGCGGACATCGTGACAGGCAACAAGAAAACCCCAGGGCTAGAAAAGTCCGAAGCAGGCTCAGACGCAGGAAACACACAGAAGAAAGAAGACGAGGATCCATTCGTGGAGGACAAGCGACCGAAGCGACCGACATGGGCGCTTGCGCACCACCCGTCGTCAATGCAGACAACATTCCGTCTGGGCAGTCAGTCTACGCCTCTGTCAACGATCCCTCATACTCGCAAACCCATCATCCCTCAATCACCGGAGCTGGAAACACATCCTGGTGCTGGCATGGGTCGCGTCGTTACCTTCGACACACCGCAGCCCCTCCCTGCCCTGCTCGACCGAATCGGCCGCGGCCTCAACAACCCGAAAGGCTTCCCCATCGCCATACCACAGACCGCACAAATGTCTGAGCTCACCATCCGCAGTGTAGGTATCTGCGCTGGATCAGGTGCCTCGCTCCTGAGCCACCTTGATGTCGACCTGCTCTTCACGGGAGAGATGAGCCATCACGAAGCGCTTGCGGCGATTGAGAAGGGCCAGGTTGTGATCAATCTGTTCCATAGCAACTCTGAGAGAGGCTTCTTGAGCGACGTGCTTTTACCTCAGCTGGACGATGCAGTCGAAGAGGAATGGAAGAACCTACGTGACGATGAAACTGGTGCCGAGGGACTGGAGGAGGCCCTGGCAGACGAAAATTTCGAGATTATGCTTAGTGAGGTGGACAGGGACCCATATGGGATTGTGGTGTTGGACAATGATGGACAGTAACGACTGTGTTGCTGAATCAAAACATGAATACATGCAGCAAGGTTCTGTCACACGCTGTGGACAGCCAGACATCTTTTGTTGTCGCCCACTTTGCAGTGTAGATGATTGCGTGTTGTACTCTCGATGTACTTGCTAGCTCGTGTCCGCATAGTTGATGAGCGATGCCTATTTCGACACAAATACACGGCTACAGAGAAACAGTCTGCGCTACGCAGAATGGTCCTTTACAACTTGTGATCTGTCCCTTTGTTGCTTCGTTGCATGCAAACCTGTACTTGACGCCGATACCGCACTTGAGGTCAGCCCGCCCAATCTTCCCAGACTAGTGCCGCGTTCGGCGCTTGTCTACCCGACACACAAGCTTGGTTCCCCAAAGCGCTCCTCCACGCCCCACCGAGCCGCGGGTTCTTCCCATTTTGTTCCTCTGATTTGTTTTTGGTATATATATGCCATAATTTGCCTCAAGAACATCAATCGTCGCCACAGCTGCAACAGCAGCAACATCCTCCGTGGCGCAATTGGCTAGCGCGTCTGACTGTTAAACCCAATGGTTCGGCGATCAGGAGGTTCGTGGTTCGAGCCCACGCGGGGGAGTTAAATGGCTATCTTTTTGCCTTGCTCTACGTCTGTGCTATATGGGTGATCTAGCACTAGCAATGTTGCTGCGGCGTACTTCACATTTTTGCGTAGAGGTAAATACTAAATAAAACTCTCAAGAAGCCGTTGGGACATGTTGTGTATCAACGTCCCACCAAATATTTTTTCCACCACATGCCTAGACTGCCCAAGATACGGCTCTGGGCGTACGGCGTGTGTAACAGTCAGACAATGACAACATATATTCCGAATTAAATGTGATTCATCCAAATAATTCAGGCCTTCATTTGCATTCAAGACGTTGAGATGCTGATAGTAAAGCTCTTGTCTCGATAGTATGTGGGTCAAATCACGATCGCCTTCCGCTACATCCCAGAGGTCGTCTTTTGGGAGACACGAGAAATTGAGGAGAAAAGCTGGGGGTTGGTAGTACGACTTATTTCCCAGAGGAGGGGTGGCGAGGATCTGGGCCTCCCTAATTTGCAAGACATTGGGAAAAGCCCGCGGTTTATGTTGCTCTACATGCCTGGTCGCACACATACAGGCTGAGAATGTAGAAAGAAACATTGAAAAAAGTGCGAATGTCAAGATAGGGTTCAGTGGACCGCACATATGATTGTATTCGCTGCCATCAAACACCCTCTAGAGAAGACATGGCTTCATGACTACCTGCGTGTTCGTCCACGACCTTGCTCAGCTTGACGCTTCACAATTTTTGCACACTTCCAGCAAGGCACTGTAGGAACTGAGCAAGCTTGTCGACATGTTCACCAGTCACACACGCCAACTGCAGCGTCATGCCAGTTGAAAAGGTTTGTGTCATTAAGCAAGAGTAGCATGTTTCTGAATGCTCTAATTCCAAAGCAACCAAACAGTCCAAAACCGATTCCTGAAAACCTGAATACATTACATTGTGGCAAACTTGTGTGCCTCGGAGACTATGGGCGTGGTCGAAGAGCCAAATCCATGCGTGTGGTTAACGAGTAGTCCAGCTTTGACGTTCGTTGTAGAGCTTCCAGCGCATGCATCGCTTGTTGCGCTATCCCGCCGAAACTGTGCTCGAATGTTTTCCTCTTCGTGAGGTTCCAGCACCGAACGTTTCAAGCAATGAGTGGTATTGCTCAACTGCTCAGGGCTTTCGTCCAGGATTTCGGCTTGTTCGGAGTGTATAGATTTCGGGTATGATGCGATTATGGGTATGTGTTGCTTCATTCAAGGTCTCCAGTGTTCGCAAATCGTGGTTCGGCATTGGTGGCTCGGGGTATAGCTCGCTGGGAATTTGGCTGGGGATTCGGCCGGGGATCATTGAGGCCTCTGCGCTTGCAGAAACGACGCAATTTTTCACACAATTTCCGAAACGTGGCCCGGATCCTTCCGGCACCGTCGCCGCCCCTCATAGCATTGCTGCTCTGGAACTCTCCCTATATGTCCGTCTTCCCGCCCATAACTTTAGCTGCTTGTACGGCGTTCATCTTCTGTGTCCAGCCCGGGGCCGGAACCAGTCTGCGTACTGTACGAACCTCGTCGGAAGCGTAGCCTGGAATGCGGATATTGTAGTTGCGCTCAAGGACCAGCTGGAGGTCACGGATGTCGAGTTGCGGTGATTCTCGAAGCTTGGCCAGCTTACAGGCGTTGCTAATCACCGTGTCGACAAAGTCGTCCGCCATCTGAAGAACAGCCTGGACATATTAGCAATTGATGCTGATCGCGTAAGCTTTTCGAGTCTTACTTCTTCAACCTCTGGCGTCAACGCTTCCTCCGAACCACCAGTCACTTGCCGAACAAGCTCGTCAAGCTTGCGTTTGCTGAGCACGCGATCGTTGTCGCCTTCAAGCTGGAATGGCGGCATCCTGGCAATAACAGGTTGCCCCATAGGACCCGGGGCGCCGTTGGTCGGACCGCTAATTGTAGGACGGGCTGGACCCATAGGCACAGGGCTTGGCTGAGAGGTGTTCAGATTGCGCGGGATCGGCATTTTGGGGTTGTTCATTTGCTCGCGCTCACGGCTTCCCGGAGTGTGGAAGTTGCCCTGACCTTGCATGGGTGTGCCAGTGCGCATGCCAGCGTTGTCCGAGTAAGATCGTTGCGCGGCGCTCACCGCATCCTGGTGAGAGAGAGGAACCGGGCCTGGTCGGCCAGCGTTGGAGGTAGCAGATTGCGGGTGTGGCGAGTTATTCTGCGCGTGCTGCATAGCATTCGCCTGGTGCGGGTTGACCTGCGGGCGTGGGGGCTGCTGATGCGGTTGCGGCTGGCCTGGTTGCGCAAATTGCGGGTGCTGGTTGGGCGCTTGGCCATGTTGCTGAAGGGGCGCGGGGGGCTGTCGCATGGGCTGTTGCTGGGGCATCGACGGCGGTGCCTGAGAGTGTCCACCCTGTTGTGGCGGCGCCTGCTGTTGCTGCGTTTGCTGCGGGCCGCCTTGCATGTTTCCAAACTGCTGCGCAGGAGGTGCTTGCGGAAGCTGCGGTTCGACTTTGATCGTAGGCTCCGCCTTAATGTCTGGCTGAGAATTTTGGCGCTGTTGCTGCTGCTGCTGCTGTGCGAATTGTGGAGCAGGCTGCCCCTGGTTTGGTTGATTTTGCTGCTGCTGCTGCTGCTGCTGCTGCTGCTGTTGCTGAGCTCGCCGCTGATCGTGCTCCATCTTGTTTTGTTTCTGCTTCTCCCTGAAGTTATCCACGTATTCCTTTGCAGTGTTGTACTCCTTCTGCATGTGCGCTTTGCTGTTGGCCACCTCTGCAGGAATCTCCTGCCCGGCCTTTTGCCGCTGCTGCACCATGTTATCCAGCGTGGCTATCTGGCGCTTGGCCTTGTGCTGCTTGTTCAGCGCGAGAAGGAAGCTGTTGCGCATCTCTTTGATCTTCGCCTCGCCTTCCGGTGTGCTTGGCTGAGGTCCATTCACTGGCAGCCAATAGGTGAAGTTCTGCACATACTTTATGATCTCGGGCTCGACTTGAGGCCGTTGGTCGCCCTGCTGCGGGCCTTGGCCCTGTGTCTGGTTCGAAGGCTGCTGCATCGCGCCCTGGTTCTGCGGCGGCTGCTGCTGCTGCTGCTGTGTCGGCGCAGGCTGGTTCTGCTCGACCTTGGGTTGCTGGCTCGACGCTTCGGACTGCGATTGCTCTCCGCCTGCCGCTTGGTTCTGCTGCGCTGCGTTCTGCTTGGCTCTTGCACGGAACGTCTGAATCAACAGTCAGTGGTCGGTCACAGCGCATGGCCCTCAGGGACGACTAACTCTCTCCTGGGCGATGAGCCTCTGGGAGAACTCTTGAAGCTTTGTTCGGGCTGCAATATGGTCCTGAGTGCCTGCGGTCTTCGTGTGGATTACACTCCACAACTGCTGGAAGATGGGCTTGTACTTTTGCTTCAAGTCATCGTTGAGTGAAAGAAGCTTGGGCACATCGTCCACCTTCAGCAGCTGCATCTGCTGCTGTTGGCCCGCTGGGGCCGGTGGTTGAGCGCTCATGGTGGGCGGGTGGGCGGGCCCGGAGAGCGGTAGTGTCGATCGTAGGCGGACTCGGTGAAAGTTTCAGTATGGATGCGCAAGGAATGGGTGACTGCAGTGTCGGTCGCAGCGCGTGGTGGTAGGTGTTGGCCTGGGTTCGATGGCGGTTGAGACGGCGCGCGCGCAACCAGTTGACAAGGCCGGGAGGCTTGATCGACTCTTAGCGCGCTCCCATGCCGCACACGCCCCCATCCCTGTCACATTGTGCAACCGCAGGCCGTTCTCTAGCAAACAGAGATCTAGGAAACGCATTATAGCTTGAATTGATTCACGATAGCCATCTCATGTTCAGTCTGCGCATGCTTCGTGTAGATAATGACCCGCTAGCTTACTCGAAACAGGATATGGACTAACGGACTGATCAGTGACATGCATAACGAATGAGACACTGAGGGCCCATGAAGCACTCCTACACAGCCAGGCGCCACTTTGAACACAAGCTTCCACACGTCTCATTCAAGCTTGAGCATTGAAGGTCCTATATGCTGCTCCCCGGATCGGCCAGAACCCATCTTTCATATGCTGTTCTTGAAAGAAGGCATCATCGGTCATAATTTACACTGGCTCAAATGAAGCTCAAGCGAGTCTTTCGCAGAACTCCTGCATGGGCACGCCTCAAAGCTTGTGGTTCTTCCCGCTATCGGGAAGAGTGTTTGAAGAAACGCGCAGGCGTCTTTCAGTGGCGAAATCCAGGCATACAAGCAGACGGCAACCTTTGAGTTATTGTAAATGTTCTCCACGGCACATCCTATATTGCCGAGAGTCGAGGCTTGGATCATTTTGTGGTGATGCCAGGGCCGATGTCTCGACATAGGCCTTGAACTAAAGCTGCTGAATGATGTCCGATAGGTCGTTGAAATTCAAGCTCTTCTCGGGTCTTCAACTGCCTGCGGCAGATCCCGCTCCCAATAGTCCCGCGCTAGCCTCAGTCTCCAAAGCGATCTTCATCTCCAGCCACGAGTGAAAGTTTATTGAGGAGCAAAATGACTCATAGAAAGCGTCCCTTGCGCGATGCCGTTGTATTGGACCTTGTCCACGCAGCTTTATGCTGGTTCCGTGCTTTCCTAAATTGCGAATGAAATCGTGGACTGAAAAGCTGGCGTAGTGTTGATTGCCACCAGGAGAGACGACATTTGTCGTAGTGAGATAGCGGTTGATGGGTGCAATGAACTGTGCTGTTACTTCCGCGAAATGTCGCCTGATCAGGGGCCCTAGCTCATGGGTCTGGTCCCCGCCCTTCACAAGGGTCTCGATATGGGATACAACAGCGTGGTCCGATTTCAAGAAGCGTTTCGAGGGCATTCTTGCTTCTATGCCACCACCAGGAAGGTCAAGTAACACATTGCGGCTTGATTTGTGGTGGATGGAATGATGCCTTTTGACCGGCACAGGGCCGTCGAAACTCTGTAGGTATAGAATGTGTGGGCGAAGTTGTTGACTCTTCTCTGTTGCAGCTACGATGCGTTTGAGAAGAAAAGGGTCTAGCGATTTGTTAGTGATGTTCACTCGTTTGTGTCGACTATGCGCTGTAAAAGTCAGGCATATTTGTCGAAATACGTACTGGTGATTCCAATTATGAAAGGCCGGGGTGTTCCACCATCGATGCCGATGCACTGGAAATTTGCCTGCATAGTCATGTATGGTTTGATAATGCCAGCATATGGGACTGGCCGAATCAGATCAACAAGTGAGGACACGGCTTCACTAGCCAGTTGAGGTGACTTGGCGACAACAACCACACTTTCGCATAATATCAGCTTTTCGTATATGACATACAGGTCAGTAATGCACGGCATGAAATGCATCATTATATCCCAGGATCCTAACGGCTCATAAGCGTAGATAGACGACGGCTTGTCTGAAATAAGCGGTGTTGGTCCTGGCAGACCTTGAAGCGGAAAAGCAAAATGCGGAGCAATGTCTAAGCTGATGACCGACCCCAGGAAGGGCAGCTCTTGCCGACCAATTTTGGGTGATGGCCATGTGACCATCGAGGAGTAAGCGGCCTCCAAAGTTGCTGGGTCACTGATAAGACCAGATTCTGTCATGCTATGCAACAGTCGGGTGTGAAAGGACAGAAAGTTGTGAGCCGAAACGAGAACAAGTGTTCGCTGGTTGAAGCTCCTTTTCATGGTGTGGTCAAACTCTTGACGGAAAACGCATGTGGCATAGAAGGTATCCGCGCTGCCATATGGCGCACGTGGAGAGGATATGCTGACATCCGGGGAAGAGTTGGTAATGGTGAAGTTGAACGTAAGGTCATCGACTGTTTCGGTATTCTGCTGCTCTGGAAAGCTGTTGAAGCAGATTGCACTCAGGTCCGCCGTGGAGAAGGATACATCTGGAGGGTAAATGATTTCTATCTCGGGTCCTAGGGTGCATGCATCAACGGCTAGATCCACACATATGAGAGTACCATTACCTACCGACATCGACGTTGAAATTGCACACTACACTAGAACCATCAGCATGACTTGGAGCTGGCACGCGATCAGATGTCCTTACAAAGCGACAGCCCAGTCATGAAAACCGGGGCGGGAAAGCGCAGAGTCTTGCCTTAAATCTTCAGGCTGGTGGGAGCGTCGCTTAGGGTTCAGAATCTTATTCTTGAGCTTCTCCATGTTGAGCTGGCTGGATCGACTGGGTTGATTAAAAGACGACCAGACAGGACGGGATCGCTCGAGCTATACGTGTGAAGGGCACGCGGCACAGGTGCACATGGTGTGAAGGGAGCAGTCCGACTAGACGTCTTGTCGAGCAGAGCCGGAGCGCGTCATATCGTCTCGGCCATTGCGAATGCGCGGCTCGGTGATGATGTATAATTTATGGGTGCACACGGCGCAAGGAGGCGTTGGGGTTATCGATATTGGCAGCACCGACATGGGCATGGGCATGGGCATGGGACCGGGTATGACGTGCAACGCGCGCCGCCAGCCTACTTGAGTCGTGCAGCAACAGTCCCGCGACAACGGCCTCGAGCTCTGTAGCGCCTGCCACCACCCGCGCGAATGCCCTCATTCTGTGAGCCAGTCCGATAGCATTGTTGTTCTCCCCGCCATGTAGAGGGCCGCCGCAAATTGCAACATGGATCCCAACATCACAAAAGCGCTCAACGATAAGCTCTACGACAAGCGGAAAAGCGGCGCCCTCGAGCTCGAAGGCCTTATTCGCGAGTCGCTCGCCGCTGGCGATTTCGACAGGATACAGCGGATTGTCTCACAGCTCTGCCATGAGTATGCATATGCGGTCCACCAGCCGCATGCGAGGAATGGCGGACTCATCGGCCTGGCTGCGGCCTCGATAGCGTTGGGCCCGGTGCGTAGGGACACACATCTCATGAGCACTGCTGATGTTGGCACAGGAAGTCGCTCGCTATCTCGAAGAGATCGTCCCCCCCGTGCTCGCCTGCTTCACAGACCAGGATGCCCGGGTCCGATACTACGCGTGTGAGAGCATGTACAACATCGCGAAGGTGGCCAAGGGCGAGATTCTGGTCTACTTTAACCAGGTGTTCGATGCTCTCTGCAAGGTAGTACATCTCAATCTAGATTGTCACACACCTCGGAAGGGCATGGCTAACAGCAAAGATGCAGCTTGCGGCTGACAACGAGCTCTCCGTCAAGAACGGAGCAGAACTGCTTGACCGGCTGATCAAAGATATCGTAGCCGAGTCCGCAGCCTCGTACATTTCCATCCTCCATGCACCAGGCGATACGGCGGGCGAAGGTGCCTCCGACGAAGAGAAGCCTGCCCACGAACTCCCAACTGCCTTCTCGCTCGAACGCTTTCTACCTCTCCTCGAGGAGCGCATAAACGTCCTCAGTCCTTTCACTCGCATCTTCCTCGTGGCATGGATAATGCTGCTTGATTCTATACCTGACTTGGAGCTTGTCGCGTACCTACCGCGCTTCTTGGGTGGTCTCTTCAAGTTCCTAAGCGACGAGAATCAGGATGTCAATACAGCTACACAAACAACGCTGGATAGATTTCTTAGTGAAATCCGGAAAATAGCACGGATAAAGCAGGGCATAGCAGAGAGCAAGAAAAGCCACGTGGATGAATTCAACAAGTCGACATCTAGCTTTCGCAGCGGGGCTGATGGGGACAGCGACACGGGGAGCAGTGCGAACACAGACCGACGAGGTTCCTCGGGAGACAAGGGCGACGACGACAATGACAGTGCCTCGGTAGCGATCGAGGATGACAAGTCAGCCAGCGGTGACGGCGATTGGGTACCTGGGCAAGACGTTCAGGTTGACCATCACAAGATCCTGGAGATCTTGGTGAAGTTCCTGGAGACACCTTTTGGCGACAAAGGTGCGCACATAGTGAGAGCGACCTGAGCTCCCATGCTAATCCCTGCCAGGAACCGAGAATCATGATATTCTCCTCACGACCCTGCGTTGGATTGATAGCTTCTTCGAAATCTGCCCCGAAGAGATAATGCCGTTTGTTCCCAGTCTACTCACCCACGTACTGCCCAGAATGTCACACGACATCGAGTCTATTCGCCAGGCCGCAATCAAAGTGAATGCGTCTCTAATGGATTATATCATGTCGCTGTCCGACGATAGCCGTCGGCTTGACAGCAGTACCGGTGGTCAAATACAATTGCCCACATCGCTATCCGCTCTTGGGAAAGAGCTCACTGGCGCTGAGCGACGAGACTCAAATCTATCCGCGCGCTTACTAAAGACCGTGATTCAGGATCGGACAGACGTGAGATCCCTCGACAGTAAGGGTACACGAACTCCTACACCAGCTGAAGAGCGTGGGCCTTCACCGCAGAAGATCCCAGAGCTCGACTACCAAGCTGCTGTTAACGCTCTAACTCTTCAATTTTTGAATGAACATGAAGCAACTCGTGTAGCCGCGATCGCGTGGCTGATCATGCTGCACAGGATGGCACCAGGCAAAGTAAGCTTTTCATTCTCCCATCGCCACGTGGGACAATGCTGACGTCCAAGTAAAGATCCTGTCGGTGGAAGATGGGACATTTCCTGCTCTCCTCAAGACCCTCTCCGATCCTTCCGAAGCGGTCGTGACTCGTGATCTCTTGCTGCTATCGCAGATTTCAAAGAACAGCGATGATTCATACTTCACGTCCTTCATGGTCAACCTCCTGAAGTTATTCTGTACGGACCGGCGATTGCTGGAAACAAGAGGCAATCTGATCATCCGTCAATTATGTGTCACTCTCAGCGCAGAAAGGATATACCGCACGATGGCAGATTGCCTTGAGAAGGACGAGGTAGGTGTAGCTCGACCATGCCTCTACACCACCATATGTACTAACTACGTCTAGGATGTCGAGTTCGCGAGTATCATGGTCCAGAATTTGAACAACAACTTGATCACAGCTCCCGAGCTAGCAGATCTCCGCAAAAGACTACGGAACCTCGACTCCAGAGATGGCCAATCCTTTTTCGTCTCCCTCTTCAAGTCTTGGTGCCACAATGCGGTTGCCACATTCTCACTTTGTCTCCTAGCCCAGGCGTATGAGCAAGCTTATCACCTACTCCAAATTTTGTACGCACAAGTCACAAGCTCAGATGACGGGCAAGCGCTGACCGGAACAGTGCCGATCTCGAAATGACCGTCAATATGTTGATTCAAATTGACAAGCTCGTCCAGCTACTAGAGTCACCCGTGTTCACCTGTAAGCGATCCATCATTTTCACAAAGGCTCCTCTAATGCGGCCAGATCTCCGAATGCAGCTCCTCGAACCGGAACGATATCCACACCTCTACAAGTGCCTCTACGGCCTCCTCATGCTTCTCCCCCAATCATCCGCCTTCGCAGCACTCAAGAATCGGCTGAACAGCGTCTCTGCCATCGGCTACCTCCACATGGCGCCTCGCGGGTACGTTCCTACTTCCAATTTCAATCACTTGAGACAAAAGAGCTCAGAGACCGGTTCTCCCAGTGCCCCTCCCAGTACTCTTGGAAACTCTGGATCCTTTGAGCGACCGAATCGACTCAAGGCAAGGGACGAGGGCGGCGTCAAATGGGTGGAGTTGCTGGACAAATTCAAGAACACACAAGAGCGGGCGCGGAAGAGCGCAAGGTTGGCGAGTCTTGGTGAGGATATCGGTGTTGGTATGAGCCCGGTTGAGAAGGAGAAAGGCCCCCCGGAAGTGCCGCCAAAGAATGTCAGGTTGCCTGGGCCTGTGGCCCCGGTCGGACGGCCGTTGCCGTCGCCTGCAGGACAGGCTCCGGGACACAAGCCACGGGGCAGCTTGGGCGGATTGGGTAGATTTGCTGGCGGTGTGGCAGGGCGCAACAAGAAGAAGTAGTACCTTGTATATCGTTCTCCCGTTTTTGTACTCTTTGGTTGCATTGCGACTGGAGTTGGGAGCTGAGTTCGATTTTGTTCGAACTCAGCGTGGCGAATGCGTAGGCCTTCTTCAGCGATGCTTGCCTTTTCTGTAGCGAATCCCATCATCCACCTTATCGTTGAGCCCCGATGCACTGCCAGCTTCCTTGTTCTCATTCCCGTCTATCACCCAGCTCTGCACAATCTTCTTGATTTCAGGCTTCTTCTTCTCCCTCTTCTTCGCCTCGGCAATGCTCCTCACGTAACCGCTATACACCACGACCTCGGCGATAGCAACAACTCCGCTCCCCCCCATGCTCAATCCCAGCCTTTTCGGCACGCTCCAGTGTCTCGCAGCCACCCAAATGAACACGGCGCACGCTACAATGGAGACCAACACGTTGATGATGAGGATGATCTGGCGGTGTACCTCCTCGTAGCTGAGATCGTCTTCGTCCACTTTGTCGTAGGGCGTGGAAAGCGAGAACGGCGTCGCGGCGTTGGGGAAGCGCTGTGAAAACGTCTCGGTCTTTGCAAGAGGATCGGGATTTAGCATGCGGTTGTAGATGCGGGCTTCTTCTTCGGCGCGGAGACGGGCCATGAGGGCTTTGTATTCGGGGGTGGGTTCTTTCTTGGGCGGAGGAGGAGCCGTGTAGACGGTCGAGTTGCGGAGGAGGGCGTCAAGCGTGGTGGGTATGGGCTCTTTATATTTCGCGTCGCCCGCTTCTTCCTCTTCTTCGCCGCCGTGGGGTGTATCCTCCCGTCGCTTCACACTCTCGGTGTCGCTGGATAGACGGGCGGCGTGGTTCTTCAAGAGCTTCGAGAGGTCGATCAGCTGGCCGTGCGAGATGGGGTTTCCGGGCTTCGCCTCTACGAGCGGGGGATCGTCTGGTTGCTGCAGTTTGGCATACTCGTCCGGGTCGACTTGTTCCGCTCTGGCAAGCGCGCGCACCGCGCCTGCCGTCATGGTCAGTAACACCATGGCGAGCGAGTGTTGTGGAGGTTCGGCAGATGAGATCAGCGCTGCAGCTGTGCCAGGTACATGATCGGCATTAAATCCCGCCGACACGGCTTGGCTGCAGAGAGGACTAATCATGACGCGCTAGTATTTTCCGATATCTCCCATTGCCAGCTCGTCGAAACTCGTTTCAGCCGAAGCAATCTTTCGGACCGCCTCAATTGCACCTGTAGTGACCGCCGCTACAACTATTCTTTCCATGACGAGTCGAGTGTCGCGGCTCGCGACGAGCTTGGCCGCGAGAAGCTCGCAGCGTTGCCACTGCGCGAGCTCCCCAGCAAACAGCATCACAACCCTTTACCACCCCTCGCGCCGGCGGAACCAGTCGTCTTGGGCCGCCGCCGTCACCGCCGCACAGCATGTCTTCAACCCGCCTCCGCCCGACCCAAAAGCCCCCATATCGGTGGATCCGTTCCAGACGGTTGCAAAAGAGTTGAAGTTTTTGACAGGAAACATAAGGCAGCTGCTTGGGTCAGGACACCCGACGCTGGACACGGTTGCAAAGTACTACACGCAGAGTGAGGGGAAGTATGTGCGGCCGATGCTGGTGCTGCTCATGAGCCGAGCAACGGCCCTGACGCCAAAGATGTCGAGGGAAAGTAGTCCGCTTTCCGTAAACAGACCCATCACGAGCCCCAGCGTGCTTTCAGACGAGAACCCCTCCGCACCAGACGCAGAGTACCCCAGCGTATCCTCCCTATCGAACGACACCGCCTACCTCTCAGAAGACTCAGACATCCTCCCATCGCAGCGCCGCCTCGCCGAGATCACAGAGCTCATCCACACCGCCTCGCTCCTCCACGACGACGTAATAGATCACTCTGTATCGCGCCGGTCTGCGCCCTCTGCGAACATTGAGTTTGGCAACAAAATGGCCGTCCTTGCGGGCGACTTTCTCCTAGGTAGAGCATCCGTGGCCCTCGCGCGCCTCCGCGATCCCGAAGTCACTGAGCTCCTCGCCACCGTCATCGCAAACCTCGTCGAAGGGGAGTTCATGCAGCTCAAGAACACCGCTTCTGATGAGCGCAACCCCGTCTGGACCGAGAACACTCTTACCTACTACCTCCAAAAGACGTACCTTAAGTCCGCGTCGCTCATCTCGAAATCTTGCCGCGCTGCTGCGATTCTGGGAGGAAGCTCGCCAGAGGTCGTCGAGGCCTCGTATCAATACGGGAAGAACCTTGGTCTGGCGTTCCAGCTCGTGGACGATATGCTGGATTACACGATTAGCGGGGAGGAGCTAGGCAAGCCTGCGGGTGCAGATTTGGAACTGGGGCTGGCGACTGCACCGCTGCTTTTCGCATGGAAGGACAACAAGAGCCTTGGAAAGCTCGTTGGGAGGAAGTTCTCTGAGCCCGGCGACGTGCAGAAGGTATGTTACTCGGAGAAGACGTAGAGGTCATAATCTGACTAACTTTGGTAGGCACGCAACATGGTTGCCGAAAGCTCAGGATTGGAGCAGACACGCGCCCTGGCACAGGAATACGTCGACAAGGCCATCCAGTCAATAGCGTCCTTCCCGGACAGTGACGCGAAGACCGGACTGATCGAGATGTGCACCAAGGTAATGAAGAGGAGAAAATGAGCGGTCGCAACAAGAAGGCAAAGCCCGAAAAGCTGCGCAGGCGGCTTCTTGTATTATTATGCATCGCCAACAGGTGGCGCGGCATCCCTAAAAATCGAGAGTCCCTGAGGGCCGGGAGAGGAAGAAATCTCGCCGCCGCGACCCTTGACATGGCTGCATTCACATTCTGTACATATACTGTTGTATCTACTCCGCGTCAGAGCGGGCATGTCTGGCATTTGCCGGGATAAGCAATTCAAGATGGTTCTTATTTACGCGTTTTCGAGCGGGGTATCTAAGACAGTGCATTATCCAAAGAGTGATATTCAGCTCTCGGTGAACGGATTCGGCGGGAGCGTTTCCGGGTCGTAGCCGGTGGCAGGCGTACTGGCATCTACAACGGTTTCCAGAACAGCTTCCGGTGGTGGAACGGTCTCCTTCCACACGCGCACTGTTCTATCCAGACTTCCACTCGCGATGAGCTTCTCCGTAGGGTGTGTGTCAACGGACAGCACAGCTTCCGAGTGTCCCCCCTCGAGCCTCTGCAGCACATTCTTCGTGCTAACGTCCCACAAGACGATGCCCCCCTCCTCGCTGCCAGAAGCCACAAACGCGTATTCGTAAGGCGGCTCAGCTCCATACGTTCCGAACGCGCCGGCAAGACTGTACTTCTTGTTGGTGTGCCCCTGGTAGGTCTTGACACACTTGCCCTTCCCCTCAATGTAGTTCCACAACCGGATGCTCGAGTCCAGCGTCCAGGCCAGCACGTACTTCCCATTTGGCGAGAAAATGACGGACGTCACGGGCGCGTTGTCCTCATGGATCAGCGTGCGCAGACACTGGCCGGTGCTGGTATCCCACACTCGTATCAAGCCGTCGTGCGAACAGCTCGTGATGAGCGTGCCATCGCGCACGAAGTCAACACCGCCGACCGGATCGGAATGCGCAGGGAGAGAGCGCATCACGCGGGCGGCTCGGACGTCCCAGAGAAAAACGGCTTCGTCGTAGGACCCGCTGACCAGCATGTTGCCCTTGGGTGAGAACGCAATGGCGTAGACATAGTTGTGGTGGCCGATCAAAGGCGTTGGGTGCGCCATGCCTGTTGCAATATCCCAAAGTCGTATCGACTTGTCGTCTGAGCCGGAAGCGAGCACTTTGGAGTCCGGCGACCAGGATATGGTGGAGACACCGGCAAGATGGCCCTCAAGCGTGTGTTCAAGGGCGCCGGTTCTGGCGTCCCAGATCTTGATGGTGCAGTCTGCGGAGGAGCTTGCTATCCAGCGGCCGTCGGGGGAGAACTTGACTGATGTCACGCCCTTTTTATGCCCGCGTAAGATCAGGGACTGTTTGTAGTGTAGTTGTGTGGGCTTCGGTGGAGGTGGGGTCATTTGCGGGCTCGCGGAGCGGTGTTGAGAAGATGTTCGAGAGCCGGACCTTGATCGCGAATGTGAAGGTGTGTGTGATCGCGATCTTGACCGAGGGCTCCTCCGATCTCTGTAGTATTCTCGGTCGTCTTCGCCCTGGTCTCTGCTATAGCGGCGTGGCCGTTCGGCGAGCCTAAAACCTGGAGAGCCATTGGGCGGCGTTTGCGATGCGGAGCGCTTGCGCGGAGGCGAGCCAACACCATCGTCTTCGTCTTCCCTGCGTCTTTTGGGCGATGTTGCACGGTCGTCGGCCATGTTGGGTGGTTGTCTAGTGCAGGGTGCGGAACGCGCCGTGCCAAACGCGCGCTCCAATTATTCTGCCACGCCAAAGCCCACCGCCCGCTCGGTGAATGCAAGGAACCCTGATCCCTGCAGGCTCACAGCGTCATTTCAACATCGTCTCCCTGTCTTCCTGGGGTTCGATTTCTCCATGCACGAGCGTCCAGAGTCGCCCTTTATGATTGAAGAAACGAGCCGACCACCCTCCAGCTTGCGCATCCTCTCGCTCAACTGCTGGGGGTTGAAATACATCGCGAAGCTCCGCAAGGAGCGCCTCACAGAAATCGCGAACCAGATCGCCGCCGCAGACCCTCCGCCAGACATCGTAGGCTTGCAGGAGTGCTGGACTCAACGAGACTACGACGTTATCCGAGAGAAGACGAAACACTTTCTTCCCTATGGAAAGTTCTACTTCAGCGGCATATTCGGTGGTGGATTGGTGATATTGTCCAGATGGCCCATCGAGGAGAGCAGCATGACGCAGTATCCCCTGAACGGACGGCCGGCAGCCTTCTACAGGGGCGATTGGTTCGTGGGCAAGGGAGTGGCTTATGCGCGGATACGCATGGGTCCAACGAGGAGGGACATCGCAGAAGTCTTCTGCACGCATGTATGAAACCTTCGTCGAGCATTGAAATAGCAGCTGACAGTTTCAGCTTCACGCTCCGTACGAGACTGAACCACACGATTCCTACATATGCCACCGCACAGCACAGGCCTGGGAAATAGCAAAGCTCATGCGTGGGGCTGCCGAACGCGGACACCTTGTCATAGGCTTGGGAGATTTCAACATGACACCCTTGTCTCTCGCACACCGTATAATTGAGACGCACTCGCGCGCGCGCGACGTATGGCGGGTCCTTTACCCAAACTCTTCACTGGGCGCAGCAAAGGACAAAGTGGAGCAAATGCGGAACGTCCCAATGCCCAACGCCGAGTATAACCTCACCAAGAACGGCGCTACATGCGACAGCGCGTTGAACACCTGGCGATGGAACAAGGCTCACAGCCAACGATTGGCAAAGGGCGAGAATGTGCAGATAGAGGCCACCGTGGACGACCCCAATGCGAAGCGCCTCGACTACATTTTCTTCAGCAGCGGCTCACACCACGATGCGACAAATGGGCATCCGAGCGCAGAATGGACACTCAAGGAAGCGAATGTAGGTATGACGGCCAGGCATCCAACTCTCTACTGCTCTCTCAGCGACCATTTCTCCGTCGAAGCCACGTTGGTCCGCAATCTGGAGGAGCCGCTATCGACCACCTCAAATGGACCCTACGCGCTTCCAGAGACGTATCTTCCCATTGGGATATACGACGAGATTCTAACCACAATTGCCAAGTATGCTAATCGTGAGCGTATTCAGCGCCGGTTACGTCTCGGCCACTTCGGCTTCCAATTATCTCTCACTATTGGCTGTTTGATTGGCGTGTGGTGGGTACCACACAACTATGTTGCGTTTATCTTAATGCTGATTAGCTCACTGAGCTTGAGCGTTGGAGTCATTGATGGGCTGATGGGTGGCCTTTTTGTGAGTAGCGAACTGAGGGCCCTGAAAGAGTTTGAGTGGGAGGTGAGCAATACCAAGGAGAGAGCACTGGCGAGATCAGCAAAAGAGGGCCTCTCTGCCACATCATGACAATGAAGCTGGCATGGATTGCCATTGGCGTGAACGAGGTGGCAACGCGTTTGAAAAGGTATTGATAGCATAAACATGAAGACATGGCATTCGACGCACGATGCAGCAGTGCATGCCGTCGTCACTAGCTTTCTCCTTAATCGAAGCGCGACGTCATTTTGAAAGACAAGACGATATGTTTTCCCCTTTTGTGGCATACTTCAGGAGCTGAAGATTTGGTCACAGAATCGCGGTAGAACACAACCCTTTCATGTCCTAGACTTCGAGCGATCAGTGTTCTCTACTTATAGGTGCAGGGCTAGCCAATAATTTGAGCTGTGTCATGATGTGATCGTGTGTAACCTGGGTCATTGTTTTGTTCAAGTCTCGTCTACGCTCTGGGTAACTACCTTCCCTCGAAAGCTTCCCCGCTGCTTTCCAGGTGCCGGGTGCACCCAACACGCAATCACGACGCGTATATCCAACAATGGTGGCCATGCAAGATCAATCTGGGGTTTTTGCGTCCTCGTGCAAACCACGAAAACCCGCATTGCACGGATTCGATCGGAGGCCGAAACATGATTTCTTTCCTGCTCGCTATGCGCAAAGCCTCCTCATTGTAGACATCCGCGGGTTATTCGGTCTCAGCATGGCGAACTTCTGGTGGATCTCGTTGTTGGTCTGAAATTTATCGTATGTTGACAGCCATGAAAACCATGTGATATGGTGATTGAACATGTGCTTACCGAACCAAACGAACTATATCGTCGCAACACAAACAAGGACGGGACTTTCAAAACGTACACATCTCTGGAGGCCACACACGCCATCGACGATGACAACACAGCCGAAGCAAACCAGCTGAAGTACGTCTCACAACACCTATGCATTGAAACGACGGGTCTGGGCTTGAAATATTACGAGGTGCACTTTGTACAGATAAATCGTGTCAAGGCTACCGGTCTCTATCAATCTCGGTCATTCATGGCCTCATGCACCAAGAAAAACCTTCGGTGCCTGAAGGTAGTGAGGTTGGAAAAATCATCCGACGCTCACAGACAACGCTATTGTCGAGGTGCTCCAGGGTATTTGAAGGATTTGTGCAAGGCGTTTTCCAACCTCACCATTTGGTATGCAACATCTGGCGGATGTCCTCCTCCGTATGGTCAGGAAGGGCCACTGCCATTCGTCGTGAACGGCGCTATCCTTAACATGGGCCTTAGAGGAGACGACCTTAGCCATCTGTTTCGCTGACATCAACCCACACAAAAGTTCGTGATCGAGCAAGGGACGAATAGGCTAAAAGAATGGAAAGATTCCGTGGAAACCTGGAGTCCTCCAACCTGTGCTTCGTGTTACCACCATTCGGTAAAATAGGCAAAAACAAGTTGATTAATGGCTATTACGGCCTCAAACGGGAATGCCTGGAACGATGAGAGTTTGAGGATGAATTAAACGAGACGGTAGAACAACCTATAAGAGAGGTTACGAGATGGATACAGTATTAGCTATAACCGCCGAGAAAAGAGATGCATATTTCGGAACTACTTCTTGCACCACCATCAAATCCCATTTCCCACCTCAACCTTGCCAAACACCTGGCTTCGGCGGCACGAATCCATCCAGGCTGCCCTCAAGGCCATAGTCGTAGCTAGAAAAGTATACGTCTACCAGAGCGTTAGCTCCCCACTTTAGCCTTCTTGCCGACATTCTACCACCACCACGAACGACATACCTTTCTGTCCTCGGGTGTAAACCCCGGGGATCTTGACTTTGTAGTCTTCTCCGGGCTCCACACCCGTCCGATCATTGATGACCTCCACATGCGCACAATTGACGTAGAATTGTGCGTCCTGGGGGTTGGGGAAGATGTGTTCCCAGCGAACAAGATATTTCCCCGGAGGCGTAGAAGCCGGGATGGTGAAAGTCCACTACACAGCGCAAGCATCAGCATCAGCTCGCTCGTCGATCACAAAAGCTAGCTACAAGCCAAGGGAAGAAATGCACCTACGCTCGTCGACCTAAAGGTGCCCCACAGCGCCTTCGTTGCATCATAGTACGGCTTGTTCGTCGGATCGTCAAAGTTCACGCTCTGCGACGTACGCCCCGCAGTCTGGTGGATCTTGTACCAGCCCCCTACACCATATATCAGCCTCTCTCTCGCGCGCTCAGGACAAGCAGGTGTGGACATACTTTCCCCCTGATAGTCATCCAACTCGCCCTGCGACCCTCCCTCCATCCGACTCAACCATGCACTCGCAAACCCCGGATGATACATACTCGGCGGAACGGTAAGCCCCACGTCCACGAAGAATCCGACCTCATCCCCCGCCGTCACGCTGGCCACCTTGGGATGCGACCACCCGAGTGACGCATTCCGCCCGCATATTAGGTCAGGGGAGTGGGGGTTTGTGTTTGGGTCGTAGATGTGGGAGGAGGGGGAGGAGGGGATCGGGGAGACGGCGCGGATGTATTCGAAGGGCGTGGTGGTTTGGTTATCGAAGATGAAAGTGCTGGTTACCCCTGGTGAAGCATTAGTCTGCGTAAATGGGATAGAGGAAGCTAGGGACGTGCAGTGGGCGCTGGTGAGGCCGGCGTTGAGAAAGAGGACGTTGAGAGGTTTCATGGTGTCACTTAATTGTGAATGTGTATGTGCATGTCGAAGAAATTGCATGCCTCGAGCTTTTAGGGCATGATGCACCACTGGTTCCCCCACCCGAATGCAGACCTACCGCTCACCCAAGGACTTCCGAAGAGAGTCCTGCCGCTGCAACGCTTCCCACTATTGGCGCAAACAGCTAGCTAGCACCGGTCACTAAAATCCTTCCTTCACAAAGTCTTTTCCATCATAGGATCGGAGTTTTCTAATATGCGTACTTTACTTCGAGACATTAATCTACGCGGATAGTTGAGTGCGTTCCTTGTGTGGAAGCTGCAGGTAAAGAGTCAGCAGCACTGCAATCTTATAGGTGCACCTTGCAGCGGAATCTCAATTAGCCTGAACCAGGCTCGAGGACATGGTCGCTGAGACCACAGGAACGTACATGCGAAGGAGACAATGAACCATGTAACGGACGAAAGTACAAGGGATGTAATGTAACCTTCCTTTGGAGATGAAATGCTAGTAGTACAATCATGCGCAAGAGTATATGCTAATTCGTTTCGTTCTGTTGGTATCGTGAGGAGAAGTGGAAAGCCGATGCGTTACCTAGTTGAACGCCCACTGGCGATGAAAGCCAAACCTAAAACCCTGAATGAGACCAGTGAAGGTGTGATGCGCCGTTCCCACCTGGTGGAGCCATGCCGCCGCCTTGCTGTCTCCCGACCATGCTTATGCAATGACACCCAACGCACACCGTAGCCGCCCCGGCCCCAAATCTATGCTGTAAATTCTTGCCAAAAAGACTATGCTCCTTTACTGTGGAGTCATGACTGTATGAGAGCAACATCATTCTGCTAGGCCTTGCCCTCGATAACACTGCCAGACCCGACACTGCCACCAAGGTCCCAGTAGTTACGTCCACTACCCCCGGACCGCTTGCTCTTCTTGGTACTCTGGCTTGTCACTGACGAGTTGCTCTTGAGGACCTGATTGCGCAGCGATGGCTGTTGGTGATAGTACGTCTTATATGTAGCGCCTTCCCTCTTCTTCGATCTCGAACTTGTCGCTACCGGCTCTCTCGACCGACTGACCAAAGGGTGGTTCTGTCGAATGATAGCCGCCCTCCTCGCGCTCGCCTGTGGATCCTCTGCCTCTTCACCCACGGTCGGCGCACTCGAAGCTTTCCTTGGTTGCGAAGAGATACTTGACCGCCGCGAGGAGAATCGCTTCAAAAGGAAGTTGAAGACCATTTTGACGTCGAGCTCGCGTTCCCAATACTCTTGCTCGCGTGCAATCTCCTCGGCGTGGTTCACGAGTGCGGGAGCTGTACGAGGGCCACGAAAAGAATTCAATGGGTCGACCGACTCGGGTTCTTCTTCGATGCCCCAGAGAGATGCTTCGCTGTATACGTTAGAGGGCTGCCCCGGAAATGTGGGAGCAAAATTCGCCGAAGTCGCCATGGGAGTGGAGCCTGAAGCTGTAACGTCGGACGGTGTTGAGTCGGTCGCAACAGTAGTTGAAGGTTGCCCGGCAGAAAGGCCTGCATACTCCGGCATATCTTGCGCAGTAAGATAGGTAGAAAAGGCACCGGGATGCTCAGACAGTTGATGCACCAATATGCCGAGCTCCCGTGCCACTCTTTCGAGAAGCCGATGCTGCCAGTCTTCGTCGGGTACGCCTTCAGCGTCCATAGCTCTAAGAGTGGCGTCGATGGAAGCCCTCGTTTCGGGAGCCTCAGCGGGTCCTGTCGCTACCTCGTCAGGTAATGACTCGCCGAAAATAACTGACAGTGTATCCTCATCAATGCCCATCAAATCGCGTATGACTCTTCTTGTTAGCCGCTGCCAGAACGACATGTTTTCCGTGCTTTCATCTGATGCTTCGCTCTGGCCATCCGACACTGATCTTGCGACCTGTGACGTGGTGCTCTTCATGGCATGGTGGGCGCTGTCCGTTCGGCTGCGAGCAGCACTGACGATACTCATTCTGCGCCTGCGTCTGGTCTCCCTCTCGATCTCTTCGAGCAGCGCTCTGCTCTGCTCGAGTCGCCACTGCTCTATCCGCTGCCGCCTGTCCTGCTCCTGAGTGAGCTCCTCCGTCTCCTCCAGGGCATCCAGTCGTCGCTGCACGCTCGATCGCCGTCGAGCTTGGCGTCTTCGCGGCGTTTGTCTCTCGAACTGCCACATGTGCTCTGCCATATCGGCATCGGTCTGGAATGTGCCCAAGCCATCATGCGTCGGCAGAACGGTATCGCCACTCTGCTGCAACCTGCTTGATGGCCCTGCATACTCGGACGGCTCGTGAAATGCGTGCAGGCCGTCGTCCAAACTATCCAACTCCTCTCCCTCTTCAGTTACATCGTCGTCCCCATGGGAGCGTGCGGCGGTGTCAAGAGAGCCAAAGTCGCTCAGGCGCGACAGGCCGGCTGTGCGCGGTGTTCGTTCGGTCGAAGTTGTATGTGTGCGGGCGGCGGTAGAAGGCGCGCCCGGTGAGAAGAGAACCCATTCCTCCGACTCTTCGAGGGCTCTCTTCTGCTGCGGCGAGGAAGTGGTTCCGATCTCGGCCGGCGGTTCATGGTACGAGATCTGGCGAGCAGATTGCGGGCGTTGCTGCTGGCGAAAAGCCATGGTTACTCTCTGTCTCACGTGGGACTGTCTTGACTCCGGAGAGTGCAGCACTATGGTACTGTAGGCTTGTTGTACTTGGATGTCGGTCCCCTAAAGCGGGGAACTGACCCAAGGAAGTCGTGCGATGGTACAGGGAACGCGCGATGCTTCGACGATCGGGAAATAAAGGGAAAAGCTATTGTAATATGGGTTGCATGTCTTGTCGGGTCGTGTGCAGCCTATGTGTCCAGCGGGCAAACAGGCCTTGGCTGCGCAGGCCTGGGGCGGGTGATAAGTAGAGTATGTAGCTCAAGATGGTCGCCGTCATACACCGCTAAGACGCAATAGGGCGATCGCGTTTCAGCGCTTGGGTCACAAGACTAACTTCCCGCGGAAACAAAGGTCGAACAGCGTGTCGACGAGCAAGTTAAGATGAAGCCGGGAGAATAATGTATATAGAGACTGAAGAGGTGTGGCGTCTCTCGTAAGACAGCAATGTGTACAGCTCAACGTTGAGTCCTGGGGCCCTGCCCCGGCTGATAAGGCAGATAGCTCGTTGTTTGTCAGAGCTGTGGCTGCACTTGGCCTTGGCCGCGTGCCTGCACACCACCACTCGGGTACTTTCGCCATCTTTCTGATTGATGATGAGATGAGCAGGGGGATGTTTTTTTTTCTCCTGCGAAACCCTAGGATGCCCCATTATGACTCCCACGAGCAACCTGGCATTTCGTTTTCTAATCATAAAGCAAAGTAACTCCGCCGAGTCTTCGGCAGCACTCGATGACGGCAGCAGATCATAGAGAGGCACCGTCGAGCCGCCGGTGAGAACATCATAGCACGCGTGCTGTGAAAAGCACGCAAACAAGCCCTGACCTCTATTACTCGTTGACGCCGCTCACTAGTCAACGTGGCATCGACCCAAGCCCCTGTTAGGTCGCTTCAGCATGATAGGTAGGTAAGGCGACACATTAGTCTGATATCAGCCTCTGTCCTGCCTATTAAAGGATCATGTTGTGCAACGCCGGAGTTCGGCCAGCCTTCGATGTACAAAGATCTGCAGAATATATGAATAGCGCCCCTCTAGGTATCTATCTTGTGTAGCCCACTACGCTTTCCGTGCAGCAGCTATAGGACAGGTAGTATGATACATAGGTACAAAGTGCAACTTGTATTGGTATCGTCCTTCAAATGCAAATTGACATGCAAATCCAGGCGCAGCCGGTGAACGCCTCCGAGAATGACCCAAACCTAACCCACGCGCCACTCCTGTACGTGGATTCGATGAATAATGCTAGAAAATGATTGTCGTCATCTTTCGTAACGTGTCGTAAACGGTCTTCATGCGACTTCTTTCACGCCGAAGCGGTGCATGTCTTCTTCGCTCATCTCTTCTCCATGACCCACAAGTGGATATCGCTTGACATATGGACGCGATTTTTTTTCGCCAATCCACTTCTTTAGTATGCATTCGCCGTTTCCCTGACAAATTTCCTTCCTCCCCAGGTTTTTGAAGCGAGGACCAAGCGGGCCATTGACGTAGTGATACTGCCCCAAGAACCTGTACTGTCGAGAGTCGCTGAGAGGGTAGAACTTGTCGCCCCAGTGGCCCATGAAGTAGAAGAAGCCTATGGGTGAATCTCGAGTCAGATTGGAGCTCTTAAGCTCATCTCTTCTGTAGTCGTATGTGTAAGAGTGCATGTTCTTGGTCGGGTCCCAAAGTGGTCCACGATCGGTGACATCATGGAGAATACCGCCTGGGAGAATATACGGATGGACGCCGGACGTAGCGTACATGGCGTGAGTACCAGTGGCAGAAAATCCAACAGGCTGTAGGTCAGGTTAGCATTAGTGTTACACCGCTTTTCATGGTCACTTACTCTCTTGCCAGACTTCTCTACAGCATCCCAGGTGTACGCCTCTCCAAAGCTATGCTCACTGAAAAACACTGCCTTCGGAACGCCATCCTGGAAGCGCACGGTGGTATGCTCCCAGTCACCAACGTGGTTGCCGAAGCGCACGTTGAAGACGGAGTTGCCAAGGTTGTAGCTGTAGAAGAAAAACCAAAAAGCATCTACAACACCATTTTCTTTCGGCACTACAATGAGCACAGCAGGCGCATCGCTCTTGCCTCCAACGACTTTCTTTCCTCGCTTCTGAAGCGTCCGACGAAGCTCGGATTGCCAAGGCTCGTCAGCCACATCTACGAGCTCTTCGCCTTCTGGAGTGTTGGTTGGTACAGCGGTAGGCGCTGGGACACGGGTGTTAACAATTCCAGTAGAACGGATGCCGCCTCTTTCCATAGTATCACCGATGCCAACATTGAACCAGCTGGATTTCTCGCCATCCTTATCTTCCTCGTAATGGCCACCTTGTTCAGGTTCGCCGTCAGGTTCTGGATCATCTGGGACTTCAGGAACGTTACTCTTGCCTCCCAACCATTCAGGGTAATCCTCTACATTGTCGTCACTTTGCAAATACACAAAGCGGCCCCACTTATTGAGCTCGTAAAGGTTGTCGAGCGTGGGATGATCGTCAACGGCCTGAAGAGGGGTGTAATTTAGATGCGGTGTGGTGTGAAACAAATGCTCCCCCATATCGCAAGGCCAATACTCCTCGCCAGAGTACAGATGAATGAGTGGTGCATGGTCTAAAACGTACTGCGGTATCTCGCGGTCCTTATCATCGAATGCGTTCTGCGCCTCACTATCCTTGTGGTTCCAGTCTTCAGGGAGTTTTCGGGCACTTTCCAAAAACTCCTTGAGATCGATCTTCTCGTGCTCATTGTTGTTATTGGGTGCTGGGATGTTCACACCGCCTGCTGTTGTCCAATGCGCTTGATTCAGATGCGCCAATCCACAGAGCCCAAACCAATTGCAGACTCTCCTGTCTAGCCATGAACGGGATGAGTTGACCCAATTCTTCTCCTCCAATTGTTCCGACGGCGGGGTAATGCGCGGAAAGATCGCATTCTGATATACTTGTGAATAAGTGAACAGGCCAAAGAAAGTTCCGGCAGCAGCGATTGCCGGCTTCCTGCCCTTCATCTGCGTACCCGTGTCGTTGTTAGGCCCGCCAACAGTAGCGACAGAGGGCGTCGGATCTGGTTCGGACGATTGTTCATACGAAGAATGGGCTATGGAGATATCGATGACTCGGGTGGAGTCTTCGTCGGAGGCGGCCGGCGCGATGTTCGTGTGCTCGTCTAGAGAGTTCAAAGGAGATACCACTAGTGGCGTGGACTCAGGGACGAAAGCAGTAGATATGGGCAAGGTAACGGACGGGACGGGGAGGAGCGGTCGGAGAGGGACCTGGACGGCGCCATGATGCAAGGCAGGTACGACGGGCACTGACTGGTTAGCCTCTGACCTAATTGAGCACTATCACTGACAAAGATCGAGTTGTCTCGAGTACAGGGAGCCGGGTTGGAGCCGAATGTTCCGGAGGCTGACAAAGTGTTGAAGGGTTCCCTGATAGCTGGAGGAAGCACGCGGAAGAAGCACGTCAGGACACGCTCAGGTGGAGCGCGCCTAGCTCAGCGGGCTAATGGGACAACCGCAGAACAAGTGCACAATCTGGGACCTCGCGGATGCAGCGGAGGCTACATGGATTACGGTGCACCCGGCCGGATTTTGGCGGGAACAACTCACTTTTGTCAGGCTGACGGTCACCGACCCCGCGGTGCCGGCGGTGGGATCTAAAGAACGTGCAGCGGGATCGTAAGAGGTCGCCGAGGAGATGGTAGATAGGTAGACGTTGCAATGCACAGAACTTCGCGTCCAACACAGGCGGATCGGGTCAAGAATATGCAAGTCTCGGGGAGCTTGCAGCGTGCATGCGGCGAAGGTATGGCGGGAGCTTGGCATACGTCGAGACTAGCCAGATTTGCGTGCTGATGCACGAGCGCTTGAGGCGACGTCCAAGGTTTGACGCGAGTAAGCAATGTCAATCGTGGAACCGCAGATTCAGAAACAATCTGCGATATGCTGGCGGCTTGTGCTGCGCTGACGCATTACGCTCTTGGGCATGCCGACATCGTCACTGGTACCGTTGCCCAAGAATGCGGAGGCGAGGCCGAGGTGCGGGCAGATATCGATAACCTTATCACACAAAGAAGTAGTTACAATGCAATGCGCTACTGCTCTGCCGGATTCAATTGAGCGCGTCAATTACTATGCAGAAGATATGCCACGTGTGAGTGCCATGTATGTAAATGAGAACTGACCGCCACCAGCCCAGACCTGTGTGGTTCCGTCTCCACAGATAACTAGTGCTATGAGAGCCTTCCTGGTTAGAGACGCGGTATCATGAACCAGGTACGAACATATCAAAATAAAACATGCAACAGCTTACACATCACCATCCTGAGGAGATATAATTGCCGAATCAGGAGCATGTGTTCCCTTGAAGTTCATCTTATCTACAGTACATGAAAAACCGATACGAGAGCGACATTCGCGCCAATGCAGAAAGACCTCGGCACTAGCGTCGTGAACATTCTAACACCGTCACCATCCATAGCCAGGCCACAAAAGCTACCACCACAACTTCAACTCTCGTAGATTCCAGTCACTCACAATGGCTTCGGGCACATTCGGGTCGTACCCCGTCCTCTTCGGCACTGGCCTCGCATGCGGCCTGCTAAGTCTCGGCCACACGGTACACGCACATGCTTCCTCGTTGACACGCATTCGTTGACACGCGCCGCAGGCCAAAGGCCTCGAGCAGTTTAAGCATCCATCCACGAACCAGCTCCCTCCTCAACTCCGTGGCGCCTCCAAGATTGGCTGGTACGAGGGCAGCGTTTGGTTTTTGATTGCGGGCGTTATGAACTACAAATGGAGTCAAACGGGCCTGGTGGACCTTGCCGACAAGACTGCTGCCAGCCTGTTGATCACCTTGCTCTTTGGAGCTGGTGCAAGCGTGAGTACTTGGCCGGTGAATCGTTTGATGACGCTGATCACGGGGCTTAGTATTGGCGCGTGAATGACAAACCCTCTGCTGGAATTCTGCTCGCGGTGGGTGTATTGCAAGCTATTGGTGCAAAGCAAGCTTCGTAAAAGGCAGCTTGTCAAGCGCTGAGAAACAACGTCACATGCACTGCTGGTTGGACCCTCCGACTATTTGCCGTTAGGTAGTACAAGAGGTTCTCAGAGGACAAGATTATATTAGTGTACATAGTCATGGCAAGATCAATGCCATGAGGGAAGGATTATGCTTCGTTCATCGTGATCATGACCCCAGTATTGTGCAGATGGCTATTCATGTTGAAAGCCAGACCCGTAAAGTCCCAAACACTTTTCGCCATGATCAGCAAATCGATCGCGCCAACGCGCCGTCATAAACTGATCTCTGTGAGACCGTTAGTAGATTAAACGTGCATAGTCGCGGCACAACTCACCGTACAAAATGCAGTAAACAGATTTGGTGTTGCAGACAGTTTTCTACTCCTTAGCGACAGCCTCAGCGGTGGCATCATCGGCGGTATCCTCGGGCACCTCAGTCGGAGCTTGCGTAGAGATTGTCGATGCGCTAGCTGAGCTCACCGTAGAGGTTTCGTAGCTAATTTTGAGCTTGACTTTGCGGTCGTTCTTGGCAAGAAGGCGCTGAAGGCGCTCGGTGTAGTGCTCCTCCATGCTACGCCTGGGGTTGCGAACGCATTCATCGTAAGCCAGCTGCTCCAAACGCAAGAAGGCCCGCTCGGCGTTCTCCTCAATCTCTTCGGCCCAGGTACTCTTCTCCGTGACTCCGCTGACAGCGCCTTCGCTCTTGATAGTGTCGAAAGAACCACCACGCGTATGGGAACCGTTGTTCGCGGGGATAGCCTGCGTAGAAGAAGTGGTGCCCTTTGCAGGTCTGGTGACGGGTAGGTCCTTGCTCGAGAACATAATATACTCCTCGATGCGCGGATTAAGCCGAGCCGAGCCGAGCGCAATAGGAATAGCACCTGGGGTAGGAGAGATGAGCGGCGCTACGTTCTTGTTGATGCTATGAGCATATCCAGGCACGCTCCTGGCCACCGAGCGGCCAGTGGAGCTCTCATCATCCGCGATATTCTCAGCCTCGTCCTCAACAGAGGTCACGATGGAGCGGTTGCTCGAGGCGCAATCTGAATCTCCACGAGGTGAGCCACACTCGTGAAGCTTGAGCATGGCTAGACGGTCTCCAAGGAGGCTGAATCCGCGGCTACGATGGGGGCGGTAGAAGACGGACGGCGCAGGGGAGAATGCTTCGGGGGTGTTGATGGGAGGGCTCGGTAGCATAGCGAAGTCCGCTCGCTCATTCAGGTCTTCTTGTATTGGACCGAGTATACGGCCAACAGCGTCGAAGTCTGGATGTGCAACATTTTCGTTGCTGGTAGCAGAATCGGTATACGGTGTTGGATTGGGAGGTGTCGGTGTGCCCGACGTCGAGCTGAGAGACATGACCTTGGTAGTGCTCATGGTAGCCACGAACGCTCAGCTACTGAAGTCAATTGACACTGTTGTAAGCGCGAGCGTTACTGCTCGAGGTTGAGGGGGGGTTTCCTTACGTTGTTATGCGCTTGTTGCATGCAGTGAATGTTGCGAGAAAACAGATACTGGTGAAGCCGGGAACCACAAACACTTGTCGAGTGACGAGCAACCGAAATTGCAAGCGCACGCCGGGAGAAAGGGTGGATACGTGAAGTTGACGGCGTTACGGGCGCTACAGGCGGTGACGGGAGGGTTTGTGCGGGCGGAGGGCAGCGACGAGCGTGCCTTCCCTTTCTAACTTCAGATAAACGCACATGCCTCTTCCCCCATTTATACTCACGGGTCCGACGGCCCAGTGATGCTACCCCGCGATCGATGACGCACGACTTCAAGTTCCCCAGATGGCGTGCGGAAGACCGAAGTACTGGAAGGCAAGTCGTGCATCGCAATGGCCTCCACCGGCGGCCCAGTTTGCCGGCCGCTGGTCCTCGAACAGACAGTCGGTAGTTCGCCATTGCCCGCGGCATTGTTCGTTGCTTTTCCACGCTTTCCCCTGCTCCGAACCCAGGGCAGGAGGTTGTAGTAGCCTCCACATGCGAAGACACCGATCCACAAGATGAGCTCCGTCCCGTAGATGACAAGGCCGAGAATATCTAACTCCTGTTGGAATAAGACAGACACTAAGGAGAACAAGTCTCCAGCAGCATCGATCCCGACAAAGAGGAAAGAGATCCCGCGGACAGTGCGATGAGTGTAGATGTCCAGGTAGTGCCGAAGCACACCAGCCGCAAGCAACGCTGCCGAGAGGACGGCCATGAGAATCAGCGGCCATTGGGCATTCCTGTCTTGCGCGATGCGCAGAGCGATGATCAGAGCTGCTTGTATGCCGCCCATGATGCAGGCGACAGGAACTACAAGCGCAAGGGAGCGCCAAATCGACCACTTCTGCATAAGAAGTCAGCCACTTCACACTTCATAGCTTGTTCCACAGGAGATCACCTTCTCATAGTAGTAACATTGGATCCATGTTACCAAGCTTAGCAGCGTCAGGATCTGTGGTTGTATCCTCAACGCAATGTTGAAGCCTTTGACAATGTTATACACGCCGAGCGGCACGCCGGCCCACGCCCACAGCATCATCATCGTAGGCTGGAGACCAACAGCATTGTGACGACGATAGTTGATCACTATTTGCGGAATTAACTGCCTTTTGTCAACATGGTCCTAGTTTCCAAGATTGAGCAACAAACCTGTATAGACCAGCAGACCTAGGAAGAGTTAGTCCCGCGGGGCCACACGCGTCCTTATGACGACAGATCGGGAAACATTAACATACAGCGCCTATTGTTCCAAGAACATTCGCAGCGACGGGCACATTCATTTGGTTATATCTGGATAAAGGTGGGATGATGAAGGAAGTGCAGCACTGAGTCCAAATATATAGCCTAAGCCAAGGTGTGGGTCGCAATGCTGGTTGGTCGATTCGAAAGCAATTCTCCCCTTGAACAATTAGCAATATATCAATCACATCTCATATCCATGAGTCCGTCAGATAACAAAAAGGAACACTGATGAGATGAAGCAAGATGGGACGAAGTGATCAGTGCAGTTGCATGCCGTCTAGCTGCCCAATCGGCTCCCGCAGAGCACCGCGACAAGGACTAGCGCTTCCCGGACGAACTTCGCGCATTTCAAAGCATGGCACCACTGTGAATACAAACACCACACTCTTTTACACGCACGATTGCTGGACAAGATCATGGCACCAGGACCGATAGACCAACCGGAAACGGAGCAAGTGGACCCAAAACCAGTGCCCAAGCTCTCCAAGGGCGTTGTACTGGGACCAGATGGCAAGCCGTAAAGTACCCAGCTCCAAATGCGCCTCAAGCACACACAGCTTGAGGACAAATGTAATAAATGTTCTAACTTCACTTTGCAACGCAGATGCCGCACCTGCACCGACGTATCCTCCCTCTTCGCCATGACCAAGAGCACAACCAAAAAGCGCCCCGCTCTTCCCACCGACTGCCCTCCCGACGTCGCGCAACTCGGCCGGTCGTCCTGGACACTGCTCCACTCCATCACCGCGCAATACCCCGAGAAGCCATCCCCGGAGAAGCAAGCAGAGACTAGTACGTTCATGAAGACGTTCGCAAAGCTCTATCCATGTTGGCATTGCGCAGGCGACTTCCAGGAGTGGATGGCGAACGGGAATGCGCCGCGGGTGAGCTCGCGGGAGGAGTTTGGGCAGTGGATGTGCGAGGCGCACAACGCTGTCAACGTGAAGCTGGGGAAGAAAGAGTTTGATTGTAGGAGGTGGGAGGAGAGGTGGCGGACTGGGTGGAAGGACGGACGATGCGATTTCTAAGAGGAGAGCATCGCGTGTATGATATTTGTATATGAGAAGAGATACCCTTAGCGCGATTTCGCAACATATGAGGTGGTATACGGCATTGGGCGGCGTTAGGATACCATCTCAGCTTCGGCAGGGTGGCCTCCAATCAAGAGTGTACTATATGGCCATACTCAGCACGTCTTTACATGAGCAATTGCCGCGCATTCCTTGGGCTTCATATGCCACAGGACCAGGATTTGACGATCTTTCTGACTTCTGAGGGCCGACAAGATTGCTCCAGCGTCTTCTCGCTACCACTGACGACTGACAAAGCTAACCCAACCACTTCCACGCCCTCACGTATATCACCCGTGATGCCATCCCCGAACCTCGACCCGCGCCTCCCCTTTTACCAAATCTACCACAATGGCCCCCTCGGACATCCTCCCTTTCTCCTCCTCCGACGAACACACCAACATCACCACCGCCCCAGACATCACCACCCTGTCCAACCTAAATCGCGACTCCGCCATCGCCCTCGCACCCTGCTCCTCCTCCTCATCCTCCTCGCTGTCACCTGGTTCGCCACCTCCCGTATCTGCGCGCACCAAGCCGCTCTCCCCGACGCAGAAGCGCATCGCCGCTCCGTAGCCGTAGCAAGTGACCATCGTCGTTCTCGGAGCACTACAGTTGGGGGCCTGCCCGTGAACGGGATCACGGGTCACCGCGTCTTCAAAGTCGAGAGGAACGTCTCGAGGGAGGAGTGTGCAGGCAGGGAGAGCGTGTCAACGCTGCCGAGATACGAGGAGAGATATAGTGTGGTTGCGTTGAGTGAAAGGGAGAGACAACACGGGTGGTGAGGGAATGCGGCTGCGCATGGGACGACGACAAGGACACACGCGGAGCTACCGCCGCTGTCACCGAATCCGATACTGGAGAGCCTGACATGCCCTGCTCCGGTGACCGCTCCCATTTCTGGTGGTTTCCGTAATCACATTTGTAACGATGTAAGGGGACGATGGAGTGCGAGGCAGGAGTGTTGATGAAGGTCCTTCGTCTCGTCATGACAGAGTCCAGAGGCGACTAGTGGGGATGCGCTTTGCTAAAAGAGGTCCAGGTTGAGAAGATCGAGTGGGCAATAAATTATCTTTTGTCACGACATCTAACGTCAATATCGCGGTTGGCAAAGGCGTGCGCGGAGCATTTTTTTTGTCACCAATCTTCGGCAGTATTTGACTTATGGGATGCTTGATTCGTTTGGTAATAAACCCGGGTACTTGATTTCCACCCAGTGCTCCTGAAGCTAGCCAGACATGTCATGTCTTCTGGGATCCGGGATAACCGATCCCGCATGCTCATTAGTCTGCATGAGAGCTTAGATATGTTCATTGCTCAGATGGCCGTAGATTCATTGCTCTCCAAGACCTGTCTATCCAAGCGCCCACATATGCTCGAAGCAGAGTAAGGTATTGCTGCTACAGCAAGTTAGAACGGGATTATCGCATGATTTCCTGGAAGATGAGGACTATGTAATATTAGCACACGAAAATTCATCGCAGAAGTTCGGCTACGTACGCTTCAATTGCTCCTTGGTGAGGTTGTCCTTGTTCTTATCGAAGTCAAAAAACTCCTCTGGAATAGGGTCGGCAGTAGGCTCGTCATCGGGATCGTGGTACGGCTCAAGGTACGGGTGCTTCAGGGCGTCTTCGACTGTAATACGCTTGACAGGGTTGAACGCGAGCAGACGCTCCAAAAGGTCGAGAGCAAGGTCGGAGGTCTTGGGGAACATGGCCTTCCACGGAATCTTCTTCTTGAAAGGAAGCGACCGAATGTACTCGCGAGCCCGACGGGACTTGATGCCGTAGTAGTCCTCCATAGTCGGTGTACCCAGAACGTCGAGGATAAGGGTGAGCTGGTGGTGGTCTGCAATCAAGGGTCAGTTGGATGTCCTAGTGCTGTGGGCGACAATACTAACAGTCCTTTCCAGGGAACAGTGGCTTGCCGCTGAGCATCTCGGCCAGAATGCATCCCACACTCCATACGTCAATGGCTTTGGTGTATTCCTTGAACGTTAGCATGATCTCGGGGGCTCGGTACCAACGCGTGGCAACGTATTCCGTCATGAATCCAGAGTTGTCTTCGGTAGAAGCGGCCGATCGTGCGAGACCAAAGTCGCAGACCTTGAGATCGCAATTGGCGTTGAGCAACAGGTTGGAAGGCTTCAAATCACGATGCAAAACATTGGCCGAGTGCATCGCCTTGAGAGCACGCAGCGTCTGATATATGAAGTACTGGCAGTGATCGTCGGAAAGCTCTTGCGTGCGAATAACACGGTGCATATCCGTCTCCATGAGTTCCTGCGAATCGTCAACACATGGTTTCGCCACGAGATTGGAGGCCACCTACCTGGATCAGATAGACCTCGGTGAAAGTCTCGTAATTCCTCGGCTTCTGAATGTCGAGGATGGAGATGATGTTCTCGTGGTTGAAGTATCTCAAGAGCTTCATCTCTCGCAGCGTTCTCAGACAGAACATGGAATGATCGAATGGTGTGATCTTCTTAATGGCAACCTTTTGGCCTGATGGCTTGTGTAGCGCCGAGCTATACCATGGTCAGAAACCGTGACTTGACAGACTGGCTAGCAGAGCTTACCAGACGACTCCATATGCTCCCTCGCCAACCACATCTTGGATGTCGTACTGCTCCGACACGTTGAAGGATATCTTCCGCGAGCTGCCGCTTCCACCGGTTGCGCGAGACATTGCGGCGGTTTGCGAGGGGGTTTGCGCGGATGCGCGAGGCGGATACCGAGATGAGCTGCTGCTCGCTTTATGAGACGCTAAACGGTGAGCCGCGCAGTCGTCGATGGAAGACTATCGCTACCGTGACAGTCTGTATCTGCGAGAAGAGCAGTCAGCAATGTATTCCATTGTTTGTTGGTGGAAACGCGACGGCGTATTGTTCTCGAGCAGGAAGGCGTCGCCGGCGAATCGTTTGCCCCTTGGGCCGCGGTTGAAGGGAGCTCACTCAAGGCGCAGTAAGTGCGGACCTCGCTCGCCTGCTGCCGTGAAGTAGGTGGTGGGTGAATTGAAGACTCCCATGGCCACCCACACACAAGGCGCATGACGGCTGGCAGAGCCCACCATGCAAGCCCGCATGAGCAACGGAGCTTGCAACAGAGATCAGGGGAAGGAACATACCAATTCGAAGATGTCGCAGCCGCTGTGGGTCTGGCTTGCCGTCTGTCGTGCAGACGGTCGCTCCTTCTGCGTTGCAGCGCGTGCAACTTGAACGCTCCTATTCGAAGACGGGCGGGTTGCGAGCCGTGTACAGCGGGCGAAACGGAGCGCAAATCTGGCGGCAGGTCGACCAACAGCGAGGCGGCAGCGTAGGAGAAAGAGGAGGGGTGAGTGTGTGAGTAGCGGGGCGCCTGGAGGAATACGATTCACGGCGGGGCCTGTCGCTACGCGATGTGAGCTGGTTGCCAAGTCAGCCTTGTTCACTGTCGACGTGCGCAAGGCAGGAACGGCAGCAGGGAGGGCAGGAGCGAGTGATTCGGGTGCAGACGTGGCAGCGGTGCGTTCTTGTTCTGCTCTACCGTGTCTGGGGCTCGCCAGGAGAAGGGTTCAGCTCTATCGCGTGGGGCGGGTGCTGCGTACTAGCAGTGGTGCCGTGGCGGGATGGCGGGGCGCTCTCTGCAGCTGTGTCCTGAAGCGGCACGACGACAATATGCAAGTTCGCAGCACGCAGTCGGTCGCAATGTGGATGGGTGGGATGGGCGCAAGGAGCCTGGGACCGCTCACCGCATTATAACACGCGCGCCCGAGCCTGCCATCGCAAAGGTGCAGCACTGGACCATCACTAGCCCACTCCAACGCCCGCACGAGCGAGAAGGGAGGGTCCGGCCGCGACGAGCTAGCCGCTGGGACTGTGCTCGCGCTGGAAACACCCGCTGCGCTGCGCCCATTGGCCCGCCGCCGTGTGCCTGTCTCACGCTCCCAATGGCAACTCCATCGTGAATCACTCCAGGCCCAGTCCTGTGATTTCTGCACCTCACACCCCGACTGCACCGCCCCATCTCGTCGTCCGTCCGGCACATTCCCCAGCATTGCGCCTGCGCGGTCACGTACTTTGCGACTGCTTGTGCCGCTCCGTCCGCGTTTGGGCTTCTCCCTTCCGGATTTCAAATTACAGACACTCTGGAATAGTCTCTGATCTGGTCGACCTCGCCTGAGGCCGACCATCGTCACATCTCAACCGGTATCAGGTTGTATGTCCAGGCCAAGCTTCGTAGGGCAGCACCTGAAACTTCTCTTGCGTTTCTGCGAACCATCCTGCAGGGGTCGAGTTGCATCTCTGCGGCGCCTATACCTAGCGTGTCCACGTCTCAGACGGCCTATCCATGCGGCTGTCTACACTCCCGAGACCATTGGACAGCACACCTCCAACTCATCTTTCTACCCACCACCGGCGCCCCATCAAAGCGGCTTCAACGGCTCATTTGTCTATGGAGTGCTCCATTCTGCCACTTTAGACATGACGTCCCGCTCTCTGTTTTCCAGAGTCCGTGTTTGATCTCGCTCGAGCCAACCTTCTCGAACCGTTTCAGACTGCCAGCCGAACACCATCCCTGCCACTTTCGGACCGCCATGATTTATGAATACCCTCACGGCTGACTCTTGCCTTCGCACCTGAAGCAGTCACTCCTGCCGCCTTTATCCATTCTATCGACTCCTGCATCGAATATGGTCTCCGTGATACTGACTAGAGTCTGGATCACCGGCAGCTTACAAACGCTACTAGCCAACTTTCGGAGAACTCGACACTGACAAGCAATGGCCATTGGCGAACACATGAATATCTGCGTAGCGGTCATAATCACTCTCTCGTGGCCGCAGAACACAGCCATCTCAACCTCCCATTTCACTACTATGGTTGCTTCAACGTTACAAAAGAGTGCCACAAAATGTAAGCCCGCGAAGTTGAATAGCTATCTGCTATTTGGTCAGGCCGTGGACTTCCAGGGATACCAACTCGAGCACGTGGCTTGAGCGAGCAACCGTAGATGCAGGGTCCCGGACCCTTACCATTGAAGGCCGGATCCCCACGTGTTCATCCGTAAGTTTACACAGACTAGAGCTCTCCATCTTCACTTCTTTGGGAGCAGTCTTGATACCCCGTCTCCCTATTAGACGGCTCCTTTATCAGCGCAGACCATGGTGCAAGAGTTTTTCCGCTCTATATCTACCTGCGCAGCCGTGAATCACCGTGACCGAGATTGTGGGCTTGCACGTTTAGCTTTGTTACTCGGCCAGATCCTCTATGATTTTCAGGTTTGGTTTGGAGCCAGTACGTGGGGCCTACGCTTTGTGTGCCGCAAAAAGCGGGAGGACTTTCAAACCAAGCCCATGAAGCTTTCAAGATGGTCAGGGAACCAAAAAGAATCTATAGGAAAGCGGTGAACCAGGTTTGAACTGGTGACCTTCGGAAACCACGAGTATGAGTACTGCAGTCCGCTGCTCTACCACTGAGCTATCACCGCAGGAATCATGGTTTCCTAGCCACAATATTAAGTGAAGTCATTTATATACCACGTGAAAGAGCTAAAATTCTCGTGAATTTACCTTTGCACGAGCTGACAACACTGTAAGAATTACATGTTCGCATCGTGCGATGGTGCAATATGGCGTTCGCTGCCCCGCAGCGAAGGAAGCATCACACAGTGCTCACCATGGCAGTTAGCGTGTATATTCCCAGTCGAACTTTGCCTAACAGGATACATATAATTTTGCAATACTACCCAAAATGTATGATAAATGTTGGACAATCATGAAGTTCAATTGGATTTCACCGTACAATAACAATCCGAATTCCATAGTCCTGAGTCACAGCGGCTGACACAAAAAACTGGACTTCTAGAGCACACCTCAACTTTTAGAAACACACTGTATGATACCGTTGTAAAAGTACTATTTAATAGTCTACTCCCATTTCTCACAGCTACAAAGTTCCAGTTTTTACGATCGGTCGTTGTGAGTGCTCGCGACCGATCATACTGCTCACGATACAGACAGCATTGATCCTGCTGATCTTCACTTCACTCCATGCTTTTACTTACCTATCAACAGACAGGTAATAGCCCTGTTCGTGGGAAATGCGCGGGAACAAGCCGAAGATCATCAGCTAAGAGGTGATACATCCTAACCCTTTTGCAGATTCTTTTTCTCTTACGCAAAGGGCTCATCGATGGCGATCTGAACGATGAATCAGTTCGAGAGCCAGGACATGTACTAACTGCAAGCCTTGACCAAGGACAAGCCGAGGGGCCATAGTCCGCTCGGTGTGTAAACAAACCACGTTTCGCTCTAGGTGTAGACACCTTGCCAGTCCCACAATACTCGATGCCGGACAGAGTCAGCAAACCTCCTTCTCTTCGGGATGTTCTACCGAAGAATTCAAGTCAAGTCACACAACAGGGTATCCGACGAAGGGACAGCGGCAACTGACCCACAAGTACATCAAAGCACTACCGCATTGGAACGCATAATACATCCCTCAACACGCAAAGCAAGAAGAACATTTCCATCATAAGTGCAAACACTATCATAACAGTCCAGGCTGGCGTGCTCAGCTAATGCAATCCCATCCTCATGCGCCCTATATGCAATCGTGTCCCATCGTATACCAGTCACCCCTTGACTTTCCTTGCCCCGTACCAGCGGGTTTCACACACTTTCTCCCGAACTCCTTGCCTATCTATCCATGTCCGATCTTGAACCACGTCCACCATCCTAGTCACATCGGCCCCTTGGGCGGGTATTGTTGTCCGCCCCTCTCGACCTGGGGCTTACAAGTGCACCTACACGCGACCTCTCAGCAAAGGTCCGTTGTATGCAAGCTAAGCAAATATACCATTCTTCTTGCGGGACGTTGTCCATGACGCCGGCGACGTGGTTGCCGCAGCCCCACCAGGTGGTTTTGTCTGCGGGAAGTGTCAGATGGAATGTCCGATGGTGGCGAGAAGGGGGGGGGGGGGGGAGAGCTTACGGCAGGATTCGCAGGTTGATTTACGGCACATGGTTTTGTGTGGTTGGTTGTTGTGAAGAGGGAGTACTCAGGACGGCAGTGACGGCTCGGTGTTGGCGGATTCAGTATTGTATCCAGTTTTGACTTCAGTATTGTATCCAGTTTTGACTTCAGTATTGTATCCAGTATTGGATTCAGTATTGGATTCAGTTGTTTGTTCGTCTCAAGAAGCCTTGGTGCGTACGATTCCACAGCAGCACAAAGTCAGAGGATGGACAGATGGTTCAGCGGAAGGCGGGAGTCGCGAACGTAGTTGGGGGGTTAATATCATCACCTACGCCGCCTCAATCTCCATATATAATTCTGGCCCCTCCATAGCGTTTCGCCCGTAATTTGGCAGCGCAGGATTGTCGACGGTGCTGGTGCTATGCGGTGCGGTTGTGGTGCGCCCACCTCGACGAGGTCGCCGACGTCCACCTCGCCGACACCAGGACACGAGCCCCAACGCATGCCGCGCCCTACTGGCCCACCGCCCCAAACCATGCGAACCACGCGGTCACTCCCGCGCATATTAGCGTGAGGGAGAGCGAGGATGCGCGGTTTCAAACTCAGGCCTGCACTGTCCGGGCGTTGCTGAGGCGCGCGTGTCGTCGGCGAGGCACGAGGGTAGGAGTGGGCTACGTAAGTAAGCAGGCGAGGGGCGCCCAAAGTGGGAGTCTTCGCGACGTACACTAGGCTACGCTACACATAGTTTTTGCACTGTCGGCATTGGTGCGAAGCATGCTAAACTCCCATCGGCACTTCAGGTTCCATAGCTCCATGTGTCGCTCTGTACCGGTGATTGCTATGTGTGCCCGTGGTGTGATCCGTCTGAGCATCGGACGTAGGCCTGCATGCGTGTTGGATGACATCCTATCATCGGCGACCCTCTCTCGCCCCTCTGACAGCAATCAGCAATCCCTCCTATCGGCGTCCGCATGCTACACTCCAGATACACACCCCCATGTCTCGCGGAGCCGCCGAGGAAGGATCTGACGGGCTTCCACGCCGTCTCGAAGCCTGCGGATTGCTAACGTAGTGCATTTGCTTCCCCACATACCACGCACATGGTCGCCGAGCTTGTACGCTAGGCTCCTCGTATAGCACGGGTGTTACCCAAAGGAGGAAAATTTGAACCACTCAGGCGGTGTGTCTGCCGTGTTGTTTTTGGAGGCACCCGTGAGAACGGCGAGGGACGGGTACTCGGACGACTATGATGGAGGTGGCGGAGGAAGGCTCAGATAGCCACGTTTCGCGTTTGTTGGACGCGATCTATTCCAAATTCGGACGATATGCGAAATGTGTTAATAACGAAGGGTATTTTGAAAGATTTAAATGTAAATTTGTCCAGACTAACACATGAAGGTCGTTGATAGATACCCTCAGGTTGCATGGACAACTCCAACTCGTGAACTATAACAAAGGACCATGTACTACCCTTTGCAAGATGTCGATCTCATTCAGTTCGAGTGTTTGGGCATGTCTCCTGTGGCAGCAAAAGCAGTCCTGAATCCCCCCGGTTCAGTCTGACACACTGGCTAATGGTCGCATATATACAATGTGGATCACTGTTGTGCACGACTCGGCGAGGAGACAAATGGTGGAATCCGATAGTCAAACACGCGTCTGTATCTATACATAGTTGTGCTTCTACTCGCTTGAGAACCGAGATCCTGTCCCACAAAACAGACTTTTAAACGCAAGCCGGACGCCGCTCGCTTCGACGGACCATCTTTCTGCGGGATCATCGCCGTCCTTACAGATTCATCGTCCTACAAGAACTGATGCTAAACGTAGGAGCCACACCATCGTCCGGACAAGTTCTGTCAGAAGCTGCCGAATGTGAAAGTAAGTACAACTCCGAGATTCGATCGGATAGCCCAGGCAGCCGGGCTATTATGAGTCTGACAAACTCTCGGCTGATACATCACCAATGACGGAAGGCTATGGGTAAGAAACAGTGTTGTCTGCAATCGACGAAGGACGCATACGCAGCCGGGTATTCTGCGTTGCATGACCCAAAAAGATGGTAATATTTCGAATCGGACCGCTCGTCTATATACCGCATCTACTCCGCGAGAAATGCCGAGAACAGCAGACTTTTTGGTGCATTGACGCCGAACGCCGCTCGCTTCCACAGGTAATCTACCTGCGCAGACCTCGCCGACTATATATTCCAACATATCGCGCACTAGTCGAAAGATATCTTGGTAGCTTTCTTGGTCATGTCAACATCCTTGTAGAAAGCTCCGTAAGCACCGTGCTCCTTCTTCTTAACGGTCGTGCCGAACTTCAAGAGCTCTTCGGGCACGGGCTGGTTGGCAGCCTTCAGAACGTTGATCAACCTATGCATGTCAGTATTGAGTCGTTCCATAAGAATAGGGTGCCAACGTACGCTCCAGACAGAGCCTTGTCGTGTTCTGTGAACAGGGTGATTGCAAGACCTTCTTTACCGGCACGGCCAGTTCTGCCGATGCGATGTACGTAGTCCTCGGCCGTTAGAGGGAAGGTCACGTTGATCACAAGCTTGACGGCCGGGATGTCCAGACCACGGGCGGCAACATCGGTCGCTACCAGAAGAGGGATTGAGCCGTCTTTGAATGCCTGCAGAGAAGCACTGCGCTTGTCCTGGCTGAGGTCGCCGTGGATACCTCCCACTCGGAAACCCTTCATGCGAATGAAGCTTTCGATGCGCACAGCTTCCTTCTTGTAGAGGCAGAATACGAGAATACGATCTTCTGTGTTCTTGCCCGACTGGTACTGTTTCAGGAGTTGTAGAAGACGTTGCTCCTTGCCGCGAGGGTCCACGACCTCGACCAACTGCTTGATGCGTACGTTGGCACGGAGTTCGCCCGAGACGTTGTCGCCGATCGTGATCTTCACGGGTGACTGCATGAAAGTGGACGCCAGCGCACGAATCGAGGGTGGCCAAGTCGCCGTGAACATGAGTGTTTGCCGCTTCTTCGGCGTCTGGGTGATGATCTGTCTGATGGCTTCTTCGAAGCCCTTGTCGAGCATTCGGTCCGCTTCATCGAGAACAACGTACCCTGCGCTGCTTAGGTCGGCCGAGCCGTCCCCGATCAAATCGTTCAAACGGCCAGGCGTTGCGACAACAATTGATGCAGTCTTGATGGCTCTGACCTGAGGGTCCTTTGGTACACCGCCGTACACGCAGACCACGGAGAGGCCTGCTGGCGTAGCAAGTTGCACAAGTTGGTCATGGATTTGAACGGCGAGCTCTCGGGTCGGCGAAACGATGACAGCCTTGACACCCTTTTGCTGCTTTTTCGGCAGGGACGTAATGTAGCGCACACATGGCACACCAAAGGCCAACGTTTTGCCAGAACCAGTCTCGGCAACTCCAACCATATCTCTCCCAGACAACAGTGCGGGCCATGTTACTGCTTGTATAGGCGTGGGCGCTGCGAAAGACTTGAAGGGAGCGCGTTGACCCTCGTCAGTCACTGGCAGATAGTCGAACTTCATGATGGGACGAAGATTCTGGGATCGAGGATCTTCGACAGTGACTGCGTGAGTGGTGAGGTATGAATCGATTTCCGACTGCGGGAGGGCTGCCAGATCCTTGTTCACTTCGTACGAGAGACCATCTGTGTTGGAGGTCGGTTCCGGGCTGGTCGCAGAGGATTGTACAGTGGATGGAATCGCAGACGAAGCGGCGGTGCTCTCGCCCTCAGTTGCCTTGCTTGACTTCTTCTTTGCGGCCTTCTCTGCCTTGCGCGCGGCTTTGCGCGCAGCCTTCGCGGCGGATCCATCGTCCTCAGCACCTTCCGCAGTGTCATCCTGGGCTTTTGCGGCCTTCTTTGTCTCCTTTGCCTCCCGTCGTGCTTTCTTTGCGGCCTTGCGCTCTTCCTTCGACAACTCCTCCTCGCCGTTCACCGTCTCATCCACCTCCATGGGAGTAGATGTGCCATTGGTAGTGGCCTCCGACTCTACGGCAGCGGACTTCTTCTCTCGCTTCTCACTCTTATCCTTCTTGCTCTTCTTCCTGGAAAGAGCGTCGCGCTTCACAGACGCCTCGTCGGCGATCACGTCGGCAATTGCGCGTTTCCCCATTTTGTACTGAGGATTGTAACAGAGAGCGTTGCACTCTTTTCGCCCGCGAGAAAGTCGCAACTTTTTTGCGGACCCTGGCCGCCGCACCGAAATCTTGGCGCCCCACTAAATTTCTTTTATCGTACTTTGCACTCAAGCTCGACAACTTCCCACCTCGCTGCAGCGAACATCACTAAGCATGGCGGTCGACAATTCCCTGGAAGCGCTGCTCAGCACGCTCACAACCTCAATCCAGTCTGCCACCGAGGCAATTCCCAAAGAAGACGTTCTCCCACCCAAAGAGGGCATCTCGTTACTCGACGTCAAAAACGAGCTACTCCTTTCCTACCTCCAAAACCTCGTCTTCCTTATCGTCCTCAAGCTTCGCGCACGAAAGGAGGAACAAGAACTAGGGCCACAAGATGAGGTGGTGCAGAAGCTCGTAGAGCTACGAGTTTACCTCGAGAAGGGCGTGCGCCCTCTTGAAAACCGCCTGAAGTACCAAATCGACCGCATCATCCGCGCCGCAGACGATGCCGGACGAAAAGCCACGCAAAATAGCAAGGCTGTAAAAGCGAAGCCGTCACAGGAAGACGCCGATTCGGACGCAGACACCAACGCCAGTGCCGCGGATTCCGACGGCTCCATCAGCGAGAGCGAGAAGGCGGAGATATCTGGACCCAGGCCTGGCCGCTTCGCGCGCGACAAGGCAAGCGCCACGAGCAAGGCTGCGGCGTCCAAGGACGGCATCTACCGACCTCCCAGGATTGCCCCCGTGTCTATGCCCACGACCGAAGGCCGCGAGGAGCGGCAAGCAAGACGACCTGGCAAATCCGCGACCCTCGATGAGTTCGTCGCGACGGAACTCTCTGCTGCCCCCATCGCACAGCCCAGCATTGGAAGTACCATTGTCGACGGCGGTCGCCGGTCAAAGTCTGACCGCGAAAGGAAAGAAGAGACTGAACGACGAGAATACGAAGAATCAAACTACGTGCGTCTTCCTTCAGCCTCGAAGAAGGAATTGGCCAAGCAGCGCAGCATGAACCGCGGCGGCGGATTCGGTGGAGAAGAGTGGCGGGGGCTCGGCGCTGGGTTGGAGCGCATTGAGCGCTTGACACAGAAGAAGGGTGGGCGCTCGGGTACGCTGGAGAAAAGCCGGAAGCGCCCGATTGAGGACGGGCCGAGGGGCAGTGGGTCGGCGATTGGAGATGCGTTCGAGAAGCGGAGGAAGGTGGTCTCCAGGTATAAGAAGTAGCGCGAAGCGTCCAGTAGTGCAATATGGAGATGGAGACTTAGATAGCACCAAGTCAAAGAGCCACGTGCGAATGTTGATAGAGATAATGAGTGCCAACATGCTACTCTTTGACAAATGACTTGTTGCATCAACAGCATGCACCCGTATCGAACAGCCTGAATGACCTCGTGGTCATATACGATAGCGAACTACTATGCCCAACACTCTTCAACGCAAGATTGCGTCGCAAGCTCATTCACAGTTGGTCAGGTCAATAGTAAGGTATGGCGGCTCTGGGACCTTCGATCATTCCATGCAATCATTATACATCACCGGCCCCAACTCAAAAGTTCGGCCCCATTCCCACACCCCCATTCCCTTTTGAACCCGTATTCTTCAAGTGCGCACCGCTGCCCTTGAATAAGCTCTGCCAGATGAACGCCTCGCTCAACAGCAGCTCGATGTCCTTGTTCGTCCATTGCCGTGTCGGCAGAGACTGCAAGAACATCATGATCTCCTGAAAGTCCATTTTGCGCAACTCGTCTGACCATTTGACGAGGAAGGCGGCGCACACGTAGAGATGGAAGGAGGAGAATCCGTCTTCTTCGGCCTATTGGTTCTTAGTAAGGTGGTTGCTGCAATGATCTGATATCGAAGAGACTTACGAGATACGTATCCCACATCCTGATCGTGTTCTCAACGGATATCTCGCGCATTAGAAGACAGTTCATCCACCTAAAGCTGAACTGTATGAATTCGACGCCCTCATTCTGCAGATGCTTCGCCAGCTTGTCATCGATCCTCGTGGTAAGGTCCCTGAGATCCGCGACCTGGCGCTGGATTCCTGGTTGTTGTGAAATATAATTATCTTGGATTCCGTCTAAAAGCTTTGTGAGACACCAGAACGAGTCAGCCTCAACAGCGTCTAGAACTTGTTTCGGCAACTGTCCAGGGTCCATGCCGAACTCAATATCTGGATCCGATATGTAGGCGCCGAGAAACACCTGCCAGAAGGGCGTGACCAAGTCGTTGATGCCTTGCACGTAGCCTGATGCAGGATGCCGTATCGCCCAGACGTACAATATTCTTTCCAGTGACCTTTGCGTGGCTTCGTAGCTATACAGCTCAAGGTGCGGATTCGTCCGCGGAACGTCAATACTAATTTGATGCCAAATAGCCTCATCTAAACCGCGCCCTCGCCCGCGGTTCGCTGAAGGAAGAGACGAGACTCCCGTAACACCAGCAGCAACAGCGCCTGCGCTGCCCGTGGTTCCTCGCTCAAAGGCCTGTCTAACGCCCTCCAAGTACTCCTTTCTTTTTCGTTCCAGTGTCGCAACCCTGCGCTCGGTGCTGGTAGGCAGATACCCGAGCAATACCTGCCATGCCATGGCGCGTACTTCAGATGGTATGCCCGACCATGCTGAGTCGCGAAGTTCCGATAAAGAGATGGTGCTGGCTTGTAGTATGCGCTTGAACTTATTAATCCGCGATATACGTGCGGAATGTTCCTCAGTCTCTTTCGCTGATGCTGTGGGATGAATCGAGGGGTGTGATATTAGATGCAACGAGTTCGCAGGATCGCGCAATATCTCTTGGTATTGTGGCCGCAGTATCTTCCCTTCCGTCTTCTTCGCTGCAGGGTAATTTGGTATGCCCCGTTCCTCCGCGATATCGCCACTGTCTATGGCGCGCCATGCAGTCGATCCAAGGCTATTCCTACTGGTCCCTCCGGGGTCCTTGCCCTTTGTTGGCTCCTTCCGTCGGCCTTTCCTTCGCATGCTTGCTATACTGGGCAGTCCAAACTCGTCTTCGTCATCCTCAAACAGGATGTCGCCTTCGTCTTCTTCGCCATCGTTCCAGTCGTTATGTGTTTGGTTAAGAAAAGAAGTATATGTCGCGCGCGGCGGGGGGGACCTGGCATTGCTGGATCGTGTGGCGGGGATGCTGGACTCGCGGCTATGGGTCGCAGAGGGCGGGGTTCGTGGGCGCGAGCTTGTTCCTGAAACAGATCTTGAACGGTCAGAACGAATCATGAACGCTATTTATGGGAGTAAACATACAATGTGTCAAACTTGAGGATGTCGGCATGCGAGTAGGAAGCGCCTATTATCTTCTTGTTGTCCGGTGACTTGGACGTATTCGATGCTGTCCGCCAGAAGGGAGAAGCTGATCTGGCAGGTAATCAACAATGGGTCCCAAGTACAGGGAACGGAGGCTGCACATACGAGGAGCGGTCTATTTACGGGCCAAGGACATGGTTAGCAGTCTAGATGCTGCAACGACAGCGGCGCAAAGGGGCCTACGAACCGACCTGGACCATTTCCTAGGGGAAGAATTAGCAATGGCATGGGCAGGCGCTCGGCGGTGTGTCAAGTACCTGCTGCTGCTTCTTGGAGGCCATGGCGGAGTCGGGCCAGCTGTTCACCCCGCGTTCGTGACGCTTGAGTTTCGAGGCTCAGATGAGGGCGCTTGCCAAGCCCGACTGCGGCCGTTTTGGGCAAGCGCGTCTCCTCACGCTGCCGTCAGTCTCTGCTGTCTCTCACCTGGCCAAAACAGCTCGGCGCTCCTGGTCTACACTACGCGACCCTCTTAAACCGGTCGCCCCGACTCTCTCTCTTCTTCCGACCTTTCTTCAATCCCACGTGCACGCTCAACTCGGCGCCCTGCATTGTCGAGTCACTAGTACTATCGTTTTTGCCCATCTCTAACTTGCAGCTGCCATCATGGCCGACGAGACTTTCGACGAGGACATCTTTGATGATCTGTGAGTGTTTTCCGCGGTACTATGGGTGCCTTTGCACTCACACAGGGACAGCTACGATGAACCCGAAGAGCCCGCAAAGCCTGCACCCGCGTCTGCAGCACCAACTGCACCAGCCGAGCCCCAGCCCGCCACGAAGAGCGAGCCTGCTGTCGAAGCCGCGTCTACCGCCTTCAATGGACAGGCCATCAAGGACGAGTATGCGCCCGCAGATGGCGACGCGCGAATGGCTGGCTCGCACGCCTCACATTTCCCTGGAGGCGCAGACCAAGGCGTCAAGAACGAGCCCGCTGTAGATGACAATTATGGCCCAATCAACGTCAAGGAAGATGGGTAAGTTTTACTGTTGATATCCTCTGGTAATTGTATCTTGTCATGCGCATCCCCTTGCCCAGACCCCATAGCACGCACTTTTTCGACCTAAAACGCTCTGGGGCAACATATAAGACGGCTTCGGCACCGATCATCAATCAAGAGCTAGGATCGCGACGAAGGAGCCTGCTTTGATCGACTCTCTTTGGCGAACATGGCATAGGCAGCCATAGGAGCTGGGGTGCATTGGAAAGATCGACGGCAACGCTTTGCTTCATCGATCTGGCTGGGTTGTTGGGGACATTCCAAGTACTCTCTGGCGAACACCAAGACCGCGCATGACGGATGCTGTCAGAAGGCCGAGGATCATCGAGAGCTCGATTGGTCGCCAAGTGGATGCAGGCTATGTAATCAGATTGGCAGGGCATCCAAGTACATACAGCCAGCAGTGCATTTCCGGTCATGGAAAAAGCTAGCCTAGAGTAGCCGCTCTACATGTCAGATCACCGAACAGCATCCGCGCGCGCGAGAGACATCGCAGCATGCCTTCAGCAGGCGGCGCCTTTTGTCGATAAATACCTAGGTACAAGATAGCGTACCAGCTACGAGCTGAGGGTAGTCCAAGGCTGTCGGGCGCTTAGTCCGCTCTCGCCTCCATAGCAAAACACAGACGCTTCAACCGAACATTTCTGTGCATTTGCGGAGCTGCTTGTCCATCTGCTGGAATCGACTCTGCACCGGGCCATGCCTCGACCCGCTTGCTTGGTGGCGGTACGGCTCTGGTGAAGGCCGACCGTGATCCTGGTCAGCGGTGAACTCACACCTTGTTCGACATTACCTGCTCGCTTGCCCTCAGTCTCGGACGACATACGACGTACCCATCGATACGAGAAACCTACACAAGATATTGAAAGGCCCACGTGATTGCCTGGCTTTCTGTTCTTGAAGCACTGTCAAAAGAAGAGAGTTGTTAGCATTCTGTCTACAAGGAGGAAGGTCAAGCATCTGGACAACGGAGACCTGTGCGATTGTCCTGCGTCATTTGGAAAACTTGCCGCACTTCACCCCCAATCCTCTAAATACCGGCCTCATGGAGACCTCTTCCCGCTGTTTAGAGACTTCGGCTACTACGATTATACCGACAACCATCGGCAACAACGCAAATATACACAGACACCACTACCATTATTTGGTTTCGAGCTCAGATGGACCCATGGTACCCAAGAGACCCAAGGCCACGACTATGCGCATGCGAGATACACGTCCTTCTAATCAATGCATTGGAAGCTTTGAGTTGTACTAACTATTGTGCACAGCAAGATGTTCATCGGCGGCTTGAATTGGGAGACGACCGAGCGTAAGTCATATAAAGAATCTATCCGCGGCAACTTCGTGACCTTTATGCCGTCCACGATCGTAGACTGACCAGTTATGTAGAGTCATTGAAGGACTACTTCACTCAATTTGGCGAGGTCAGTGAATGCACTGTTATGCGAGATAGCGCGACAGGACGGTCTCGAGGCTTCGGGTTCTTGACATTCAAAGACCCCAAATGTGTCAACACCGTCATGGTCAAGGAGCATTACCTGGATGGCAAGATTGTAAGCTTCTTGCACACACTATGCCCTAGCTCTTGTTAACACTCGCAGATTGACCCTAAGCGGGCTATTCCCCGTGAAGAGCAGGAGCGTACTAGCAAGATCTTCGTGGGTGGAGTTAGTCAAGAAGCGACAGAAGAGGATTTCAAGAATTTCTTCAAACAATTCGGCCGTGTTGTAGATGCTACTCTCATGATGGACAAAGATACCGGCAGACCGCGTGGCTTCGGCTTCGTTACCTTCGACGGTGACGCTGCTGTCGACGCGTGTCTCCAGGGTCCTCTCCAGATCCTCGGCAAGCCAATCGAAGTTAAGCGCGCTCAGCCCCGAGGAAACATGCGAGAAGAAGAAGACAACAAGAAGTTCGGTCGCGGTGGCAAATTCGGGGGCCGGAATGACCAGGCCAACAATGGCGGTGGACAGGGAGACTTCAACAACCAGAACAACATGGGTGCCAACGGCCAGAACGCGGGTATGACTCCGGCGATGATGGCCCAATACTGGCAGCGGATGCAGTTGTACTTCCGCCAAATGCAGCAGAATCTCGCGGCGCAAGGCGGCGGTATGCCTAACCCAATGGGCGGTATGCCTGGTATGAACCCTCAGATGATGGGTATGATGGCCAACGGCGGCGGCCCCATGGGCGGCATGAACCCGCAAATGATGCAACAGATGGGTATGATGGGTGGAAACATGTCCCCAGGTCAGAACATGGGCAACCAGCCCACAAACTTCGGCAACAACCAAGCCATGATGGGCGGTGGTGGTGGCGCTGGCAGCCCTGGCAGTGGTGGTGATCAGCGACAAGGCGGTCCGGGTTACACCGCTCAAGAGCAGCTTATGTTCGAGCAGCAGAAGTACCAGCAGCAAGAAGCTAGGCGCATGCAGCAACAGGCTGGCTTCGGTGGACAAGGTGGGCCCACAAGCTGGGAGGGCATGTACGACGACATTCCCCAGCCCGGCGTGCCCTCTGGGCCGGGCGGTCAGCGCATGCAGGGAGGAAAGTTTAACAATCGCTCCCGTCAAGGGTCCTCGCAGCCCCCATCTGGTCCCAGCAATGCACCGGCGAACGCGCCTACCGGACCCAAGAACGCGGGCAAACCAGGTGCCAACTACCGAGGCGGAGGTAGAAACGCCAACTATCGTCACAATCCTTACGGAGGAGGTCGCGGTTAGCCACCGTCTAGACCCAGCACTGCTGGAAAAGGTAGCCTGGGTCAACTTGAGGGGAGTGCATTAGCACCCGCAAATGCGCCCCTTGGCCCGAAGAACAAAGTTTCGGCACATGTGTCTACTGGTCCGTGGAAAAAAATCCGATGCACAAGAAAAGTCTTAGATCGAACAGAGCTCCAGCGCATGTCCTTACTAGACCGGACAAAGCTCCAACGAAAGCGTCTAGTGCACCACAACTTCTTTCTGCAATGAATTCACAAGCCGGACTGGACTTAGAACGATCAAAGTGGAGGGCGCACTGTTATAGTCATCCATCACCTTGGACTTGACGACAAAATGGATTCTGACTGTACACGAACTGTCACGGCACATTGTGACTGCACTCAATTTCGCAGAGAAACATTGTGATCCATAACGGTACATTCAACTGCTTGTTCTGCCTATACTGTACGGCGTTTTTGGGTGGTGATCTGAAAACTTGTTCACGTTTTCGAACAATGGGTGTCACGTCACAGAGTAATAGGACTTTTGTACAGTAGTGTTTCAATTCGAATTGATAAACTGTAAACTTATCGCTCTGGTTGTTTCAAACTGTGAAGGCTGCGAGATTATGAATGGCTAAGACTAATTCACATCATATGACTGGGTAGGCATGTACAGCTCAGACTTTTGACTACATGCAGATGTAAAGTCAGTGCGACTTAGGTCAGGCTGCGGTATGTCTCAGCTATGTGAGAAACAAGTCTTCCTAGCTCAGTGGTTCATGACTGAATTCGCACTGACTTTTTTACCCACAGCGTTTGCACAACTTTTCAAATAAAATTCCAGATTCTGGTGTCCTCAAGTTTTGAAATGTCGGATGTCTACCGTTGGGATTCACGTACAAGGTGGGCCAGGCTGTTAGGGCATATGTGACTAGTCGAGGCTCTATCTGGCTTGTTGTGCGATGTAATAAAGCCTAGCTCTATTTTGCTAACGTGATCAGCATCCTATTGGATTTAAAAGGCGATGGCGTACATCTTATACGGTGAATACCCACGGTACGTATAACATGGGTGAAGTTCAACGTTCCATGCAGAGCGCTGAGTCATCGTGATCACGTGGTCAGGGTCCACGGGTGCTTGGCGCTGACCGAGCCTGCCCGTTCTTATGCCCGACGTCGCTTTGTCTCCCTCTCCTTGTCTCCTCAACACCTTCTCCACCACCCCCGGAGACACTTCAACGCCACCACACCCTCGCATCTCCACGAATCAGCTCAAGACCGCTGCATCAGCTGGGATACTGTTGCTGAACATTTGGACTGGTTTGCAGCCCGTAACACAACATCTGGGGAAGTCGCGGCTCGCCACCTGTGTACGGGAGGTAAAAACACCTCGCGCTTCTCCAGCGCCGTTGTCCTTACACCTTTGCACCTGCCCTTAAATAGCAATAAAGTTGTTGCGCACCTCCTACACTCACCTTGCGTTCTTCTGCTCTACAGTTCAGCTTGTCGACAGCTGTCCGGCGATCCGAGTGAGATCCTCGGCAACGAGTCTAACTCCACCCTCACAAGCCTATCGACAGGTAGCGCCCATAATGTCTTCCTCCGTCTTCTACAAGTTCAAGAATCAGAAGGAACCTGAGCGCATCACGTTCCATGGCACCGGCATCTCCGTCTTCGAGCTGAAGCGTGAGATCATCACCGCGACCGGCCTAGGCGATGGCTCCGACTTCGACCTTCACCTTTACCCTGAAGACGACCCAACGTCCGAATACAATGACGACACAACCGTTATTCAGCGCACGAACACCGTTATTGTAGCCCGTCGGCCGGCTGCCCGCGGTCACGGCAAGGCCGCCCGTTACGTTAGCGGAAAAGCCCCGGTTCGCGCTCTTCCGAAACCCGCTGCTAAGTCTGCCACACCCGCAACAGGCGCCGCCGCAGTGCTCGACGCCGAGGCTGCCTTCCTTGCCGAATCAGAGCAGGCTTGGGAACAACAGAAAGAAGCGCTCTCTCAAGTCAAGTCGACTCACCACAAAAAAAAACCTATCAATGTGCCCAATCACGACCCACCCGCAGGCTACGTCTGCTACCGATGCCACCAAAAGGGCCACTGGATACAACTGTGCCCTACGAACGACGATCCCGATTTCAAGCCAGTGGCTCGTCCGAAGCGCACCACTGGTATTCCCAGATCTTTCCTCAAGACGGTGGAGAAGCCTGTGGATGAGGAGGATGCCCGTGGCGTCATGCTGAACGCCGAGGGAGAGTACGTTCAGGTCATGACCGATACCAAGACATGGGAGAAGTTTCAAGAGAAGGCAAATGCTGCGAAGGCCCACGCGGCTGAGGCCGAGGCCGTCAACAAGGAGGCACAGAAGCGTGGTTTTGCGTGCCCGATTGACAAGCGCATGTTCGTGGACCCCGTGAAGACCCCTTGCTGCAGCAAAACCTACTGTCACGAGTGCATTGAGAACGCCTTGGCGGATGAGGATCTGGTTTGTCCTGGTTGTGGAACGGAGAATGTCTTGATTGATGAACTTGCTGCGGATGAGGAAATGGTGCAGAAGGTTAAGGCGTACATGGCTGAAAAGGCCAAGGAGAAGGCGGACAAGGAACAGCAAGCAAACGAGGAAGCTCAGGCAGCTGCCAAACCTTCAACCCCTAACAATGAAGATACCAATTCTGTGCCTCCTGCTGATGAGACGACAAAGGCTGGTGAGAACAGTGGAGATGGTTCAAAATCACCTAAGCCAGATGGTAGCAGTGTTCCTGAGTCAGGTTCAAATCTCAAGTCGCCTCACACTGTTGCAGGAAAACCTACATCTTCAGACACCCCAATTGCTAGCGGAAATGGCTCTGATAGTGACACATCGGGTACATCCAAGAAGCGCAAGGATCCGCCTACGGAGATCAAACCTCCCACAGCTCCGAAGGCGATGCGCCAGCAGAAGGAACAGCAGCAACGCCAAGCCCAGGACACCACTGAATCGTTAATTCAGAACTTTCAAGCCGACATGGAAGCGATGTTCAAGGGCAACCCAAACATGCCCGTTTCTATGCCTATGCCAGCAAATCCCATGATGGCCATGGCCAATGCCCCTAACATGAACGGCATGGGCATGAATGGTGGTATGAACGGCTTTCCAATGAACGGCAATTGGAACAACAGCTACAACCAGGGCTTCCCGAACAACATGGGGTACGGTGGCAACATGAACCAGGGCTGGAACGGCTACAACAATAATATGGGCTTTGGGAACATGCCTAATCAGATGAACGGTATGAATAGCTACGGTGGTGGCTGGAATCAGCATCAGGGCTACAACAACAACAGCAACAACATGGCTGGGTGGCAGGGTCAGCAAGTAGGGGGTGGCTTCCCTAACCAGCAACGCACCACGTTCAGCGAGCAGCCGAATCAACAGGATGCATACGAGCGCAAACCGTTGAACCCACACCGAAGCCAGAATAAGCACCGCAAAGCGCGTGCTCCTGACTTCCATGTTTTGTGATTGATCAACACCTACCAAGGTCCACATCCCTTTCTTTGCACCCAAGATACCCATACGAGCTAGCTTGTATATCGACCGATATTTTCGACTCCCGACCTATTTTCCTTGTCATCGTCTCAACACTTCCCCTGTATTATACGTCAATGGTGCACGCGCATGGATCTTTGCCTACACAGGTCCCTCTTCTCATCACGAAGATTTCCTTTTTGCGCGACGATGGCGTATGGCGTTCAGCAACATCCGGCTCTACGCAAGCCTCTCGTCTTCCCTACTCGACTGCGTGGCTTCTGTGGGCATTTTCAGTGGCAAGTGGGAGCTTTTGGTCACAAAGCCGTCCGGCAATGGAGAGGTGGTCTGCACGTTACTGCTTTGTGCCGACGTTTGGAATGCTTTGTAATTTTTGTCTTGCATTGGCTGGCTGGGCGTTGATCGTGGCTGCCGATAGGTAGCTTTTGTTATCGCGCGAATCCGCACTGTACATGACCTGGCGGTTCGCCGAGTTTGGATGTCAATGATGATGGCAATGTACCCAGCAGCTTGTTACAGCTTGTTTCCGTGTTACGGCCGCTTAGGCTTTAGTCTAAGAATAAAAAGAATATGCATATCAAAATGCTTCCTTCTGCGCTATGTTGATGTGAAGGAGCTGAGGTCTCTCTTGTGTAATAACACGCCAATCATGCCTGAGTGATCATATTTTATGCATCATCTCGTTCAGCTTACGGATTGTTGACGTTCCTAGAATCGCCACTAGATGGTCAGGTGCCCTGGGTGCGATGCCTGGATTAGGCACAGGTAAATGCGGGGTCTGGGCCAAACCGCGTAGCTCTTACTCAACCGATAACAGAACCTTGTGATAATACGACAATTTGCTAGAATTCGTGGCATCATGAGCGCCCAAGACGCACTATCTCAACAGGCCGTGCAGAATTCCATTTAATTTTGCACCAACGCTGCGTGTACCTCCGCATTCACAGCTCTCATTTCCTACCATCGTTTTACATCCTACCTCTATGGCGTCAGACGCCGCTCATCTACCTCCGCTAGTGCCCAAGACGTCCAAAGGCCCCAACGTCCCACGCGAGGATACTGCAAGGCGAAAGTCCGCCTCCAAAAGTCGCAATGGCATGTTCGTGTTCGTTTCTCAGCTGCGATCTTTTGAGATTGTGGGCCGCAAAACCAGCGCCAGGCCATTAGTTTCCGCAGGCGAGCCCTGCATGCTGTACCCTATAGTGTATAAGCTGCACTGCTTCTCTCCATACTGCAAGAACTATTTGGCCAGACGTTCACCATGACAAAGGGCCAACACTAACATCTTGCAGGATGCGTCACATGTAAAGCACGGAGAGTGAAGTGCGATGAGACAAAACCTGCATGTAATCAATGCACTCGCAGGCGTGTAACTTGCGGAGGATATAAGAAAGACATACGCTTCCGACCGGTGGAGAGAGCTCCGGCTCCTACCGCAATACCTCCGCCTACCCCAGCCTCCACGGAAGAAAGAGAAGCACCCGTAGTAGAAAGCACTATTCACTTTGGTGAGGATCGATCTGGTGACGATGATCCTACGCGTGCTTCGGGAAACCCCGGAACGAATTTCTTTTGGCCTTGGCTAGAAGAAGATGTATCCAATATCTCCTTGCCCGAGCTTGACTTGAGTACGTTGCCATGGATGGATTTCTCGCATTTGGACTTTCCCGCTGCTACTGACAGTAATCAAACACTGGATCAAATCATTGAAGAGGCGAACATAGACAATAAGCATGTCATAGAAGGGTCACTCGGAAGCACGGACAACGTTAATCCAGATTCTTTTCTGCATTCGCCGGATTCGCCTTCATTAGAAGTCCCCAATTTTCCTTTCTTCCAGAACATTGAGCTTGAAGCGGACGACAAAGACGAGGTGGAATCTCTTTTCCACCAGGAAACCGTTACTGTACTCTCGATATGGGAAGACAGAGACAGAAATCCTTGGCGCACTATGATATGGCCCATGGCACAAGAGTCAAAAGCGCTTTATCACGCTATAGCTGCAATGACATTCCTGATGCAGAGTAAGTATACGCCTCATGCACGCGAGAAGGGTCTTATACATGCGCGCAAAAGCACACAGCAACTTGCAGCAGACTTGAGCAGTGGAGAGATTCAGATAGACACCGCACTTGCTGCAACCATAGCGCTGGGTTTCGCTGAAGCATGGGATTTCCAAAAGTCATCGACAGGGCGAATGCATATTCAAGGCGCAAGGATTCTCCTGCAACAGTCTATCTCACAGCACCAACTATCGCAGCCATCCGATGATGCAGTCTCAGCTCGCCTCAGATTTCTAGGAAACACCTGGATCTATATGGACGTATTAGCCCGTCTGACCTCTGATTGTGGACCAAGCTTAGACTCAGATCTCTTGCACTTTTTCACTGACGCAGGTCCACTCGCAATTCGAGAAGAGCTTGATCCGCTCATGGGTTATGCAGCTTCGCTGTTTCCAATCATTGGCCGGGTTGCAGATCTGATAGCTACCATTCGAACACGCAACCAGCGGCGCAATTCACCCATCATTATTTCGAAAGGCATAGAGCTCAGGCACGTGATCCAAGACTGGTCTCCAGCCATCGATCTAGAAGAGGTGGAGAAGCCTACATCCAACATGGTTGAAGCCATTCAGACAGCCGAGGCGTACAGGTGGGCCACATTACTTCTACTCCAAGAGGCCGTACCTGAGCTACCCAGCTTGGTCGCGTACAAAGAGCTGGGTCAGAAGACACTTGTCTATCTCGCTACCATACCCGTCAGTTCTGCAACCATCAACGTGCATACATATCCTCTGATGGTCGCGGCCACCGAGGCCGTCGAAGAAGAAGATCGAGAGTTTGTCCGTGATCGCTGGAAAATTATGCGCAAACGCATGGTCAACGGTATCATCGACCGCTGCGAAGACGTCATGGAGGAGGTTTGGCGCAGGAGGGATGCTCATTTCTCTGCATGGCTAGCCCGTAACAGCCCAGACCCTTCCACCTTCTCACCTTCCAATGCTGGAGGGATTGCTGGGCTCATGGACGGTTCAAATAAGACATCACCAGGAACGGGGAGAGAGCAAGCAAAGTCTCCTACAAGAAGGTCGACTGCGCACTCTGACTTCCCCATATCGATTGCGTTCAAGAAAGGAGTCGACCCGATTACTCGGAGTGGGAACGTCGACTATACTGTGAAGGGGAATTTGCACTGGATTGAGATTATGAAGGAGCGGGGTTGGGAAGGTACGTTGCATTTCTCTGCATGCCTAATACATGCGCTGATCCTTCGCAGTCTTGCTTGGATGATCGACACAGTGAGCCATCGGCTCATAGTCAGTAGCGTCGGGACGTTCGGTACAATCAATGGAATGAGGACTCCATACGACATGAATTCAGACATGTTTGTATCATATTAAGCGTTATCTGAGTGTAAACATATTACGCTGCGTTTGACAAGTGCTGAGGTCATATTCAAGCATAGCAAATCATGCATTACCCCAAGCTCACAAGAACCACGCGACTGCAGCCCCCAAACCAGCCAACGCTGGCGCCAATGTCTTCATCGGCGCAGCACCCTCGCTTCCAGTTCCGCCCCCACCAGTGCCTGTAGGCGCCAGGCTTCCCGTGCTGGCCGCTCCGCCCGTGGTCGCTTTCGGCAGCTTCTCCTCGCCGGCCGTGATAATGAATTGGTATGCATTGAAATCACTCCTAGCTTGCGGATACGTCTCCACTAATGCGCTGCTAGGGACTGAGATGTTCCGTATGTCAGTCTCGGTACCGCACCACTCCGGATTAGGCCGCGAAGAAAAACCTGGAAAAGTCCTCACGATGGTCTCGACACCCACGGAATCGGTGTCGCTGAACGAATACAGTTGCGTATACTTCCTCTCCTCGGAAGGTATGCCGATGTTGGTCCGGTTCGCCAATCGACAGCTAGGCCGCACAAGGTCAGGCCCGCGGGTGACGGTGCACACTGCCGATGAGGCGGGGATGTCGCATCTGAGACTGTACGCGTAACCCCCATCCGATATCGACGGACCGTACATCAGTGCTGAGGTCGAATATTCGAACATTGTGGAACCCATCGTCCAGTTGCCCTGCTTTATTCCGAATTCGCTGTAGTCCGGGTCATTGTCCAGGTCCACGGAGAGCGTTACGAGGTCGCTGGATGCGTTGATGACGGAGGCGACGAAGCGGAGCCTGTTTGTACCATAGCTGACGTTGGGGAGGAAGTAAGAGGTCGTGATGTTTGCGGATGCGGTTGCCGCGAGGAGGAAGAGGACGACCGTGGCACGCATCGCGATAGTGCTTTCTGCGCGCGGTTTTTCAATTACCGTTAAGTATGGGGGCAAACGAAAGGACTATGTCGCAATGTACCGGCTAGATCACATTCTTATATCATCCCATGGGAACTCGGGTGCAGTCAATGCCATTCCGCTGGTGCCTAAGCCAGATCCTGGGGTTGGAGGTTAGCCTATGCAGCACACACGGCCTAGCATGGCACATGCCTTGTTCGCTCGAATCCTACCTGCTGGACAACATTGGTGGTTAAATCTGTTTAACCTAGTGTCCATGTGACTAGCGTGGCTGTGCAGGGCTGCGCAGGCCAAACATCTGCGTAAACGCTGTGTGATTAGGTCGTTGAAATCGTGTTAAGGATAAACGACTTGGCGCAGGATTGCACCAAGATTTTTGAGGGATATAGGAGACCAGAGTTGGCACAGCCACCCGGCAAGTAATTTACAACTCGATGGTTTTGAAGCGAGTTCGGTTCGGGAAACTACTGCTGTAGCATCATGCCATGGAATGGAAGCAGATCCGGTCATCTGATCCGGTAGGCATTGAACAACATGGCCACAATGCAGGGAAGTTCTTGATCGGGGAAGTTCTCAATCGAGGGCCCAAGGCTCAGTTACATACCCCAGAGTGTAGGGTCTTGTTTGCGATGAAAGCTTATGCTGTCTATAATAGCGACGCTTACGGTAAGTATGGTAGCGACCTTAAAGTTCGCTTTCCTGAGCGCATGAATGCTAGTTGCGCTGATGGTGGTTGTGTAGCTTAGCCCAAGAGCAGGGAAAATTGTGTTGCGTAGTATAAGAGGGGCCAAAGCATCCTCTGCAGTGGTTGCGGAAAGATTTAACTCTCACCTACATTCATCTTGATTGTTGACCCAATTAATAAGGCGGGGAACAGGAATCTTAACGCGCACCTACTCCCGTAATAACTTGCCATTTAGCAAATTCATAAGAATTCAATTAATAATTCAGCGTTAACGTTCACTGTGTGTTCGACTACTGAAGCCCAGCCTTGACTGTCGGCCACTGTCTTGTAAGACGCAGCTCTTGGGTCAGAAGCAGCCATTGTCCCGCTCAATGCTGCTATTCTACGTTTCAGCCCTACACTTGTAGATAAATACTCTGGTACCGCGTGAAAATTGCGCGATACCTAAGGGGGACTGTTATTATGAGTCTCATTGCGCTTTCTAGCTCTACGAAATCATCACAATTCCACCCTGCACGCGTTCTCGTCATTTACCTTATAACGTACTTCGCGCCATGCTTTTGAACTCCAATTCGCGCTGCACGGCATGGCTTGTCACCTGAGGGCGCCTCACTTATTGGACGGTAGTTTCCCGTCTTTTGGCTGTCATCGATGCTACAAGACGTTGTGAAAAGCCAATCAATTTCGATATCAGACATCTAGGTCTCACATGTGAACCGGTCAGTGTGGTTAGCACGATAACATGCCCGGCTGGACTGGCAAGGCTAAGAGGCCCGACTGTGCCAAGGAGACAACTGATAGCTGGAACCTACGCGTATCTGCAGCACGACACACAAGTCGATTCATTCCATGATCGCACAATACAATCCGTGGACGAGTGCTGTCAGTAATTTTGACGCATCAGAATTCAAGGAAGCGTTTTTATTGTGCTACAGACCGTCTCTGCTCGTGAGTATGGGTAGTACGCATTCCTCTCCCGTAATCACTCAAGCTCGATCCTTGTGCTACACTCGCTAGTCCTTTCATGCAGAACTCCGGACGCGACTCCTCAGGCTCAGCGAGGCTAGCAAGCTCAGCCGTACCAGCGATTTGTACTGAGACGATATCTTACCTGAATATGCAGTGCTCTCGCATCCTTGGGGCCAGAATGAAGAAGAAGTAAGTTTTGAAGTTTGCCAAACGCAGATCTGGATACACGAATATATGTTACTGCGGTCAGCAAGCAAAGAGAGACGGTCTGGAGTACTTCTGGGTTGATACGTGCTGCATCGGTAAGGGCAATAGCGCTGAGCTCCACGAGGCTATCAACTCGATGTCTCGTTGGTATCGTAATGCAGCTAGATGCTATGCTTATCTCGCAGACGTCACATTTGCCAAGCACATATCATCAGCAGGCCTTCTCTGAGAGGAAGCCTTTATCAGAAGTCAGTGGTCTACTCGCAGATGGACACTTCAGGAGCTGGTCGCGCCAGATAGTGTCGAGATTTTCGCACGAGACTGGACACGCCTCGGCAACACGACTACGTTAGGAACCGTTATTTCTAGCGTCACGGGCATTTCGATGTCATACGCGGTCGCCCGATGGTCGACTGTACTATCGAAGGACGGTCGAGTTGGTAATTATCACGCCAGACGAAACGCAAAGAAGACCATATTTACTCTTTATTAGGTATCTTTGTGGTAGTCATAGCATTCGTGTACGACGAAGAAAAACGCATGGCTTTGGAAAGATTTAGGAACACATTTTGAGATACTGTGAGCGGGCAATCACATGAAAGATCAAGTCTTGTAGTAAACCGTCAAACCGAGCACTTACTCAACCATAGCTCCCCCATCCACTCTAGTCGGCTTTCAAGCGGCTGCACATGACCTTGTGCTGCCGCATGTAAATCAATCTTCGGATTGTATCCTCAGAAAGCTGACTGAACCGCTAGGAGATTCAGAGTGTCAGCGCGCGTTTAGCAAATTCAATCATAAGGCGAAGCAACATTCTTGGCATTGAGAAGCTGGCGACGCCAGCAGCCAAGACTAATTTGCTTTTCAAGAAGCAGGAACCGGTCAGGGTTCCCTCGTTTCCAGTAATTGATGCACATCCCGCTGATAGGATGCAGCGTTCTACATTATCAGTTTGGGCGCTCGCCAAGTTGGTGGAGTTCTTGAAGAGATATTTCCCGCTGATGGGCTACTTCGAGACGCGATTTAGTTTCTGCTCCTGGGTATACACAGCCAAACAAAATGGGCCACAAGTTATTATCTGCTTCTCAATGTTACCAGTGGAGACGCGTCGCGACGTTGCTACGGTTACGCAGGACTTCTTCATCGCCACGACCTCACTTAAATAGGTCCATGTCAAATTGAGATTGACGGTACGTGCTGGGAGCAATTACTGGGGACTTGTGGCTGGGATCAATTCCCATCAATCTTTGAGGTTTCAGTTCCGTCAGAATTCGCATACGTTGGTTAGTTAGCTGCGAAGTGTGATAGATCACCACACAGGTATAGGTGATGGCGCAGAAATTAGTCTCGGCTTCGAGCAAGACTCTGATGTGCTAATCAGAGATAGCAACGCTGTCGCGATAAGCCCGACTGTCAATATTCACACGGAACCGACCGGTAGTCGCTGACCCTTGATACTGGCTCTGCAACAGGGAGGCGTTCGGGTGGTTTCAGATGCCAACTTATTCAAATGGTATGTGGGGCCAAGATACTAAGGACGAATCTGGACAACCGATGGGTGTTTTACTGGCCCGCAAGTCATGAACAAGTTGACTTTGGAAAACTTCGCCGTCATCTGAAAGCTTTAGTTGCTAATCGTGGCACATCTTACCCTGGGCGGCTGCTCGGTCGCTGTAGACATCAATAAACAAGTACTAAAGGTGATTCTACTCGATCTACCCACGAGAGGCCGTATCTTTGGATTGATGGCAGCTTGTAGATCCAAAGGCAAGCCTGTATCATGGTCAGTGCGCCAGAAATGGGCCAAACAAATCGTTTAGGGACTCAATGCTTTCCATGCACAAGGCCACGCGACTGCGGAGATTTCAACATACAACTGGTTCGTGAACGTCGACGAGAAGTATGAAGTGGTTATGATGGCCGAAGGGTCTTGCAAGCATCCCATAATGCATAGTATGAGTGGTCTGCTGCCGCCAGGATGCCGTACAGAAGCTTTCAAGCAGGGAGATGGTCAGGTGGACGCGAAATTCAATATTTGCCAACTCGACTCTCTACTCTGGCACCTCTACCGCGACGAAGGGCAGCAACCAGGTCGCACGTCTTGTTATCGTGCAGATCGTTCCAAGCTCGATCCCCGATGCGAGTAACATACGCATCCGATCGCATTCCCCAAAGCTGCGGCTGATGTACCGGGCTACCTTGACCACATCATGAATCTACGCCGTCAAGAATATCCAATTGACAGACCAACCGCTTGGACACTGATTGACATATTCCCTACGATAAATAGATCGATGCTCATGTAGAGTGCCTCAGCTACGATGAACGTTTTGGATGAAGAGAAGAAATCCAACATTCCACAGTCGGTCTTGATGACATTTGAGATATGTACGGCTTGGTCGTTATCTGCAGTCGTTGTTCACATCGAAGTCTCGACGTCTAATACAAATGCGAGGCCTGCGATCACGGTAATTTCGATTTGTGTCATGGATGGTTTGTTGAAGGAGAGCATTGCTGGGATACAACTCATTTGCTCCGAAGAAATTTCACGGAGGCGATGAGAAACAAGGACGTTGGTATAATGACCAGCTGCTTCTCTAGTGTTGAGAGTGATGGAACACGCGATAAAATTGTGATCTGGGGCACTACAGAATGTGTTTTGTTCTCTTCAAGTGTAGTCTCCTGTCACACGAAAGGCGCCAGCTATGGATATACAACATCACAACCTTTAGCTCATATCCCATGAATTTACCTACAATAGTGGGCTGTCCTGAATTATTTTCCTCATCGGCCGGTCATATAGATAGGACTTCTCAAGATTAACCCTACTGGGAGCATCTACTCTGAATTATGAAACCATAAATTTACAAATGTATAACAGAGTAAGTCAAGACAGGAGGAGATGCGTGCTTCTAGTTCCATTTTGATGTGAGCTAATGCATCTTCTACGTTCAGTTACATAGCTTTCCTGTCGCCATACACCAGTTTATGATGGCATCCTCGAACGTGAACGTCACATAAGACTACGCACCGACATCTTTGACCCTTCTTAATTATCTACACAATGACTCGAACTGAGATCGTTCGCAGGGTTTGACTCAAGACAACGGACCTTTGGTGCTTATATAACTTGTTATAAGTTTACTCAATCTTATGTTTTTGAATTATGTCTCCGTGGGGAGCGTTGGCGTTGGCTGGGATATTGATATCTGTTGATGCCAGGGGAGTTCGATGGCCTGTTGTACAATTTTGAGATAACCTGCTAGGTGTAACTTCAAAGGGGAGTTAAGAAGACGATGCGATATTGTGTAAAGGCACGTTGCAGTTTCGTTATTATTATCTCTAAAGAGTGTGCATAATTTACTGGGGAAAAACAAAATCCTATCCAACACCTAAGCTATGCAAAATCAAAGAGTCTATCAAGAACCGGCGCTATGCACTATCTTTTCTAAGCCCAACTGGATGTTCATCAGCTTACGAGTAGTAGCTGCTAGGGGTGGCTGAGGGAGTACCGGCCGAGTACCCAGCAGCGGTAGGCGCGCCCGTGTAGCCGCACTTCTTCAAGCAGATGTCGACGCTCTGGGCGATGTTTACGGGGAGGTACTTGCGGAACTCCTGGATGTTCTGTCCGTTGATCTCCTTGGGGAAGCCGAGCGTAGCATTGACGACATCCGCGTTAAGGCCAAGGAAAGCCTGGGCCATTTGCAACGTCCCGGCATCCTCGTTGTCAAGAGTGGCAACAAATTTGGCAGGGTTGCACTGGTTGTTGATCTGGTAATGGATGGCGCCCTGAGGGAAGACAGTCCCCTGGAACTTGGAGAGCGTGCCGGCGACTTCGGCGTTCTTGCCTGCTGCGACAAGGCCGTTCTCGAGGATGTAGCCGAAGTCGATCTCGCCCTCGACTACTGTAAGAAACTCCGTAGCGCGGGGGTGCACATGGGGAGTGTTGATGCCACATGCGTCAAGGAAGCCGAGTGTGGTCGAGATCCCCAGACCAGTAAGGATAGGAAAGGTCTCAATGTTCTATTTCAGTGCGTTAGCATCAAGCGTAATGGAATAAAAAGAGGGATTACTAACGGCAGCCTTGGTAGCTCCGCCTAGGGCACCCTTGGCTGGGGTTGCGTTGTTGAAGTCAAAGACGATCATGTTCCTGAGGGCATCGCCAGAGAGCAGCTCCTGTCCCTTCATAGTAAGGAGACGCTGGAACCGCTTGATAGCCGAAGGGGCAGTGAAGAGGTCACGAAACAAAGCAGCCTGGGCCTCGGGATCCGGGCTAGGGGCAGCAATCGCAGGAGTAGAAACAGCGCTGCTGGGAGTTGCCGTGGTCGCAAGAGTCGTGGCGGCTTGAGGACGGGCCTGGGCGGCGGAGACAGCGATAGCTGCAACGAGAGTCTTGGTGACGGTGACCATTTTCATTATGATGATTAGATTGTTGAAGTAGCGAAAGAGCTGGACAATAAGGAAATAAGGAGACAGGAAAAGGACAACAAGAGATGAGAAAGTATGGTTTTCTGCGTTGCAGGCAAGGAGATACTGAGATGAGGATCAAACGAAGCCGCCCACCAAGATACTTTATACATACATCGTCGGCTACAACATCGCAGGTGCTGACCGTCGACCTCCATCAGCAGCCCCGGATGTGTTTCGACCCGTAGGATGCTGAGAGGGCTGAGCCACGACAGCTGCCATCTGCCGTAGTGTCCACCCTAAGAATAAGGTTGTTTCTGAGCAAACAGAAGCTTATTCTTTGTGCGCAGCTGCTAAAGATACGATTGGGCGCGCGTTTTGAAACGAGATGTGTTCACCGTCAGCGAGGTGGTCGGCACGCCACCGAGCCGTGGCGCTAAGTGAGGCAGGCGCAGTTGACGTGATGACTGACGGGCGTTAAACAGGGAACTGGACATGCGCACGGAGCTCAGGAGATCTGTGTAGCGTGAGCGTACAAGGACGTGCTGGTCTGCTTGCGAATCACGATATTCTAGTATCCATATGGTTGAAGTTTGGATATTGTGCCGTGACCTTACGTTGCCGCCGATGTCTTCGGATGTGGAATTTCCGAGCTATATTGAGTGAACAAAGGCAAAGCCCGAAAACCAAACAGATTCAGTGACAAACATAGGTACACGCGCGCTGCATAGTGAAGGTTCTGTGATCGAAGCTGTGTGTCTGTATGTGTTGGTCGCAGCAGCAAGGGCTGGCCTAGCCTAGCCCCCCAGGTTTGGGCATCTTGGCGGGAAGGAGGCTGGTATTGGGCCTCCTGGCTGGGTAAGCAACGCCCACAAATAGGCCAAGTTTCAAAACACACAACATTTCGCCGAGGATGATGTTGGATCACATCTCGCTCATCCGGAGATTGCACAACGGCACTCACTAAATTTACTGGAATTTCACGTACGGTCACTTTGAGCACGCAAGCATGTGAGTGTAAACACGATAGATTGGAAACTAGACCTCGCAACACGCTAAAGATGCTCGCTGATTAGATGCTGAATTTTGGGGGAGGAAGAAATCATGACCTCATCCAGTCTATACGCTTCGTGACGGCCATAAACACGTTATTCGTAAATCGATTCCACTTCCATCCACTCCTCCACATGACAGAACGGCAACTCGGCGAAATCAAACGCATCGTCAAGTGTGAAAGCATCATCAGAAGGAATTGATGGTGGGCCTTGCACTTTCTTGACCACGATGCCTCCATCCTCCGGCTCTTCTACCTCCGCAATATTGTTTATGTTGGGGAAACCTCCATCCTCGAAGATGAGAGAGGTGCGATCACCGGGACCGCGCACTCGGCGGCGTAGACGGCGGGCCGATTCGTCGACATCGTCGCATGGATCGTTGTCGGAGTAGCTGCTGTCGCCCTCGACGCTCATGCTGTAGGTACGTTTAGTCTTGTACATTCTGGCGCTCCATCTTTTCTTTTTCTTCCAGTCCATCCTTTGCCTCAACTCTTCGTCTTCAGAAGAATCATCTGCGAGATGCATGTCGTTTATCTCAGCAGTTATTCCGTTGTCGTCCAGCCTTGATTTACTCCTGTCGCTTTTCGCATCTTCAAATTGGTCCGGTCGCACCACTTCTATGTCGCTATCATAGCCCGGCTCGCTGTCCAAATACTCGAGTATAAAGCTGATGTCTTCTTCTTCAGCCCTGCGGAACTGCCGAGCGTCTTCACATATGCTCTCCTCGTCGGATGCGTCATCGTCCTCGGAGTCTTGCGGAGTGGTTGCACAAGCAACAGATGCTGTTGAAGGCCGAGAGGAAGCACCCCGCGACTGTGGCCTGGTGAAGTGGAATTGCGGCCCCTGTCCAATGGGCTTGATGAATTCGAGCGGCGGGGATTGCGCATTGTGCACCATGGCCATGCGCTTGTAGCTGGACGTAGGGTGGTCGTCCTTGTGGAGAAAGTGGGTGTGAGAGCGAGTGCCCGGCGTCATGGGCGGCGACGACGGGCCGTTCGCGAATGTGAAGACGGGTGCGCGTTCGGTCGTCTCCATGGCGGCGTAGCGGCGGAGGAGGTGGTGTTCACCGGAAAAGCCCCGCGAGGCTGCGAGGCGAATATCAAAAATGGAGGTGCTCACAAATTCAGTCGGAAGTTCCAGCGCTCAGGGAATCAGGTGCCGGTGGACGAGAGGTATGTGTGTTATGTGAGGAGACAGTTTGGCAGACAGTATCATTTTCTAGAAGTGATTTGGAAGTGCTTTGGCAGCGAAACGGAGCGGCCAGTGGAGGGCGGGCAGGTGGAAGCGTTTGACAGGTCAGACCCTGCACACCTGGGCTTATCTCGCGGTGCGGGTGGACGAGGAAAGAATGCTATAGGCAGCAATGCAGGAATTGCAGTGCAGGTCGGAGGCCAGATTAGCCACAGCGTGCTGTCAGTCCGAAGCGGTGCGAGTGCAGTGGCCGAATGGGAGGGCAATGGGACGAGGGCAAAAAAGGCGGGCTGCGGTGCTCCCTTGTGGCCTTGTTCTGGCGAGCGGGACACGGGCAGATATTCACCTGCGTTTCACGCTGAGCTGGCGGCACGGGCGCGCGTCAGGACTCGAGAGGTTTTTCCCTGCTCTGAGCGCAAGCCGACGATATGTGTTCGCCAGCGATTAGCGGCCGTGGCCTGCCAGCGATGCAGCGCAGACTCGAGCAATCTCACCTTGCGTCGACGACGGCCCGTGTGCCCAATGGCCTCCGCGCGCAAAATTAGACTGCAGGGCTGCCCGGGGCCTGCTGGCATCCAGCGAACAGCTGGCGGGGCGGCGATTGGTGAGCGGCGGGGCACCCTCTGGCGACCCGCAGGGCTCACTCGGCGGAGGACCGTGTCGGCGGCAATGAGGCTCTGCGGCGGGATGGGAATGACAGTCGAATAGGCGAAGGCGTGCACATTGCTGCCTGAGGACGCCCACACCGCGCAGATGCCCATCGTGCCTGCCCGAAGAGGTTGAGGTTGCGGTCACGTGAGGCGGGGAACGGGGGCAGGCGCGCTTGCCCGGTTTGGGGAAGGCGGCTTCCGCACATCCTCCGTGGACACATTGAACATTTGGCGAGTACACAGCTCGAACACAGGCAGCAGCACCGCAAGCAACACGACGCCCTCTTCTCTCTCCCACAGCCTCTTCTCTCGCCGCGGTCTGCTGTCCCGCACGCTGCCCACTGAAGCCGTCTTCCGCGCCCCTGGAGCTGCGGCTGCTCCTGCACTTCCACCATGGCATCTTCCCCATCTATGTTGACCAAGGTACGCAGCTAGCTCCCCGCAGCCGATCGCAGCAACTGATCGCCTGCAGTTCGAGTCCAAGTCATCGCGGGCCAAGGGCATTGCCTTCCACCCCAAGAGGTACCCCCGCGCCTCCTCTTGCAGTCCGCGCCGCTGCTGACCGCCTCAGACCATGGATCCTCGTATCACTACACTCCTCGACCATCCAATTGTGGGACTACCGCATGGGTACCCTCATAGATCGCTTTGAAGAGCACGACGGCCCGGTCCGCGGCATCGACTTCCATAAGACACAGCCATTGTAAGCACAGCTGTCGCTGGGCCAGGAGGATCTGATACTAAGACATGGCAGGTTCGTCTCCGGCGGCGATGATTACAAGATCAAGGTCTGGTCCTACCAGACTCGCCGGTGTCTGTTCACCCTGAATGGGCATCTGGATTACGTTCGCACCGTCTTCTTCCACCACGAGCTCCCGTGGATCTTGAGTAGCTCCGATGACCAGACAATCCGCATCTGGAATTGGCAAAACCGCAGCCTCATCTGCACCATGACTGGACACAATCATTACACCATGTGCGCGCAATTCCATCCTAAGGAGGACCTTATCGTTTCCGCATCGCTCGATCAGTCTGTTCGCGTATGGGATATCTCAGGGTTGAGAAAAAAGCACTCCGCGCCGACGGCGATGTCGTTCGAGGATCAGATGGCCCGCGCCAACCAGAACCAGGCCGACATGTTTGGAAACACGGATGCGGTTGTAAAATTCGTTCTCGAGGGCCACGACCGAGGTGTGAACTGGGTCGCGTTCCACCCCACACTTCCGCTTATTGTATCGGCGGGCGACGATAGATTGGTTAAGCTGTGGAGGATGTCAGAGACCAAGGCATGGGAGGTGGACACTTGCCGAGGGCATTTCCAGAACGCATCTGCATGCCTGTTCCATCCGCACCAGGATCTTATCCTTTCCGTTGGCGAAGACAAGACCGTGCGCGTATGGGATCTCAACCGCCGAACCTCTGTTCAATCTTTCAAGAGAGAGAATGATCGGTTCTGGGTGATCGCTGCACATCCGGAGATCAACCTGTTCGCGGCCGGCCACGACAACGGTGTGATGGTATTCAAGCTCGAGCGTGAGCGCCCCGCCTCCGCGGTCTACCAGAACAATCTGTTCTATATCACCAAGGAGAAGCATGTGCGCTCCTATGACTTCGGGAAGAACATTGAGTCTCCATCCATGCTTTCCCTGAAGAAGCTCGGTAGTGCTTGGGTCCCGCCGCGGACTCTCTCCTACAACCCGGCCGAGCGGTCCATTCTCGTCACCTCTCCTGCCGACAGTGGAACGTATGAGCTCATCAGTTTGCCGCGCGATGCATCGGGAGCTGTAGAACCTACTGACACCAAAAGAGGCTCCGGTAACTCGGCCGTCTTTGTCGCCCGCAACAGGTTTGCAGTGTTCAATCAGCAGAACCAGCAGATCGATATCAAAGATCTGGGCAACTCTACTACAAAAACGATCAAGCCTCCGCAAGGAACGACCGATATATACTTTGGCGGGACCGGCAATCTGCTCCTTATTACCCCGACATCTGTCGTTCTCTACGACATTCAGGCCAAGAAGAACCTTGCCGAGCTCTCCGTTAACGGTGTGAAATACGTTGTGTGGTCTTCTGATGGTCTTCACGTTGCGCTTTTGAGTAAACACAACGTCACCATTGCCAACAAGAACCTAGAGCAGATCAGCACGCTCCACGAGACTATCCGTATAAAGAGCGCTACCTGGGACGACGCCGGTGTTCTTCTCTACTCCACACTAAACCACGTCAAGTATAGCTTGATGAATGGAGACAACGGCATCGTGCGCACCTTGGAGCACACAGTATACCTCGTGAAGGTCAAGGGACGCAACATCTACTGCTTAGACCGAGCAGCGAAGCCCAAGGTCCTTCAAATCGATCCCACCGAGTACCGCTTCAAGCTGGCACTAGTCAAGCGTAACTACGACGAGATGCTTAATATCATCACAAATTCGAGCCTCGTTGGCCAAAGCATCATTTCATACCTACAGAAGAAGGGCTATCCGGAGATCGCGCTGCAGTTTGTTCAAGACCCGCAGACGCGGTTTGAGCTTGCGATTGAGTGTGGCAACTTGGATGTCGCTGTGGAGATGGCTAAGCAGCTCGACCGACCTAAGCTCTGGCAACGTCTCAGCGTTGAGGCTCTGGCACACGGCAACCACCAAGTTGTAGAGATGACTTACCAGAAACTCCGAAACTTCGACAAACTTTCATTCCTTTACCTTTCCACGGGAGACCAGGAGAAGCTTAAGCGTATGGCCAAGATTGCCGAGCACCGTGGCGACATGACCGCCCGCTTCCAAAATGCTCTCTACCTTGGTGACGTACAAAACCGGATTGAGATGTTCCAGGAAATCGATCTCTATCCCCTCGCATACGCTACCGCCAAGGCACACGGTTTGGAGGAACAAGCGCAACAAATACTTGAGGCCAGCGGTCTTACGGAAGACCAAATCAACCTGCCATCGATTGGTGCTCAACTTACACCACCCAAGCCTATCGTTCCAACGTACAAGGCTAATTGGCCAACACACGCTGCGTCCTCTACAGTATTCGAAAGGGCACTTGCTGGTGAGGTTGAAGGTGTCGGCGTGGAGGAGCCGGCAGCCAACGGTTACGGGGACGAAGATCTCCTGGGTGATGCCGAAGCGCCGAGTGCCGCTGTTGCTGAACTTGGCGGTGACGAGGAAGAAGATGTGGGTGGCTGGGATATGGGCGACGATGGTGAAGCTGAAGCCGAGGACGACTTCGTTGAGGTTGAAGGTGCAGAGACTGGTGCAGGCAGCAGCGAGGCAGATTTATGGGCTCGCAACTCTCCCTTAGCTGCGGACCATGTTGCTGCAGGTTCGTTCGAAACCGCTATGCAACTTCTGAACCGCCAGATAGGCGCCGTGAACTTCGCGCCGCTCGAGTGGCGCTTCGAGGAGATTTACCAAGCCACACGGACCTTCCTTCCAGCTACGCCGAACATGCCTTCGATTGTCAACTACGTACGAAGAACAGTCAACGAGACCGACTCACGGAAGATTTTGCCCATCATACCGCGCGACCTTGAGTCAATATTAGCGAGCGAATTGCCCGCTGGTAAGTCGGCAATGTTGAAGAACAAGCTAGAAGACGGTGTCGCGGTCTTCAAGCGGTTATTACAGCTGTTGATCGTCAACGTTGTTTCCTCGCAAGCACAGCTGTCAGAGGTATGTTGCGAGTCATGTAGAAATAACCATTCGCGTTACTAACAGGAACGATAGGCCAGGCAAGCGATTCACACGGCCGCTCAATATGTAATCGCCATGTCCATCGAATTGGCGCGAAGGTCTCTCGTCCAGGGCGCGACTGACATCTCTGGTCTCCCCGAAGACACTAGAAAGCGAGCTCTCGAGCTCTCGGCATATTTCACGATTCCTGAGCTCGAGGGCCCTCACAAATCTCTCCCACTTTCAGCGGCAATGAACTTCGCCAACAAGAACAAGCAGCTGAATACGGCACTCAATTTCGCCAATGCCCTTCTCGACCGCACCGCCAACGCAAAGCTGAAGGAACAGGCCAAGAGGGTAAAGACAACGGCGGAGCGTAATCCGAATGACGCTATTGAAATCGACTTTGATCAGTTCGCTGACTTTGAGATTTGTGCTGCATCGTTCACACCGATATACCAAGGGAGTCCATCTGCAGCGTGTCCCTATGATGGCGCTAAGTACCATGCGAAGTACAAGGGCACGATTTGTAAGATCTGCGAGGTGTGCCAGATCGGCGCCCCTGCGAGCGGACTGAGGCTGGTAGGTTGAAAGGACTGGTAGCGAATAGTGTCTGACAATTTTTGGTCTGGGGCCATTTGGAGTGCTGTAGCGTATGCAGTTAGATTTGTCCTACATTGTCGGGAATAAGAGGTTTGATGAGAAGCCCGCAGAGGGAAATGACGGGACGCCGAAGACAGGTGTATGTACCTGTAGACAAAATGCCATGAGATAATGTTCACCCACACGCCGAATTATGTAGACGGTGACCTGAGACACGCGTGCGGGATGCGTATGCGTACCCTCTGTACGTCAAAACACTATGCTCATGTTCCAATCTTGGTCGTTACATAGCATGGAGCAGTTCGCCTGACGTAATCGTAGTCGCGCACCCGTTCCGCGATTCAGGGTCCACAATTTTTATTAGCCCTGACTCTGCCCCACGTTGACTCGTTCAACCCCCCGACGACTCATCAAGCCTTGAACGAGCGCCCCAGCAAATACAACACGCACTTACTCGGTCTAGGGATATAGTTTCCTTTCTCACCAAGATTCCCACGGGATCTGCTTAAAGTATCAATTGAAACCATAACGCTCCTCTGAAGCACGCCGTAACCCCGCCATGGCTGACTCGGTCGTCGCCATCCAGGACGAGATCGCCCTCCTGGAGAAGAACCTCGCCGAGTTGCAAGACCAGTTGAAAGATGCAAAGTCCCGGTTACAAAAGGCCCAGTCGGAGGAGGTGGCGCAATCAGGACAACAAGAAATGAGCAAGGAGGACCGTCTTGCGCTGATCAAGGTGAACCTGAAGGAGGTGCTCAATCCCGAAATTATGGACGCTGTTCTCGACAAGGGAGAGAGTCTGAAGGTGTATTGGGGCACTGCAACAACCGGCAGACCCCATTGCGGATACGTAAGTCGCGTTCTCTGGGAAGAACGGGCGGTCGTGTGCTGATGCGTCTTAGTTTGTACCCGTTCTCAAGATTGCCCAATTCCTGCGCGCCGGTTGCCACGTCAAGATTCTACTCGCAGATATTCACGGCTTTCTCGACAACCTCAAAGCGCCCATCGAGTTGGTCAAGTTCCGCGCCGAATACTACCGCTATGTTATCACCGCGCTGCTCAAGGCCGTCAACGTCCCCATCAACAAGCTCCAATTCGTACTGGGCTCATCCTACGAACTCGCTCCCGATTACATGATGGATCTGCTGCGGCTGGCCAGTATAACGAGCGAGCACGACTCGAAGAGGGCAGGTGCTGAGGTTGTCAAGCAGACGGAGAATGCGCCACTCAGTGGGCTCATCTACCCGCTTATGCAGGCGCTAGATGAGCAGTACTTGGACGTAGATGTGCAGTTTGGTGGACTAGACCAGCGCAAGATCTTCGCGCTCGCGAAGGATGTGCTTCCCAAGATTGGCTACAAGGAGCGTGCACACTTGATGAACCCCATGGTACCCGGTCTCCAGGGTGGCAAGATGAGCGCAAGCGACCCCGACTCTAAGATTGATGTTCTAGACACGCCCGATGCTGTGCGCAAGAAGCTCAAGAAGGCATTCGCGCCCCCGAAGCAGGTCGAGGAGAACGGCGTACTCAGCTTCGTCGAGTACGTGCTGCTGCCCGCTGGCGAGCTGCGACATGGAACACCCAAATTTGTCGTCGAGCGGAGAGAGGGCGAACCGCTGGTTTACACCGATATCGAGAAGATGCAGGAAGACTACAGAAACGACATTGTAAGCCACATCCCTTCATCACAATTCGTCGTGGCCTAATTGCTAACTCTCACAGCTCACACCACAAATGCTCAAGCCTGCCGTCACTGAAGCTCTCATCCAGCTGCTTGCCCCCGTACAAGAAGCCTTCCAGGCCGACAGCAAGTGGAAAGACATCGAGCAGAAGGCCTACCCGCCGCCGCCTCCCGAGAAGAAGAAGGAAAAGAAAAAGAAGGACAAGGGCACTGGATACCCTGGTGCGAAGAAGGTGGAGGCCAAGGCGGACGGCCATGTCGAGGGCGTAGACAAGGCAACGGTTGACGTTGGCGCTGATGGTGGGGCGCAAGCGATTGAGCAGTTGAAGTTGGAGGACAACTGAGGTATGCTATGAAGACGCGCCCTAAGGCGCTGTCGTAAAATTTTGCAGCCTTTTTGACTCCGAACCTCTTTGAAGTCCAACATTAGCCCCGTTTAACTTTTAACGTCGGCGTACCTGGGTATTGAGGCATGTTGCAGGCAGAAGCAACCTCGCTTCAAGGGATTCTAGAACAAGGTGGCTCAAAAGCTCACATTACATCACACTTGATTGATTGCCATGCCCGTGATAACTACAGATCATGCCTTACTTTCATGGCTTTGTAGATTATCAGTATCTTGCTATAGATAGGAGTGCCTCAGCCCGACATCGCGACAGAATCATGCGACATCGGCTACTTCGAAGGAATTTGGAGTTGTAGAATCGCGGCAGCGATTTCGATGCGACGAGTACAAGTATGCCGAAGTAACGCAATAAGACAAGAACTAGTGATGTCACGCCCAAGGCTGACTGTCCAGGTGCAGTAGAGCGCTCCTCCGCTTTCGCGTCGGAATTACGCGTCGGACCAAGAAAACTAAAATGTACCTCGCCACATAAGTACCGTATTACCACCTTAAAGGCGGCAGCCCTTCTCGTCTACACGTCACTTTTGGGACACCACTTCGTGGTTCGTGTCAATAATAAGAAATTTGTACCATTTTAAGGATTTAGCTGAGTACTCCCCAGCATCTTGGTAATTCGTCCTGCTTGCAAAATGTCGCGCTCAACCACTTCGATCGAGCTAGAGCCTTATGTGGCATCCACACCCATTGCTCTTACGCAAAGCCCCAGTCTGCACACCAAGAGCGATGATATCCCACTAGCAGCAGATGAGCGTCAGTCCACCAAATCAGTCGCTTCGACGACGTTGCAAGCGCCTACGAAGGGCACAACAGCAATTGTGTTAGTCACGGTCGTCTGCGTGACCATGATATCTACGTTGCTAGCGGGTTTGGTGACTGTCGGTCTGCCCACCATGGCAGAGGATTTAGACATCCCAGCTAGTCTACTCCTGTGGTAAGTCAGTCCTATGAGCGTCTACGAACAAAGACTAACACTCGTAGGCCAATCTCCATATACGCCCTTGCATGCGGTTGTACCCTGTTGCTGCTCGGTTCTGTCGCCGATGTTGTCGGCAGTAGACCAATGTACCTCACAGGTTGTGTTCTGCAATCTGCGTTCACCCTAGCTTGTGGCCTTGCCCAGACAGCAACTCAGCTGATCGTGTTCCGGGCACTGGCTGGAGTGGCAATCAGCTTCTGTCTACCGTCTGCTGTTAGTATCATCACGAGCACGTTTCCTGAGGGGAAAAGTAGAAACCGTACGTGAATTCGGAGTATTTGGTAGCTGTGTTTTGCACATAGACAAGAGTACTCATCTATGCCTTTCTGGCTTCCGCTGACACTCCCTCGCACGATAGTTGCTTTTGCGTCCATGGGCGGGGGACAACCCATTGGATTCTCTGTCGGTCTTACGCTTGGCGGCATCCTCTCAAATACCATCGGCTGGAGATGGGGCTTCCATATCGCCGCAATAATCAACAGCGTGGTTTTCGTAATAGGTCTCTTCGGCCTGCCCAAGGTCGATACAGCGCAGGGAGATGTGTGGAAGCGACTACGCACAGAGATTGATTGGATCGGCATCATGATCGGAGCTGCATCGTTGGCGATGCTTTCATATTCATTCGCGTAAGCGTTCCCTGCGGTTTGCCCCATGAAACCTGCTAATTTATACAGTATGCTTAGTGATAGCGGGTCCAGCATTAAACAGCCTGCTACGCTTTCGACCCTTGTGATATCGATTGCTCTGATACCAGGTTTCATTTACTGGGTCGGCCGACAGGAGCGACTGGGCAGACCTGCCATTATTCCGAACTCTCTGTGGCGCAACCGTATCTTCACTACCGTCTGCATCGGCGTTTTTATGACTTGGGGAGTCTTCAACGCGATCGAGACTCTGCTTACGCTTTTCTTCCAAGACGTGCAAGAGATATCCCCGATTCAAACGTCCATCCGCTTCTTGCCGGAGCCAATCTCCGGCGCTCTGGCAAACATAGTGATGGGCCTCTTGGTGCACCGAATCCGAGCTTACTGGGCTGTCATTATCGCAATTGCAATTTCTGCGATCTCTGCGCTCCTTATGTCGATCATACAACCTGAATGGCAAGTTGTCCGCCACAAAGCACATAAATCTCATGCAAAGAACATTCTACGTTTCACTTCAATATGCTCAAAACATTCCATCCTCACTCCGTGGTAAGAACTGACGTCTATCCACAGGTCGTACTGGGCTTGTGCTTTTCCGGCAGTCCTGCTCAGTCCAGTTGGCGCCGACGCCTTGTTCACCGTGTCGAATTTAGTTATTACATCCGTGTTTCCGGCGAAGACACAAGCACTAGCAGGCGGCGTCTTCAACACGATCGCGCAAATCGGCAAGAGCGTAGGGCTCGCGTCGAGCGGTCTTATCGCTGCGAGCGTGACGGAGAATAGTAAATGGGCGGACAAACAGAGCCCTCAGGCGCTGATGGAAGGATATAGAGCTGCGTTCTGGTTCACGTTTGCCGGGAGTGTAGCAACAATTATTCTATTCGGCTGGGGCTTGAGGAGCATCGGAAGAGTTGGCATGAAGCGGGAATAAGAGTCAGATTGAGACAGAGGTTGCATATTCTAGCGACTGACAGGAAAAATAGGGATATTTGGTAGAGTACTCTTCGTATTACCTGCAATGCTATTCGTGAGAGATGCACGGTGGTCCACAATAAAAACGGGAACCCTGGAGACAGACACTACTGTGAACATCCGCGATTACTTATTATAGGATAAGTTTACTAACGTATAATAGACTAAGTTAGTACAGGATGAGGTGCGCGCATCACAGCGCTATGATCAACGACCATCTTCTACCACAATCACTTGCCCGAATCAGACCGGCAGCTGAATAATCGCGCATCTATATAATGTCTCAGATGCAGGAGCCAATCTCATTCCACCTGTTCGAGGCTGCTGTTTCGGACCGACGATTGATCTGCGTATTTCGAGGCATATAGCCGTTTGCGGCGAGGCGGAGCACCTGCAGAGCTGGAAAGGGAACCGCACATCTCGAAGCTTGACGACCTAGGAAACCCGGGGGCCAGCCTCATGCTAGCCGCTCGTGTCATCGAGTATTAGAGACAGATCCGGGTTGAGATAATGTTAAGAATAGGTGAGCGGTCTGAGCGACAAGGCTGGGGCGGAAAGGGCAGGTAAAGAGGCTGAGGATTCTCCCATGGAATAAAAGGCGAGGCCAGAGAAGCTATGAGCATTTCTGTACTGTGTGAAGCATCCTATTTTTGCTTAAACCTTTGAGTTACAGCCGCGTTGAAAATTTGGAGGGTAACCCATTCGTAGGCGAACACCGCAAAGATCGTAGAAGCCAATCCACCAATATGGTCCACATCGCCCCTGTAAGTACGTCGAGCAACATATGGAACATCGACTAAAATGCAAGAAGCTGGTGTGTGCAGTGCTTATGCTAGCAGTCGACACTAATGCCATGCCTACCTCGTCTGCAATCTCAGCGCGAGCTCCTAGCCTCGGCCTCAACTACTGGACCTTCCAACGAAACTGCAATCCTAGCAGCGGTGCACAGAGTAAGTGCATCGCTCCGAATCTCTCCGTCACCATCCGTTATCAACAATGGTACCTAGTGTCGCTGACATCTCCCAGACCAGGCTGGCTACCTCACCTTGGGCACAGACAGCTGCCACTACTTTCCCGGCGTCGGCGAAGCGCAGATTCGCCAGGCGTCCGCTTTTAAGATTACTAGTGCAAGTGGAATGGGCGCAGGATGCTATATTGATCTGTATCCCCAGACGGGATGTGGTGGCACGAGGATGGGGAGGATTGGTCCGATTGGTGATATGGGCGCGGGGAGTTGCATTGTGCCTGCGGATGGAAGTACGGGGCAGGCGAAGGCTGCTCTGAGTGTTGTCTTGAGGTGCTGAGGAGTGGCGGTGTTGGGTTTATGGAGCTTGGACTAATTTATTCATTCATTCATTCATTCACTCACTCACTCACTCACTCACTCACTCACTCACTCACTCACTCACTCACTCACTCACTCACTCACTCACTCACTCACTCACT